TATTTCACAGAGCTGTAAAGAGCACCATCTGTGCTCGGTTTAGCATTGATTAACCAAACTAGGATCCTGGTCTTTCTTTTTATCCTGATTTTACACATTAATGTTTATGTTTCTAAAGGCACGGTTATGTTCCCTCTTTCGCTATATACGAGAAACCTCAATCCTAGTGCTTTTCAATTTTCAGTCATTATCAGAAATTGAATGTAAACCAGAATTTTCATGACCTTGCATTTATGAAGCTTTTTAAAAGCATTTTGGTCATAAATTTTTTGTGGTCTTCAAGTTTGACAATACCGCGTGAAATAATGTTATTAAACCTTGGTGCTAAAGTAATTTTGTACTGCTAATACTAAAACGTTCAATTGACAAAATTGAGCAAAGTACCTTTGCTAATACCTTGAAGAGAGAAAGATAGTTTACCTTGAGGAAAGGAAGGTTGCTTGCTCGGTTTTTTGTTTTGTTTTGTAAACTGTTTGTGTGTGGGTTGGGGGTTGGGGGCCCGGGGGGGGGGGTACTTTAGAAATTTCTGGGTGGGGATGTGCCGCTGGTACCCTGGAACCCTTAACCTATACCAGAGCTAGTTCAGCTGAATTTTGCCACCCTATACTAGAGTAAACTCCCCAAATCCCCCCTATCCTAGAGTAGCTGTTTTCCATAAACTACTGAGGTCACTAGCATAGTCTAGCCAAAACAAGCTGAGTTGTGTAAATTTCAAATTTCAAATTTGATTTTTTTATATGTTTGAGTGGCAATTCCCCGTTTCCCTACTCCAGATAAAATCTTCAACCAACTGATCAGTTTCCTGAAAAATGATACCCTATTCTAGACCCAAACACTCTGATTTATATACCCTATCCCAGAGTAAACTGCTTGAAAACCATACCCTTCACAGCGGCACATACCTATATAGCCCATATATGGCAGTGCCCCCCCCGGGGTTGGGGGGGGGGTGTTGCATCGGCGACTTTTCTTGATGGTCAGATCTAACTGAAGACCTGGGAGAGGCTGGGATTTGTAGGAAAAGACACTTTGAAGCATTGTAATGAGACAAAAAAGTCAGAATCGGGGCTCTAACTGTGGTCAAAAAATATACAACACAGCTGGGTGCTTACGTAGTTACATAGTAAGACTGTCCTAACTCTTTACTGATTAGTGCTTCTGTTCAGCGGCCGCGACGAATTCGAAACTGGACTCTTGTATCACTACGCTTTACAAAAAGCAGACTATCCAGTCCATACATTGATAGACATTGAGCAAGAAACTGAACAACTTGAATGATCTACTATCACTGTTTCCTAGTATTTTGAGAAATTGTCACAGGGGGCGTTTATTCGAGAGGGGATGTTTATTAGAGAGAGGCGTCTAACTTAAAGGCGTTACCTAATGGGCGTTTATTAAACAAGAGGCGTTACTTGAGAGAGGGCGTTTATTACACTTTATGCTTTTTACTACATTGGTAATCCTGTGGTGTTTGGCCTTTCTCCTGCAGAGTCACAGTAAACCTTGGTGACAACAATCCTTCCCAAGTAGGGGATCTCTGGATAGACAACCTTTCTGATAATACTTGGTACATGGCATTGGTAGCTCTAGATGGACGTAACTTAAGAGTAAAGATTGATAAAAAGAATTATTTGCTTAAGCTGAAAAGTGAACACACCAGGTTGGATATAGAGGGCTTGACGTATATCGCAGGACTAACCACAGGCATGACCAACAATCTGCGAGAGTATAAGCCTTCGCCACCCTTCAAGGGCTGCATTGAAGCTGTAAGCTACAGCGACAGAAGAATTTTTCCCAGAGAAAACAAAAACAGGAAGCTCTTAAAGGGATATACAAAGCACGGCTCCCCCAAAGTCCTTGGCTCGCGATCCACGTGCAGACGTCTGAAATTGAAGACGCTAAGCTTTGGATACCCTGAAGCATATCTCAAGTTCGCCTCGTCGGGTAGAATCAACCTGAACGTACGGTTCCACTTTCGCACGTATTTGGCAAACCAGATTTTAGTATCGAAGGGTAATGAACTTGGGCGATTTTCTTTCGTCCATGTTTCTATGGTTAAAGGAAAAGTATTTCTTAAAGTGAGGACATCTCTTGGCGGTATTGTACAACCGCTTTACTCTAAAAAGCAATTGAATGACGGTTATTGGCACGATCTGTCAGTTGTTGTGAATGAGACATTGATAAAGCTAGCTGTTGATAACGAAGCGCCGTTGGTGCATTTTAATCCGAGCCTGAATCAATCTGTTAACGAAGAAGAGGACCTGACCATGTTCATTGGCTTCGCTCGAAAGGCAACTATGCCATCCTTCATCGGTTGTATTTATGGTTTAAGTGTCGACGGCGAAAATATTGTTTTCACTAAAATAAGCCCGACAAGCAAGTCCGGTGCGCTGCATAACTTCTGCTACCTTTCAAGCCCTTGTTTCCCTAATCCCTGCTTACATCATGGTAAATGCATCGAAACACGGTCTGGTGGATTTAACTGTGACTGTCAAAGCACGTTTTACAGAGGGCGCTTTTGCGAAAAACCCATTTATCGAAGGACCTGCCAGGACTACAAAGATCTTGGTCTATCTGGTGACGCCAACTGTATAGTGGATTTAGACGCTGGAGGTCCCTTGAAACCAATTACGGTCCTGTGTAATGTTACGGAACAAGGGAATGCCGTTACAATTGTCGGGCATAACAAAATTGGTCTTCAGAGGGTGAATGCAACGAAAATGTTCTTTCCAAAAAGAGGCTATTTTCACTCTGTGAGATACCCATCGCCGATGAAGGAGATCAGAGCTTTGATCAACCGGAGCGAGCTATGCGTTCAGTATGTTGGCTTCAAGTGTTTTGGTTCCAAATTGCTGCAGTCAGCAATAGGCCCACATCAGGTTACGTTTAAAGGAATAAGGTCGTATATAGCGCCTGAAAACTGGCCAGACCCGTCTTCAGGCAACAACAACTGCTCGTGTAGAGTAAACGGAACATGCGCACTTCCTGAAATGTCTTGTTACTGCGATATTGGAGACGAAACCTGGAGAGAATATGAAGGTATGAAACCTTTTGTTATTTTGTTATATTTGAGTTTTAATTCGTGACAGGGGAACAAAAAGGACAATGCATAGGCAGAATTGAAAGGCGGAAGCAGAAGGGGACCTTGTTCAATTACTAGTACAAGTAGCAAAAAGCAGGTGGTATTAGAGAGCTTAAACTTCACGTATACGGCAAACGGCAAACGGCAGATCCAAGCTGAGAATTTCTCAAAACAGAAAATGAGCAGACAAAACAAGCTCAAAACAATTCGCATGGATAAAAAATTTCTGAAAGCTTCTAATTTATGTGTAGAAATAATGAACAGTGAACGACAAGTAAAGGGGAAACTTGGTCACGTGGTACAAATTCACGTTTGCCGTTTGACGTAAACATGATGCTTAACCTCTTAATTAGGTAAACTTTTCTCCTGATAGCGCTTAATATGGCGTTGCTGTGCAAGTTTAAAAGTGTGCCGCAACCGCTGCATGTAGTGTTGCTAAAAGGCCGGCCCGTTTCATGGTTACACAACTCAATTGCAGTGAGAATTAATTCGGCATGGCACTGAACCAAACGATGTACTTATCATCATTTTTTATGAGCTGAAAATCTTCTCTTCTTGGTTGTCCTATGATAAAATCCAATTCCGATTTTGCTTTTTGAAAGGTTACGTCACCGACAAGTCCGCCATGCCAATCACCGTGGTTGAGTTTTTAGAATCAGCTTCCCAGTCGTATTTCACCGTGGGACCTTTAACGTGCTATGGGACATCAACCAACTATGCCAATAACAGTTCAGAAAATACGACACGCGAGTTGCAACACGAAGCAGCGCGCTATTTCAAGTCCTTGTGCTTTGCGATCAACCCCACTACGGACGCTAACGTCCAACCTCGTTCCAGTGTCCCACAACCACATCGTATTCCGATATTTACGAGAAGTCAAGCTAAATTTTCAATAGGAATGACCGCTTCAGTTGATTCAACTGGTACATTAGCATCAACCACTGTGAAAGCCACAACGAAGATCCAAAAGTCGAAGGAAATTCCTGTCCATACAAGTACCCTTCCGACTGTTTTCAATGAAGAAGTGATCCAAACTGTTTTTGATGATGGCGGTTTGGCAGAAGCTACTGCAAGCAGCACTGTTTTGCAGTTTTCCACGGAGAAATCTAACTCGGACCCTCCATTAAACAAAACCCAAACCTTAGGCGGGTCGCCGAACGGTAAACCAACAACGGATGGCCAGAATTTGACATTTTCTTGGCAACTTGTGGTGACGGTAATACTTCTTGCAGTTGTATCTATAATGCTTGTGTCTTTGGTTGTCTACTGTGTCAAGAAACGTGGCATAAGGTGCACATCAGCTGGGTTCCGCTGTTTAAAGAAGGCTGAAAAGACTGACGATCACGGCTTTGTTGAAATGAGGCCAGGATCACAGGCTCGAAAATCGGAATCACTTGATCCGCGTCGATCTATCGCAGCTGGTGGTTATAATGTGAGGGCAGGCATTATTCTCTATGGTACTCATGAGAAATTTTGAACAACTCAAGGAGCGAACCAGGAAGGTATTGGTCATAACGAATCGACAACAATATTTCATGGTCTGTATTCTTATCGACCATAGAAATGACGTCAATGTGTTCAAAACTTTGCAGTGGAAGCACGCTTCGCAGTCGAGTGGTTTTACTGTAAAGTTTTGAAAATGTTGACGTCATTTCTTTGGTCGATAGGAGTGCAGCCCATGAAAAATTGTTGTCGATTTGTATTGTACATGATAACATTGACAGGTTTGATGTCAATTTTCCTTGCCTCTGTTCTCATATCAAACATAGCTCTCGACCAAACAGCGCGCGAAAAATCGCTCAGTTATTGTAAAGTTCAAAATTGCACCCGAGACTGATTTGGGATTCTGTAGGATTGTACTATGCAGGGCAGAAAAAAAAACTGAAATCCGGCTGCCCAGTAGGCAAGTAAATTTCATTTTTCACATGCCCCATTTAAATATTACTTGCGCAACGAGAACACAATGCCTTATTATCTATTGTTCTAGGTCACTGTCCTTAATAAGTTTTAGTTTATCGAAAATTGTGTAAGTTAACTAGTAATACTACTGGATTTGACGAATATGGTGAATGGAGGAGTAACGGGAGCAAGCAAATGTACACTTGGATTTTAAACTAATTCGTGTTTCGGCAACTAATCGTACTGTCACTCATCTTGCAGTCTTCAATTTGAGCCTTCAGTATGGATATCATTTACCGAGCTGACTCACATAAGGACCACTAAGGCTAAATACACTTGCCCATTGGGCCACCAAACCGACGTATATTTTTACTTGCCCAAGGTCAAAATTTACTCAGTTGCCCCGGGCAATCGGACTTAGGTTTTTTTCTGCCTTGCTATGGGACTGTGTTGGGGGATAAAATGTAGTCGTATTACTTGAGAAGACCGCTGGCTTCCCCCAAACAGTCCCATAATACAATTCGACTCATCACCGACTCAGTCTCACGCGTAGCTTCAAAATCAGCAAATTTGCCATTTTAGAAACGAGAAGGAAACTGGGCCGAGTTTACTTGCGCAAAGACTTCTGGGACTTTAACCAGAGACAAGGGAAAAAATTGGCCATTTTGGCGCGTCTCCAGTAACGGTCCAAGTAACAATGGCGTGACGCATTTCGACTTCAGATCCCTTATAGTTTCTAAAAGAAAACTGCTTAATTCCTTATAGCCTGCGAAAACATCCGTTTCTCCTCGCTCTTCGCCGCTGGGGACGTTTCGCGAGGAGGAACGTCTGCGACTCAGCGACATAAATTTCATACTGATGACGCAAATCAATGTTTACATAATGAATCCGGTAGTCATGGGGTTCTAAATATAAATGTGTCCAATTTTGCGTGTCTCCTGGTCGATTTTGGTGAAGTGTTGTGTTCGTCTGCCAACGAGCTCCAGCAAGACTCAAATGCTTCTTCTAGATACTGGGACTATATTCCACAAATATTGACTGTTTACTAGAGATTCTTCGCGTTTACATTTGACCTTTGTGGCCTTCTGTCTTTTGTCTATCATTCGTAAACAATAGCTAAAACAATGTAACTACTCCGTCGACCAATCAGCGCTTCTGACCGAATTCCGGACAGATTTTACGTCATGAGTATGGAATTTCTGTCTCTAAGTCGCAGACGCTCCTCGCGAAACGTCCGCAGCGGCGGAGAGCGAGGAGAAACGGATGTTTTCGCAGGCTAAATTCCTTAGCGTAGCCTAGAAGTGTTTCTTTTGAAAAGGTTACCTGGAAGCGCAATACATTATCATGTCAAAACTTGAGGGAATCATTTTAGAGTTTGATAAGTAAGAAGGCTAACTATCAGGAGAATTTTTTAATGTTAAATATGCATCGGTAAGAAGTCACACTAATCTTTGACTCTTCCTCGACAGCTTGATCTCAAATGATGACAAGAAAGGAAGATTTACGTTGTGTTGGTAGAATATTTAACCACTTCATTAGTGAAAAAGTAGATGCATTCATTTTAAGTTCGTAATGCCTAGACTAACTTCTTGGCGGGGAAGGCTGAGGTTGTTATGCTAATCAGACGCAGAAAAAAATTCTGAAGAACGGAAAGAAAAAAATTCTTTCTTCTGCTCGATGCCCACCCTCATCCCCTTCACAAGCAGTAACATTCAGTTACTGATGAGTACCTTGCATACTTTGCAAACGTTATGTATGCAATAAATTTCTCATATTCCTGTTTTGACGAGACCAAAACCCCATTCCCAGTGTCTCCCTTCTCACTGTGTCAAAGAGACCCTGGGAACAAGGTTGGGTAAGACCGCTGAATGAAGGACTGATTCCCGCTGGATTTTCCAATTATAATGTTCATATTATAGTGGTAACATTACCCTAACTCAAGTAAGGACAAGAAGGATTTATGCTTCGAAAGTATCTTTGTAACTTTAGTTTCCTGTTTTACAATTTTTTGAACGAGATTGGTTATAAATGATATCGATCTGTACGAGGCTCCTTTCAAGAATTGTTTAGTCGCAGATTACCAATAAATTAACATTGTGTTAACTTGGTGTCAGCTTTCTTGTTACTCATAGACCTCTTTCAAAATGGAGGCCAACTTATGTATATCTAGCCGGATTTTTAAAAACGTTATCACCAAATGGACCTTTTGCGTCCAACAGTTTTTTTGCGGCCAAAAACTATCTCCAAAATAGCCATCATAAAAACTAAGAGTGAAGCCATTGCTTTTTTCCTTCTCCTACTCGCTCTTTCTTTTTCTCCTTTCCTTTTTGTTCGTTAGTGTGATTTTGGAGCTTATCGGGTCCAAAAAACCTGCCTTTTGACGCCTCTTCTCTTAAGTGACTGCAAATTTTCGTTAGGTTGATTTTCAAAAAACGGCTAGATATAAATGAGTTTTTTTGGTCTCGTTTGAAGGTAAGAATTCTTTTGTATTTTGCACATGCAAACAGGTCAGAAAGGCTAATTATCATACATATAAAAGAATATATTAATAGACCGCAGTTATAATAAGTGGTCTATTATATACCGCAAATCCAAACGACGAACTGTTAGTTTGGGTGGCTTTCTGGAATTTTTGGTGGTAGGCGCGGCTCAAGGGGTCATGGGAAGGGCTTCCCAGTTGCCTTTACGTTTTTGAAGGTTCCCGCTTAACCTAAAATTCCCATGATCCCTTGCTCCACACTACCGCCCAAGATGCCCCTGCGTAGGAGGCAGGCTATTCTTGATCAATTTGTAAGAGGTCTTGTTCAAAACAAGACAAGCAGACACTCTACTGAAGTCAAGGAAAAGCGATCTATGGACCAAATAAATGCAAACAAAAACATTTTTAGACTTGGTCAAGAGTGAAGGTTCTGATTTTATCAATCGACTTAGGCGGATAAGCTACCTAAGCAATACTGAACATTAGCGTATCATGAGCGCTATAATACTTTGACATAAATATTAGCGCGGTTGATTAAACCAGTTTTTGCTGACACGCGTTCAGGCCGCGCTTTCTCTAGTGACGGCGTCAAAGTAATCAGCTGATCATGAAAGCACTTGCGGAAATAAAAAATCCAAGTCGTCATCTCCACAGAATTAAACTCGTATGCCTTTTCACAACATTTGTGTTCAGTTGGAGTAATTCGTTTCACTCGCCTCCCCACCCCCGCCCCCCAACCCCAATTTTGCTATGCGGAAAATCAAAATTACACCCCTGAAAGAAACCAATCTGGGCGTGGCTAAGGTTTTATTTGACCTTTAAAGGAGGGTGCAGAATTTACGTGTGGTGATTTTAATTACGATGAGGATGTTGACATGGTATGCTGTCTTTCAAAAAGTATTTTGTCACAGGTTTCATGCAGTCCGGAACAGCATAAGCACAGGCACACCACCCCCTGCTAGTCTTTGCGTTGAATCTTGATGCTCAGATTTCAATGACTTCAACAGCTACGTGTGACGAAAAATTGCAATATTTGCACCCCTAAGCGTGGCAATGAGCATCCCAGTCGCCAAGACTTGTGGGGGCGAAACATTAATCATTTTAAAAAACAAGAAACATGGGGGAGGAAGAAGGTGCGGAACAGAGATAATTTTAATTTCTTTTGAAAAAAAAAAGGCAAAATAAATTATTTAAATAGCACGCACAACTGCAAAGCGTGCTATCTTAAACAAATGACGCGGCGCTCGGGAGTCGTAACCAGTTCCCACAAGAAAAAGTTGCTTTACACACGTACCTGGCAAAAGATTTTTGTTTGCAAAACTCCGGGCATTTATTTTAAGCTACTGCCACAAACTGTGAAATTTCATCAGCGGCGAAAAAATATCCATATACCAGTATGCAACGGCCTGAACATTACTTGAAATCCGGTCGACCAAGCCCGGCCAATAGCACAGACGAAGAATTTGCTCAGGGCGAGCAAACAGCTGGAAAAGTTCCCGCGCCGGGTATCGCTGAGCAAGATACGGAAATTGTTAAAACACACTACAGTCCAAGAGGTGTTTTCTTCGTATATTTCCAGGGAGAGGCCTCGATAGAAGTCGACAAGCATTTTAACCAGACTTTTTCAGGGCTATGTTATTTGCCAAGTGATGCCGCGGAAAAAAGGGTAGATGGATCACGTCTGCAAGGTACATTTTTAATTGAATATTTGTACGATACATATATTTTTAATTTCATTTCTGTACTTGCCTTCCGGGGAGCTAGCTGCATTAAAACAAGCTTCTCTTCAAGTGATGAAGGTCGATCAAAGTTTATTCGCAAATTTGCTTTGTATATCGTATATCTTTCAATTCTCCAGCGGACGTTGGAGAAATGAATGTTTGTTTTGGCTTTTTTATCTCTCATCGGTCTATATGTCAAAAACTTTTTGTGACGAATACCGTATCTCGGTCTCTGGTAGCTTTTTTGAAGCCAACCCTAGACCGATTTGCAGAGGAGAGTCAAAATACCTTGAAAACCCATATTATAAACATCTGTTTCAGTCCTTGTCGTAAATAATGTCGAATGCAGGGTGTGAGTACATGAATGCGCGCGTCTTTTACTGAGTAATCAAACTGGTGTAAATATCGTTTCTCACCTTGGGACTTTTGGTCCGTGCTTGCATGAGTCGATGTCGTTATCACTTTATTCAAGCGTAAACTTCAGGCCCATAACCAGGATTTTATGTGGGGGGGTGCTAACGAGGCCAAAGTGGACCAAACTACCGAAATGTATTTTTTATTGTCTGATCCGTTTATTTAGGGAAGTAGCAATACATGAGAAATTGTAACGGCAAAGTACATGGTAGGAACTGAATATTACATTTGTCGAATACAACTGTTTGAATTAAGTTATAGAGGAGTAATTTTACGATGTAAAATGATACATCAAAATATTGCGGAACTAATCCTTCAGAATAGTCCCGAGCTCCAGCCTCCGTGGGTGTTTGGTGGCAAACAGATTTACCATGCCTCATCCAAAACAATTTTAGCTTGATAATGTACGTGCATTAGTGCGAGGGACGACAGCCTTTCCTGGCCCATGCATGCCCTGTTATATGTATGCAGCCGCCTTAAAGAACTCGCACTTCTTTCACATTCACAGCTCATTGCAGGGATTGTGGCGCATATCTTGAGGAACGCATATATATTTGGAAAGAGATCATCATCGCACTCCTTAAGCGTGCGCACGTTAATTTCATTATTCATTTACATAAGCTGGGACATCTGTACGCTCATTGAAATGTTCTGAATGACTCGGGCTACTAGAGTGCAGCTGGTTTTATTTTCCCAGTGAATACACTACTACTTTTTCCATTCTTTGATTTTGTTTAAATATCACTGTTAAGTTTGAAACTTCAGTTTAACCGACTGCAACTCCTTAACTTGGATATTGAGAATCAAAATGCGGACCTTTGGGGCCTGTGGGGAGGGTGCGAACGCACCCCGTGCACCCCCCCCTGCTTACGGGCCTGAACTTATGCGTAGCCAGGTTTTGTTTCAAGTATTTAATGGTACCGTACGCGAATCCCTCTGACGCAACTACTTTTCCAAATACGGGAAGTCTCCCGATCAAATTAAATCATTTTTATGGTTGGAATCTGCTGTGAGCAAGATCACCGCAGAGGTGGTGACTGCGACCACCTTTCGAGGATATTTATGAAATAGTGGTACCTTTTCCATTTTATTCAAACCTCAATTAAGCCGCATAAGCCGTCACTTGACCTGCGGTCTAATCCTCATCAGGTGTAGTTTCAATACGATCCGCTCAATACGGACAGTCCGTTAACTAGGAGACTTGCTATTGGCCTCTCGATGTCCGTTTTGACGAGATTTCACTGTTGCTTTGAAGAGTGAGATGTATGAGATCTGTTTCCGATTCAGATCGATCATCCTTGTCGTGCAACTCTATGTTAGGCGCCGTATGACCATACCTTGCATTTGGGTGTGGTCGTTTAAATTACGGAAGCTAACGAAAATTACGGCTACACGAGACGAGATATGTGAGAACGCACGGGTTCTATACGGCTCTGTCCTGTCAATTTTCTCGTCCATGCTTCAAGTTTATGTTTTTGTCTCCATTAGGATTACCGAATGTTCCCATGACGCAACGTAACCTGCCAGCTTCATTCTGGAATCTACCATCAAGAGACCAGACTCCACCACCACCTACGAGTTACCCGTGTCATAGCAACTCATCATGTTTGTTCCAGCAAAGCGCGTCAAATGGGCCAACTTATTATAGTACTGGCTACCACGTCACCAATAACGCTTCACACGTCAGCCTTGGGCGAACAGCAACGAATGCTGATGATACGTATGCATTTTCCGTCTCCTGTGCTCAGCTCGCCGCAGAGGTGGTGGAAAGTGTTCCGCCAAGGTACCTCCAACAAGGTCCTCAGCCGTTATCTGACCCTTCAGGGCCTCTTTTAACACAAGAAACGGATGTTGATTGTAATGAAATGCAAACTTCGTTTAGGTTCAATCCTAGCTACAATGACCTTCTCATACAACCCGAGGTGAAACCACAACTGCCACTTGTACCCGGTGAGCCAGCGAGATGAGAATAACGAAACACGCTACCATATCACTCTGAGTCATCCGGGCGAATTACTGACGACGAAGAAAGAAGCAAACTGATAACGAAATTCTATGGAAACATAAGTCTAGTTATGCACTTTTATAGTGTCACGGGAGGAACAGAAATAGTTTACACCCTGTTTGTAAATGATGTGGAGTGAGGTCTCGAGTAACAGATTCGCTGCAGACACCTTGAATTCTGCAATGTAGTTTGCTATTCTGGCTTGGTTTCGAGACCGAACTCCAGTTATCTTTATCAGTGATACTTTGCAAAAATTCGTGTTTTGGTAGCTCGTAGGCCGGGTTTTCATTTTGATTGTCTATGAGAACAGCTGAGAACAGAGGATGAAAGGGATACAATGTCACTGCTTTGGAATAGTCACTGACAGGAGCCCATATGGGCTCCTGTCACTGATTGTTTTCTTTTTCCTTGATAATCCCAAGCGTTGCTATTTTCCTCCTACAAGTTGAGAATCAGTTATTATCATCTTTTCGTGACAAAGTGACAATTTATAATTAAAGGAGTAATTCTTTACACAGCGTCGAATTTTTGCTGCTCGGTCATATTGATCATTCACTTCGATCCTCTGGATGTCTTCCGGGACTATTCGCCCCGTGATGCTTTGCGGACTGCTGTCCAACAACACATATGCGAACACAATTTGGGGACGACTTTAATTTCGCCCAAAAATAGTATTCGAAAATAGAACCGTCGAAATGAAATTCTCGACTTAAAAGTTAAATTTCACGGAGGATCACCAGAGTTGCTAAGATACCAGATAAGCGTGACAGCTATATGCTATTGTCACACAACTCTAAACGGCTAGTGTATTGTATTTGTCAGTGGTCGCTCATGGTCTATAAATTAAATAGCCGGTTTGTACCTTGCAGAGTTTAATAATGTAAATCTACAACGGCACCTACTAAAGTTGTTTTTTCATTGCCATGCCATTGCCATTGGTTGGTGCCTTTATTGATGTACGTATTTTGTATGCAAACGACAAACGTTAACGATATGCAAATTTCTTGAATCAATTCTGTGATAAGGAAACAGAAATGGCGCCGCCGCGCGCTGATAAGAAAAAGTTCTCGAAGGAAAAATCAAAGAAGAAAACAGACAAGACGGATTCAAAATCGTCACTCCCATCTACAACGATAGCTGTAGCCATAACGGCTTTCATAGCCATCTCCGTAGCAATTTACTACAAGAACGGATTTAACATGGAAGGAAAGCTGGATGAAGCACAAAGGACGAGCATTAGAAACACGGCAAGGACTTCAAATAACAAAAAAACCGAAATTAATGCGGATTTCAAAATTCTTCCTAGATTGGACGGAGTTAAGGTTAGTGATTATCCAAGAAATATTCTAAATTGGCTTCATATTTTTAATTATATGACTTCATTATTTATTACTTGACCGTATTGTTATGATTGTGTTTCAGCTGAGTAGCCTTTACTGACGGGTCCGTATTAAATCAATAGACTGTTTACATTAAACAAATGAGTTAAAGCAATTTTCCTATGAATCCTTAACTTACTGTGTTTCAACACAGTCCCCTTATGTCTCGCCTATTAAATAAGACCGTGTTCAGTCACGTTTTGCAAAAAAAAATATCTATCGAATATTGCCTTTGTTGAAATGAATGTTCCGCGAATTTCTACAAATTTGCGAAGTTTTTTAAACAAATGCTTATTGAACAGAAATGTGGTGGCTCAAATAAAAAAAAAACAAGTCAAATAGAAGCTAAAAAGCTAATTCGAAAACAGAGTTTGTTCATGCCATTACGTTATAACGGTGCCGTGACTTAGTCGCGCGATATTACGTTGTAAGCCCTGACGTTACAAATAGCGACAAAGAAAAGCATTTTCACTAGACAGGAGTTAACATGATTGCCATTAAACAAAAGCTGAAATAAATAACCTAATGATTCGTGGTCTATTTGCCTGCTAAGTCTTGGATTAAGTTTTGTAAAGTGCTGTAGAATCTCGTTAACCTGACACAAACCTGTAAAAATTATACATATTTTAATCTCGTGTCTTGATCTTATGCACCTATCAATGTAAAGCCGGCGGGGGGGAGGCAGGGCATGGGGTGGGGATTTGATTGTCTTTGTTGGCCCTGGGGTAGGGCATTTGACTGATCTTGTTCTCCCAGGGGAGGGGATATTTGAATCTTTCTTCGCCCGACGTCGAGATATTTGACTGCCGACTCGGACGAAAAAGACTGAGACCGAACATATGTTTCCCGCTTTCACGCTTCACGCATGGGCCGTACGGTTTGAAAAGATCAGGAAATCATGGAGGCCAATGAGAACAAGCAAAGGCTGAGTGGATTTCACTGTTTTGTCTTCGAATTTCGTTTGTTTTAGCGTGTTTTTGATCAACTGAACCTCTTAAAATACTGTGGTATCAAAGTAAACGGAAGTAAAGAGAAACCAAGTCGATTTTTGCAAGTACAGTTGATTAGTGTATGGCTTATTCGCTACATTCACTGTAAACTGATAAAACTGACTTGAGTTTTATTCAGAGATATTTTTATTGTGCCTTTCTTAGGTTCTGCCTCTGGATTGACAGCAATGTGCAGCCCAGGGTGGGGAAATTTGGTTGCATTTGACTGGAATGATTTGCCCGCCGGCATTACATTGATAGGTGCATTACTCTGTTTAAAGTCCCTTGGCCGTGGGAGAACTGGGTATGAGATTAATCAAATTTATGACGTCAGAGACGTCATGGTTAAAAGTGATGAGGACAACGAGACTTACCATGATTGTGTTAGTTTTGTTACTGTTGAAATTATTGGCGTAATTCGTGCTACCATACATGTACACTCTATGACAGACATTGCCGATTGATTGTTTGCTTTTTACTAATTAATTTACCTATTTATTTTATTTATTTATGATTTTTAGGTTGGCCACATTCAAAAAAGGCAATTAAGCCCGGGAAAGATGTACGAAATAAAGACACTGAGTCTTAAACCACTGATATTTGGTAAGACAATTGACGTGAAACATGTTTTAGCTTTTTAAAAAGAAAACAAATGGCGTGATAAAGCCCCTTAAAAGATACGGTATGCTCTGCTTAGCAGGAACATCCTTTTGAGAAATAGCAGTTTTTTAAAGACCTCAACGACACCTGTCTTCAATTCATAAGTCAATTGTTCTAATTATAGAAATACCCAACTTTTTATCTGACGAGGATTGCCAGACTGTTGTGGACCTTGCCTCTAAAGAAGGCCTGGATACTAGTGAAGTTCAGGACCCTGAGACAGGAATCAACATTGAACCAACCAATGAGGAGACTTTTAACAACTGGGATTACAATCACGACGGCGTCATTGATAAAGTTGAGGTTAGACTAAGGACGTTTTCTCGAATTTTCAGTGGCAACATGTCATCGCGTTCTCTTTTCAAAGCCATCAAACCACACTAATTCCGGAAATTTGAAGGGAACTGAAACTTCTTCTAACGTTAACTGTACCTCTTTTGAGGAGAAGTTAAAAAATGTAGTTAGAAGGAGAAGTGCGAAACGTGGAAACGTTCATTCAACCTATAAAATCCCTTAAGCGAAATCAGGAAACATTGTGAGGAGACACCTTTTCTTCTTTGTACTACACACTGGAACTCAGATGAATCGGAAACAAGATATCGGTTCAGATAACAACAATGTTTTAAACCAGACTACTAAACAATTTACCACGTGACCGAAATAACGTTCTCTTACGTTCTCTTTCGCAGGTAATGCACAATCTTGTAGATCTCAGCGATTTGTATTTCTCAGAGGAAGACATCGAGAAAATGTGAGTAGTAATTTACTACTTGATCCGCATGGTTTTCACAATAAATGGAAAGCTGTACTGAAACTTCCCTTTCGGATACCGGAAACTAAGGACTCTGTAAGAAAGTGTTTTCAGTTTAGTGATAATTTCAGACACAGACTAAGGTCCAACGCTAAACACTGTATTGCTTTGCCTACGATAATGATTTCAGCCCGACAAGTTTCTTGATGTAGAACTGACGTGTATAAATTAACAAAAGAACCGCGAAAATTTAAACTTGTAATCATGCGTTAACTTCAGAAACCTGCTGTCTTCCTAACCATTTTGGGTTTATGGTTTAATTTCTAGGTTTGAGGAATTAAAAGTAGACAAGAACACAAATGGTTTGTAAGCCAATATCAGTTTGGGAGATTTAACGTGTTTTTTTCCATTTTTGCTCAGATACGGTGGTATCCTCTTGCACTAACTGAACGCGCGATAAAATAACCGCCCCCTGGTTAGCTCAATTGGATAAGTCGTGGGTTCAAACCCCGGCCGGACCAACACTCAGGGTCTTAAAATAACTGAGAAGAATGTGCTGTCTTTGTTGTGACATCTACAAATGGTTAGACATTCTAGTCTTCTCGGATAAGAACGAAAAACCGTAGGCCCCGTCTCACAGCTCTTTCACTGTTCTGATTCTTGTGGGACGTAAAAGAACCCACCCTGCTGTTCGTAAAGAGTAGGGGGCCTAGAGCCCGGTTGTGTGGTACAATCTTTCATTGGCTGGGTGGGTAATGAGGGGGTTGATATCATTTGAGACGTTAGTCCTGTTTCATCCACTGTCACCGTGTTGAGTCAACGTGGCGAATTCAATAAGGTAATTAGAGTAAATAGAACTACAGAAGAAGGCCACTCTACCTAGTGACTCCAAACGCGCGATGAAATCTGAACTGTAAAAGAACACCATTCACTCTACTCAGTGACTCCAAGCATTTTCCTAAACATTTATCGTGCTCGTCATGAACAATTAATTGTGTTGCTTATTCAGGTGTCATGGACCTAAGAGAGTTTCTAACAGTAAGAACAGAAAAAATCATGAGATATCTTCATAACCTGGCGAAAACGCTGCCTCGAGTCAAGAGCCGAAATAGCAGGCAAACATGGTTGGACCACAGAAAGATTAAAGGGCTCAATGATAGGTATGTCATGATATTTCATGAATTTATCGGGCACCAGTCAAGGGCCAGCCAGCTCTTGCCTCACTTTCCGCCTGTAGACGAGAACTATTTTTGTTTTTATACCATCGGTACTTTGTCATATTTATAGTTCATTCTGCATTGTTTTACCGGTTAATTGGAATTTTTTTTTGTCGGGGAATAATGATTTTTTGCTACGCTGCGGAGTCAAAGGGCTGATATATGATTTGATTTTCAGAGTTGCAGCTCTAACAAAGCTTCCCAGAGCAGTAATTGAAGAAAGTGAAGAACTTCAGGTAGGAACTTATAAATAGAGTTGGATGTTATTATTCTCCAGGCTCAGTGGCTAGAGTGCTTGACCGGTAGGTTGGAATTCCTGCGGGAACTCAGAAGGTTTGAGTCTACTTTGGTGACATGGTGGACATTTCAGCTTTCTCAGCACCATCCTTACTAGCGTCAGTTTAAGATATATTTGAATAGAGAGGTTTGCTAGCCCTGACGGCCACATCTACTCCTTACATACAAAAAGAAAGGACGAGTTTGTGCGCATTAAATCTTATGTCAAATAAGCAGATTGAAGGTTTACTAATTACACGCTTGTTAAGCTCCATTTCCTCTTGTATCCTTGATTATGAAAGTGATAGTAGTGATAATGACCATGATGACAATTCTAGTATTTTTTTTTACACGTAGGTTGTTCATTACGATCCCGAGGGACATTACCACTGTCATCATGACTCAGAGGATGTGGATCCCAGAATTCCTTGCTGTGTATTCCGTGACAGAAGACGCTGTCGCCTCTGCAGGTACTTTGCACAGTGCGTCATTCTTCATAAGCTCAGTCTCGTACCCAGCTATTTACGTGTTTTGGGAGTGAGAGAAGATTGGGGTGAGGTTGAGGCGCGCGGGACTCATGGGAAGGGACAGTCTCTTCCCAAGAGACCCTGCGCTCTTTAATCTAACCTCAATCTTCTCTCACCCACAAAACACGTCAATAGCGCCTGGGTACGAGTGTGCTATAAGCCCCCTGCAATTAGTATACACTAAAATCTTTGTACGTTCTCCAATAATCTAGGCAGTTTTCTTAGTTATTATCTTACGTTGAATAATTTTAAGTTATTAAATAGAAACCATATTTCTTCAACCCTTTCCTTTAGCTAGAGACCTAATAAGAATTGACTTACTTTCTTGTGCAGATATATCACAGTACTATATTTTTTAAACGACGTTGACGAAGGGGGCGAGACTGCCTTCCCAGTTGCCAATAATGCTACATTTAGCATCGAGGTAAGCGTTCCTACCAAAATTTTTTCTATATTTTGTGATGTGTGGGGTAGGGCAAACAACCACTTTCAAGTTTGATAACCTCGGTTAACACTAAAATTTGATGATCCAGTATGGCGGCCCTCTGGAAGATATGACGTATTTCTTTACCTTATGACGTCATAATATCCTGTTAATGCTTCCGGCTTGAGAGATTCATGTGTCCTTGAGTATCATATGGTTATATTACAATTTGAGGTTGCAGGGGTACAGATTCTTTTCTTATTTCTTTGTCAAGTTCCCGTTCACCAAAACCAGGTAATCATCCATGACAGTCTTGGAATCTGTGCAAGTTGTGCAGTCCGGACTTCAGGTTGTGGATTGGCTGGATTCTTTGTCAGTGGAACTGGGATTCTGGATTCCAATCGTTAGCGGGATTCCGGGTTCCTTGGGCCCAGGATTCCGGATTCCACAAGAAAAAAATTCCCGGATTCTGGAATCCGGATACCCTTACATGGGGCGACTTTTTGTGTTAAGTGTTAACGCTAAGAAAGTGAAGCGGCTTCCTGGGTGCGAATAATTATGTCTCCAGGGGAGTCCTAATCCAATTCCTAATCTAATTTGGTTTTAACTATCATTCCTTTTGATTCAATCTAGTCGCAAATTTTGCGAGACTTGACAGGCAGTGTCGTTGCAGCACTGAAAGCATTTGTACAGTTTAACGGTCGTTATGCAAACCCTTCCCACTATTTTAAGGGTTTTGTTTCTTTCAGGCGTGGGCACAGATAACTAAATACCGCTGCGACTTGAGCAAGCACTGTCACAAGGCCAACTTATTTGTAAAACCACGCAAAGGGACGGCAATTATGTGGTATAATCATCTGCGAGATGATAAGACAGGATGGCACGGACGACTAGACCAGATGACTTATCACGGAGGATGCGACATTCTAAAGGGAGAGAAGTGGATTGCTAATAACTGGATAAATATTTTGGGAGATTCACGAGAAACTATGGTCTCTTACAAGAATCCAAAAAAGAAAATTTGACTACAAGTTTTGAATAGATTAGACCTCGGGTAGTGGAGGGAGTAACTTGCGAGTACCTGTTATAGGCGAGGAGCTAAACAATGGGGCCTAGGGCACTAGGTCATGAAGGGAACTAGTCTTGTAGGCGACAGTTGAAAGGCGCGTTAGCTGACTTGTCAAAGAAAGTTCTCGGTTTACGAGACGGAGTAGACCGGACTTAGTCATGTATTATATGTGATAAAACACTAAGGCGGTTTGCAAGCAAGTAAGAAATAAAGTTAGGCAATTTTTTTCTCTGTGATCTTTTTCTTCATCAAGAGCACTTGTCAACATTCTTATAGAAATTACACACAATTTGGGTGCTTTATTTCTTTCCATAATGTTCCAGTTTATCTCTGCTACCGCAGTTGGAAAAGAATGAGATCAATATACGGTTTCAAACGGTTTCTTTTCTCATGCTAGATAAATTGAGTTAAGTAACTTACAAAGAAAAAATATAGCAACGTTTTTCGATCGAACGAAACTTCTAATTGGACCGAAGCGTTCCAATTAGTATACGATTTAGCGGAGCTTTTGGTTTCTTCTTAAAAAGAGGAACTGGAAGCAATAATTTATGGAAACGGGATGACAAGTTTCGGTCGGACCGGATCGATCGATTAGAGAGGACCACCTTTGGAGGCGAGGCGCTTTTCCGGAACCTCGTCCGCCCTGGACCGAAACATTCCATCTCTGTTTCAACCAAACTTTCCGAAAATTTGGTATAATAGAAGGAACCCCACTGCTCAGTTAGTTTCCATTTATCCTAGGTTTTGTAATTTACTTTAAAAAAAAAACCGCTCTCCCTTACATGAAAATACTATGTAGTAGCTATTAATAGCCATACGACGGCCACGGGACACACGAAAAGTCCGACGAAGTAAAGCCATAGATTCTGCTGAGTGGGACCAATCTCCAATACTGATCAGTTTTGTATTTGATCTGTTTCTTAATTGCTTTGTTTGTTAATCGTTTGTTCTTCTGAAGGCTTCTTTTCAATTGAAAACTCTATAATTTACTCAAGCCCATTTTGTTTTTCCAAAGGTTTTTCTTCCTTATAATTACTTTGCTCGTCACTTGACTTTTGCCCAGTTTGTTCCTCCCAAGGTTCTCTTTTCATCCTTTCCTGAAAATCTTCCTCCATCAATCGCGTCTCCTCCCAAAGTGTTACATCTAGCTCGCGTGATGGCCCAGCATTGATCCAATTGTTTGCGGCCCATTTCGTTCCCTCAATGACGTTACAACCGCCATGAAAGCTCATGAAATCCATAGGTCCCAGCCAGCCGGTCTCATTGTCAACAAAATGGTTGTACCACAGCAACGCAGTGCCACGTTTTGGTTTGTAATAAAGACTGGAATCGTAACAGTGGTCGGCCAAGTCACACATGAGCAATTCTCTATCTACGTTGGACTAAAAATAGTGAGAAAAAATTTTGTCATTACATGATCTACGAAACAGGTGTTTTAGTTATCAAAGTCACGTGCTTCATCGCCACTCGGAGTATCAAATCATAGAAAGGTGAGCTGAGAAAAAGCTTTCTTAGCAGGCTTGACGACTTGTTTTCACTCACGATTAATTAAACACTTTTTGGCGTTTAATATAGGTTCTTAGAAATCATTGTTAGGGTTATTCAAAGCAAAATTTTGTCAAATGTCAACGATCATAGTACCAAGGACTATTTATCCGATCAATCGTCACGGTCATGATTTCCTTTTTGGATATACGGACATAGGATTTAAATGTCATGATTTGCATTGGTTGATTGATTGGCAGACAGACAGGTTAGGTGACTGGCTGAACCATAAATCAGTCTAACCACAGCTGAACCTCCATTAAACGGCCACCTATTAATCAGCTACCCTTTATTAAGCGGCCAATAATCAAAGCCCGGAAATAATAGCAGGGAAGAATCGTAGATAAAACCTCCATTAAGCGCCCCCCTCCATCAAGCACACGCGGCCCTCGCGACGAGGGATTCACCTATTGTTGTCTCCTCTATTAAGCGGCCAACAAGCGCTATATAAAGCGAGGTTTCAGCTAAAGGTTATACCAATTTGAAAGAAGGAGATTTCTAACACCAGGACGCTCAGAAAAAATTCCGACCTCCGGGGACAGCTCCGGGTGAGAATCGAACTCGCGACCCTCCAAGGTCTAGTTCGGACGCTCTAACCACTGAGCTACTGGAGGCTCCATGGCGAGTAGGGCTGAAATTTAATTACAACTACGCCACTAATTTATGACGAAGTATTGGGTGGCCCCTCCCTGTACCCCGAAGGGTTGCCGCTTAATGTAGGCTCAACTATCAGGACAGCAAATTTCATCACCATTCCTCGATTTTGTATTGTTAACTTGAGAAATTCACAAAAGTTAATTCCCAGTAGTGGTAAATTGAAAAAAATTTCCATTCAAAAAAATTTCTGCAAACAAGGCTCGGTGGTGAAACTTAGCAAGTTTGCCGTCAGCATATATAAGGACTAGCTCTACTGCGGAGTATGAATGTCACTTCAATGTGACGTAATTAGAAAATGCTTTGTGAGGGAATGGTATTCATAAATAAAGAACGGTAAAAATAGGCCTCACCTCATTTTCCGCAAAGGTAAAGTTGTCCGCCACAGGAAAAGCAGTTTCACCACCCAGTTTTGGCTCATTAAGATAATAAAAGAGCGTCAAGTACCTGATTATGAAGGAATAATAATAAACGTTGCAGTCAGTTTTTTAATGACCAAATAAAACAAATCAAATCAAATAAATGACAATTTAGAGGTAGCACATCCACATAGTGGTTCTTCGGCTACCTGATTCCTGGTCGAATTTGAATTTGGAAATGTTGGATTTTTAGGAGAGGGGAAAATCGGAGTACCCGGAGAAAAACCTCTCGGAGCAAAGGAGAGAACCAACCACAAACTCGCCGGCGGCAACCCAGACATGGCGTCGATACCGGGGTGTGAATACGAGCCACACAGTTGGAAGGCGAGGCCTCTGGAGATCTTGCCCGTAGGCTAGGCCCTTCACCACTTCGCCATCCCTTGCTCCCCTAATTAGCAATCCCTAAAAACTTGGTCTTTGAATGCTAAAGGAAAATATATGTTTACTGCAGAAAATATATTTTTAATGCAGAAAATATATGGGAAAAAAAACTAGCATGTAAGGTAATAAGTGTCTGTAAAATAAGAAATTGCAATTGACATTGAGGCTGAGCAGCACTATGAAAGATAAAGTTTTTTACCTGCATGGAACGCAGTCTAAGTTATCGTCTTCATATAAATTTTCAGTGTAATGACAACAAGGTGTGTTCATCACTACTTCCTCTTCCGAGTCAAAATGACAATGATAATGTTGCTTTTCCTGATACCTGACGACCTGAAATATTGAAATAGAACCTGGAATATTGAAGTAGCCAAAACGTCTAATACATCACGCGCTGGTAGGTTATCATTTTCATTCGCTGGACCAAAGTAAAGTAAGCCGGAAATGTCTTTTTTTATATATATTTGCAGTTAAGTCAGTCACGTTACCTCGGCACTTCATTAAGATTAAGTCGCTGGCGCGACTAAATTTCGGTAGTTGTGAGGACGTATCGGACGGTTTTCATTCTTAAGCCTCTAGAAGAAATCCTATGGTGTGACGATTCAAACAAAACCTAGTTTAGCTGCACACTATCATGATACAGATTGCATCTTAGCCTTTACTACGTTAAAATTGAAATACTTCAAAAGTTACTCTTGGGAGTTAAGGCGGAAGCGGTGTGACTATTCTTTAGGTTGAGAGTTCTTTGGGATTGTCAGGCAGGGAAGAAGAGAGTCACCAGCATTTTGTATACCTTTGTTAGGGGACAGACTAAAATGCCAGTTCTCTGACCATAACAGCGTAGAGTGTCCTAGACAAACCTGCAAATTTTCACTGCTCCAAATCATATCTTTAGGGAGGTTGGTCGCCAAGTGTATTCTAAAGCAGAGGAATGGATTCCAATTAAAATACGAACACATTGAGGAATAATTGCTGTGGCAAGTACAAGCTGCGAAAGTCTTCTGGTATTATGAATAGGGAAGCAGATGTTTTTCTACATGTTTTTTTTACGGCTTCGTTCTGAGTTGAAATGTTCCTTACCCCCTTTTCATAAAATCTTTGCATTTAAACAGTTAGTGGGACGACAAGGGTTGTGGTCAAGATTCACCCTGTAGGTAGTGTTAGTAAAAATAGCTTTTTTCAATGGATTAATACAATTGCATGGTACTAGCTGCAGCAAAGAGATTAAGAAGAAGTTTCCTTTGTTGTTGAGTATTACGGCGCGCAGAAGTTTGGATTAACTTTTGCGTCTGTGGATGGAATATTGAAAAATGTTAACGTGAGACAAACTAAATAGAAGATTTCTTTTCTGTTTCGGCTACTTTTTCTTTTACAAAGTTTATCAAAAAGTGCTTTTGGATGTGTGGTGGGCGCTTTGACGTTTTGGTGAGAAAAGGTATATAGTTCGCAACAAATCGGAATCTCGTACCTGTCTCTCAGACTCTCAAAGAATGGTTTAAAATCAAGGTGCTCATATGGATCAAGGAACGTAGTGCTACTGTCTCTTGTGCGTTTATTTGAATTTGTTTCATGTATTTTCTCCAAATAGGCTCTTAATTCTTTTTCCTTATTCTTTTTGGTTAAATCTTCGAACTCCTCGTAGCTTATAATACCTGCAAGATATCAAAAAGGCAAATAATTGTGGTTCATTTGAAACCTTTAAGGGTGAACAGGGTTTGTATATAACATCAGCACTGGCTTTGTTTAGCCCTGCTGTGTCCGCTGGATTTCTCTCCCCATTGTTCCTTTTGGATTTTTCCATCCAGGATAGAATTGACAAGAGACATGATATGGGTAAAATCTTCATACTGTGTATCTTACCGTCCTTATTGGGATCCATATCGAGATCGGATATCCTAAGAAAATGAAACAAAACAATGATGAAACAATGATAGAACAATGATGAAACACCTGTTTTAGCTATGAACACCAAGTGAGACATGGCTATTTGTTCAAACGGCAACTTTCAAGGACAAACGTGCCAAGATGTTGACTATTTTATTACGTATTCCAAGAAAATAACAAAGTTTTAGTTAATTTCCATCTCTTTGAAACTACGTAAACTAACTTAAATAAATATTTGAATAATTCCAGTGTCTTTGATTCGCGATAAACCCCCACGGTAGCCTGAAACGGCAATTTCGCACTCCATGACGACTTTCTGAATTTTCGGTGTTTTGCTTTTCGTAAATAATCTGTTTTAAGTGGAAAACGTCAAAACCAACAAACCAACAATCAAGTAACAATGACTGGTAGCCATCATATACCCCTTCGTCGTGATCTATACTTCGACATTAACATTTTGCCCCTTATTTGGGTAAAGTTTCAAAACCTGACTACAAAGACTGGTGAAAGCAAGTGCTTGGTGCGTGACTATCGTAACACTATCAACAAATCATGGCTTACATCTTTTTAACATCATCTACATTGACTATGACTCGTCCCAGATCCAAAACACCTCTTGCGACCTTTAACAGAAAGCAAAACACATCAAGCGAAAATTATCTAAGAGTTATTAGATGACAAGAAAAAATGTATGTCGCTTTAAGGAACCGTCTATATTGGTATGGTTAACATGTAATTATAAATAGTTAGGGAGTGCTCATAAAGAACACTGTTGTAAACTTTGTTATAACAGTGTAGGACCACTTCTATGGTCTAAAACAGTAACACGTGGAATTTGCCTTCAAAAATTTTCTATTGTCTCTATGGAACCCACCCCCACCCCCACCCCTCCCCTCCCTTCTCCCTAGAAATGGTTTTTATTCACCTCTCCCACATCAAGAGATCCATCATTGTCGGAATCCAATCCCTGAAAAATTTCAGCCGGACTCAATTCTGGATTAGAACTATTATCACTGCCGTCTCCGTTTTCGTCCAGGGATTGTTCTCCTAGGGTCTTTGATCTCTCAAGTCCTTGTGTCTGTGCCATGAAAATAATGTCATTGCATTCCTGCTCCGTAAGAAAATCCTCAATTTCTAACAGAAAGAAAAAAAATGTGACAGGTTAAATGTGATCAGCTGAATCAAAATAAAATAATCTTCTGAATGTAAATACGATATACTTTCATAGCGATATCAATCGGCGAAATCAACTTATGATAGCTAAATCGAAACAATAATCATTTCAGTATTACTGGCTAATACAGGGTTCAGATGAAATGCTCTATTGGCTTCCTGAAAAGGCATGACAGTACCTTCTTGTAGTATTGTGAAATATTGTACTAAGGAGAAAGCTTGATAATTGTACGCGATGGATTTTTGTGCTAAAAAGGTAAAAACACCTTGACCTTCAAATATGGCGGGAACTCTAATATACTTAAAAGATTCATGTTCAAAACAGTTTGATTACCAAAGAGAGCTGGCCTTAAACTTAAGGTCTTCATCTTGTGAACTTTTCCTGGAACTAAATAGAGCTCGCGCACATATCCAACCTTGTAAAGATAGAAAAAATAATAAAATATGGTGATAAATAAATAAAAATGAATAGAGCGCCTGCCAAGTGTTCAGGAAGTCCAAGGTTCGAATCCTGTCGGGAACTCAGGGTTAAATCGTTTTTTTTTCCTTGATCGTGACATGCTGGCTGTTTACAGTATCGCCTCCTCCGAAAAATATGTTTTTTGTGAATACTTGAATCTTTAGAGGCTGTTTAGCTCTTAAGGTAATGTTCTCGAAGTGCTTCCTTTTCCATGGCCTTCTAAATCTTAAAAGGTGTTGGAAATTTGGGCAAACAATAAGCACTTAATGACTGATCCCGAGGGAAACAGTTAATTTTGTTTCCCGAGAATCTCAAGCGGAGCTAGAAATTCATTAAACCTCGCTGTAACTGCAGTCATCGGTCAACATTCGCGGGTAACGGTGCACTGTTACCCTCTGACGTTATAGAGTTCGCAATGTTGTCCGTTCAGAGATTTTGGCGGGAAACAGTTTCAACGTTAGATGTCATGTGACCTCGAACCAACCAATGAGAGCGCGCGCTTAAAAAAAATGAAAACATTTCCAGCTATATAGCAATTGTAAATACGTCGTCAGATGCTTTCCGTTTATAATGCTAAGTTGAGACAAATTCTCAAGATTTATGGCTTTGAATTAGTAAGAACTAAATACCTGCTGTTTAGTCGAAGCTTTATTTTTTAAAAAATGAGTCTGTGAGATCACGGTATTAAAGGATATGCATGTGATTAGAACGCGAGGCACAGCTTGAATTTCCTTCATGCGCAATAGCGGCACTTAAGGCTGAACAAAGCCACAGGAAAGAGACCATGTTAATGGCTTTCACCTAAATGCTTTTTCCACGTCCTTAACACTCCGATTTTTGGGATGAAATTCTATAGCGTGCTATAGAACCCGTGAGTTAAATAAAATGTGCGTAAAAATTGAAACCTCTAGTAGGACCCTCTAGCACTTGCTTTCGCTTACGTTGATGTATTTTTTGAGATTGAAATATTTCAACGCTAAAATCAAACTAGTTTCTTCTTGACGGATTTGAAATGGGAAAAGGTTTAATGTGCGCATATTTTAATAAAAACGAGGAAACACAACCAAACATCACAAGTGACCGAGATATATTTAAACAGCTGGAGATAGGTTGTAAAATCCTAGATCATATCAGAAATTAAAAAATCATAACTTTCTGGCTTTTCTCGCTATTTTTGATAAGAAAGTAAGATTAAAAAGAAAAATCGTATAAGTTTCTCCTGAACCATTTTCTCTTGCCTTTTTTGCCACTCGTAAGTTACAAGCATTTATTAAGCTTTTATCAGTAAAAAAGGCGACATTCACGTTTCACTTTTCTTGTTAATAGCCAAACGCCTTTCAAAACTGTCATTAAATTGTTCTGGATAAACGAGAATTGCTAAATTAGTGTCATAAAGCAAAAATTATGTCCAAAATTAGTGCAAAAACTCGAGCAAGTGTGTATTTTATCATGTTTAATGGGCTGCGTGTTTTAAGTTTATGAAAATTGCTAACGTTCTGTTGATTCGTCCAAAAATTGAAATCCTTCCTGTATAAACCTTCAATGCAAGACTGAATTCAATCATGCAAAAATCAAAAAGGGGGTGGGCAGTGACAAAACGCGGCTGTCGTTGTAGGCAAATGAAAATACCTATCACCAATAACGTTTTTGAGAAGATATAGTCAGAAAGATTTGAAGGCAGTTCAGATGATCTTGTGTTCCTTTCTCTAGGCCTCAATCAGTTTTTCAAAAGTTGGGTAGCGCAATCCACCGGATGCACCACTAACTAGTGGATAAGTATTAGGGAAACCAATTGCACTATCCACTGTATAGAGATTTATCCTGTGGATAGCACTACCCACCTCTTCAACAACTGGGCCCGCTAGATCTCGAGATGACTGAACTTGCGGCGACCCAAAAGGTTCCCTAACAAACTAACTCAGTATACTTTACAGTAATTTCCCTGCCCTGGTAGTATTAAAAATCGAGGACGTGAATTTAAGGCGGGCCAAACGAAAAAAGTTTATCATGAGTAAAGAGTAAGCCGAAAAAAAAGCCATTTAATTGACTCTTAAGTATCGTTCATGTAGATAAAAGATTATTCGTACGCAATATGCTTGCGCTTCTGGCAATTTAAGTAACAAGCGAAAAGCAGATAAAGGTGTTTCTCAGGTTAAGTGACAACTGAGAACGTCAGGAGAAAGGACACAATTTCCATAAAATTACCCTTTTCTGCATCTGGTGTTAACAATGAAAGCAAAAAGGATTTTTTATTATTCATACGTCGTAAATGGTTTAGAAAGGTTATTTCTGTCAATATAAATGCCTTAAGGAAAACTATGGCAGTGATCAATAAACTGCGATATAAAGACACACTGAATATCATAATAATTACTATTGTTTTTGCTTGAACAAAAATATATGTGTCTTACCTCTACGGGTTCTAGCCTCGTCAACACATGTGGATAATCTTTCTTCTCTGTCCCTTCAGCTTCGGCTTTTTGCTGTGATCTGTTTTCTATTTCTCTGTTTGCGATAAACCAAGAAGCCAAAACTAATGACACGAGTAAAACAACACAGGAACTTAAACGAACCCAGCCTAATTCTAACAAAAAATGTTTAAGGCAGGTCTTCATTGTTATGTTCTGGTTAATAACAGTTTATCTTGGATCGACCTTTACCGCATTAATAAGAGGGCTGGAAGTTCTTAGTCAAATTTTGGCGAAATCCTTTAAAGTTCACGATGCAACTTGAAAAGAAACCGGTTTTTAAGTGTGAATAGCGAGACAAGAATAAGTTATCGTATATCCAAAATGGAAATTTAGTTTATTCGGTAAATCGGTTGGAGACAGGTGTTCAAAGCTTTCATATATTATATTACGACTGTTACTCCAGTTACCTAATTGCCTGGAGTCACACTTTTGCTTAATTTGTTGTGGCTAGCAGAAGTCTAATGAGAGTGTACATGCGCGTTAACTCCGTGGGAATAACTAAATAAATTAACCCATTCATCTTCCTCCAAGAACGTTTTAGGTTTGCTGTGAACTAATCATTGATCAATGTCACAGTCGTGTCACAACGGAAGAGCGAAGAAAAAACTACACCAATTAACCTTTTCAGCCCTAATATCCACATACAAATTCTCCGGACCGATCTTTAGACATTTCTTGAAATGTCTAAAGATCTTGAAAGAGAATTGGACGAAAGATCAAAGTATTTTCCTTAAGTGGTCACCTTTTCTCATGGTAATCTATTGATATTTTTAGGAGAAAGTTGATATTAGTCACTCTAGATCTTGGAAATTAGTGGGTTAATTTTCATGTGGCGGAAGTCTGGAACTTAATGGGGCCAGTGGGTTTTACAAATCATGTTCGGACCACTTTGTCCTATGGAATCAATGTTCATATCCCAGCATCCTAATATACTTTACACAATACCATTGAGAAAAGCTATCAGAAAAAAAGGTTTTAGAATTCCTCACTCATTATAGCGGCCAACAGGAGACGCCAATTAATTCCAAACTTAACTAAAGAAAACTTTTCATTCTCCTTGACAATAATAGTCATCGCAATAACCATTGCTGTTAACTGAGACCTTTGGTTTTTGAAGAACAATATACCAAGAAACAAGCATCAAAATTACGGCCTTACTTGCCTGAAAGCAGAGCACGCAATACTGCAAGCCAGCAGCGATGCATTGCCTACAAGATGGCTGTCACGTTTGCTACACTGAAAATCGCCGACATTGCTATGTTTTGTCTGAAAATAAAAGAAATTTACTAATTATTGGACATCTCACTTTAAACTTCAATGAATTAATAATTCGATAACAGTCAACAAGAGGCTTTACAATAGTCTTTTTTTTATATAAAACCTTATTTTTATGTTTAATTGATCCTTTTTCCTGTTAGTATTGTTTTACCTTTTCAAATAAAAGCAAAACATTATATTCTACCACACAAACTGCCATTTATACTAAGTTTAGATATAACAATAACAATCATCATTATTTTCCTACTTCCTTGTATTAATTTTAATCCCTCATTTCATAGCCTTTTTTTCAAAGGCCTACCTTTAAATCTTGTAGCATTTTCCTCCTTTTAAACTCCAGATGATCAGCAGAGTGTGGATAGAATTCCTCCTTCGATATTGCAAATAATGAAAGAATGACCATGAACAGTTTGATGTTCGTTGCGCGTTGAACGGCGGCCATATTGGAGGTTTCGGCAGAGTAAAAACCCGATGTCGTTGCGAAGTTTCAGGATAATCAAAAAATGAGTTGATGGCAATGGAATTGCAATTTTGGTGCGGAAATATCAAGAACAAAACGAGGTTTATCGGATACAGTTTACGTTTTCAGAAAACTTTATTAATGTTTGTTTGAGTTGACATTTTTGTGGCGCAGAATGTCGGCAGAAATGTCTATTTAATTTGATCTTTATCTTAGTATTCAGCAATATCTTTGTGTTTTTTTCTGCCATCATAATAAGAGCTTAAAAGATTGATTTGTTCTAAAGAACTGAATACAAGATTAAAAGGAAATAAGTGTTCAGAATAAATTAGACATCGACTCAATTTTGGCTACTTAAAAAAGGTGTTAGGTTTATAAAAATCCCGCCTCAAGCTGTATGTAAAGCTAGGCAAAAGCCAGTTTAGAAAAAAAAAGGTTTAGTCCGGCAGTGCTTGAAAGTGCGGTTTTCAGTTATTGAAACTTCGAGTCCGAGGTCGAATTTTAAGCTAAAGTGAGTTTTATGATTTAGATTAAAAATTTCGGGAAATAAGAATTGCGTCTATCCTTTTTCGCAATTCACCCACGAAAAATTAAACAAATTTGCAACTGGTTTTAACGGGCTATTACTTACATTGGGGTGTTCTTCGAACGCCTGATACTGAAAAACTAAGACATATAGAAGGTTACAGAGCACTGATTCGCATGACAAGAATACCAGATTGAAACTCCGTGTAAAAGAGATTGAATCGATGGTTCTGCAAACTATGAAGAATTTCTCCACACAAGGCATTGCCTTTATGGTAACTATACATTTCTCGCTGTTAAACTTGGACCTCTTAGGAGGATCCAATTAACTTAAGAAAATCAATTTCCTGCTACAAGAAAAAAGCACCGACAGAGTTGAGAATACCGCCCGGTCGACCTCGGGGGTGACAAAACAAAACTTAAAAATAATATTTCAGATCCAGTCACTTCGAAATAGCCCGTAAAGCAAAGAGAAATTCCGAAATTAAGCCGCCCCAGAGAGCTCATAAGGCTAGACGCTGGAAGAAGTGGATGATGAGCCAAGAGGAGATGACTCCGGCATTACACAGAGCTGCGACAACTTACAACTGACGGGAACTTGACTTTTTCAAGATCTTTTCCGCCATGTTAGACTAAAGAACAATTGAAAGCATTAGAATTTTCGTTAACTTGTGTTGCCTCTTTCCAAAAGTAATAACTCCATAAACTGGAACGTCAAGCTCGAAATGGACAGAGAAGTCTAATGCACTCATTAATAGCTTATCACACCAACGTTGTATTTAACTATTTGGCGTCAAATTCGAGTCAAATTGATGCATTTAAAAGAATCTGTAACATCCTATTATGATGTTTCAAAATTTACTTCTATGAAGATTAAACTTTCATAGAATCTGAGCTCTTACCGAAACTAAAACTTAATTTAAGTGTTCTCCGCATTTGCAATCATCAAAATGAACTGTTGACTTACTTAACGTCAACTTTTGTAAATAGAAATTAGCAAGCACCGAATTTGCAATGAATTAAAATGTCGATGATAATTAAACGATTATGATCAAAGTTGATTTCCGCTGTAATCAAAGATACCATGCAAGCACAGAGAGAATGAATAAAATTAAAGAGTAATATGGTGACTTCATTAAAATCTGATTCTGAGATCGAGGACGCATCCTTTTGCCACCCTCTTTTTTTGCCATTCTAAAGATCTGAGATGGCGTATCTAAGGCCTGGTTCAGACGCCGTACTTTTCATGTGCCGAACCTATTGAATAAGTTCGTCTTTGGGGCGACACTGGCGCGACATCTGATTCAGACGGCGCACCGTGTGTCGAACCTAAGTTAAGTTCCACAAAAGTTCGACAGACTCTGTCGAACTTTACGCTTTTGCCGCACCAAACTAAAACTGCCGTACCAAATTGATTCAGACGCCGCTCTTTTGCTGTACTTAATTCATCAGTTAGGTTCGGCACATGAGTGGAGCGGCGTCTGAACCGGCCCTAACGCTGTGTCTAAACTACACCGGAGAGCTCTCGCGCCGGCATATACTTGCTACAAGTCGACCTCTCATAAGTTTTTAAAAGTGAGCGCAGCGACCAAACGAGCGAAGAAGTCTCGAGGTCGACTCGTTTCGCCTGAATGGATTTGAATCATGTTATAAATTCACGCGGGGAAAAAATGATTGACATATGCTGTGTCGGGAGCGGGGTGAAATATCACTCACTGTCCTATTGGTCAACTGCCATGACGTCACCGGCAGAATTTTCGACCGATGAATTTCGCGCCAAACAGGTATGAAAAGTCCTTTAAAATGGAATAACCAACCAGAAAAAAAAAAGGACTTTTAGAAATCTATCCCGGCACAAAACCATATCTTTTGTTCACACATAAGGGCGGTGATTCCAGCATTGTTTCTGCAACGGACAGAGGCTGCGCCGCGCAGATTTTGAAAGTGGATCGTCACATCCGGCGGATAGGTTTCTGTGCGTCTCTTTAGTGTAATGAAAACTGGTATTTTAACCGTAGCGGAAGTGAATGATTTCGGCGATGACTGGAACCCACTGAAACGGAAGTAGTTCAGGAGTTACGATTAGGATTTAGTGCACTAAACCATCTCAGCCAACCTCTCCAATACTATGATGCCTGATGTGTGTGAACGACTTGTTCTAGTTCCAGGTCGTTTCTCTTCATACCAGTCAATTGGTCATACGAGTCTTCATACTAGTCAATGTAATGCGCAGATGAAAATTTCTTTCCCTGGATTGATATTTGCGCAATACAAATCAATAAATATTATTATTATTATTATTATTATTATTATTATTATTATTATTATTATTATTATTATTATTATTATTATTATTATTATTATTATATTATGCCAGGGCGCGGTATTTTTCAAGTCGACATGAAAAAGATATCCGGTATAAAGTAGACAGAGCCTAAGGCTGAGGGATGTTTATTCTAGCAGTTGTTATCCTTCGAATTGTATTTTTGTTTATTCTTGCTATCTTTTTGAAGCAGCAGTTTGGCGATTCTTTCAACAGAACGTGTGAAATCTTCCTTGTCTAACATTTGAGTAGCAGCATTTAAATGTGGTCTTTGATAACAATTTGAAACCGACCGTTTTGTCTTATATTGTTCAAGGTTAAATATAAAACAATTTTAAGTAAATACAAAGAACTGCAAGAGAAACTTTCCCAGATTTAGTAACCTAAGATCAGCGTCAGTTCAAATAAGACAAGCAATACAAGCGAAAGCGCATGAATACGTTACTTGAAATGCGCGAGTCCAGATGACAAGATGTTCTGAGATGTTGTTACTTTAAAACAACCGCCAGGTTTCCATATTTTGCCATATTTTAGGATACAAAGTCCAATCGGCAATGAAAAATAATAAATTTTTGGCCAGGCATAGTCTTAGCGGCTAAAAATTAATCTATGTAGAAGAGTAATAAACTCATATTCTCAAAAGACATTTGAAGCATTGATAACAGATGGGTAATCACCTAAGCAAATTCTTTTGTAAGCAGTGACATTTCCTACGTTTAATCCGCCTTTGAAGACAGGGATAATAGCAAGGAAAATAAAACAAGAATCATACGAATTCACATGTAAAGCTTTTTAATTCTCCTTCACAAAACAAAAAAATTAATACAGGAGGAGAAAAGGGACATCAGTTTACTATCAGAAACCCCCATTAAAAAAATAAGGCAGAAAAGATTCACATAAACTAATATTGGTTCTATTTTCAAATCGATAAAATATCTTTACACAGATTTCAGAACCAGAAGACGTTACAAGATATACTTATTCCTGGAAGGAATAAACCCAGACTAAATAAAGCTTCAAATAAAATAAACCAGTTATTTATAGGTTTCTTGGGTTTCGCATATAAATCGGATGGTATTATAAGACAATACAACATCTTTCGCAGGCGTTTTTACTAAAACAATAACAAGGTATATATTTGTTCAGCGTTCCAGATATCGGGCTAAGTGTCAATTACTTTGGGAACAATTTTTTGCATAATTATCAACTCGTTCTTTTGTTGAACTCATCACATTATTTTCTGGGCGATGGAACACTGTCTGCGGACTCGAAAATTTCCTGGTTTTACGGTTCTTTTTGTAGTTTTCTTTACACTAGTAGCAATAGGAAAGGACCAAGCAGAGATTGTTCCGTCTGTATGCTCGGCGCAGAATCCAGATTGTTTTTTTCAACGTTTCGAGAAATTCAAGCTACCACGAGTGGAACCAGTAAAGGTACAGTACTATCCTGGGTAAATTACTTATATCACAAGAGCTAAATGGTTCATTATGTTCGGCCGCGTGACCCAACAAACGCATTTGAAAATAATTTTGGTCGATACAAACTGAAAATTCAGTTCGGCTCAGGTGAAGTACGGCCTTCGGCTCGTAGTTAACAATATTCTAACTCATTACGCGTCTATGCCTATAATTTTTAACGGATTTAATTTTCGATATCTACTTGTGAACGTTGAAGGTTCTTCATTTAATCTGTTGCCTGGACTGAAAGCTCATTACTACCTGAATACCTTACAGTTGATATCGTGTGGTTTCTGCGAAATATAAAGGCGTTAATTCAACTATCTTCATGTGTACAAGGTTGAGTGGTAAATCAACATAAGCCTAAAACCGAAGACGTTTTAAAATTGATAACTAAATGCTTTTTGAGATGTTTTTCAGAGCGGGATTTCAAAACCAAGTAGAAAGGATCAATTAAATAAGATTATTCAATCCAATAATCCCGTCGATTTTAACCAAAGGAAAGGCTTATTTTCATCGTCGTTGTCACGTGTCCATTTTGATCGCACTACGCAGGTGCCTGGGGCACGTTCCCCCGCTTATTCTTTATTTCCATCATCCTTGTCACGTGTCTGTTTTGAGCGTACCACGAAGGTGCCACGTTTTGCCCCCTTATTTTCCTCGTCCTTGTCACGTGTTTTTTGTAAGCGCACCACGCAGGTGAAACTTTTCCCCTCATCATCTAATCTCCGTAAGGCGTTTTTATAATTATGTATGTTCCGGAAAGGGATTAGCCGATAAAATAAAAGGATTTTTCAACATTCAAGAAAAAGTAGCTTATTTTTCACAGTGGACAATGAAAATCCCGAATCTCGGCTATAAAAAAAACCTGTTTGGGAACCCATTGCAGCTTAAATTCAGTTTGTTCATTGCGCGAAAGAAAAGTGATCTCTGCACTTTCGAAGTTATTAGATTTATTAGCGTTCTGAAGATAACACGTTTCCTTTAAAGGTCGGGCATATCCAAAAGATTAATTTAACTGAAGGCGTTGAACATGAGATGGTTACAGCAGCCACACAGCCACCCATATTCGGTAGGTAACTATCCAACTGTTATCTCTTACCTACTCTTACGTAATAGTAGTGGTGTGGGTAATAGTGGTGGTGGTGGTGGTGGTATCAGCTGTAGTCGTTGTGACAGTAGTGGTAGCGGTGGTGGTAAAGGTAGTGGTACTAGTATATTTAGTAGTAATGGTAGCGGCGGTGGAGGTAGTAATGGTAGTGGTAGTAGTGATAGTGGTAATAGTAGTGGCATTGGTGGCTGGTGTTGACGGTAACGGTGATGGTGATAGTAGTGGTAGCGGGAGTGGTAGTGGACGTAGGCGTAGCACTTCATTTTAAAACGTTCTTACGTGTTCACTTATGTAACTAGAATTCCTCGACAGAGGGACAAATAGACCAAAGGCTTTCAGACATAATGCTTTTGGATTTTTCATGTTTCCCCACAGAAATTCCTAATTTTCTATCTGATGAGGAGTGTGACCATATCATTCGATTAGCTAAGAATGAAGGATTGGAAACATCACAGACTTTGAAGGAAGGCGAAAAACAGGACACGATGTCACTTGGTAAAAACACGAAGAAATATTTTCAAGTGTGGGACCAAAACCGTGATGGGCAGATAGATATGGACGAGGTAAAATATCTGTAAACAATGAATAATAACTATATAAGCCTGAATACCCACAAAAGCGGCAATTAGCAAGGCATTAGTCTTTAACTATAAATAAAACACACCAAACAACCATATCTTAGGAAATTTTGTAGCGTCTACCTTGCGGATCGTAAATCTTGCATTTCAACATCTACACTTGCAGAGATTTTATTGACTACTAATCAGTTAAACGTTCCCATACGCACGATACCCTTCCCTTAAAATCATGTATACTTATTCGATTAACCGCCCTGGGCGCTTATTAAATTTTTGGACCTTGAGAGTGGGCGCTTATTCGAGGTGGGCGCTTATTCGAGGCTGGGCGCTTATTAAATTTTCACCACTTTCAGCAAGTGAAGTATGTTTAATTTGCAACAAAACAATAAATGCTAATAACAAAACGCGAAGAAGTAACAAAGCAAGGTTTCTGTAAAATACTCTGAAGAAAACTCTTAAAGTCTCTTATTAGAATTTATTCGTTCAAGTGGCTGGAATGGGGGTGAGCGCTTATTTGAGTTTGATTGGGGGGAGGAGGGGGTGGGCGCTTATTCGAGGCTCGGCGCTTGTTAACTTTTTCTGCGTTTGGAATGGACGCTTATTCGAGGTGGGCGCTAATTCGAGGTTGGGCGCTTATTCGAATAATAAAGGACCTCATCAATGAATAATTCATTCCTACAGATGATTCACAACATGGAAATTCTACTGGACTTCTCTCCAGACAAACCCACTCTGTTGAAAATGTAAGTGCTCGAAGAGATAACCTCATAGAACACATTCGCGTGAAACGCGTGACATGTGCATGTCAAAGCCATGGGGGGATAAAACACGTGAGAAGTGCATGTCAAAAGCATGTCCATTAAACACGTGAAATGAGCATGTTAGACAATGCGAATCAAATAGGTGACAACAAACTTGCGCGTCAAACACAGCAGTTGAGACAAGCGAGCCATAAAGTGATGACGTCATAAAAAATAAATTTCTGAAATTAAGGGATTTGTCAGGATATTCTGAAAGAACAACGTCCAAGAGGCCTACTTGCCAAAAATGAGAATTTCGAGACACTGAGATATTTTAGCCCAGTTATGCTCTGATAACTCCGTACAAACCCTTTTAATTTTTTCTTTGGGTCGACCCACATAAATTTCATAATTCAAATCCCATAATATGAGAAATTTATTTTTATGACGTCACACTTGGGAACTCTATGAACATACTAATCCGCTGCTACGGGTATGAATACCTTGGGAAAAATTGGGCCATAAAATCTAGACCATTAACAATGTTTACATGATTTGTCCTTGGGCAGGTATTCAGCTTTAGAACTGGACAAAGACCAAGATGGTATGTATGAAATTGAATCTTTTTGCCCATGAAGCTAAGGCCCGGTTAAGACGCCAAACTTCTCATGAGCCGAACCCGCTAATTCGAATTAAGGCCGACCCAAATTATTTAGACCGACTGAATTGATTCAGACGCAGATCTTAATTCCAGCCGAACTTAAAAAAGGAGAAAAATGGTCATTTCGATCAAACTGCTCTCAAAATACGACATAATAATTTATGCATTAGGTTCGGTACATGAAAAGTTCGGCGTCTGAATCAAAGCCGTTCCAAAGTCGATTGAAAGTCGAAACTCCCGGCCAGGCCAGGGGGGAAGAACGGCGTTCCTAACTGATTCAGACGCCGAGCTTTTTATCTACTTAATTCAATGTATTAGGTTGGGCTTATGATCGGTTCTGCTTCTGAACCGGGCCTGGTATTCCCTATCAATGGCGTACAAATGAGCGAACAACTTTCTTTATATCTAGACCTCTATGTTTGTAGAGAATATAAGCTTTGAAGAATTCAAACAAAGGAATACCCCAGAGATGGCCAAGTTTATACAGAAGATAAAGGGGGAACAACCACACACAAAGAGTCGCCACAGTCGGCAGACATGGATAGAGAAGGTTAATGGCAGCTTAGACGGTGTCGTCGCTTCCATACAGGAAAGGTAAGACCTGCGCAGTTCAAACGTCGATCTTTCATGTACCGAACCCAATCCCTTCAATTAAGTACATGAAAAGATCGACGTTTCTAATTTAAGTCGACCCGTGAATTAAGATCGAGTAGCTCACAGGGGAATTTCGACTGCGGAGCGACTTCGTTTCAAACGTCGAATTTCTCATGTGCCAAACCGTAATGCATAACTTACTAAACTTTATTTTTTAGACCATTGAACATCGTGAAAATGAATTGAGTCCGACTAATTAAGTTCGACACCTGAATCAACCGTCGAACTTATATCACTTGGGTTGACCTAACATGAAAAGATCGACGTTTGAACTGGGCCTAAGACATGCACAGTATCCGCGCCGTTTACGAAAGATCTCCCCTGGAGGGTCCCCTGGAGGTCACCTTGCGTGCGGAGCCTCCTTTTACCTTCTTGAGTGAGCAGCAGTAAAGCAGACTGCCTGAATCGCGTCAAGCCTTTTTAGTCGCCGAAGACCGAACTTGTGGACTGGCCAATCTTGTTTTCTCTCGTCAAACTGGTTTTCTAGGTGGGAGCATCCGTTATATGATAAACCGATGGCATAACTGAGCGCACTGTACCAAGCACACGACTATGAGGCCTGGGATCCAAGCTATATCCCAACAACAAAACCACATGCTCAACAAAGATCTTACTCGATTCCTGTAGAATCTTCCTCGAGTACGCCAAAATTGAGAAAGTGAAATAAAGGTTCTGCTAGCAAGGTGCCTGGGAGTAAGCTCTCTTTTTCGGTGTTTGTCGAGTGCGAGACACGGGTTGTCCCACGTGTGTGTGTAAGACAGAGAGAGAGTGTGTGCAAAATGAGTGAAGTGTGCCGAAAAGAAATTGAGGTGACAATTCCCTAGTCCGCACTGAGGATAAGCTACTTCCTTTTGGCCCCTGACAGCCAAAAGGAAGGGTTTACTCGCAGGCTAACATGGAGTGATCTTTTAAATCGGCCGAACACGAATCTCGGAATAAGTGACAACGGCCCACAAATTTAAGAAGAAACAGAAACAAATATCTGAATGAACATATCATGAATCCCTGCTGGCCGAAGGCAAACCAGTCGGTTCTTTACAAGTAAGATCGAGGAGATGGGAACGCGAGGCAACCGAGAAATAAATCCAGCTAATGGACAGATCGAGTATCTGAATATGGGACGAAGGAGTTAAAACCCAGCGCTCTAACCAACTCGGCTGAGCAACCTCCTGCCTTGTCTTCAGGAATACAGACCTAAGGCAACGCCCTGCTATTCTTGAGACTCCATTCCCCTGTACACCAAGTACAATGAATTAGTAGGCATGATATCAGACTGATATTTTCGTTGTCCTAACAAGATTATCGTTGCAGGGTTCACCGACTCACAATGCTTCCACTGGAAATAATAAAAGCAAGCGAGTACCTACAGGTAAGCTGCGTTTTTGATAGCCTACGAGCGCAGACGTATTACCGGATGTCGCTTCTCTCCTTCGAAAAGTTAGAGAAGTAACAACCGGAAATAGTCTACGTCCCCAGGATGAGTTCACGATAAATTTATTCGCTAAGAAACGTGCGTAAATTTAAAATTAAAGAAACATTAACATGATTCTGAATAAAACTGTCAGCAAAGAACATCCGTTGAGGTAAAACGGTTAAACTATTAAGGCTGAAGTGAATACAATATGATGTTGATGATGAAAATAAAGATCTCCTACATTACAATTTTCCAAAATTGACAGTGGTGCTAAAAATGCTAACATTTAATATGACCTAAAATTGCAGAATTGGATAGGACAGCTCATTTGAAGGATAAGTCGTTTGCGTAATATTGTTACATTTTGTATCAGTGGGGTAAGATTCTGTACAATTGGCATATTATTTTTTAAAAGTAGAGAGCGAAATTGGTGGAATAGACAACAGGATACTTAACTCACTAACGAAAATATGTTGTGTCATAGGTAGTATCGTATGGTCCGATGGGTCATTACAACTGCCACTTAGATTCAGACTTCATCAGAAAAAGGCCATGTTGTCACCACCTTGGAAGCGAATTAAGAAACTGTAGAGTTTGCAGGTATTAAAAATTTAGTAACTCTCACAGCAGTCCTGCCGGCCTGCTTAGCTTGCGTTTTTGTTGCTGCTCCTTTGCGCGTGCGCTCACCAAAAACACCTCAGGCTAAACAGACTAACCGAAAGTAGTTTTGCGATTGTTTTGGCTTCCTTTGCTTTGCACTGAGCACTCCGTTTTTGTGATTGGCTAAAAAATCGCTTCCCACTTCCTCAACCAATCAAGTGTGACACTTGAACCGTTTGCAAGTTGCCCTCACCAATTTTTCCCGCGCTTAGTACCGGTGCAAGTATTTGTTTCGGGATCTGATTGGTACATTGAGCACCAGCCTGTGTTTTGATTGGTTAAAGTAATAGCTCTGGGTTTGGTTACAGCCCAGTGGAAACGACTGTATCGTACTTAGAATACCTGACAGCTATCGCTCAGTCAAAAGTCAATGGGAAATTTACAGTACTATGTGCAGGTGGTTTAATAATGATATAGTAAGACGAAAAATAAGGACAGTGAATGTTCATTTTTGCGTTGTTATTTTTCACGGCAGGTATGCTACAATACTATACTTTTTGGATAATGTAGAGGATGGGGGTGAGACGGCATTTCCTATCGCCGACAATAGCACTTTTGATGACGAGGTGGGTGCAGTTATAAAAGAGCTTTGTATCGAATACCATTTTTACCTTCGGCACTAAGCAATAAGCTGATTCGCCATCTTGTTAACTGAAAACTTCCGAACAGCACCAAGAAATGTTTGAGTCCATGGTAAAGGAGCAAGGATTAGCAGAGTCAGTAAGTGCGCGCCGGCCTTCTGTATGGAAAGTTCTGCGTTCGGTGTGACCCCAAATCCTAGTTTCAACTTCTTTCCTTTCTACGCTACATTAATAAATGTTTCTATGCTGTTGTAATTTAGGTGTGGATGAGTGACGCTGAAAATGTTTGCAACTTAGCCAAGAATTGCCACAAAGCAAATGTGGTAGTTAAACCAGAGAAGGGCAAGGCCATCCTTTGGTACAACCACAAGGTCAACAACATGACAGGTTGGATGGGTCAGCTTGATACGTTTTCTTTCCATGGCGGCTGCGATGTAAAACGTGGCACAAAATGGATCGCAAACAATTGGATTAGCCTTAGCGAGGATAGAGAAAAAGATATTCTGAACTGGATAGAGCTAGCTCAGGAAGAAGAAAAAGAAGAAAACAGCAGCAAGCCTGCTAGTAGTTCAGAAGGAGACTCTAGCGAAGAATCGTTACATCAGGAACTTTGAATGATAACCGATTATCATCATCCAAATTCTGACAAAAATTGCTTTTCATATTCGAACACTCAAGATGAATTTGTTCGAAAACAGTTATAATACAATTAAAATATTCAGTTCCATTTATCAACGCACAGTGCGTTCGCTAATTAAGACTTTATCATTTGCAGCTCACGGAAATATTTGAACGCACGAGCTAGAAGCAAGAGGCAGCACGAGACTGCGTTTTAAACTCAACTGGAGTTACGAATCAAAATAATTTGTGAATCATGAACGCAAGTGTCCAGTTGAGTTGAAAACAAATAAACTGTTACAAGAGGCTTAGAAATAAGATCGTGAAAGAGATCTTTGTCTTTAATCTACTCCTCTTGATTTATCATTGTGCGTTTTCTTAGATGTGAAATAAAAAACACTCCCTGTGCTACTTACTTCAGGAAGGAAGGAAGACTTATCACATAGCACTTGTACTTTTACTTATTTCACTGATCATTATTTTGGCGCGTATTAAAAATATTGACAAAACTAACCTTTTTTTATAAAATCATTCTCTATAAGAAAAAGTGCGTAAATGGGTTAAGAGAAGGTTTTAGTAAATTATACTGCTTTCTGTTTTTTTTCCTCACTCAAGCTAAACATTTAAGCAAACTATAGAATAGCTTATTGGGATATTTTAAAAAGCTAACCTCACAGCGGAAAATTTACCAGAGCCCTGAAGAAATTGTTTAAGGGTCAATTACGAGAGATTTAACCGAGTTGATGTTTTGTCGTCATTCAAAATACACAAAAGAAAAGTCAAGAAAGTTGAGGTGTCTGTCAGCAGAGCCCTCATTGGTCAGCAAGGAATGGTTTATGTGTTTCACAAATCGAACAGTTTCTTTGTCTCTGTAAACCAAAGCCAAGGAGTTTTCTTGAGGATGAACGGTTAACAGCTACGGGAAACAATACAAACAGAGTTGTAATCAGTGTGGCTTGCTGCTACGCCAGGCGGTAAACTTTTGCCACAGTTCAGCTCGCCAGGACTAGCCGAGTTGGTAGAGCCCTTGAAAGCAGAGCGGCAGGTCGCGGGTTCGATTCCCGGGGCCGGACCAATACTTAGGGACTTAAAATGACTGAGAAAAAAAGGTGTTGCCTTTGCACTGCCAAAGGCAAGACCTTCGCGTGGCTCGGATGACAATGGGGAAATGGCAGTCACGTAAAAATAGAGCCCTCAATTAGTACTTTCGTGCCGCATATATTTACACTCAAATAAAGTGCATTTTTTTAGTTAAGGAATACCCCATTGTTAGCGTTCTTTTTAAATTTTGTCTCACTAAGGACACTCCAATCTTTGACAACGAAGTTTCGCCTTTTCACTGCTGGTCCTCGACAAGCGATATACGGTAACGATTTATTGGGTGGGACTATCATTGCGGCTGCGCAGTGCATTTCAAGCCTTGAGTCGTCGTTAGTCGATTTCGACCCTTGGCATTTCATTATAAATTTATACTGCTTTGCAAAGCAAAATAATGCACATAGTACATAAGCTTTTCCCAAATAAATTCCCAATTAAAAAGAAAAATTTGAGAAGAAAACTCCGTATTTCATATGAATTCGTTGCAAGGAAGATTTGGAAGGTTTAGTCAATCATCCTTACATTCTAGCCCTTAACCAAGTAAAAAGAAAGAACTTTTTTTTTTCTCCCAAACAATGTTGCAAAATACCTCTTCGTCTTCTCCGCTGGTCAAATACGTGGTATATCCTCCATAATCGCTCTTCCAACCTGACAAAACAAAGCGTGGAAAATAACAAATAATAAATTCAGTAGGTTGTTTCTTTTTATATAAGGCCCTTGGTTTACAACTTACTATTTAACAGTTGGTTAATGACATTTCATCTTTAGTTTTCTTTTGGCTAAACCATACACTATTATTTAGGTCCGTTCTCTCAGGTCCGTTTTCAGTCGACCGTCTTCATTTGTGTTGTTAGCCTTTCTTTCTCGCCTTTTTCCGCCTAAAGAAGAGCGGTGACCGTTTAGAGTGTACTTAGCCTCGTCCCCTGGTCAGCTCGCGCTATCTGAATGGGCGGAAGAGGCTTGGAACTGAGCGCAATTGCTCGACAGGTGACGTCACATCCGATATCGCTGAAGACGACTGGGAACGAGGCTGCAGTGTACTCACCTTTTCCACCGATGTATAACAAAGCATCTAAAGCAAACTCGGCTCCTTCAGGATCAGTATCATGAATTAACGTATAAAAACCATGCCCCCAACGGCGTATATCACCATGGCAACTAGGGATCTGCTCTCTGTTTTTATTAGCATCCTATAGAGATAAAGATGGCGTTAATTAGAAACAAATTAATAATAATCAATATTTAACGACGGACTCAGTTTTACACGTAAGGTGATCAACAGACAGTTCCATTTATATTTCGAAATTTATTCGTATGGAAGAGTGAATTCAAACGGCTAAGGTTGGCATTCGAAACAAGTCTCAACGAACAGACCAACTCTTGTCTACTTCATCAAGAAAAACAAGTCTTACGTGACATTCTATACATCAACGAGCTTGACAGCTGACTCATGTCTTCATCCCTTATTTTAGTGAATCTTGAATGATCTTTCTACCTTTACTTTGACTGTACAATCCGAAGAACCCTTTTTCTCAAATTCGCGAACATTTTATAGCCTTTTTTAGGGCTCGCAACAAATTTTCGCGCGTGAATTCTGCATTCAGACTTCTCCTCCATCTTCACCCTATACCTTCCTTCCTTCATCACCGTCATTATCATCACTGTCATCATCATCATCATCACTGAGTGGTACGTCAGCCATTCCTAGTCCTGTCATAGTCCTTAGTAATTTGAACATCGGTTGAGACTGCAGTAACTTGGTCAGCTGTTGAACTATAGGTGGCAATGACTCCTCGACAGCTTGTTCGAAATGTCTACCACAAAATACAAAACAAATTATTAACTGATGTTCAACCTAACTGATAGTTTTCCAGAAAAGGAAAACACATAAAGGAAAGGAAGGGTTGCTGTAAATACCTTTCATTGGGATAATGTACAAAACAAGGAAAATAGAGCCAATAAAAACCGTCCTTAGCCATTCTTAACCAGAAAGGTTATGGGTATCTCTTATGAGGTTGCACAAAAAAGAGGTCACATGTATGATACAAATTAACTTTGTCACTTGCTGTAAACTCTAACTTTAGAAGTGTTTTGAAATTTGGGCTCAAAGAATATGGTCAAAATAACGAAATGTTAATTTGGTTGGTACTACTGGATTTGTACATCCACCATGCCGTATGAACTATGTTACTGGACGGTACAAAATGCAGACTGCAGACTGACTGCAGACCATGGTTTTCAGGGTTAGAAAACAATGGAACTATTCTTGTCTTGTTCTATTTTGCATGATGAAAACAATGGTCTGCAACAGTCTGCAGTCTGCATTTTGCACTGATTGACTATGTTACCTTTTATTGGCTGGCCCTCGCCATCTCCAATTAACATTCTCACTGTGCAGTGCTTCAAACACTTCATGATATTTCTCTTCCTAAAGAAAGCAGTCACATTCAAAAACGTTACTTCTTACCCATGTTTTACATACACTATTAGTTTCATTTGCAAAGAGAGTTTTATTTGAAGGTGAAAGTAAGTTAATTTGCATAATAAAAGGCTTATGTTTTCAACAGTCCTTCTGTGACTTTTTTGTTGATAAAAAAATCCTTTTTGTATATTTTGTAGTTAATTTTTTGTCTCAGGTAATTTTTGTTTTTCTTTTGTTTTTGGCTAATGAAGTTGAAACAAAGGAAAAAGAAAAATTTCCTGAGATAAAAAAATTAACTGCAACATATACATGTAAACATAATTATTCTACCAGCCAGAGACAGATTATGTCCAAACAGAAATACCAGTATGTTAACTGGGCAGCTTAACTGGTGCCTGCTTAGAAGTTAATTCAAGTGCTGTAACAGAACAAAAATTTACCAGAAGAAATTCCTGAAGCTGTATTTCTGACTCTTCTTCAAATCGTGCCCTGATGTCTTTCACAACACCTGTATCAAGATACATGGGGTTGATCCATTCCACAAGTGCCTCATCCTAAACAAAAACACAAAACAAATCAATTTCACAACACAGCAAGTCTACAGCCACACAAAATTAATAAATTATAAATTCAAACCCCATCTTACTATACCAAGACTTTTACCAAGATTATCCTTTGATTTCACATGCAAATTCTCATTAGCCTGCTCTATTTACCTCCATAGCACAAGGTGTTTGTGATTTAGGGTGTGGCTCTTGATAGGGTACAGGTCTGTCAATGTTGTCTCCATGGAACCATCCGCTGATTGACAGTCGTGTTTTATTAAGTGACAACACTTCAGCGACCTAAACTGGGACAAACAATAGAGTTGTTAAGCCAGCTTCTCTGCACCCAACATGATTACTTACAGTGATTCTATCATGGTATATTATTTCTTTTATTGTCTCTCATGATTTATGATAAGAGATCATAAAGCAAACATGGTCTAAACTGGAAAGCAATTCCCTACAAATTTTGTAAGTTTTATCCTCTCATAGGATTGCCATTAAGTCTATGTGGAAGGCTCTCAGAGAGTTACAGTCATCTACACATAGGTTTGCAGGCAGTTAATGAGATGTTTGATTTACAAACCTGATGAAATGAAACAGGAGTCACTTCAAAGAAAACCAAGGAGTTCCTCTGAGGGACTAATGATGTTGTAATTTGATCTGGTTGGCCATGCTCTGTTGATGTCAGAAAAATTAAATAAGGAAAATTAGATGAACAAGTAACTAAATTAATCATATGATACTGAATCTGGAACAACTTACAGTAAATGAAAATTAAAATCAATTTCAAATTCCAAAAACAATAAAAAAAGACAACCACAACCTCTTCAATATCATGATAACTATTTCCTTACCATCTGTTGAAAATAGATCAAGCGATCCTAAGAAACAGGAAAAGAGTAAATTCAAAAATAAATAATATAATACTTTCAAGCATTACAATATAATAATATCATTAGGTAGATCCCCAACAACAAATCCTCTTTTTGTTAATATTTAATTTAAACACTTGTCCAATGAATCAATTATTTCTTGTTTTAAGAGAAAATGTGAACAGTACCTCCATCACTTTTGTCCCAGTTGTGTGGAACCAAGTAAAATATGTAAGCAATTCGTCTTCCTTCAAGTTCATCATCGTGGCATAACAATGTATCTTAAACATCAAATATTGTTTTGTTAGTAGGACTTTTATATAACCATATAATTTTATGGTTTACAAGATACTGGCCTAGGTGGCAAAAATTTTCATGGGAGTTCAGAGCAAAAGTTTCAGAGTGATTTCCAGCTGTGAATTTTCAAAACAACTCCTTCAGAAATGCTTGCTGCATAAGCTTATCTTAAACAGTGAGCATCTGACCTGACATTGACAGCATTATGAATCAAATGGCTAATTAAAGGGGTTGATCTAAAGTGAAATTCTCTTTTTGTTTCACAAAAAAGATTAAGGCAATTAGTAGGGAGAATCAAGCAGCCATCACATGAGTTATTCACCTGTATGTTCATATTTAGAGCATGACATGTCAACTTGATCAGTGAGATCAGTAAAACCAGTTATGTCTTGGAGCCACATTCTAAACTCATTATATAATATGTTCCTGAGAAAATAAATTAACAATAATTAATTGGATGATGAGCCACCTATGATTATCATTCATTATCACCAGTACTCAGTTCAATCAACATTTAACAGTTGTTAACACTACCATTATCACTTTCAAGATAAACCATGTCCAACCATGTCCTTTTTAGACCATTTACTGTAACAGAAACAAATTCAGTACTCAAGAGCAGTCAGCGAAATCTTGCTGACCTTTAAATTATATTTTCTTTTTGATGCTGATGTCAACTGGCTGCCTGGCTCCACTAGCCCCTATGGTTATTCCAGGCAGCCAGTAAAAAAAATGTAAATGTAAAATAAAATTGTAAATTGCTTTTTTTATTTTACCCACGAAGAACTTAGGAGTTCATATGAACTCGTTTAAATGTGTCCGTGTATTCCAGATCGAATTGGAATTTGGAAGTGTTGGTTTTTGAGGAGAGGGGAAAACTGGAGTACCCGGAGAAAAACCTCTCAGAGCAAAGGAGAGAACCAACAACAAACTCAACCCACATATGGCGTCAATGCCAGGAGTTGAACCCGGGTCACATTGGTGGGAGGTGAGTGCTCTTACTACAACGCCACCCTTGCTCCCCAATTTTACCTGTAACATTTTCATTGTCAAAAGTTATTGTTGGGCAAGAGAGTGAGTGCAAATAAAGATTGTTGTTGTTGTTGTTGTATATGGTCATTTACTATTTTAGAGCTGTTAGGAGTAAAAAAACCTAATGAGCAAACCTTAGAGAAGTGATATTTGGCTTGGATGACTTTTTTAAGTCGTCACTCTAAAGTACATAAGGCAAGCAAAGTGAATTAATTAAGGTAAAGATTGCAAAGTACAAGAATTTGAAGATAATAATATTAAGAAGTGAAGAAGGTTACAACAAATCTTTTTACCAGCTTACCTGGTGAAATTTATATAAGTCATTTGACTTCTGAAAAAATTTAAGTTCAATAAGTTCCTTTCCTAAAGCCTCTAAAAATTCTTCATCTGAGATAAAGTTAGGAATAAGACAGCACTTAAATGGCGACGTATGTATGACTGATCCTTTCTCTATTGAAAAAGATAGAAAAGAAAAAATGAGTCACTTAACCATGAATATAATGTCACACAAAAGCATTTTAAAGAGACCATAGACCGGGGTGTGACGCTCACCATTAAAACACTCCAAGTCCCTAGAGAAAAGACATAAATTAAATCAGCTGCTACAGGAAATTATTACAACTGAATGATGTCTCAAGACAACAGATGTTTCACTCTTTCTACATACCTGAATGCCTTTGCAAATTTAACTTTGAAGTCCTCTTCTAAGAAAAACTTATTTAACAGTTTGCTTCCAATTTCTGAGCTAGACTTTATCTGCTTGGCATTATTTAATGCAACGTTAAAGGAATTATCTTTCCTTTTCTTGGAAGAGTTCATTCTGCAGCATGCCTGTGAAGCAGTTTGCGACAGGCGTCGCAAAGGTTTTAGCGCGGTTACCAAGAAAGGCTTTGTAACCTGGCTGGTCTTTATCTGACATTCAACATGGTGGTAGGTAATCGTTTCAAAGACGTTCTCAAATTATATTTGATACTGTTTCTATTCAGTAAGTCTTAACGGCTCTTTCTTGATTGTAGCTGCCTCTTTCGCTTTTACGGACAGCGCAAAACCATCCCATGGTAAGGGTTAGATACTCACATTCTGCAAAAAGAGAGGCCTCTTTTCTTTGGTTTTCTACGTCCTTGTACTTGTAGCTTGGACCAAGCTATATAAATGTTTCCTTTTCTTCCCAGTTGGTAGAATTGAAAAATGGTGAGACGTACAATGGACATCTTGTAAGCTGTGACAACTGGATGAACATCAACCTTAGAGAGGTCATTTGCACTTCCAGGGTGAGTCATTTGGTCGAGCAGGGGCCCCTCGATCGTGCGAGATTTGTTTTCCAGACTAACATGTACATGTTTCTGGGAAAATCGAATGGTCTGTGCGCGTAGTCCAGTCTGCAGAGCATGGCTTTTGCACACGCACTCTCAATGCACATGCCAAAATCTTAAGATTACGTGTGGTTGAACGTCTTTTTGCAATAGGGTGACATGGAGAAACCATATTGTTTGCAATTCTTACAATAACTGAGCGAATCTTCGCGCGCTGATTGGTCGAAGGGCTATGGTCTATGAGAGTATAGACCATGGAAGTGACATAACTTGTCCCGCAGTGCCGGTGGTTTTGTTTTTGGTTTTTTGTAAAAGAAATAAATGTTATTGTAAAAAACAAATTGATCACAATTTCCCATGGTCTACACTCCTATAGACCATAGAAATGAAGCCATAAAATGTTCAAAACTTTGCAGTGAAACCCCTCACCTGCAGCTCTTGGTTCCACTTGTGTTTTGAACATTTTATGATGCCATTTCTACGGTCTATACTAGTGTATACCATGGAAAATTGTGGTCTATTTGTTAACTAGCAATTCAGTTTACATGCAGTGCAGCTTGGGAAAAATACCTCTGTACACTTGAGATCTTGATGAGTTCTGCCAAACTCTGTTGGCAGAGTGGCATGCGGTAGGGTTAGTAGCCTGAGAAAACAGCCAACATATCGTGATGCCACCACTGGTTTCGCTGCTAAATAACGTCTGAGAAATAACTACAGAAATTCTATACTGATGACATGGCATCACCCAGGTCTGGGTAGTGCTAGTGACTGGTTGTGCCGCGAGAGAAATTTGCTTCAACCAGTTGGAAGCACTTCCCAGATCTGTGTAGTGACGTGTCATCAGTATGGAATTTCTGCAGTCATTACTCAGATATCTCTTCATGGGGAAACCAGTGGCAACGTCACGAAATGTTGGCCGTTTTCTCAGGCCGTAGGGTTAGCTGTTTAATACGTGATGATAATAACAGTTAACAGCAAAATTAGTGGTTTAAATGCGAGGAAGGTGTATATCCTTTGAGAATTCTTTTTGTTCCGTTGAGGTTGTTGGTATAACATGGCTTGTTTTTGTCTTTTTGTTTTCTCTTTCCTGTAGGATGGTGATCGGTTTTGGAGGATACCTGAATGTTATGTGAGAGGTAGCAATATAAAATATCTCAGGATTCCAGATGAGGTACAAAATACAGTCAAAATCCTCACTTCCTTACGTTACTGGCTCTTTGTCAGTTATTGATTTTCATTTGTCTTACTTGAAGGTGATAGACATGGTAAAGGATGAAATGGTTAAGCAAGGAAAGGGCAGAGGCACAGGGAGACCAGGTAAAATCGTGCTCAATAATCCATTGTTTGTTTTAGGGGTTACTGTGTCATCCAATTTCCTGTCCTCTTAAACTGGAAGTCTTTTTTGTGTACCTCAAGCCTTTACATGTAGGGGTGAACTCAAACAAGAGAGAGTTAATATATGGCCCTACTAAATACAATGCTGAGTTTTTAGGTGTAATTTTAAGTAGTTTTTTTGACATTATAAATAAATAAACCTTTTTTCAAACTTCAAGTCTATCACGTACATCTGAACATCTGTTATTTAATACAGCAAAATGATGATAGACTTTCATTGCTCTATAGCAATACAGTCGACTCTCCCGTAACAGACACCTCTATAAGACGGAGACCTCTGTAAAACGGACACTTAGAGTTGGTCCCTGCCTTTCTTTACTCATTTTGTTTGACTCTCTATAAGACGGACGCACTTAGTGCCGGTCCCAAAGGTGTCCGTCTTAGAGAGAGTTGACTGTATTATTTTGATGCATTAAAAGATGTTCTTCTGGTCATTTTGTCATTTTACAGGGCGTGGTGGCCGAGGTGGAGGTGGTGGAGGTGGACGCGGAGGCCACAGTGGTGGTGGAGGAGGCGGAGGTGGAAGAGGTGGTTCATTCGGTGGGCGTGGTGGGGGCAGAGGAGGAGGGGGTCAGAAAAGGAATAGAGATGACAGTGCTGGCAGATAACTTAACGAGTGACCCATGTAAATAGCTTAGATGTGAGAAGTGTTTGAACTTCAAATGCAGGGCTGGAGAGAAGAGCTGCCATTATTGTTGACTTGAGTGCGGCAGAGACTCTTCTTTCATGTAGATTCTGCAATTATCAAAACTACTTTTGGAAGCGCATTGTGTAATGAACAGTTTACTCAGTAGGGAGTGTAACATATCACAATAGCAACGGCCGCGAGAACGTCGAAAATGTAGTAAGTTTGATTTGCAAACCAACAACTTTGCTCGTGCATCTCGATTTTTTGTACATTCTCTGCTAACAGTGCTTGAGTACGACGTAAAAATCCTTATTTTTACGTTTTTGTGGAGGACGTACAGAAACGATACGAATTACATTGCATTTTTTTCTTTCTCTGAACTTGGATATAGTTCTGAGGAAATTAACTCCAGGCCCCCCAGTTGTTCAAAAGGTGGACAGCGCTATCCACCGGATAAATCACTATCCAGTGGATAGTGCAATTGGTTTCCCTAATACTTATCCGCTGGATAGTGGTGTATCCGGTGGATAGCGCTATCCACAGTATAAATCACTATCCAGTGGATAGCGTAATTGATTTCCCTAATACTTATCCGCTGGATAGTGATTTATCCGGTGGATAGCGCTATCCAACGTTTGAACAACCGGGGCCAGGAGAGTTTTCCTGCATTTGACGAGTTCGAATAATCACGATGAAATTTGAGAGAACGCGACCCTGCTTGTTATGTGACGTTTTCGCCGCCGTCACTGTTGAAGTGATAGACCTCCTAATATCTCATTGTTTGTCCCTTTTTTAAACTAAGCTCGCTATTATTTGTAAAACAGCTATATGTCATTTGCTCCAAAATCTCAGTCTCACGCATGGCTATGTTTTGCCTTCCCGTCTGTTGTTATACTAAAAAAATAATAATATTAAAACGAGCTTTTCTATAGTTCGCTTTCTTTATTTGGTTCTACATGTAGTGCAAAGCTAAGGCGCTCTAACCATCTTCAATTTGGCCTTCAACGGAAAAGAATTGAACTGTGTAGTCCATTTTTTTGTCAGTGGCATCTCACTTCGTCTCAGCGGGGAAAGAGATAGAAGAAAAAACTAATACAAGAATCATTCACACAACGCAAAGTCGTAGTTGAAGTTGGGTTTCTCCAAATGTGTACGCACACGAAGGGATTTCATTGTCACTGTTAATTAATACTTATGGTGTTCAAAATTCATGTAGATACTTTTTGTTCGCAAAGCTGCTCAAATATTTCTCAGCGCAGCTCCCTCTGGGTTTCCAACATCATCCGCGTTTGAGGAGCCTCATACGCAGACTTTCTTTTCGTTCGTCACGCAATCCCCTTGGGGAAGGAACTCGTGACGAAAGCCTAAGGATGTCATTGAGACTTCACCGACCACTCTACTCTCTGAAGCATTGCCAGGTGTTTCATCTGATATTGACCGCATTCTTCCGCGTTGAAACATCAACAGACGGCGAAACTCTCGCTGAAAGGGGGGACTCAAAGCACCATATATGAAAGGGTTCACAGCGCTAGACACTTGAAAAAGAAAGGGTGTCACCACAGCCAACGCGTGTGGGGCCTTCTTAAGAACGAGCCTAATGATCAAGATGACCGCAAAGGTTGGCAGCCAACAAAGGGCGAATGCAAACACCAAAACGAATAGTACTTTGGACAGATTAATCTCTTGAACACTAACATCACACAAGGACGTTAAGGTGACCGCGTTATGTTCACGGATGGTTTTGGAAACATGGAAATAACAGAAGCAAACAAGTGATAAGCAAAACATGACTAGAATTAACACCACGATTAGCGTGAAGGCTGTTTTTGCTCCTTCACTCGAGAAAGTATAGGCACAGATCGACATGGGAGGAATGAAATTAAATTCTCCAACTCCAACGACCTTAGGAGCCAGACACAACAATGCGATGAGAAGCCACAGGACACCTAGCATAAGTAATGAACGTCTGTGGCTGAACAGTTTGTTAAAATGCTGCGGCTTGACAACTCGAAAGTATCTGAAACAAATAAAGCAAGATATGGTATGATGAGAATGATGCATACGTGGTGAATATAAAATTAAAAAAAAGATACGTTGCTCTCTAGGGCCGGTCCAATACTCATTAATTAACATTTCATTTATTTATCTGTTTACGAACGTGAAACCAGCCTTTATATATCTTTACTCAAAAACCAAGGACCCTTACAAGCGATCGTTTGGTGCACGCCGGAGTTTTTAAAGAAGCCGTCTTATGGTCTTCTGAAGTCCACTTAAATCGCCGGGGCAGTTATTACTCGATGGAATGCGAGTTAGATTAATTCACTCACACTTGGACCCTAAACATTCCCACAATCCCTCACTAGCAGCTGGCTCCCCAAAGTTTCTGGAATAAGGAATACCTGTTAACTGCGGTTAACGTCATCGTCGCCATGGAGACATAAGTCAGAAAGTGCACCAAGAAGCCACTAAGTCGACATGCGGTTAAACTGAACATAAGTCTTCCCATGACCATTGTGCTGGCAAACAGTGTTCCCGGGATACAAGCATTCAAGAGATCTGTGACCGCAAGTGCCGCGATGTAAATATTTGTAGAGTTGCGAAGATGCGGGTTACGATAAAGTGCAACAAGGATGAGAAAGTTGCCAATTATCGCAAGGATAACAAGCGCTATGGACGCCACGGATTCGACCACTAACAGTGCTGTACTTCTGGGTGGGACATATACATCAGTCATGTTTCCATTCACGACTTTAAATCAATGAGGCAGCTGTTTGTTTCGTTGTACCTTGGATTTAAAAGAATCGATTGCTTAGTCACTACAACAGCAAGACAAGTATTGTGTGTGAATATGTGTGCTATTTTGATACGTAATCATTTATATAGTAGGATAAATTATTAAGCGCACCATTCGGGGACGGGTTGCCGGACGGGTTACGATTAGGGTTTCGTTTTGGTACCAATTCAGGAATTCTTGAAATTCATACTCGGCTGCGAGACTGAGAGGAATTAAACAAAAGAGTTTATGTCATGGAGTTTCAGTTACGAAAAATTCTTTTTTGTTGTTGTTTTTAGCTTCGGAGTCAAGTTTGAATTTTAATACGTTGTAATTATATAGCTGAACTAGGCATATCTGCATGAGTGCTAGTCACAGTATTTCGGTTTAAGAAAGGAGGTGGTCTTATTCAGCACGGTTCAGTATTAAATTTACATTGCAAAATTAAAATTAAACAACATCTCGATTTAGCACAATCTCAATCTTCACAGCAGATACACCTAACTGCATAATGTTGTCATACAAAAAAAGTAAAAAAAAAACCGCCAAATAGGAATTGATCGATTAAGTTACTCATGAATATAATACTTGAAGCTGACATTAACTGAGTTAAGAGAAGATGAACTGGCCTGACCGTAAAGACGTTTCGAGCTTCATCTTTCGTCAGACAAGATCTCTTTCCTACATTACGTGTGCAGGCCTTATTCATTTCTTTCTAGCTTTTTTCAATTCTCTTTGGTCATTTTTCTATGACAGCATCATTTTGGCCAGGAAAAAAAAACGCTAGGTAGTATATAACAGACCAGTTTAACCGAATGATTCTAAATTGTTCTTACGCAAAAGCAGAGACTACTTGCTCACCAACTGTCCTAATTTGCCTCCTCCAAAAACTCCACTTTCCACAAACTTCTGTGAAGGGTTGAGAAACTTATTTTTATCGAGTTCAGACAAGAGTTCGCTCGATGATGATAGTGAAACATCGACTTCCCATAAAGTGCTTTTTGCTCTACATCGTTTCATAAATTTAAGGAATAGAATAAAAACTTTCTGTACCGGTGATTTATTCACCATCTGGCGCGGTTATAAATTTATTAGAGCTGATTAGTTTGCTTTAGAATTAGTTTGGGTAGAATTGTTATGATGCGTCGGCGGATGACAAGAGATTTGATAAAATCAGTTGCCCGGGGGGTTATCTGTGTTCATAATAAAAAGAGGATCCCCTGGCTTGGTGATAATGAAAATTATTCAGAGAGAAGATATTCTGATGCTGTATCTCTCAGTTTTCAAGCACACAACTTTGGTCAGAGAGAATATAATCGCTCTAGATCTGGCCCACGAGGGTTTGAAACGACCGATTTTCAATCGCAGTCTTCAGGCGAATCGCCATATAGACTCCGCAGCGAGATCAAATCAGATCAAATCGTCTTCATACTGATTTAAGTGAAATACAGCTTACTCCCGATAACTGGACAACCCTCGCTAAGTCGAACCTCGTGCTAACTCGAACCAAAATCGATTTCCCTTGTTTTTTTTTAATACATTTACGGTAATTTTACCCGCGGTAACTCGAACACTCGATAATTTTCACTTAGCATTTCTAGGGGAGGTGGGGGACCCCAGATAGGTGAGGTAACCCGCCGCGGATCACCACACTTTTCATGTAAACGTGATCAAATTTTTGAAATGAGAGATTATATGGACAGGCGGGTTACCTCACCTACCTGGGGTCCCCCACGTCCATGTAAATAAGCCCTAAATGTGATTAAAATGCTCACTGTGCAGTAAAAACTGTTTTTTTTTCCTTTCTCCCAGCTAGTTTTCTTCGAGCTCCCGAGAACTCGAACTTTTTTCGATTTCTCTTGAAGGTTCGAGTTATCGGGAGTCGGCTGTACATCATTGTTTTTGCTTGGGCGCCTGCATTTTCTCAGGGAAACTTTTCGAAACAAAGAAAGCGGGCCGGATTGTCTCGCCGCCGGGGTTGAAAATAGAACAAACCAGTTTCATGGCCGCAAGGTTTTTGATACGACAAGTTTAAAAATCTCTGTTCTCTTTCATGTTCTCACTTGCCTTCTTAATTAGTAAAGAATAAAAATTCAGTGACTTCTAGCCCTTATGGGCCCCTATGGCTCAGCTAATTGCAGACGTGCGAATCCCCCGGCATTTATGTCCAATAATCCGACAGGCCACTTGTTCAAGTGATAAAAGTGAGACTAGAGTGGTACAATGAAAACCATTTGTGCGATTCAGGTTCAAATGTGTGAAATGTGAGACGTTTGAGTCCCCTGATAAAAGCATAGTAGAGGAGACTGGTTAGGAAAACCGGCAAACATCAAAGTTGAAAACAATGGTGATGTAGTTTATGTTGGAAGCTCCCTGACCGTGCACAATACTTTGTTTTTTGTTCACGAATTGTGACTGAGTAAATTAATGCGATGTTTCGATTGGTCAGTAAGTTCAAAATGATAGGAATGCCTTTGTACGATGGCACGGTCAGGCCTAAAAAACTAACGAAAAAATATAACAAAAGAGTCTAACGGGTTTCATAACCATTCCGCTTGAATAAAAATGAAGTAAATTACTTTGGAAAGTAGCCTCCCACGCAGGTGTTTTAAGACGCCTGCGTGGGAGGCTCTTTGGGAAGGAGCTTTTGAAGTATTACGACTCGTTTGAGTCTTACAATTGTCTGAATTGTTGAAACTGCATCTCATAAGTGTCAAAGAGGGGCATTTAACTAGTAGTATGAGTTTGCCTTTGAACAAGAAAAACAGGTGGCGCGCAGAAATATTCCTCGTCCTGCTACATAGGCGAACTAGACTCACGAACCAGTTCCAGTTGTCGAATAAAGCTTTTAAGAGTCCTCAGCTTACACTTTCGCCGCGATACAATCAACTTTGCGCTTAAAAAAGAACGAATATTGAAAAGTATGACATACTGATGATGGTCAAAAACCAACGGCTTTTGTAACTCTCCTTCTACTTGACGATAAATCTTCTAAGAGCGGTTCATTGTTTTCAAGATCTTAGAAGCTTCTCATGGTTACGGCGTAATATACAGAACGACGTTACTGAACGTAAACTAGGAGCTTTCATTCTTAAATATGCTGCAATCGGTGGCTAGTTAAGATTACGTATGTTTGGCTGTCCTCTACACACGAATCCTTCTCCTCTCCACACAAATTATAGGTATCTCTAAAAATATAATTGATTTAGGTTCACTAGTTCACGACTCGTATGTCTCGAAAACGACGGAGTGCCCTCCCAAAATTTCACCACGTACAGCCCCCGCTTTCCCTTTCTCACAACTCGGTACCACTCGTTCAAGTTGCACCACCTGAAATTACACTTCACGTCTTAAAGAAACAGTACACGTTCCCATTGGTCACAACCAGCCATTACTTTCTGAGCGGGCAACATTGCGAATAGCCTCCTCGCAGACGTCCTTTGGGGTTCGTTTGTCACGTATCCAAACGAACCCCAAAGGACGTCTGTGGGGAGGCTACCTTACATTGCAAATCTATGACGTCAGATAGTAACTGAGTAGTAGAGGGGAGGGGCGGGAAGGGGGGGTGGGGTCAAAATGCGTACACTTGTACGCATTTGTGACTTCCCTTCTACTACTACTTCTGACGTCCTGTTACCCGCGAATGGCACCGCTGGCAGCTGCTATTTACCGTTAGAAATTTGAAGACGTAGAAGTAGACTTTATAACAAAACATTTAATGACGGGTCTCTCGGTAAACAAGTTAAAATTATTATAGTGTTTCTCTTGAAACTCGAGGTTTTTCGTGGCTACTGGCGTACATTAGACTTAATGTTTTTTTATGCCGATATCTAAGTTAACATTACCTTACCTTTGACTGATTTCAGCTCCACGACAGACTATGTCCCTGTGACTGAACCATCCCTTAGCTAGAGGAAGAATGGTGATTGCATGGACTCGATTTTTTATCGACTGACTGCAAGCCCGCTGTTTGTTATAACGTGAAGCAAAGTAGATTGGTGACAACAAGTGAGCATCTGAAAGCTTGAGGGCTTTCTGATATTGAGACATACGTCTTAATTATGAGGGTTTGTCAGCTACAACTGCATAAATTATTAATTATTTGGAGCAGGATGCCTGTAGGGGGAAACTTGATTTCATTCTAAAGAAGACAATCTTACAATGGCTAAACGAAAATAAAGATTAGCTTAAAATTAATGAGTTAATAGAAAATACAACGAATTTCTAGCGTAAATGCTTACAGAGTGCCTGCACTTACAAAAAAAATAAGACTGTGAGATGACATGTAGCGATCCAGTCGGAAATGAAGCGATGGACAAAACGAATATTTAAAACTTTTAAACAGGTGATCTTAAGATGACGGTAAAAACGCGGCAACTATGCCGGCAGGGAACCCTGACTAACGAGCAAAACAGGCCTTTTTAAAAGCTTTTTCTCTTTTTTTTGTGACAATATTACACTTATATTTTTATACTAAGTATAACGTTTTAACTTTGATGAGCGTACACTTTAAAAAACATTAGTTCGAGGATGCTCCACTGACAAAAGTCAGAAAAGGCGCCATGCGCCATTTCACTTCGTAAAAATGTCAAGTAGAGGATGGTCAAAACTGTGCCAAGAGGTAAATTTGTGTGAATTTTGTTTCCTAAAAAGTGGGCGAATTTATGCATGCCAGGGGGCATGCTGTTTTCAATTTAACAGAAGTAAAAACATTGCCCTGCCCAGTAATTATTTTTGCTAGAAAAACGACTGTCTGGTCAATACAACGCGGCGCTATACAATACACTCAACAAAGCCGAACAAAAGCTGAAATTTCATAGTGACAGTTTAAAGTAGGTCATTTTTGAGTTTTTATTTGAGTTTTTTAGTGATATGGACCAACAATTATTGCCAGACGCAATTTATGTTATCAAGTGCGTTATGCATTCAACTAAAAAATTCTAGAACTATCATTAAAAACATCATCCGTTCAAGGTCACAGCATTGTGATATAAACTAAAATGAGTTTCACCTGCTTGCCTGCGCCCCGCATTTTGATGACTTTTTTGTGATGGAGATATTTCTGACATTTTTGAGGTATATTTTGTGATGTAGCCTATAATACTAGCAAAAGATTACTGTAAATTAAGTTTATCATTGACCAAAAAATAACGAACTAAACTCAACGAGGCAATGTTAAAAAAAGAGCGCAACAGACAAGTATTGTTTTCAAAACCTTGTGACATCCCAGCCAAAGCCCTGCAACAGCTAACTGCTGCGCAAGCGCGGTTACTGAACTGACAGGAAACGGGTAGACAAGCCGTTAAATCATTGTTCTAAACGGCTAGCGGAAGGCGAAGGGCGAGATGGGAAGGAGGTGGGGTGGGGTGGGGTGGTTTGGACGCTTATTCGAGGCTGGGCGCTTATTCGAGGTGGGCGCTAATTCTAATTCGAGGTTGGGCGCTTATTCGAATAAATACAGTAACTAAAGCGGGCAACAAGCACATAAATAATATATGCTTAACGAAAAAGCATCCCAATCGAACAATGTGAGCGCTTTTGGGGGGCTAGTCGTTGATTACCTGTGACTGAGGGGTGGGGGGATGGGCGGCCATTTTGATAAAGTTTAGAAGATTTTCAAACCGACCTCCCCCACCCCCCACTTCGTCCTAGCTTTTTAGAAATGACCCCCCACCCATAATTTGCACACATTGTAAAAGTGAGCCCTCCACCCGATTGCTGTGGAAACTACGAATATTCTAGCTACAAATAGAGCCGAAGTTCACCGTATACTTCTAGTCCGCAGTCGTGTTTGTAAGATCGGCGTTCACTATTCACAGCTGTCACATTCAGTGTTTTTTCGTTACTGCTTTCTAATGCTTTCATGAAATTTTATTAAAATAACCCCGGAGGTAACGCTTTCTTTTCTGAAACGTACCCCCCCAAACCAATAAAGATTTTGAAAATGATCCCACCCAAGTGCAAGTAAATGGTGTATGTAAGAAATGACACACTGATGTTTGGAAGATATGAACGGACCGACCTCTCTCTGGGTAGGTTGGAATACAAACAAAAATGTTTTGTCAACGTTTTTGCTTGTGAAATGTTGCCAACATGTCAGGTGAAAGTTCAAATGCTCTAAAATTCGCGAATTTGTCAATTTTTCCCTAAAATTCCTGAGATTTTCTTTTTGACGTCTAAAATTTCCCCCAAAATTCTGGAATTATGTAGCTAAGCCTGTGGCAAGACCAATCAGAAGCACTACCCAGTCTACTCAGATCTGGATTCGGATGGTGATTCGTGATCAGTATGGAATTTCTACGCTCGTTCCTGTGGCGTCGCGAAATGTCGACCGTTTGCTCAGGCTAAGGACTAAGCAGAGAGATGACCGGGCAGTATGTAGATTTCTGTTTAAAAACCAACGCGGCGCAGCCTCGTTCTCAGTCGTCCTTGGCGATTTCGGATGTGACGTCACCTGTCAAGCTTGTCGGGAAAATTTGGTTCCACGCCTCCTCTGATAACTCGGATAGGGCGAGCTGGCTTGGGTACGAGGCTGAACGCTGCAGTGACCAGTGAACGTGGTCCTTCAAACAGTTCGACCAGTTTGCAGCACAGTACAGTGGCTTTCGAACTAATTATAAACTGAAGCTCTGTAACTGTTGCCATTATTTTTTTCCCTCATGTTACACTTGTCTCAAATCTAGACTTGCAACTTTTTTACAACGACCTGATTCAACTTTAATGAGAAAATTCAAACAAGAGACTTGCAAAACGTCTCTACATCCACAAAAAAAAGGCGTAAAAACAGTCTGCAGGTTAAAACACTGACAGGGTTACGTAATAATCATTTGAATTATGATCTTTTATTTCACAGAATACTTGACACTCTTGAGTTCCCGGCAATCAGTTCCGGAAGAAGGGTCAGTTATGGTTTATGCTTTTCAAACTTGTCTCATAAAAATTTAGGGGAAGAAATTGTTTTTTCAGACGTTCAATCTAATTTTAACAATCAACCTGACGGCCAAGATGATGCTGATTCTAAGCGAAAGACAAACGACAGCTGAAGTTGTCAAAGTTTCATCATTTTCCAAAAATTTAATGTGCTCCCATTTGACAGCTATTAATTGAATTGCTGCTTAATTTTGGTTTTAAGTGGAAACATTCGGTAGTTCTCAGCTGCTATATCCGGCAGCAGTAGTTATCAGTTCACAAGAGTTATTACATGTTATTTGAATCTTACTACATTCACTGATTTTGTCAGCTTGAGATCACGTATCATACACGGAATGACACTTTTAGGGTATTAAATACGCTGAGGTGTCCTCATTAATCATTTTTTGCCAGATGTGCTGGGTAGGGGCACAATTTAACCATCGTTAAGCGAGTAAATGCAATTGGACTTTTCCGAAAGAAAACGAAACGTAAGAAAATAACAAAAGCAAGACTACAATAGCAATAATTGATGTCGACATCGAGTAAAAGTGAGGCTATTCATTCCCAGGATTCTATTAACCGCTGGGTTAAAATCGCTAGATTTTTCCCGTGATCATTTTAAAACAGCTCCGAGTATTAACTGATACGGTGTCGCTTTTTTTTCCAGGTCATGAGAAACACAACACTTCTTCTTGAATTCGACGCAGGACGAAATTAGTTGAAGTCAAAGGTACAACGAAACAAGCTTAAAGTCCTGAATGGAAACATGACTGATGTATATGTCCCACCAAGAAGTACAGCACTGTTAGTGGTCGGATCCGTGGCGTCCATAGCGCTTGTTATCCTTGCGATAATTGGCAACTTTCTCATCCTTGTTGCACTTTATCGTAACCCGCATCTTCGCAACTCTACAAATATCTACATCGCGGCACTGGCAGTCACCGATCTCTTGAATGCTTGTATCCCTGGAACACTGTTTGCCAGCACAATGGTCATGGGAAGACTTATGTTCAGTTTAACCGCGTGTCGACTTAGTGGCTTCTTGGTGCACTTTCTGACTTATGTCTCCATGGCGACGATGACGTTAACAGCAGTGAACAGGTATTCTTTAGATAGTCTGTAGCAGTGAGGGCGAGGGATCGTGGGATAGGTTTGAGAGAACAGTTCAATTGAGTTATCTTAGGGTCACACGTCCCCGAACGTTTAGTTTACATTCAGTAGAGTTGTGACTAGAGACACACCTAACAGTTAAAAATATATCTGTGCTCTGAGACGAGTGGGTGCCGCCGTTCTCGAAAGACTTAATTTCCCCCCAAACGACCACACAATCAGATTTTCCAGCCCTGTTGAAAAGTAGGCATAAAAAATCCCACCACCTAATTCAGAATAACCGTGAGCCTGACCAAGTTTTTGAAGTTAATTGTCCTGACCGCAACAGTTTAGAGAGTTTAAACAGCAGACGTTTGGAGACGGCCAACCCGACTAACCCTTAGAGCGATTTTCGTATGACCTTGAAAAATTGTTTCTTTAAGTGTTCGTTATTTGTTTTATCAGCCAATGGATGAAAAGGTCAAAACATGGCCTCTTCGTTTTCCCGCCAAAAAAACACCCTAATATGGAGAAGGCATTGTTCGATTGGCCAATCGTGTTGCAGTGTGACGTCAAAGCGAAGTATCGATTGATTTCTAGAAAGTTCTCAGGCATGAAGTTTTTTCACCCGAGCGTTCGCTTAACCAACCAAAAGCCACGCGCGTTCATATCTGTTCGATAAACCAATCAAATCGCTCTATTTTCGTTTGTCTGTTGTTTCTGTTTTGTTTGCGCGTTTTCATTTCAAGGTCATACGAAAATCGCTCTAACTCTGACGAAAGGATATCCTGTTCTTTACCAGTCTGATATCTATACTCTGTCTCTACCCTATCTCAGACTGAAGATAGAATTGAACGCCCGTAGCTACTCTTCACGACGGCATATAGCTATAACGCCCTTATAGCCAAGGACAGTATCCTCCCCTCCCCACCCCACCCTATAGGTGAAATCACTAACAACTCTTCCTTTTTCAGGTACGTTCGAGTTGTCAAGCCGCAACATTATAAGAAAATGTTCAGCCAAAGAAATTCCTTGCTTATGCTGGGTGGTCTGTGGCTTCTCATCGCTTTGTTGAGTCTGTCTCCTAAAGTCGTTGGTGTTGGAGAATTCAACTTCGATCCTGCCAAGTCAATTTGTGCCTATACTTTTAAAAGCCAAGGGGTGGAGATAGGCCTTACGCTAGTTATTGTGTTAATTCTAGTGATCTTTTGCTTGTCGCTTGTATGCTTTTGTTATTACCATGTTTCCAAAACGATCCGTGAACATAACGCCGGGATTTTAACGTCTTTGAGTGATGTGAGTGTTCAAGAGATTAATCTGTCCAAAGTACTATTCATTTTGGTGTTTGCTTTCGCCCTTTGCTGGCTCCCAGCCTTTGGGCTCATCTTTGTCATTAGGGTCATCCGAAAGAAGATCCCTCACGCATTAGGTGTTGTGGTGCCTTTCCTTTTCCAAATGTCTAGCGCTGTGAACCCCTTCATATATGGTGCCTTGAGTCCACCCTTTAAACGTGCGTTTCGCCGTCTTTTGACGTTGCGCGGTGCATATCGCAATGCGCATGCACCAAAGAATGCTGTAGCCCCGAAACCTCTTGAAGCAGTCAAAAGCGGAGCGTTAGTGAACTCGAGGGGAGCAACACCGGGTATAAACACAAGATCTCCAGCTGCCTCAGTTTGACGAAATTGCCACGCTTGAGTGTAACCTTGAATAAGACGAGAGACTACACGAACTAGCATTTTTAGCTATTTTTTAACAGAGAGAATAAGCTTGTAGGGGTACCAACGACTGTTTTCTGTAAAACATCTGTTCGGAAAAGCAAGTATTGCCTAGAATTTTCTATTGCTTGAGAAAGGCTAAACATATTTAGATGACCGTTTCACTCATGTACAATTTTCTAAACTTTTCTAATAAATCCCCTACGATTTTCTGAAGTTTGATTTTCATATTTCACTACCCAAGTCATAGACTATTTTTCGTAGAAAAAGGAAACCTAAAAATTCTCAATTTCGTAAAACGTCAAATTGCCTCTAAAATTTTCGGGAAAATAATACTGAAGCCCTTGTAATTTTGAAAAGACTCAAGTTCACGTAGGATGACCGAACGGATACAAATTTTATAACGCCGCTTAGAATGGATAGTCTAAGGTGTTTTTAATGTATTTAGGAGGAAATCGTCGTTGCGTCGTGCCCCTGAAGCTTGGATTTTTAGACCAGGGTAGACCGTAAATATCAAATAAAAGACTTGATACTGGATCATACAACAACAGCAAGTTAGCAAAGTGAAAAGAGCAATTCGATATATATATTTTTGAAAATGGATCACTGTATTTTCTTGAATTGCAATTAGTGTTTGAAGGCATATCAGATTATTGTTTATTTTTCATAATCAAAAAGTAATGCCTGCCAAAATTGCAGCAAAATCTTTGCACGATGGGGTACGATCAACCTTGCGCAACTTCGGATCTAAAAGATCGATATCATTTAAAATTATACACAACATACATCAACGTCAAATTTAACCTGCGAAACAACGTGACAAAAATCAAATTAGTCACCGATGTTTCGACTGGCCGATTATCAAGAGACCTAGCGGATCACGGATTTATAGAAATATATGTCATGTAGTAAAAACAATGATCATTCTCTATATTGTTACAGATCAAGGTTCATCACGTTCACAGTGTTTTGATGCCAGGAGTGTCAAGGGTCTTAGCCTTATGTTTATGGATCAGGGAGCTAAAGCAACGACGACGGCGACGTCAACAAGAACGTCAAAAAAGCAATCGGTTTATATTGGCAAAACAACAACTTTGCACGTGCATCACGCTTTCTTGTACATTTCTTTGCCGTCACTGCACTATTACGACGTGAAACTGCCTATTTTCACGTTTTGTGGAGAACGTGAACGCAAGACCAGGACTTCCTCTTTCTTTTCCCGAACTTCGATACAGTCTTTTAGAATTGAACTCCACAAAAAATTGCGAACATTTGACGAATTGAACGAGATAGAATAAGCGCGATAAATTTTGAAGCAGCGCGCTGACTTCACTTTTAGAGTGACGTTTTCGTAGCCTTTGCCGTCGTTGTTCAGGGGCGGATCTAGGGGGAGGGTGCATGGGGTGCGCACCCCCCCCCCCCCTGAGATGACCTGCGGTTTTCTAATACAACTGGTATTCTGCAAAAAAAAAAAACTATGTGGTTTATTGGTGTTGAAGTAGAGCAAGAGACGAGTGCACCCCCTCCTAAAAAAAATGATGGATCCGCCTCTGTTGTTGCTTTTAAGCAAAAAAGCTCCTCAATTAATGTGCGCATCAGGGCGACTTCTTCTTGAAAGTGTCACGTCCATTATAAAGTTTTTCAGAGGAATGAGTAGCATACGGGTTTCGACGTGGCTTTTCTGAGAACAGTGTTATGAAACTGCTTTACAGTCCCGCGAGGGAGCCAGAACACTTGGAGAAAACAACCTCGTTCCCAGGGTTCTCTCCTACCTGTCCCAACAAGATTGTGAAGAAAACCCCTGAAACTCGGGCCATAAGAACCCGGGGGATCTCCCTTAAACCATTTGGGTATGTGCGATGGCAAAGCTGGGACAATTTTCGAACACTTTTCGTCTGATTTCTGGAATAGGGTAAGGGGAGAAATTGCATACTTGTAGTCTAAAATAGGGCAAGAGTTCCAAAAGAATATGCCACATACTGCCATATTAAAACAATACAGGAGACTCCAGCCCCCCCCCGGAACACAGGTGCGGCCCCAAAAAGCCTCTATAATCCTGTGTGCTGTTGCAGTAGGGTGTTTCATTGCTCCGGTGTGTGAAATGAAGCAAATTTGAGACAAATTCGGCTTCCATTGCCAGTAATTTTTTTATCACTCGGCGTCGGGGAAATAATTCAGTTGGGAAGCTGCAGTGTAATTTAAAAATTGTCTGCTAGCAGCGGAGTCTCTAGCCGCGAAAAGAAGCGCCGCTAGCAGTGTTTTTATAAAACAGTTAAAATAGCTGTTCAATTGACCAAATATTGCCTAGAATTTTCTAGAAATTCCTAGATCCATTCATGTACGATTGTCAAAACACACCTCACTAATTTTTCACATTTCGCTCTCCAGGTTAAGCTATATCAGTCTTAGAAGAAGAAAACCTAAAATTTTCGGACTCGAAAATTTGATGGAGAAAGGAATCGGAAAATTTCCAGTCATCTTCGTACATAAAGCTGAAGCCCTTGTACTACTTGACTCAGGTTGACCTAGGATGACCGTGCAGATACAAACTTTACAGTGCAGCTTAGAATTGATTTCTTGTGATCTAAAAGTAATAGAGAGCGTAAAAAGTGAGGAGGAAACCGTCTTTGGGTGTCCCTGTGTTAAACAGAAAAGTTGCTTTGAACGCGTGCTGCAGTGGTCACGAGGAAAGCGGTGATCGTTACTGTGTTGCTCGCATGACAAGCGATGAAATTTCACGTGCTTTGAAAGTTTATTTAATTTTATATTCGCATGCGACGTGACCACTTCAGAGATCAACAGGATTGGTTAAATCCAACATTGTTCAAAGTCGCATCGTTCAAAGTGGAAACGTGCAGACGTGAATAAACTCGACTCATTACAGAACTTTAAGGCAACCGACGTCCTGAAGTTAGTTTGTGAGGTGGGTAGATTTTTTTTTGTCAACTGAACTGATAGACAAAGAGATTTCTCACGTCACTGATCATGTGAGATATTTTGAGATCTATAGGCCGCATAAACCTCGCCAACCACACCACTCAAGCTGCTGAAACGTGCACCTGACGTTTGTAAAACCTTGATAGAAAGCTACTTTTTGAGATCTTCATTCAATGTTTTGTAGAAACATTCAGATCGCTCAAACATTTTGGTCATTTACTTGTTTTTTCTTGCATGACATATTGTACAAATAAATACATTATTCACGCTGATTAGTTTAGACCGCCTGCTTCGACTCACACCTGTAATCGATCAGGGTTATCATAAATCCCTTATTTCCTCTCGGGCTCTATATGGATATTATACTACTACTACTACTAATAATAATATATTTCTAAGAGCAAGAAGTGAAATTAAATAATGATAAAACATCGAGACTTATTACATATTGAGTGTATATCTATAGGAAAGTCTATTGATTGAAGTATTCTGAAACGTATTAATAAGTGTGCGAGCGCTATTCTTGATGTTGTTCTTGTTGTTGTTCTGTATTAATAATTGTGCGAGCGCTATTCCTGTAGTTGTATGCAGTGTTTAGTTAATACTCAAACAACCCCTTCCTCCTCTGTAAGCGAAGTTGTCACGATGTAAAATAAGCCACATTAACTGTTATGTTATGTTTCAAGTAACTACCAAAACTGCTCCTTATAGAGCCCCCCTCCCCACGTTGCCCAGGGGAGGGTTGCGTGACGAGCTAAAAGAATGTGTACGTCGGAGTTTTTAAAATCCGTGTACAATTGCGAGCCAGTTGTCACTGAGATGTGTCAGCACGCCACCAACGTGATGGAGCAAGGAGACAAATTAAAATAGATGGTAGGTAGGTAGATAAATAGTCTAAATAGGTAGGTAGATTTCAAAAAGATTTAGAAACGCGCTCAGCCCTAGCAACACTTGGTTAGTTTTCATGGTCCACACGTAACAGATAAAGGTTCGTGTACAATTGCGAGTCAGTTGTCACTGAGATGTGTCAGCACGCCACCAACGTGATGGAGCAAGGAGACAAAAATAGATGGTAGGTAGGTAGGTAGATTTTAAAAAGATTTTAAAACACGCTTAGTCCCAACAACACTTGGTTAGTTTTCACGGAGGGCGTGTCCACATATAACAGCTAAAGGTTAAGACCAATATTTCATTACTAAACTACTGGACAAAAAATTATAAAAAATTACTAACATAAAGATAACAGCTTGGCATGACCAACCTACGTTCTTATACTAGGAAGAGGGCTTCGGTATCAAGCACTGACTGTTGTAATTAGGATCAAGCACTGACAATACTGATCGGGGTTAACTTGGCACTGAAAATAGTGATTAGGGATATATATGAGCATTAACCTTACTGATTAGGTTTAAGCACAGAAATTAGTGTTAGGGCTAAACACTGACAAATTAGGGTTAAGCACGGACTCGAAACGGTTCAATACGCTCCGGATTCGATTCTTGAAGAGAACAACACTTCATGGAAATTTGCAAAGCAGAAATTTCAACAGCCTGCGAAAACATCCGTTTCTCCTCGCTCTTCGCGGGGAAGAGCGAGGAGAAACGGATGTTTTCGCAGGCTAAAATTTCAAGAGGCTTAGAAATTTCTTGTAAGGCGGTAGTGTGGCGTAGGTGGTGGACTGCAAACACTACTATATACAGTCCGGATTCGATTCTTACTCACGCTACTCTCATATTTTTTTTCCTTAAAAATCGAAGAGACTTGCACTTTAATGAACATTTGCTGACCAGAATTTTCAAGAAACTTATCTCATGTAAGCGTAATGTGGAAATAATAAATTAAGAAAACAAAGTTGTTTGAACTTCATCCCACAAGGGGGAACAGTTTTCAGAATGAAGCTGTTCAGTATTACGCTCTTCCTGTTTCCAGAGTACCCAAACAAAATTCTTAATACACCTTATGGCTCCTGTACCCGCGCTAACCTTCTTACAAATCATTTCAGCATGACAGTCCCAGCTAAGTTTTTCATCTATCAGTACCTCTAGGAATTTATGTGTGGAAGTTCGAGGAGCCAATGAACACCATACTTTTGATTGTAGACGGAGTTTTAGTAGCCTGCAAGCAAGCGTTTCCCCGCAAGTTCGTCCAGAAAGTCGGGAAGAGAGCACAAAAGAGGAATGAAGGGGGAGGTGGAGGGAAGAAAAGAAAAACTTTCCTCTTTTCCCTTCCTTCATCCCCGCCCCCTCCCCCCACCTTCCTTTTTTTCCCTCTCTCTCTCTCTAACTTTCGCGCAATAACTCATCTGAAGAAAACGTTTGCTACGCAAGCTAGTGTGCCACTTACGAATATGATCGAGATCAGAGTTTATCTTTACGATGAGTTTGTTGGCATCGTTATTTTCACATTGTCTATAATGCAGCGTGTTTACCTCCCAAAATTATGCATAAGCATTGTTTTTTAAAATTCCTTTAATACACAGGATTTAGAAACAATAGTTATTCAAAATTTTCGGGGGCGTAGACAACAAGGGCAATGAGAAAATGGTGGTTACAGCACCGTTTTTGCCAAGAGAAGATACTAACTTTGAAGTGAAATTTTGCCAAGAAAATCTTTTGCGTCCGTTTGGAAGATACTTTATCCAAAACCGAAGTAAGCACTAGAGGAGAAATCTAATGTCCATCGGGGGCCGCTATAGCCAGACTTTTATTATATGCACCAGGCAAAGGGAACGAAACGTAATAACAATTACATAAATTTTCCCCTGCAGGGAAAGAAGCTTTAAAAGCAGACGTCTCGTGGTTAGGCCAACGGAGAGAGAAGATAATGGCTCCACTAGATATTGTGAATGGCGAGATTTTTTAACATGAAAATTGTGGATAAAAAGACGTTTGGAAAAAAGGTCAGGAAAGAAACTACTTACTTAAATATTGCATTAATTCTTCAAAGACTTGAAGAAAAAAAAACCGTCAGGAAATTTTACTGATTTAAAATTCACCTTTCATGTGTACCTGCTGATAAAAAAATCACGAGTGAAGAGCATGTTTAATCCAGGCGTATGAAAGGATGACTCAGTACTGAGGCACAAGGGACCCTCTTCGACGATGAACGACCAAAATAAGCAAAACAACAATTCTGTACGTGCATCACGCTTTTTTTGTACATTTCTTTGCCTTCACTGCACGAGTAGGATGTGAAAAATGTCTAATTTAACGTTTTATGAAGGACATAAACAAGCAACGACGAAATTTTCTTCTCTTTCTGAAGTTGAATAGTGCTCTTGGTAATTTAACTCCAGGAGAGTTCGCCTACATTTGAAAAAGTAAGTGACTTGGAATAATCGAGATGAACATTGAAAGAAGGTAAATTGACATTTTCAGCGAAGTTTTCTTCGCCGCCGTCGTCGGATTAAGGGGACGTATATTTGCGACGTTAGGACCTTTGGACAGTGTATACTATAGTGTTACAGAGTCAGTCCCATTCAGCAGGACACACACGAGCTACTGACGTACTCCTTAGTTAAAACAAGATTAAAATCAAGTCATACTCGACCATTGCCTCCGCCGCGCAATATTTCATGTACGAGGCTGAGTCATAGAATATTTAGTGCTTGCCAGCCAACTGCTTTATGTTGTCATAGTAAGATATTTTGTATTACTTTTTATAGCTTTTTTATACAGATAACCAACTACTCTGAATCTCGTCCTTTAGTCAAGCAATGTACATCGTTGTGTTTTTAAACTCTGAGTTTCGCAAGAACAACCCTAAATGTGCTCAAACAATTGTGAGAAGAGTCTGCTGCGAGGGACACTGTATCACGCTGTTTGGTGAGTTCAATCAAAATTTGTGTCATTTCATGGTGTTCACCATTTTCTTGCACCCTCAAAAAGAAAAACAGGACAGCCGTGGGTGAAACAAAAAGGTGGGCTTGAACTGTTAATAGCTACAACTGAAGATTATATTTTCGCGAAGATTCTTGGGCAACGCTTCGAGGCTGGGAACGCAGTTTTGAACTTTGAGACGGTAGACTACTCATGCTTTTGCTATATCAACCCGCTTAACAGTCTCGTCAAAGGCTCCATTTGCTTTTTCGTGTTACAAAATTGCTTAAAGTTTGGCTCTCAGCACTATTGGGAATGAAAGGCTTTAGCAGACTATTACAAAAACTTAAAAGCGATCTAGACAATGAGACAGGGAAGAAAGGATAGACGAAAGAAGAACGAGCGCAGTTTTAGCTAGTCTGCGAGCAAGCTCTCTCTCCTAACCGTCTGACCCATTGATTGCTACTGGCCTCTTCTCCAATTACAATCCTGAGTTTTTGTGTTTGTCACATTTCTAGCCACTTCTTGTCATCTTAATTATTGCAAATGCCCGTAAGGCTAACAACGAAACCAACCAGTTTTCAAAACTAACATGTTGTACGTTATTTCTGTCCAGCGTCGACACCCAAGGGTCGATTGTTTCCAGTGCTGGAGGAACCTCGTTCCCAGTTCACCTCATGTTTTGGTCAGAAACCTGCTCAACTGGTCCAAGACAGGATTTCCAAGTCAGACGCTATCATCTTACTAGCTGATAAACCTGTTTATGAAATCCCTCGAGACTTTCAGACTGTAAAAGAACATTGTAACGGAGACGTGTATTCATGGTGTTGGTATGGGGTTCACTGTGCCTTGCTCGGTGGAACAGTTAACAATAAAAGAGTGGCGATACAATTAAGGGCGCTACTAGAAGACTCCGCTAATTTGCTCGTTGGAAGTATCTTACCACGCCCATGCAACTTTGAGAAAATGTACAAAGTTGATCCGATGCTTGAGACTGGAGAACCTTGTGTGACTTGATCACGTGTGGATCACGTGTGAATAAAACGCACCGGAGAACAAAAGAGGGGGTACACGTCTCGTGGTTGGACCAACTGACAGGAAAGCTAATAGTTCCAAAGGATAATTGCGAGAACGTTTAAAATATGAATGAGCAGAACGTTGTAAAAGCTTTGATTCTGGATAATCAAAAGGGCGTCATAGGACGATGATGGGGCAAACAAGAAGTGCTCTGCAAGTCACAAAACTTAAATCAACAATTAATATTTATCTAGTAATACTTCTAAGGAAGAAAAGGCTTCTTGTGAAAAAAAAAAGTGTCTTAGGAATCGGGGCATTCGCTTAACGCGGAATGTATAGGCAGCGCAAAGCAGTGCATTGAGACAAGGAGTGACTCCTTTTTGGAGCCTGGCTGAAGAGATTCTTTCAAAATAGACTTTCCGAGCACTTGGTGATCGTCAAATGATTTGTGGTTATTTCTGCTCATGATCCGTTAGATTTTCGCTTTACAGATGCCTTGGAATTTATGAAAAGGTTCTTGACTGAAGTTTTTTATGCAATGTATCCACAATCAATAATAGGAAGAACTGTTTCCTTTTGCACATCCATTCCTCCAAGGCTATTTTATTACGTCACCAAATTTAACGTAGCAGTGGAGATGAAAATGTGACTTGTCAGGCAGTTCGTCTTGTTACGTGACCATATCATTTTAATAACAAAATTAATGTACATATATATAGTAAGATCCTGTTATTAAAATAAATCACAGCCGTTTATTCCTTGGTGCGTTTGGAATTCATGCTGTTACTTTTTTTAACAGGCCCCAGTTGTTCAAACGATGGATATCGCTATCCACCGGAAAATCTCCACCCAATGGATAAATATTACGAAAACTAATTGCGTTATCCAGTGGATAGAGATTTATCCGGTAAATAACGCTATCCAACTTTTGAACAACTGGGGCCAGGTCGATAAAAGTTACTATAATAATAACTATAATATTGTTACGATTTACACCTTCAACAACAGTGTGGTTATTTCCAAACCAACGCCCTAATTCTAAGCCATTGAAATTGCCAATACTGTTTCTTCTAGTCATCCCTTCAGCCCTACCCAACGAGTAAGCTCTCCATTAGGGGGAGTCCCGAGAAGTCACACGAGAGTAGCACAAGAAAGGAGACGCGAGTGCCAGGAGCTGACTCGCGCGTTATCTCGCGGCTCGCAGGTGGACTTGCTCACATGCTACTCCAGCCCCGTGTAGGCAAAGGGTACATTACACTAACATTTGAGAAGGCGGTAGGTTTTGGGACAATCATGTGAAGAGCCAACAATCAAACAAAGTAAAAACTGTCAATAAAAGCATAAGTGGAATGAATAGGGGTATGCCTCACGCACATAAGGATTTCAAACACGTGCCCTTCGCGCGAGTGTTCTCGAAAGTGCTCCTCGCCAACCGGCGCCTGATATGCAAGGCAACAAGCAGTTATCAGAACAGACATAAAAAAAGTTGCCTGTATAGAGGTGTACATTGAATTTATTTGGAATGATCTAAATTGCATATATCTAGTAATATAGTATCTTTTTATGCAACATTTCATATAAAATTTGTGATTAAGAAAATATATTGAAACAATTGTACATTATGCGGGTTGAATTATTAACTGGGGCATCATCAATCGAGCAGACGAACTATCCGCCTTAAAAGGGAAAACTTTCAAGTGCCTTCAGCGAGGCAATCATAAGTTTCACTGACATAATAACGAATCTAAAAAAGTCTAAACAAAAATGATTGCTCTTAGCTTTACATTAAAAAAAAAACCAGGGTTATAATTATGTCATTTCGCGCCCTTTGTGCGACTGGGCACGAAGAGAATGATTAGAAGATAACGATGTTGACGTCCTAGAGAGGGCTGCTTTCAACAGAGTCAATAGTAATGATGCATTTGATTGACAAGGTTAACACTTTGCGATTGGCTAAGAATCTCCCGCTAATTTTTTAGCCTGTCAGGGGTAAAACTAAAACCATCGACGTCCCAGTCGCGCGAATTTTCCCGCGCTTGATCCGGTTACATTTTTGATGCGATCTGATTGGTTCATTTGTGTCAAAGTTTGTTGTGATTGGCCACAGGATCATCATTCGTTTTCCCGCCAGTTCTATTCCTAAGATAAACAGCCCTGGAGATACGTTTCATCGATCGTGGTTTTCGGAAGTGTTCGTTTCTTTTCGTGCGACCGTCGATTAACGATCACGCTGTCTCGGGAACTCGGTCATTCCTCCCAAGGGCTCACATCGGTATCTATCGCTAAGCAGTTATAAGCAGCGTAACGAATCTTCTCTTCTGCTACTTTGGCGCTGCAATTCAAAAAAACAGTTGTATTTCAAAGGCTTGCCCTAACAAATCAAAGGCTATTGCTGTTGCGTTGGAGGTCTGGATAATTAGTTTGCCGCTAATCAAATTTTCCGTATTCTGTTCATTTAAGTTTCTTGGTGGACTGCTAGCAGTCCCTCGGGCGAGCATGTTAATCGCGAGCGAGCAAGCGACATGTTCGCCCGCGCGACAGTTCTGAGGGATTGCAAGCAGCAAGGTTTTGCCAGAAGGGTGTCCAGCCGTCCTATAGACGCTCATCCATGATATTACATTAAAAAGACACACAGTTGCTTTTGTAATTCCAACCCTCACCCACCCCTCCCCGCCCCCTCACTTCACTCTCTGCAATGGCATAAAGTACATCCTCATGTTACATACCTTGAATATTCCGGTAGAAACAGAGTACTGGAACACGTGGCTGCTTCAGGTAAAGAATCCATTTTGATTGAACTGAAATGAGATAAAATTGACGATAAACGCATGATTTGGTGACGACACTTTCCTGTAGTCTCTGTATTTGAGGGGAGGGGAGGGGAGCGGGCGTCTGTACACAGACTACTTTTCTTTGACACTAATTTCCTTTCACTAAGAGTCATGCAGACGTACACTGCAATTCTAACTTTCAAGTCCGTGGATGAAATCCTGTGATGTGACTATTCATATGAAACCTCTCTGTCACAGCTTTCACGAGGTAACGTTAGTTTTTTAGTATTTCATAAGCTATTATATTTTTGTTTGATGTGGTTTGTTGTGGATTTCCCTCACCTTCTTCCTGGGCAGATGTAGAGCGGTGCTGGAAGTCTCCTTCTTCCGGTCACGAAACGAAGAAAACGGCTACGATCATCTGGGGGAAAAATAATAACATGCAAAAAAATTGTTTAGTAAAGTGTTGTGTTAGCCTCAACAACTTTCTGAAGGGGCAATACATCATTCAGGTATGAGAACAACATTACATATCGATTACTTAAGGGATTTCTGACCGACAGTTATCACTCAAATGTTTCTGAAAATTTCGTAGATTTCTAAGGTTTCTAGGTGAGATCACTGGACAACGTTTAAGTTATTACGCCAGCGGGATTTCCGGTGGCAAGCTGGCGAATTTCCGCTGATTTTTATGTTGGATACAGGTAATCTTTCTATAAAGTTGTCTAAATCAACAACTTATTTTAGATTTTCGCTCCCGAAAATCACGACTTTCCTATTACATCCAAAGTAGAAACTACGTTAACAAAGAAAAAAAGGCGGAGCTTACCGTTTGTAAAATTTTCAAGTGCCTTCCAAAGAAACTTCACACGCTTGTCATTTTCGGAAATATCTTCATATTGCACTACAAAAGAAAAACAACAAAAACAAAAAACAAACGGTTAAGAATGAGTGCATGCGCGGAGCACTGAAAGAAGACGGAAACATGTCTTCTTGTACAAACAAAATTGATAGCAGTGAGCCGGATTAAGAGGGGGGGGAGTTTCTCTTTCAGTTGAAACCCTGACTTCTGCGATGCCGGGGTGTATTTCATATTCATCTTTTCATCACCGATTTAATGACCATCTCCGCGCTAGCTTGCTGGCCTTATTGGTTAGAGCGCTGCACCGGTATCGCAGAGGGCGATACCGGTGCCGATTCGAGGTTCGGATCCCGGCAAGCCTGAATTTTTTCGGGCTTTCTTCTTCCAGCTGCATAAGCTGTGTCTTCATCTGCGATGATCGTCTTCGCATTTATTAGTTATTGTCATACTTACTACATTTCTTCAATGCTTCAACCGTAAGCTCGGGGTCACCACAGACTCTCCTTTCCAGTTCCTGCCAAGTGAGAAGGTCGAGCACAGCTTGGGAAAGAACTTTAAGCAAGCCTCGTCTAATTGCCTCGATCTGAGAAGAAAAAGACAGTTCGCAGTGGTCATTTTACGAACTGACAAAAAGCTGCACGTATAATTTTGAAATACAAACCAAAGGTGAAGGATATCATTTTTTTGATTTTCGAATCCTTCTGACCCGATACATCCGGTGAAGTAGGCGAAACGTTTTCCCCAAAAGTGGGCTTGATGCAAGAATTTGACTGCGGGAACTCCTAATTTCATCGGCTGTTAAGCAATAGATGGGCATGCTAACGGAAGTAAGAACTCTGTTACAGTTGAATCTTGCTTGTCGGCTAAGATAGAAGTAAACAGTTTTCAGACGAATCGTTTGCTTGCGAACTCTCAGGGGAATAATTCTCAGGGGAATAATTCGCCCTTCCACCACCCCCTGTACTTAATTCCCTTTTCGCTCTCCCCGACTTGTTAGCGCTTTCTCCACTTCTCCTCGTCCTACCCCTCCCACAAAAGAGCCAGTCCACAGGCTAACCACGGTCGGTTATGGAAATTTGCATACCTGTGCTTTTCCTTCAGCCATCCTGCAGTTTCGCACCAGCCTTATGTACTCGGTTCTTTCTTCATAATCAACGAACTTATCAGCTCCTCCAGGCACAAGGTTTATCAAAGTGTTATCACTTAAAACCTGTCATGGAAAAAAGAAACAACACAACACAATCACTTTCTGGAGATTCGGAATGTCAGTACATTCAGTCTTTTTGATAGACTGACTGTTGATCAGTTAGCAAGATGATGAAATATTCTGTCTCTCTGTCCGCCAGTCGGTCGGGCAGTTAAGTTGTCAGACCATCAATCAATCAGTCAGGCAGTCTGTTCACTACTTATTCAATCAGTCAATCCATTACTCAGTCAGTCAGTCTGTCAATCAGTTAGTCAATCATTAAGTCCGAGTTGGTCATTGGGTCGGTTGGTCGGTCAGTCAAACAGTTGGCAAATCAGTCAGTATGCCTGAGTCAAATAATTATCTGAATCAAGAACGGTGTTTTCCTTGTAAAAAATACACAAGCCAGCCCCTACCGTCGTGTAAGTGAGGACTCCTCCAAATTTCATATTAAATGAATCTTTGTCCATTGACTCTAGTGATTCAAGTAACTTGACCTGATGGCATGGAAGGAAGTAGACAAGTAGATAATAACAATAATACAACTCCTTTCTGTGTATGCAAAATAAGGCCTGGTTTCATCTATCTGGGTTAAACACCAACACTTTCTGTTACCTACAGCCATACACATGCAACTAAACAATTCTGTACACACAATAGTCTGCTTAACACAGCTGTTTTTAGTGTCGTCACGCAACACTTAGGAGGAGCATTGTGTGACCACAGTAAAAACATCTGTGAAGCAGACTATACACACACCTGAGCCAAATCTATTGTCATGAAGTCACGAGACCAGGTGACCTTTTCTCCAACAAGCTGTCGCCAGACAAATGACGGAAGTGAAAGAACCTTGAAAGAACAAACACAGTTAGCTAGCCCCCTTAGTTTGTGAAGTGTACTTAGTATTTCTCAAACTCATTAATAATTCATAAAGAAAATTCAAAGGAAATTAATGTTTAATGAGTGTTTGGATATCAGATGAAAAACTGCTCATTTTTGCATCCTTAATTTCTCCTTCAAAAATGATTTTTTTGAAAATTCAAAAGATTTTCATCACCAGATGAAACAGTAAATCAAAAATTACAGTGTTTCATCTGGTGATGAAACACTGCATCTCATGTTTGATATATTACTTCAAACTCCCTTTGTTTCCCCTTCATTTTTGAAAATTGAGTGTTTGTACAGTAATGTAGTTACAGGAGGCAAAGTTGAACATTCTGTTGCACATGCAGTGTATGACACCGCCAGACATTTATTGTAGAGGTAGTAAGAGTAACAAATCTGAGTGACATAAACACAAAGGTACTGCCAAAAATGTTTTCTTCGAGTGGTCAGACCATACACAAACAATTCCATCCACAAATCCGAAAGTTGGAAATGCAGGACTTGTTTTATAACTGATTCTGAGGATTGAAAATGAAGATTTCATTTTGCCAGCCACAAGGTCAACTAGAAAACCAAAAACTACTTCATACCAGATGTTCTTTGCTGCTCCTTAAGCATGCCCCCATTAACATGCCAATCCATTCAAACTTGCTGAACTGCTTACATGAAGGGTTAGGCACATATGCATCTCTGTTCACATTTGAAGAATCATGCAGCTAAGAAACAAAGAGAGAGGAGAGTTAGGTGCTAAACACACAAAATTTAATAATATCGCTGTTACTGTAAAACGTTTGTTCCTTACTATGGGAAAAAAAAAACCACTTTATTTATTTTGCGTGTCAAATAATGTAGTTGACACAAAGGTACTAATTTGGGACACAAATTTTATGTCTCCAACTGGAGACAGGACTGCCATTTTACGTGGCCATCCGAGACATGCGAAGGTAGTCGGTTGCAGTGCAAAGGGAATACCTTCATTTCCCAGTTATTTTAAGACCCTGAGTATTGGTCCAGCCCCGGGAATCAAACCCTTGACATTTCCCGCTTAGCAGTCAAATGGAAAAATGAGCTAAGTTTGTACCATGAATATAGTTACAATAAGTGATCCATGAGATATTTGGACTTAAATGCATTTTGTTTCAGTCTGTTTGCACTTTGATGCAGAAGATAAGATAAATGTTTGTTTTATGCAAATTAATTTAAATCTAAATCATAGAGAAATTTAAATGGCGACTAAGTAAACCAGAATTTTTATATTGAAAAGGGGCAAAAGTTTTCACCCTGCAGTCAAGCTCACTACCAAACGAGCTAATCCTGCCATGAATATAAAAACAAATGAATCAATCCAAAAACAGATTCAAGAGTTTTGACATTCTTTTGCTGATGTTAAAACCAGCCTCACTAACCTCACTAATGGATCATATGTATGGAAAAATAAGTTTTGGTTTACCTGATTGGGGCTGCGAACAAAGAAAGGTAGAGGTATAGGAACATCGGTGGAACTTGGACAAAGCTCTTCAGCAACATCTGCTAAGGAGTCTCTAAACCCACCACCTAAAAGATTACAGTATTACTATGTGAGTAGTGTCAAATGTCTCTAAATCTTCTGACAGGAGATGGTGCTGCATGCAAGTATAATAAAGTGTCTTTGCCACCCTTTCCCTACCCATGGTCCTTGAGGCAAGCACAAGGTACCGGTGTATAATAAGTATGGCAAAATGTCCATAAACTCAACCTTAAAGTGACAACACATCATTTGGTCAAAGGCTGACTAACCTTGATCGATGATTCCCTCGGACAAAAATTTGCACTCCCACCATTGGTCATATCGAGAAGACCACCTATAGAACAATGATACAGGAAAATTTACTGATATTTCATTTCCTCCTATCCTGACTTGGCTTGAGTAATCCTGAGGGAATACAGAGAAAGTAAAACATAAATTGCAGAGGAGAGATACACCTGTATCCTACCTGTAATCCAACTTTACCCCACATTTTTCTTGCTTCAAACCTTCATAAAGCTGAAGGGAAAATCAGAGTAATAAAATGATAAAAAATACTTCCTTTGAAAAACTGGTAAATACTGCTACTAATGCACTACGCTAGCTGAGCTAACTTGCAAGTAAATGTTCTAGAGACTGGGACCGAAATTTATACCAGCATGAACATACTTTTACTGGCATTTAGTAAAAGGCTAAATGGTAAAAACACTGTAAGTTCTTGAGTAAATAACTTGATAAGTTAAAATGGGATTAAATACTCAATCTATGGTGATGGCAATGAGAATGAGAACGACAAAAAAGCACTTAGGTTTAGATTGGCAAAACAACAACTTTGTACGTTTCTTTGCCGTTGTTGCACGACTATGAAGTGAAACTGCATAATTTCATGTTTGTGGAGGACGTGGGCTCAAGACAACAACCCTCTTTTTCTTTTTCTGAACTGTGATACAGTCCTTTAGATCACAACTCTAGAAAAATTTGCCAACATTTGAGAAATTGAACAAGATGGAATACATGTGATTAAGTTTGAAGCAGCACAAACACACTTTTTAACTGATGTTTTCATAGCTGTAACTGTCGCCATCATTGTTGCTTAAGCTCCCTGTTTAGACCAACAGTCATCACAACTACTGATGCCACCTGGAAGTGGAATTGAGATTAAAGGAGCACCTGGAATGAGGGCCCAGGTCGCTGCTAAATATCTGCTAGATTCTTTTGTACTGTTTCCCTTGTACATGCTTGTGGTATGAAGGGAGAATATAAGACTGAATGCTAACCTGATTAAATATTGAGCATTTAGCATCTGGATCTTGTGTTGGATCTGCTCTGTGTTCAGCAGCTGAGCGTCTGTTAATGAACAGCTTTGGCATGTGTGCTGGAGGGCTAAGAAATTGGGAAAAATTAGGATTGGACATCTACATTTTAATGATGTACATGTAAAGTAATGTCATTCCTCTTGGATGGAATGCTATGCTTAACCAGTATGTTCTTCTTCAAAATTGGAGCATAGCTGTGTTATAGCAAAAAGCACCATACCTGGATTGAGATTCTCTGATGACTTTGTCGATTAACATGGTTCTGTGCTTTGACAAGGGAAGAAGCTGACGAATGGCCTAAAACAGAAATAACAAATATATGTGACATAAAAATAATAAATGAAGCACCTGCCAGAGAATGGCAACATGGCCTAAATAGCAGCAACAGCTTGGAAAACAAAATATTATGCAACTAGTAAAAATACTGATGCTACTGTATACTAACTAACTATCTTGCAAGTACGTGTACTAGGTGGAACACCGTGATCTAGGTTGTGAAAAAAACAACAAAAATAACTTGATAAGCCAAGGAATAATACTCAAGCTATTTCAAACTTTCCCCATGGACTAAAGGCTGTCTTTGTCCAGTGTTCTCCTGCCCAGCGGGATTCCTAAGAAGAAAAACTGAAAACTGTTTGTCCCATCTGTTTAGAAGGGCATTACAAAACTGATGCCATCCTGATTTGAGAACAAACAAACTGCGTCTACACATACAAATGAACTGTGGGAGAAAGATTTAACATGTGAAAGATCATCTCAGATCATGATCTTTCACCTGTTAAACTGCCTCAACGATGACATAATGTTCAACACAAAACACTGACATCATACATTTTCCATTTCTGCGGCAACAAATAATGTGTGTAATACCTCTAAGTCTTTAAATGATCCAGCTGAGTAGTTCCAAGAAGGCAGTAAATAATGTAAAACACTGTCCAGTAGCTCGGTAAATCTAAAAAGAAATATACTCTAACTATTACAATCACACATTTTCTTTCATTTTTTTCGACTTATATCTCATTTGCAAGCACAGTTTACCTGAGCAAAGCTTGTGCCCTTCTGTATAGTAGGGCTGGATCAACAGCGTCTAGTTTAGGAAACCTGTGAATAATAATATAGTTGACAATGAGCACATAATGAGAGTTAAAACTCTCTCCCACCACCCCTCCCTCCGCAGATTTTTTTTATATATTTTATATACCTACATGTACTTTCATTTTTATCTATATTACACATATATAAATATATTTTATTAGTTAGATAGTCTTGATAAATGTAAAGCTACTCTGTAGAAAAGTCATCAATAAACCGTTATCATTATTTTTTATTTCTACACAAATATTCAAATGACCTTCAAGAACAAGACATTTGCTGCAAATTTATTATCATTCTCTTTCTATTATCAATAATTTATTATAAAGGAAATAAAGGGAGATGTAAAGAATCAACCATAAGAGGACACAGAAAAAAATCTGAGCCCCAGATGGGATTCGAACCCACGACCGTCTGTGTTCTAGATCATGTTGATAAATCTGTTAATTTGAAGTAAGAATGTACAAAATGAGGAAGAAACATTTATTTGAGCATTTTCTTTTGGTTTAGCCTCACACTAAACTCCTCAAATAATTAAAGTTACATTCATTTGCATCTTTTAACTTATGGCTTTGGAAACCTTAAGAGATTCCAATAACCAACCATGGAGGAAGTACATATTATTATCACTTTTTTAGATATTCACACAGAAAGTATCAACAATGTAAATTCACATATCAACAAAAAATTAATACACAACTGAAAAATTTATTATTACCTTACAAGTTCAGAAGAGGTAAATAAATCCTTGTTAAGCCCTGGTTCTCTTTCACTCTCCGTGATTAACTTGATGCTACGAATGCGGGTATCTATGCCCTCATCTATCAACAAATATGAGGCACATAAGGATGTAAATAAATCTGTTAAAGCTAAAAGGATTTCCTTAACAAGTGTCTAGAGGTGATTTTCAGGCTATTGTCTACAGATCTGTGCTGACAAAGTCATTAAAAATGGATTAAATGAAGCAGACATTTTGGAGCCTACCCTTGCACTCTTTAATTCTGATTTGAATTATGCTATAGTATTGGCCCACTCCTTTTGCTACACACACATCTCCAGAAACAGTCCTGTAGGAAAAAAAGTAACAAAAAAAATCCCAACTAAACAAGAAGAGTGATTGAGTGGTCACAGTTAAAATCTCAAAATCTGAACTAAAAATTTTACATCTATTACTAAGTTGTAAATGAAACAAAAAATTGTAGATAACAACTTACGATTCAATAAAAACTTCACCGATTTCTTTCAAGTTTGACTGTGAATCACCTCCCATGACAACAACATGATGGGGCATGTAGTTATCATCTTTGGCATCTACACCAATAGAAAGTTGTCTAAAAACAACGAAAACAATTGAGTAATGTGTAGAATATTGGGTGGATGAATGCCTGAAAAATGCTGCCTGCTCAACTGGCAAAGAATCCATGTACAGAGCAACAAATTGTGATTTAAAACTCAGCTGCACCAACAGTTAGGTTGGCAACATTTAAATGTGCTGGCTAAAACATGAATGGTGAATTATAGAACTATAAGAGTTGTGAAACCAAAATACAATGGCCGTCTTGAGAATAAAATTACCGGTAATGTAAGTGGCCAATGTAGAAAAATTAAAATAAGAGGGATGAAGTTTCACGATGTTTTTAGAGAATGTTTTGAAACAATCCATCTACTGGGACAAGGATAAATGGCATTTGCAAAGTGGTAGTTGGTCAAGGTTTGACTATAATTTATACTTTAGAACAGGGAAGAAATATTAAGGTTTCAATTTGATTCGTACATTTACTAACCTTATAACAGTGCCTGGTCTCATTAAAAGTTTGATCCAATGTCTGCCTTGACTGCCATCTGTTTCCCAGTAAGTATCTGGATCACCATCTGTCAAGGCATCTTTGGATTCTTCTTCCTTCAATTCCACAAAAATACAGCAATATTTTCAGTTTACCTGTATGCTACTACTCTTTTTTTAAACTATTTTGTTTTAAAGTTCAAATATTACATTCCAATCACTTAATCTTTATCAGCAACTGTATTCAACTGACTGTTGAGATGACAACTGACTCATAGAGAGCTAGAAGGTCTAGACCCTTGTTGAGATTCCATGAAGCTTTGTCCCTTCTTCATAGTAATGGTCTACCCCACTCAGCATTTAATAGCATGATATTCAGCAGTTACATTAATCATTGTGTTGTGTGGGTTGATTATGTGTCCTACTTTTTATATTTGTTTGTTTAGTTTTTTGTTGTTGTTGTTGTTCTACACTGTTCAAAACCAGCAGCGGATTCCTGGATCACACACTTTTAGCGCAACAGCTGAACTCCTTTTGTCCATTAAAAAATCTCCAACATGCATGCAATTACAATGACAGACTTACAGAAGACACTTGAATAGACTCAACATATCTACTGATATTCCCAAGAGATGCCTCATGTTTATTAACATGTTCAGCCATAAATTTGGCTAGCTCTTCATCTGCATCTAGACTCCATTTTAATGGAGGAGAGCTCAGTTGATGCATAGCTTCTTTGTCTGCAAACCTCTCAATGGAGGGTGGGTCAGTAATTCTGAGAGCATAACATATTTCCACTGCATCTTGCCAACTAAAGGGGATACAAAAATATGAAAGATCATCTACACCATAGCTCCTTTAAATTGTATCACTGCATTTTCTATTGTTTCCCTAAGACAGAATTCGATAGGCAGGTGGGTTAGTTGGAATGAAGGTAAGTGGGTAGGTAGTTATGACGGTAGATAAGTAGGTAGGTAGGTGGGTCGGTGGGTGGGTGGTTGGATGGATAAGTGCACAGGTAGGTAAGTAGGAGGGTAGCAAGTTGCTAAGTAGGCAACAGTGTACAAGCCCATTTGAGTCAAAAAGACGCTTGTGTGGCATGTTTCAGACTTTCAGATAGTGAAAAGTAGCTTGAAGTAAAAAGGGGCACAACAAAAATGAAAACGAGGGAGGTAGAGAGAGAAGAGAGAGATGGAAGAGAGGAAACGTCACTCTCCCCAGTCCCACCTATATTTTTCCTCACTTTTTTTACTTTCTGCCGCTTCTTACTATCTGAATGCCTGAAACAGTCTAGGGCTTGTTGTTTGTAGTAGTAAATGGTATCAAAAATTATTACTGCTCCCCCTAAACAGATGCCAGTCTGTCAATGGTTCCACAGATATTCTGCATACAGACATCCAGCATCTCTCGTCCAGATTCAAAGTCCAATATTATTTTAATAACCTTAATAACAGACAATTGTATCAGAAAGGATTGGTAGGTAGATCTGCAACAGCAACCAGCCTGCATCATGTCAATGCTCTCTATAATAAGGACTCTCTGAATTATAGTTACTTCGTTATGTAAATACTTTACCTTTTAACAGCTATATTTTTTTCTTTGGACGATGGCTTGACATCTGTAGGTTTTAAATAAGGAGCACCTACGCCATGTTTGGCATCATAAGGTACAGAAAGAACCCAGCCTTCTTTGGCTTGTTTACCTGAACAGTACTTCTGCAAAGATTTCTGCAGACATAAAAAATAGTACTTGCAAAAAGGAATTATTATAACATGTTCCGTATTATAATTATATTGAATGGCCTGGATACAAAAAGGACAAGGTTAAGACTAGAATTCCCTTCCTCTAATGACTTAAGCCGTCTACGAAAACAATGTATTGAGTTTTTTAATCAATTCCGGGGCCGGGTACATAATAATATAAGCTAATAACCACTCCCATACCTGACAAAGTTTTATCCAAGACCCATCATTGTTAAAAAATTCATCTCCTGATGCAAACACCTGAAGATTAGAGGCAGAAGGTAGTTCTCCCACGCATTGTCCGTCTTTGTGTGGCTTCTTCCGTATGGTCAATGTCGAAGGATTCCTGCTTTCTTCTCTACCGTACTCCACTTCCGACGAGACAAAACAGAGCGGTAATGGTAAGCTCTTTCCTTGTTCAATGCGCTTTATACTCTCTAGAAGACACCTTATACGGGCAAGGCGTCTTCTAGCTGGTTCATTCTTCATTCTTTGCAAATTTAAAGAGGGAAGAGTATCTTTTAAATACGTAAATAAGCGGCCATTTTTTCTGGTAACAATATGGCGCGACTGCTGGGTAACCAAACCATAGGACAAGACGAAGAAGGCTGGGGTCAAGTTTTCGTACAAAAATTTTCCTCAGTAAATTGGGTAGGGGGGTATTTTCAACTTGGCATAATTTATATTTATATCTTAGGGGATCAAGGGGATTTTGGGAAGGTTTTACTAGATAAAGGGCCCGCATATCAACGCAATAACTTCTACATTGAGCATTTTGTTTATATTTTAGTTATCTGCGAAACTACAGTGTCCGACGGCAGACAAGCGTTAATTTTTTTCTCCTCGCTCATCGCCGCTGAGGAACGTTTCAGCGGCGATGAGCGAGGAGAAACGTCTATCGTTCGCAGGCTAGGGGTGGAGAGGAAGGGGGAGAAAAGCGCGCTCGAAAGGGAAAAGTTAGGGTTTGGGTTAGGGTTAGGGTTCGGCGCTCGCCATGCTACGTAGTACTGAGAAACGTCATTTAGGTTTGATCGTGTTATTCAAACTTTGACTCAGAAATCGCTACAACATTGTGGCTAAAAGTTCGGTAACTCATTTGAAAAGCATTTACCAGCTACTTGTGTTCAAATACCTCGGACCCCCCTTCTTGAAAAAGGGCCCTCTATTAAAAGTTTCAGAGGGGGGCACATTGGCCCTCATCGGGCAATTTCTACAATTGCAAACCCCGTTAGTTTTTTAATGCAAAGAATGACAAACAAGACATACGAATAAGATGAATGAGTTTAATACTGAAGCGGACACTAAATCAAAAGTTACATTATCAAGCTAAGGCCATAAAAAGCCGTAATAGTAACTTAAAGTAAAACTTACACACAGCGATAAAAAAAATCATTCAGCTGTTCAGTTTACTTGAGAGAAAAGCTTCCATTCTCGATCCTTTCCTTTCACATTTCCGCAAATAGCATAGAAATTATTCGTTTTACAAAGCTGCGAGGCTATAAGTTGGAGCTCTATTTCACCAAGAACACTGGTGTTCCTACTTAGTTCCCATCCAGGTTAATGGCATGAGAGTGCTGTTGCGCATGCGCCCATTAAGCGTTTGTTGCGTGGATGAAAGAGCAAGCAGGAGGGGCTGGAGTGTCGCATTTCCAGGGTTTAAAGTCTTTGATCTTGTCCAGCGTTGTTGGGTTCTTGATCCACTCAAGACCCTGGGAAACTGTCACAATCCACACGTCGCCCATGGAGGTCAATTTCCTGAGGAAGACCTCGGTTGCTTTCGTATAAACGAAATAAAAAAATCAGTTTCTACCTTAAAGTAATCAAAATGATTAATTGTAAAAAAAAAAAGTTTCGTCGACTCGAAAACTCTTTGAAATAATGTATGATGACATGCCAACAAGTGAAAGTTATAATCACCTGAACAGCATTATTACCGATTTAGTGGTGAATTAGGAAAATGAAGAGAAATATGAAATAAACTCCAAGAACAATGGCGGGTAAATTCGCACTTACAAAAGATAGACAGCGTCCCGGGGTCACTGGGGGGGACTCCGCATATGAAAGGGTGGGGAGGCTCGTCGGAAATTTTGAATTAAACCCTAAAGGAGACCGATCTGTGCTTGGCCCAAGCTTTTTTTGACCCCTATAAGAGACCATGTTAAAACACAGACAATATATTTATTTTTATTTTTTTCACGTGCAACCCTAAACGAGACCTACACGGCTAAATGTGACGGCGTTTTGCCCAGAACACCCGAGGTGAGACCAAAATCCGAAATTTACACCCCTAAGCGAGACGACGAGCATCCCCACCCCTTTCATATGCGGAGTCCCTCCCTCGGGGACAGCGTTTGCCAAATGGATAATAATTTCCTTCAGAAGTAGTCGTTTTTTGGCTATTCAACACTCAGCCGCCTCTTGTCTCCTCTTTTGCATGAAAAGAAGCCTTGCACACTTACAAGACAAACGACTGCTGCGTGTAAGAGTTCATTTTGACTCTCTTTATAAGACAAGACAAGACAAGACAAGAACTTTGTTTATACTACACACAGAAGAAAAACTTTAAAAAAAGATAGTACTACTTAAGTAAGGTACAGGCCACCTAGAAAAAAGCTAAAAAGCTAAATCTAGCTAGGAGGCATTATAGATTAATTCAGAATATTAAAGAGGCTGTTTTATGGAGACACAATTACAAAACAAGTCGGAAGTCAGAGAAACACTTCCGCCCCCAGTATTTACAATCTTATGAAACCGTTATGTTTAGAACTAACCTTCACGGCGATAGAAATCACCAAGCCATTCTGCTGACAGAGGCATGAAGAATGGAGCCTTGTTTGTCTTGTAATGTAGCTGGAAATTGGAATCAAGCAGGTCCTTGAAAGGTCTGTACGACTGAATATTTGGTGCGCAAGAGTCAATACGATGACAAGAAATTCCTTTTTCATTGAAGTAATCCGCAATGGGTACTTCCCACAAACCCGGAAAAGATTCTAAAGAGAGACAGAAAACAAAATTCATATTTAAAGATAGCTATAGATAAGACAAAAAGAGAAGAAGGAACCTATACAATAAGATACATTATTATTAAGGGATGTCATGGACTAACGAGTTTTCGTCGTAACTTCTACTTATCGTCTTAGCTTATACATCGTGTAGCAAGGACTTGCGCACGCGGTGTGGCGTGCCCCAAGGATCTGTGCTGGCGCCTATATTGTATGTATTGTACACGTCCCCGCTTGGCGACATTGTCAGAAGTCATGGCCTATCATGTCATTGAATTTCTACGCTGATGACACCCAGCTTTACTGGTCATTCAAGCTTCATGATCAAGCGCCTTCAGTGCAAGCAATTGAGTCTTGTTTAAATGATATTGATGCATGGATGCTTGCAAACATGTTAAAGCCGAACAGATCTAGGGATAAAACTGAGCTCCTAGTGATCGGACCGAAGCACAAAATCAACCCACCTATTAAGGGTATTCATGTGGCTGGTGAATACATTGAAGTCTCTAATAATGCAAGAAATATAGGTGTAATTTTTGGTTCCCATGTCAACTTAGAGAAACATGTTATGAACACCTAAAAAATGGCCTTCTATCATTTACGAAATATAGCAAAGATAAGAAACTGTCTCTCTTAGGATAACGCTGAGACACTTGTTCATGCATTTATTTCATCTAAGTTGGATTTCTGTAATGCTCTTCTATATGGCTTACCTCAATCGGTTATTGATAGGCTACAGTATGTACAAAACTGCGCAGCTCGACTGGTGACTAGAACTCGAAGCTCAGAACATATAACACCAGTTCTCCGTAGACTACACTGGCTACCAGTTAGACAACGAATTACGTACAAAATTACTTATACTTATTTTTAATTTTTTATGCATTTTTTGTATCTTTTTAATCCCTTTGCAATTTTATAGCTTTTTTGTTTTTATAACAGATATCTAGTTTTGAGGTCCTTTTTGAAAACCATATCTTTTATGAAAAAGTTTCCTCAATAAAGATGATTATTATTATTATTACAAAGCAATGAATGGCATGGCGCCAAAATATATAGCAGACCTCCTTCAGCCCTATACTCCGACGAGGCAATTACGATCTTCTTCAAAAAATCTGCTTGTAACACCCAAATCTAATCTCAAGTTTTACGGTGACAGATATTTTCAAGTTGCTGCGCCCAGGCTTTGGAACTCCCTAACCGATGACATAAGATCAATCCAGAACCTTGATGTTTTTAAGAATAAGATTAAAACACTACTTTTTAGAGAAGCTTTTATTAGTTAGTTGCCACCCTTTTTTCTTTTATTGTATATATTTTCCTTATAGTTAATCTTAGCAAGCTAAGTTGATTGTATCTTATTTTTGAGAAATTTATTCCTACAACTGTTATATATTCTCTGTAATAAGCCAAATATTTTTATTTATTTTATTTTTTTAGAATTACGATTATTGCAAAGCGGCATTGAGCTCACGGAAATGGCGCTATATAAATTCTTGTATTATTATTATTATTATTATCATTATTATTATTATTATTATAGGATATTTTTTACACAGTGGTGACATTAAGAAACACAAATAGGTAGGTGATAGTGATTTTCACCTTCAAGGAGCAGACCATTGTACGTATTTACGCATGAGACATGAGCCTGGCAAAACCATGGTCATCAGTATGGAATTTCTGTCGCTGAGTCGCAGACGTTCCTCTTCGCTGAACTCCCCCAGCGGCGAGGAGCGAGGAGAAACGAATGTTTTTGCAGGCTAGTGAGTACTTTGTCACAATATGAACTGGTGGGCATGTGTGTGGGCATGGTGGACGTGTAGTTTCCCTCGTCGCTGTAATTTGGCATAAAATGTTTTTTTGTATAAAATGTAACAAACGTTCCCTCCCTGCCTGCGCATGCGTTGAATAGCGTTTGCTATATGTATAGTATTGTGAATGTATTATGCATTTCTTTCGTGTTAATAAAGTTGTTGCTTGCCATAAGTAACTTTCTGGGCAAAGGCTCAGGTTAATTTAGTACAAATCTCTCTTGCTTCTAAGACTACATACCTGTTGGGCAGGGCTGGATTTCGCAACCCTGAGTTGAGCGATAGTCAAGTGTATATGGCCAAAGTGGCTGATCTATAAAGTTTCGTGTTGGCATTGAAGATTCATACAGAAATCCCAAGTCTTTCAGTACTTTAAACTCTGTGTTACCACCAACTTGCATGTATGGAGCGCGGTAACCTTTCACATCTTCAGCCTTCACATGTGCCATTTTTTGCAGAAGTCTCCTCATACCTCCTATTTCCTGTGTCTGCTCTTTTACGGTAGCGTTCGCCTACCATGATTTTGGGAGTCGGCGAGATATCGAATTGACGGCGATTTCGTGACGCTGACTATACAGATCTTGAACCGCGCAATAATTGGTGTAGAAATGAGATAGAAAGAATGTAACCGAGATATTACATCCATTTGGGTTCTTTAAGGTCTTTAAGCGGTAGTCATTGAAGAAATGCTTTAAGTCGTCTGGATCATACTGATCATTATTAAAGGCACCATCAAAGGAGATGAAGACAATCTGAGGGATCGATGATGCAGGTAAATTACCAGGGATTTCAGTGCCACTGCAGAAACAATCGGGAAGTTTGCAAATGTCGGGGTTGCAGGGTTTTGCTGGATCGCCACAAACAACCGACTGGGATGTAAGGCTAAGAGTGAGAGTGAGAGAAAACAACGCACCAATTCGCAATGAAGACATCGTCAGTTATGACACTGACTTTTTCTGTGTTGCCGATAACTGTCTCGGTCCCAAGAGCTCGACTGGTCTGACTGGTCTTGTCTAAAGTTTATATTATCTCCTCCTATATCATTACAAAAACACTGGCATCTAAGAATATCATGACGCTCGTCTTGAAAGCGCTATGTCGGGCTGCAATGTTAAGGTTTCTTAGGAAACCTGTCGTTAAGTCCTGGATGAGACCAATACGTAAACAGTTCCTTCCTGTGGCTTTTTGCCAAGGTAATCAATAAACTTACAGCAAAAGTAGGTGGCAGCTTTGTGGAAGTATATTGTTATCCCGGGGGAGGGACTCCGCATATGAAAGGGCTGGGGATGCTCGTCAGAAATTTTGAAGTAAATCCCTAACGGAGACCGACTTGGGCGTGGCCTAAGCTTTTTTTGACCCCTAAAAGAGACCATGTTAAAATGCAGTCGATATACATTTTTTTATATTTTTTCGCGTGCAACCCTAAACGAGACCTTCACGGCTAAATATGATATCGTTTTGCCCAGAAAACCCTAAGTGAGACTAAAATCCGAAATTTACACCCCTAAGCGAGACGACGAGCGTCTCCACCCCTTTCATATGCGGAGTGTCCACCCCCCCGGATTGTTATACAGTGGCATGTAGTGAATGTTGCAATTATATATCAATAACAATAACATATCTTTTTAACAATAATATCATTATAGTCAAAAATGCAATGGAAATGAGTTAAATGCAATTGAAATTTTGATGTATCAAAAGCCACTACTTCCAGTTGTCCCTGGAGTTTTCTCTCACCTATCTCCTTCTTAACTGACCACATAATCGAAATACAATCGTTTTAAAACTACTGTTTTGTTAGAGGATGTGACTCGCTATAACCCAATGCAAATTCCTGTTCGCAAAAACGTGCTTGAACTCAACGAATTAAGAAAACCACGAGAAAAAATTCTCGGGTTGTGTTACTGACACAATGCTTGCCGTGGGCTTTTCCCCGTAGCTAGTTATTTTTCTTCGCTAAAATAAACGAGGAAGTACCAAGAACGGTACTTATTAGACGGGGCTGCCCAAAACGAATCTAGCAGTAGGAAAAACCCGATTTAGAAGGGATTGGGGCTAGAAGAGAAAAAAGTAATAGCACGCTTTGGATAATATTGTGATTATTCTCACGGCGTGCTTGTTCAAAAGATGCCTCGGCGAGTCCTGGTGACGATGGAGATTACTTCCTCATCTCATCATGAACCTTAAGCAGTTTGACAAGTCTCTGAGGACGTGTATACATGTATAGCCCACTTTTATATTGCGAGTACGGCATATGAAAGTCATTCCTTTAAATTTAATTTAAAAATATGGAGTTCTATCTGGCCAAACAAACTTAACTGTATCGCATAAATACGGTAACGGAACCAAAACAAATTAAACATAATGAAAATAAATTCTAACAGCTGTGGTTCAGTCAGAAACAAAAGAAAAATAAAACAGAATTCTAAATGAGTACATTGTATGAATTTATTGCATCACAAACACAACCGCCCTCTCAGTAAAAGTGTGCGGAAATACACACGTCACTGTTTATGTGATAAAGGTCTCTACGGATTATCTACGTCTACAAGAAAGCTCTCTCGGTGAAATATAAAGCGTAATCTGATAAAAATCTATACTATCACCAGCAAATACAGGATGTGCAAATTCCCGATCGCAAAGCCACTAGAATTTTAAAAATTCCAAATAACTGGAGACGTGTTGAGCTTGAACGCACAAAGTTACACACGTCTTAGACACAAAAAAGATTGAAAAATAAGTACCATTTTGAAGTTGGGCTGTGATTTCCTCTATTGTGGTCTCTAAATAAGTCAATTCCCGTTTGTAACAAGAAAAATGGGCATCACTTTTAACTGGGACTTTCCGCATAGCTCCCCAATCTCCTCGCGCCCAGCAGCGTAAATCAAAAAATATGATTAACATTCAGGCAGTGTTTTCTGCCAATGCATTTGAGCGTGATTAATTCCAGCAGTTCTATATTATGTAAATGTTTTCATTATTTATTTTGTTGTTTAAATTTCACTGGTAAAGTTTTTTTGCAATTTTGTCTTATTAGTAATAGGAAAGTTTTTAAAATACTTTCCAATATCTGATGACCGCCCACACATTATACTTTTTATTCCACGTGCGCGAAACTCGTTCCATCAATTCACACATATAAACGTGTACATATCCCCTGCCCCCTTGCCCCCGGCCCAATACTTAATAGATGCGTTAATTTCTCACGTTTATTGTGTGGACAAAACGAGCAAAAGGATGTCGAACTGCAATTACGCTTAAAAGGTCCAGGGCAAAAGGAAATGCGCGGTGTAAGAGGCGCCAGTTTTTTGTTTTGTTTTTCAGGCGTCCCCAGCCTCGGACCCGGTACTGCAATGGTCGGTGCAATGGCCGAACAACATCAAGATATTTAACAGAGCCGGAGTGCGATGGCTCTGCCGAGCATCGCCTGAAAGAGGGTACACCAGTACGCCAAAATCGCCCAGGAATTGAACGTGGCCCCCCGGAAACGTTCCCCGCCCAACGGGGCACCTGAACAGTCGGGCGTGCAAGGACTGCTATATTACTATAAGCTAACGAGTCCCACAATGCAGAGAACTTTTTTTTTTTTTGACATTTTTTTTTTTCTTTTAAATAATTTATTTACAGATCACTAGAAAGTAGTTACAATGAAGTGTAGTTGAAAAAATTAAGGATATACGATAACTGCATACAGCAGAACTCTTACCCGCGTCAGGTGTCACAGAACTGCTTTTAACGACCCCACAGATTACTGCCGAGGCAAGTGCAAGAGCACTGCTTTAAGCGCCAGCTCTACCGTAGACAAATGGTAGCTGTTGGTTGGGAACCGCAGAACAGTTCTCCCACGGCATGCATATGGAGATGGGATCAGAAAAATTGACCTGCGTGCCCCCAAAAATTGTAAACAACACCTATTTCAGCACTGAAGCACACGGTACCAACGCCGCGGTATGGCCAGCATCAAATAAAATTTTACAAAATTACATAATTCTAAAGTCAGTTAAAGTAACCGGGATTGCGCCGTAAGGAAAAAAATAAGCGTGATTTCTTGGGTATCCCTTTAATTGATAAAATTTTTACCTTTTGCTTTTAATCTACCCCTCTTGTTTTGGTACAATGAAGATGTTAAAAGTTCTCATTTTTGTTTCGTTCGAGATAGTGCTTTTACAGGTTAGTTTCTGGCATATGTCCAACCCATGGGTAATAGGATGGACATGCTGGTGCGCATGTGCTCATCAAGCGCTGTCGGTCGGCATAGTAACATTCTTTGCACTGGCTAGCGGGGCATGGAGGAGGGGCTGGGGTGTCGCATTTCGTTATGCGGGAGTTCCCCTTTTAGGCTTACCTACTGTACATATCAGTGGAGGATTAGGTGCCAAAAACCATGCATAACACCTATGCTTACATAATTATTTTCGAAGGCTTAGTGTTGGAGCATGGTTACCTGAAATCAGGCGAGACTACGTAAGAGAGAGTGCGTGAAAGCATCTATAAAATTGGACCTGATCTCAGGTTCGGTACCGAGCATGGCGAAACTAACAAGTTTTGTTAAAATCGGTACGGTCACCAGTTTAGGATTATTGTCATTTCATTTCAGGTGAAGAAATGTAAAAATTTACTGACAATCTTTGCCAACATGGGTATCAGTCATGCAACCAGCCAAGAGCAAGGAAGCCCACACATACATGTAGAACTAACCTTCAAAGTACATGTTATTCTGAAGCCATTTTGGTTCCAGCGGTATGAGGAAGGGCGCCCTGTTTGTGGTGTAGTGTTTCTGGAAATTGGACTCGAACAACTTGATGACTTCGTCCACTGAGGCAGGCGGTGTACAGGAAACAACGAAATTACAAAGTTTTCCTTTTGTATCGTAATAATCAACTAAGGGTACTTTCCCACAAACCTGGAAAAGTATCTGAAGGGAGACAGAAATTAAGGAAAATGGGTTAGTGTTGTTCATAAGTAGCTCATTTGTGCTTTCCCCTCTTTCCTGTACTCTTTCATGCCCACATCTTTCCCCCGGGATCCATCTATCTATCTATCTTTATCTCCCTTAATTCCTTACTCCAGCAATCCATCCATCCATCCATCCATTCAGTCGTTTAATTAATTCATTTCCTTCGTGTACCCATTCACAATTCTGTCAGTCATTCAATCACCATTCATTCTCTCTTCGATTCTTTAATGATCCACCTAGGAAACGTCCCCACCCAAACATATCAAGAAGGTTCGTTTTGTTAGCAGTAAACACTCTCCATATCAACTGTAAAGTTACCCACTTTTTCGACCTGCTTGGTCAAATACTTCCAATTTAGACGCATACATACCATTTGGACAGGGTGGGATTTGACAGTCCTGACTTGAGCGATAGTCAAGTGTGTATGGCCATAAGGGTGGATCCGTGAACTTCTGCGTTGGCATTGAAGACTCATACAAGAAGCCTTCATCCTTCAGTACTTTAAACTCCATGTTTCCACCGACTTGGATGTATGGAGCCCGGTAACCCTTAACATCTTCAGCCTTCACGTTTCCCCATTTTCTCAGAATGTCCCTCATCCCTAATATTTCCTCTCTCTGTCCTTCTTGGGTAGCGTTTGCCCACCATGATGAGGGTAGTAGGCAAGATATCGAATTGTGCCCAATTTCGTGACGTTGACTGTACAGATCTTGAATCTCACAACAATTAGTGTATTCATGTGAAACGAAGAAGGTAGCCGAGATATTACACCCGTTTGGGTTCTTTAAGCTTCCATCAAAGAGTGTTTCGTAGAAGAAAAACGGTGCAGAACTGACAAAAGCATCAAAGGAGACGAAGACAATCTGAGGGATCGATGATACGGATAGGTTTCCAGGGATTTCCGTGCCGCTACAGAAACAATCGGGAAGTTTGCAAATGCCGGGGTAGCAAGGTTTTGCTGGATTGCCACGAACCAATGATTGCGCATGCGAAAAAAGGCTAAGCGCGAGAGTAAACGAAGCGGCGTATCGCACTAAAAAACATCATTACTTATGACTCACGTCTACGTTGCGCTGTAATTCCCGCCTAGTCCTTGCAGAGTCTATTTTCCGTGATATATTTTACGGTTAAAGGCTCTTTGAGTTGAGCATGCGTTAGTGTTACAAAGAAGACAAAAAACTGTGACGTATTTGATCTTTCATTGAACTTTTAATGATATTATCTGAAAAAACGTTGATGCGTGCGCATCATGCGGTTACGAGCCTATTACCCGGAACAAGCAACTACCTCTGCTTGAACTCGTGTCGCAACATTTTTACAAACTAAACAGTTTATTTTTGGATCGACGTCCCCACAATTTCGACCATCAAATAAGTCGCAAATAAATCCCACAAATCAGTTGGCAACAACTTAAAACCGGAAAATGGTATTTGTGATATTTTGATAATATTTAATTTTCTCTTTTTCATATAACATACTATGGATGCGCACCCATACAAAGTGGAACTTCCACTTTTGCAAGTAGAAGTACCCTAAAATGATGCTAAAATAAACTGGTCCATGAAAACGCCGTTAAGTAGGATTAGTATAGGAGTCACTTGCGCCGAGGTTTGGGATCATGCACAGCTCAGTTCAGCTCAGTTCTCTAATCACTCTTAGTAGTGAAACGAGAACAAATCATTTTCCGGCACTGCTGTCTAACAGTCATTAATGCATGCAAACAAGAACCAGGGGGATGATCTCAGATCTATTGCATGATGGCGACAGTGAGCTATAATGACACGGTCGGCAGAAAGAACAATACTTTTGTCCACGCACCTTATCAAAACAATATTACAATGCCTATGCATTTTCTTACAGATCACATTATAAAAGAAATATACCAACCAGTACTACGAGGGCAACTTTCACAAACACAAAGGAACTTTTAACTATTTTCAACAATATCTCTTACATTAGTACGACTAAACCTCGCAGAGAAAAGAAAAGATTAACAACCTGTTCAAGTAAAACCTACACACCCGCATCAGTTCTTTGCTAAATTAATTTTCTATTACAGAATCAAACAATAAGCGGAAGAGTTGGAACATAGTTGAAACATAGTGCACATTACACAGGCAGCACATGAACTAACAAAAATTGACCAACAGTAGTGAGAGATGCCGTCGAGTAGCTATTAGGGACCTTACGATCGGACAACGGCGACGTCCATGAAAACGTCGCTGAAAAATAGTCTTCGCATCTTTTCACTTTTTTTCGCGACTATTCCAAGGGGTTCAGTTACTAAAAAGAAGGGAATTTGGGTTGGAGCTGAAGAGAGGGGACTGCGCCCAAGTCCTGACAGAGATTGTAGAATTTATCGCCTTGCCGTTCCCGTTCCCAAATAAACTTAAAATTTGGTCATTTTACGTCTTAGTTATGCAGGGACTGCAAAGAAATGTACAAAAAGGGTGATGCTCTTGAAGAGTTGTTGTTTTGCTCATTAAACCTATTGCTTTTTTGACGTTCCCATTACTGTCGCCGTCGTAGTTTAGTAAGGTCCCTATTTTACTTCTCAGTACTACCCTGAGGATGTTCAAATGTCGCATTATCATTTCCTCTTCCGGTTTAGTTTCCATCCGGATTTCCAACCCATGGGTAATGGGGTGGGCATGCTGGTGCGCATGTGCTCATCAAGCGCTGTCGGTCGGCATAGTAACATTCTTTGCACTGGCTAGCGGGGCAGGGAGGAGGGGCTGGGGTGTCGCATTTCCAGGGTTTAAAGTCTTCGATCTTGTCCAGCGTTGTTGGGTTCTTGATCCACTCAAGACCCTGGGAAACTGTCACGATCCACACGTCGCCCATGGTGGTCAATTTGCTAAGGAAGGTCTTTGTTCCTTTCGTAACAACAACAACAAACATAAAAAATCAGTCCCTATGAAATTGAAATAATCATTTTCACTTAATGTCAATTACTAATGTGGGCTTCCTATGAATTATATACTCAGTCAAAATCTTCAGCCCTTTTTTGGCCATTCGGATGCAAACCTGCAAGACTCTTGAGCCGGAATCATGTGCGACTGGGTCAGCATAGGCTCATAAATTCCACTGAACTGTTTTGGAACTGGAATGATAGTAAAGCATTGAAAGCCAAAAACTGTGCATAACGCTCCTGATAACGCCCATGCTCAAATTTGTTTGCGCTGAGTTTAATTAATAAAATCAGGGAAGCACCGCGAAGCTTACGTAAACTCTACGTTGCCCCGGATTCTAGAAACCTAGAAGTGCTTGCTCGTAGATACCGGGGTTCTGGAGTTTGGAATACAGAATTCAGCTCGACAAGAAATCTGGATTCCAAGGACACTGACAAAGAATCCGGAATCTACGGCGTGGAATCCAGAATCTACGAGTGGCTTGAATTACTTTACATGGGACGAGCTATGATTGCGCTTTGTTGACTCAATTAGGAAATTGATTTATAATCTTTGCTGCTAATGTGGCTATCCTTGCAACCACCCAAGAAAGCCCACACATACATTATATGTAAAACTAACCTTCAAAGTAGGTGCTATTCTCAAGCCATTCTGCTGAAAGCAGCATGAAGAATGGCGCCCTGTTGGTAGTGTAGTGTAACTGGAAATTGGATTCAAACAGTTCGATGACTTCGTCAACTGAGGCAGGCGGTGTACAGGAAAGAACGAAATTACAGAGTTTTCCTTTCGTATCGTAATAATCAACTAACGGTACTTCCCACAAACCTGGAAACGAATCTGAAGGGAGACAGAAAATAAAGAAAACAAATTAGTGTTCATATGTGCTTTTCTTCTAATCAGTTTATGTCTACCGTTCATCCATCCATCCATCCATCCATCCATTTCTCCTTCCTTTATCTTCATTCATTCATTCTTTCGTTCGTTCGTTCGTTCTTTCATGATTGGTCCATCCATCCATCCGCCCATTCATACATTAATACATTCATTTATCTATTTTATTTATTCATTCGTTCGTGCAATCATTCACCATCAATTCTGTCTTGACTTTCTAATGATTTCTTGCCCCCCCCCCCCCCCCCCCCCCCTACCAACGGCAAACTTCCTCTACATCCACCTGTAAAGGAGCTCTTTTGTCCGGGGACGAATTGCTTCGTCAAATAAAGATACTACATACCTGTTGGGCAGGGGTAGATTTCGCAGTCCTGCGTTGAGCGATAGTCAAGTGTGTATGGCCATAGGGGTGGATCAATAAACCATTGCGTTGGCATTGAAGACTCATACATGAAACCTAAATCCTTCAGTACTTTAAACTCCGTGTTACCACCCACTTGGATGTACGGAGCTCGGTAACCCTTCACATCTTCAGCCTTCACGTTTCCCCATTTCCGCAGAATCTCTTTCATCCCTCCTATTTCCTCGTTCTGTTCCTCCTCTGTAGCATTTGCCCACCATGGTCTAGGAAGCCGTCGGGAGATCGAATTGTCAGCGATTTCGTGACGTTGACTGTAAAGATCTTGAACCTCACAATAATTGGTGTACTCATGAGAAACAAAGAATGTTCCCGAAATATTGCATCCGTTTGGGTTCTTCAAGCTTCCATCAAAGAGCTTCTCGTAGTCGAAAAAATCTTCTGCATTGACGGCAGCATCAGTGGTTACGAAGACAATCTGAGGAATGGAGGACAGGGATAAGTTACCAGGGATTTCAGTGCCACTGCAGAAGCAATCAGGAAGTTTGCAGATGTCTGGGTCGCAGGGTTTTGCGGGGTCTCCAAGAACGAATGATTGCAAAAAAAGATTAATTGCGACAGCAAATAAAACGTTCAATGAAGGCATCGTGACTTATGACACACTTCCACCAAGATGATGTGTTCTGCGTCCAGACTGGTCTTAAGCTTTATAGCATATTTTCCGCTACCCCTGGCCTCTTATTTAAATTTAGTTGACAGAGATTACGACATCTTTCTAAGAAACTTATAATTAGCCCAGGTTACTGAAGGTTAAGCCGGGCACTGAAAACTGCTGAACTGAGCCACTAGATCTTTGTTGCTTTTGTTGTTACCATCTGTAAATTTTGTCTCACTATTTTGTACCATTTTTCTTTTTCCACAAAGAAAAGCAACCGAACATTTTTATAGTCCGTCTCAGCTCAATATTCGAAATAGAAGGTGGGAGACTAGGTACAAGCCGGAACTGACGGTCACCATCCATTTTTTTAAAAAAAAGGTCGTGTCTGTTATCAACCTGTAACTTAATATATTTTCACAGTATTCTTCCAAAATATTTTTTGTTTTGTTTTGTTTTTATTTTTGCAAATGATCATCAGTTTTCCTACGTGGACCGCTGCGTGGACCAATGGAGACCGGAGGAGACGTCCTTGGAGAGCCGTAACAAAGCGTTCTGTGATTGAGGTACGCTTGCTTGATCGCCGCTATCAGTTGCAAGGGAAAACGGCAAAGCAGAAGAGAAGAGTACAGGTGGAACCACCGACCCGCCATTATTATACTTGCGGGCTTTGACTTTTACCCGAGAAAGCCAGGATTTTGTAATAAAGGATTCAAACAGATACGAAGACGTTCCGAATATTTCTCCGAAGATGTTCCCAATTGAGTGCCGAAGTTCTCAAGAAAATAACAATCTTCCATAAGGACTTCTAAAATAGTAGATGATCATTCATATGGTCATTTCTTTCCTTCCATCGATTCTAGGTTATTTTTATTTATATATTTCTCGAAATGCGTCAGCTAATAGCTCAAAGCATAAGACACCCAAGGCAGTGCTCGCGTGATATGGTATTCAATCGCTGAAAATAGCATGTTACGAAATTACAAAATTCCTGAGACCTGGATCATCGTCTATTTGCAGTTCCGCAGTGTCACGTCATGCCCAGTAGAGTAAACATCTTGGTGTTACTTTTACTACGCACTCACATATTTCGAGTAAAAATAGAAATTGAACCAAAGATAAACACTGGCCTCGTTTAAAGGAAAAATAGCTCATCCGTTGGAACTTTCTACCTCCAGAATATATACCCCACCCCCCTTCCCATAGTCTCCCTCGCAGCCGTTTTTAGTATCGTCACGCAACGCTCCTCCTTGCGTGACGATACTAAAAACGGCTGCGAGGGAGACTACCCTTCCCACTGAGACCTTCCTGAAGGAAATTAACGTGACTTAACCGCGCACGCAAATTTTCCCCAGGGAATTTTTCCCGGAAACAAGGGAACAAATCTGGAGATTTTCCTACATACACTGTATATAAATAGCACAAGTCAGTGCTTGTTCTGTGTGGATGAACTGTTTTACTTGAAGCAAAGAAGAGCATTGCAGAATCCAAAGCCGAGTATAATGATGAATCGGCCAGCAAATGTCGTATTAGCTTTACTCCTGTTTTGTGTAAGTGGTACAACTGGAGCAGCAGTAAAGCGTCGAAGTCTTGGACCAGCCCAACCGTGCTCGCCAGATGTTTGCAAGCTCCCAGATTGTCGGTGCAGTGGCATAGACATACCTGGAAACTTGCAGAGAGAAAAAGTCCCCCAGATGATCATGTTGTCTTTCGACGATGCCGTCAACGGACAGGTAAGTTGGTTAAATTCTCTGTAGGGGTTAATTACGAAAGGTACATACAAGACACTGATTGCTCAGATTTTATCCGTAGCAGATTTGCCAATCGTTGCTGTCGTGTCGTCTCTCAAATTCAGCGGAAGGAAAAAAAAATGAAGAAAGAAAACATTTCCGTGTGGATAGTCTCTGGAAATTTGTAATCGAGTATTTATTTTGTTTTTATTCAAAACGCATGCTTTCAACGATATGCATGCCGGAGTGTACGTCACTCGATCTTCAAGCGCTGGTGAGTTTATTGACACCGCCGGGCTAATTCTTCTCTTGACATTCTGACCCGTAACTGAGATGTAATCACGTTCCAGATTCCCTTCTCTCTGATCATGCTGCACAATTTGTTTCGTGGGCAAGACTTCGTGTCGAGTTCGTGAGTCCGCTCTTTTTTTTTAGTCGTTTTCCCAGTGCGGTACTGATTTGTCTTACACATAGTGCTTTACGGATCGATGCAGGTGTTGGAGATGGAAAGGAAGGGTGAAATCGGGGCAAAGGGCGCTCTAGGGGGAAATAACGCTACCCCCGTAATCAGATGGCACCACAGGAAGCCCAAGCGCAATATAAGGAAAAACTGTTTGAAAGCGAAGGTCCACGCAACGCGTAAATAAAACTGACTGGTTCCTCTTCCCGGATCTCTAATTAAAGAGATGTTGTAGCCAGACGTCATTTGACTTGTAAAATGAAACAAAATGCAAGGCTGGCACTACGACAAAGGGCTGATTTATTATAGGCCAATAATTAGCCTTCCTCAGGGCAAAACTATACCGAGAAAAAATATTTTTTAACGGCTCCTAAAATTGCAATGTAAGGATTTGCATAGGAAACTAACTTACGACAAATGTATAAAATAAAATGGATAAAAGTCATCAATGAAGTATAAATTTTGTTACCTGTTGTCGCTGGTCGTCTTTCTCCTGAGCGTGGCACAGAAACTGGCTATCAAACCTGCTTTTAAAATTGATCCAATGTCCTACAGATTTCATGTGATTAAAGTTTGCCATTGGCTTAATTTAGTTTCGTTTTGTTACAGGTCAATCCCTATTATGAAACCCTGTTTCGAGATGGAGTACTACAAAATCCAAACGGCTGCAAGGCAACAGCGACTTTCTTCGTCTCACATGAGTATACACAGTACGAAATGGTACAAGCACTTTACCATAACAGACACGACATTGCAGACCACACCATCTCGCACAGGACACCAACTTCGTGGTGGAAATCGGCTAACTACAGCGAGTTGAATGACGAAATAGCCGGACAGAAGGAGATACTACGAAAATGGGGTCAAGTCAAAACGGAAGACGTCGTAGGGTTCCGTGTTCCGTTTCTACAGCTTGGTGGAAATACCATGTTTCAAGTTCTTTATGATAATCACTTCCTCTACGATTCGTCCATGCCAACGAAGAAGTTTATTGACCCTCCTATGTGGCCGTACACCCTGGAATATCGATCAACACAGGAATGTGTTATTCCACCTTGCCCGACTGGTAAGTCAGTTTCAACCCCAAATATGGGGCGTTTGCTCATGTTGTAACGGCGCCATTTTGGTGTACCCAAGCAGGTCAAACAGTCGAAGGAATTTGCTGAAAATCAGAGCTTCTTTCTCTGAAAGAAAGATTTCATAGTTTAACTACACTAACATGGCCCTGTGAAGTTATGTGCAGGTCATTTTTGCCCAGTTCCTAGGCCCCCAAACTTCGAAGCGGTCGATCCGTTCCGTATCGATCCTGGCACTTGATGAGAGCGGAAAAATGGGACCCAGTCCCTATCGTCTCTACCCCGCAAGCAGAGGCCCTTCTTGTCTAAGAAGATGGAAGGTCCTCTGCTCGCAGGGTACGTTGTCTCTGAGATGTTGCCGAGATGAGAGGTAAGCAAACTAAGGCCCGGTTCAGAAACCGAACTTTTCATGTACCGAACCTAATGCATAAATTATTATAACGTATTTTGTAAGCAGTTAGACTGAAATGAGCATTTTTCGCCCCTTGAACTTAGTTCAGCTGCAATTAAGATCAGCGTCTGAATCAATTCAGCCGGTTCAAACAATTTGTGTCAGCCTTGATTCGAATTAGATTCGGCTCATGAAAAGTTCGGCGTCTGAACCGGGCCTAAGCAAAACAGTTACCAACAATTTTAGCGCAATCTCCCAGCCACCAACATCATCATCACGACCAATAACAGCCGCCAGACGGTGTTTATATAGTTTTTTTTTTGTGGTTGTTGTTTTGTATGGATTTCACTAATTTGGTCATCATTTATTCAACAGATTCATTCCCAGGTCTATGGGAGGTTCCATTGATTGATTACATCGATTTAAAAGGGGGACCGTGTAGTATGATCGACGGCTGCTCGGCGCCAGCTAATTATCAGGAGACGTATGAACTGCTGTCCAGAAACTTTGATAGACACTATAACTCCAAAAGTAGAGCACCATTTCCCATGTTCATGCACGCTGGCTGGTTCACGAAACATCCATATACACTTTCTGGTAAGTCAATGAAATATACTCTTGTTTAATGAGGAGCGAAAATATATTTTTTCCCTTGTATAAGCAAAGATCATTCAAGGCTTATTGAAGCTGGTGATTAAATTACTCTTTGAAATAGAGTGACCGGCGGAGAGCCCATCTTAGAGTCATATTTTGCGTCTGAATTTGCAAGAAAACATTTTTTGTAATCTTTCCATTCATTGTCTTTTTTTAAAAGTTACCAACATAATCACGCAGGAACGCTTGCAAAACAATCTTTGTAAAAACGGCTTTCTCAGCGGTGTCTGAAGGTGTTATATCTATACTCCATATTGTAGGGAAAGTTGTTTAAGTTCTTTTACAGAAAGCATCACTGAAGCATATTTCTCTCCCCATTCTCCCCTCGGATTCGCAGTTCCTCTGCAAAAACTTTACACGCGCTAACCTCCTGCTACGCAAGCTACAACAGGAGAAAATGTCGGAATCATAAAAGGTGAACGACTTGTATAACGAAAAGACCTGATCCTTTTTCTGCGGTTTCTTAAACCTTTTTTTTTCAGCAATGAAAAAGTTCCTTCAAGATAAGCTCTCTCAGGGAGACGTGTGGATGGTCGGCATCAAACAAGTCATTGAATGGATCAAAACACCAGTCAGCCTTGACGACATCGAAAATTTTGCACCTTGGAAATGCGACTCCCCTCCCCCACCCCCTGCTTGTAGCACTCCCAACGTCTGTAGCTTCCCCGATGATTCGCATTACTTGTGGACCTGTACTCGGCCCTGTCCTGCACATTATCCATGGGTTGGAAACCCGGATGGAAATTGACAGAATGAGATGAGGGTGTGTCCCGGCCGGATGCACTGTTTCTTTCTTAGGCAATTTCATTTTTCCAATGAAATAAAATCAGGAGCCATAATCGGGATAATGGCTCCGTGATAAAATGCTCTTATTTGCTCGTATGGAATTCATCAGTTCATTGATCAAACCGATTATAGGTAACTGGGTAATATTTGGAATCAGAGTCTTGACTTTATAGTAAAATTTACTCCTGGTCATAGAGTATGTAGGACATTGAAAAGAAAGTGAACTTCGTCTTTTATTAGATTGGATTCACAAAAAGGGCAATGCCTATTACCCTTCGTAGTTTGATTGTATCAGCCTATTTCTGTCATTAGTTTGTGATTGCTTATTCGTAGTTTTACTAAAGCCCTTCTCCTCTCGCAGCTGTTCCTCTTGTTAAGTCTAAGTAACTAGAGGTAGTATGATCGGTTTTAAAAGATCTATAAAATTCAAGTTTTTGAGAATGTTGAAGAGTGTTTTGCCAAAATGAGGTATATTCCTGTCTCATTGAACTTACATAGCTTTTTACCATGGTGATATATAATAAATCAGGGTTAAAGTCAGAAAGCTTAAACTATTCTGACATATTCATTAAATGAGAGTGGAGCTGAGCCATTTTTGTCATTACAGTCTAAGTCAAATGACATTAAAAAAGCTTGTTTGACGAAAGATTCCTCATCTTTAGACTGTATATACAAAATGTATTTCAGAATTTTTTGATTGACAGTGATATTTAAAGGAAAACGACCAAGCTCTGCTCTACGAGCTATATTAGAAGCTTTGTTGTTTACCTCCAAGTATCATTTACAAAATTGAAGGTGTGCGTTCTCGATTTGTGAGCCGTCCCAGGTCTTAAAATCTGGTTTGGTATACACACCCCAAATTTCGATGTTATTTGTTAGAATAGTGGAGATCGTAGTATCAAATATTTTACAGGCGAGAGCTGCTTTTAGTTTGCTAAGATTCGTGTGTCGTCTCAAATTAAGAGGGCATGTAAAATTGTCAAGTTTGAAAGCCCCCCACCATACAAACGTCTGTAAAATTTCGCGTCTTTGAGGAGCTATACTGCATGCTTCGCTCGCTTAAGACGTTTTACTTTCAATCTTAGCAATTTTATTAGTTGTAAGTTTTCGATAAATCGCTATGTTATTAATTTAAAGGCGCTCTTTCCAGCGGAGTTGACGGTTTTGCCCTGACTTGTCCTCGTCAAAAGTTAAAAAAACCGTCGAAGGGTATCTTACTCAGTTTTTTATACTGCTGAAGACTTTGCTAAGGCTTCCTCTTCCGCGAAATGAGTTTCAAGAACAACAACAACCATCGAAGGTTTAGCTTTGTGGTTTTTAATATCGCTTGAAAAAGAAGAAAAAACTTCATAACCCTGAGCACAATCGAAAATTCTGTCGGATAATAATCCGCTCTTTTCCCTCCCCTCCCTGTCAGTCTCCTTCACGACTGTGATCACGTGATCAACTTTCGGTAAACGCGAAAACAGTTCGCTTTTGAAAAATTTTGTTGGCAGACGCTGAAAGAGCATATTAAAATTAGGTAACGTGAGAATTTTCAACCGTATATCTCAAAAGTAGCGATTGCAACGGCCGCTAAAAGTTACAAGCATTTGTATGAGAAAAACAACTTTTGCCATCCAGTCACGCTTGCATGGTTTTCCATACAAATCCTTGTAAATTCGAAAATTTTTAAACTGTCGTTTAATCTTTCTCTTACGCATTTAAGGGCTCAAATTGTCTGTTATGAATTAAAAGGAGATTTGAGCCTTGTAATGCTTAAGGAAATACTTCATGACAGTTTTGAAAGTTTCGAAATTACAAGAATTTGTATGGAAAACCATGCAAGCGTGACTGGGTGGCAAAATCTCATACAACAAATGCTGCCAACTTTCGGCGGCCGTTGCAATCGCCACTTTTGAGATATACCGCTGAAAATTCTTAGGATACCTATTTTTAATATGCTCTTTCCGTTTGTGCTGACAAAATTTTTCAAAAGTGAACTGTTTTCGCGTTTACCGAAAGTTAGTCACGTGATCAAGTCATGCAAAGAACCTATTGGCAACGGTATACCTGACTTTACCCCATTTTCATTACAAGTTTGTAACATAATATTGTATTTTCTTATGAAATTTTTAGCATTCAGTTCATTTTTTCAAGAATTACCATGAAAGTCTGAGCATCAGAAGCAATGAAACAATTTAATTTCACTTATTTACCATCGTCGTTTCGTAAATAGGTGTTAAGAGCCGCTTTAATCTTAAAATCTGCTTGGCGGACTAAAGTTGATCCTTTGAGAAAATATTTGAGCTCTTCTAGGAATTTCATTTTTATTAGACTTATTTCCAACCAATCAAATCAGGTTTTGCTCAGAGCTCGACTGGAATGACGTCACCAGGACGCGTCACGTGATTAACAACAGCAAGAGGGCAATAAATAAATCCTTGACAACAGTGATTGAAACGGAGTGGTCTCATAATAATTTCCCTGTTTTCTTAGCTAAAAGATGACCGGTTTTGATTAGATCTGACTTTTGCTAAACATGTCGGCTCACAGCAGTCTACAACGACCACCAGATGAGGTAACTGAAGTTGATTTTTAGCTAAAATTCCCTCGAAAGTCCGCTTGTATTATCTATTGTGAAATTGATCGAGCACATGCATTTCGTACCTTCTTTCATAGTTGGCCGATTTACACATTTTTGTCGTTCCCTTGGAGCTGTGGCTGGAAAAATATCGAACAGCGTTCAACAATATTGCACTGGAGTCTGTTTCGGCTGGTTTTGTCAGGTAATTTGCCGCTTTGCATGGAAAAAGTAAGCCTAATTTTAAGCTGTTAATGCCATCCTTTTTAGCGATGGCAGACATGTTCGGCTTGCTTGTAATGTTACTTCCTGGGGCTATGATATTTTTAATATTATGTAACTAGGTGGTATGAAGCATCACATCTTGAACCTTATCTTTATATTTTTAGAGTACAACCATATACTTCTCTCAGCCTTGTTCGAGATCACATTGAGGAGCAGTTAGGATCGGAGGTAGTGCCAGAAGATTATGTTTTTCTTCGTTCTGTCGGTCGATGTATGGCCGTGGTAAGTTTTCACAATCTAGACAGATGAAAGATTTATTTTATAGTATTGTTAAAGCTTTTAACAGAAAGGTGGTTTTTATTTCATGGGAACTAAGTATTATTTCAGTATTGTTTTTCGAAATAATACATCGCCCTTGTCTTCCTTCGATCGGTTTATTAAATATCCATTTGCTTCAGTTCGTAAAGTACTGTGAAACATCTGCCAACCGAACAAACAATAACGTCGACGGTTTTAATTTACTTTTTGGATAGACTGTCACGTTTTTTATTAATAATTGAAGTGTTTTCTCCAGTTTTCTCTGTGCATTATTTATAAAAGAAACAATGAAAGGTTAGAGCTGTTTTCAATGCACGTCATATTTTCTTTTCATAATTCATGCCACAATAGTTCAGTAATTACCTTTTCTTAGTCTTCATGTGACATATGTAAAAATTTTCCACAGTTACAGTAATTATACTGTGCAAATATATGTGTTTTAAATAAACTATAACGTTCGAATTCAGTCAGTGATATTACATTATTCAGTGGTAATATACAGTCATTGTCGCTGATATCAAGATATTAGATAGCAACTGTTATTATTATTATTGTTATTGCTGTTTAATATTCTTGCCTGGTGAATCAAGGCAGTGCTCTAATATTATTGTGTCCTGTTTATATTGGTGGTGCCTTGGTGTAAACTCATTTAGCTCTTTGAAGTCTATTTTTTAACGTTTTTAAAATGACATCTGTTTTATTAGGTGAAAGAAAATCAAGAACGCTTTCTCAAAGCAAAAGACTTTTTACCACCAGTGGTAAGGATAATAAAATAGTTTCTCTTTTATCATTTAAGGGTGGCATTATGGTGACCTTTTAGAAAATCATGTGTTTTAGAAACTTTTCACCCAGTCTTAAAGTCTTGTCTTCTTGTCTTGTTTAATGTAAGTCTTGGATTTTTGAATTTTATTTGACATAATTTCTTGAATTTTTAAGCCTGGTTTCAGCAAACCTTAGAAAGTCACACATACACTTTCTTTTTAGTAACTTAGCTAACAGATGAAGCCACTACAGACATGTTAAATTTGGAAGGATTATTTCTACAATTTGCCAAAAAAAAATTAACAAAAGGGTTTACTTTTTTCAGTCATATACACCGGAGATATTTATTCTTCCTGCTACACATGACTCTGTGGCAAGACCAGTGGAAAATGCTGCAAATACAGTTATACAGACTCATGGAATGACAACAGGTAATATCATGATAGGAATTAATTTGAGAGTGTATCAATGAAGTAACACTGTATATTATCGTGAAATTTTGTTTACACTTGGTAGAAATATAATCATGGTGTTTGGCCTCTTTCTGTATAGTCCTCATCAGGCAATAAAAAGGAATTTATATTTTTCATCAGACAGTATGTGAGGTTATGATGATAAGGATTCATCTCTATAATGTCAAGTGCAATGGCACTTAATGTGAGTGGTTCTTCTTTCTAACAAAATTTTTCCACCTGGCAACTGAAAAAAAAAAATTCAGTCATCTCTTGGCAGGCAGATAAAAAAGGTAATCTCAGATCCTGATGTGCATATAGCTAGATCATTGTCAATGGGAACTGCTCAAAACATTCCTTTGTTGTGATAATTACAAGTAAGTATCATTCTTTTTTCAGCGGGAATGGCATCAATGCAGCCTCAACATTTTCCAGGTGTTCCTGCAGGATACATGCAGCAACCTCATGCAGACATACTGACAGGTGGTTATTCACCTGGCCAGCAGTCTGGACAAGTGGATCAAACTTTTCGCAGGAGCAGCAGGTCTACTAAGTCAATGTCTGAAGATGAAGGTGGCAGTGATGCGGATCAAGAAACTGGTGACAGGTACCAGTCTTTAGATGAAAGGAGAGGCGGAAATGCTGGGGACATGACAGGATTGGATGAGAAGAGAAAGAAAAGAGAAAGGAGAACATGGATGAAAATGAAGATTCCACAGAACGTATTTTGTCCAAAACAAAGAAGCAAAGAATGCAGAAGAAAGGGAGTGATAGCTCATCTGGCAGCAATCAGTCAGAAGCAAGGACTGTTAAGTTTATTCAACCTGAAGTTTTGCAAAATTTACCTGTTCCTGGGCAGAATGGAGCTTTAATTTCGCCACCTACACCTATTCCTTCAGGGCGTGTCATAGCTTCTCCATTACCTGCTCAACAGGATAAGTTGGCAACAAGTGGCCCCAGAGAGGATAGTAGTTTTGATAATCAAAATAACAGTAGTAATACTAAAACTGTGGAATATGAACCTGTGCCAGACAAAAAAAAGAAAGGTGAATCAAAAGCAGGAAAAAAGAAAAGGAGAGATCGCTCCCGTTCTCCTCCTCTTGAGAGGAGTCATTTGAAGGAACAGGAAGTTTTGAAAGGAGCAGATTATCCAGGGATTAATAAAGATAATTTTGAAGATGTTAATGGTTCTGCTGTTTTTGGTGAGGTCACAGTAAGTCGCAGGGAAACACCTCCAACTTTAAGTGAAGTTGAAGAGAGATCTAAATTTGTTCAATTTCCATCTCCTGCAAAAGGTTCAAGGAGACCAGTTACACTTGACGAAAATGAACTGGGATTTGGAAATCATCTTGTTAATGGATCACTTGATATCATGTAAGTGGTTTTGACTGGGTACATTAGTAAGGCCTTTAGTGAGAGAAATCCAGTTATGAGAGTGTGCATGCAGTTAGTAAAGAGTAAGGTTTGAAGGGTTGCAGAGCATAGAGACAGGCACATCAGCTATTAAGCCTTTAAGCCCTGATATCCACATATAAATTCTCCAAACTGATCTCTATACATTTTCTTTAAGAATCAGTTGAGAGAATTTAATTAAAAGATCAAAGCATTTTGCCTTTGGTGATCATGCATGTTATTAATTCTCATAACCTTTTCTCTTGGTGATGTATGGATATTGTTAGGAGAAAATTGATGTTGGTCACTCGTTTCCTAGTGATAGTGCATTTTCCTGGTGACAATACATGAGACTGGGTGTTTCTTTTAGTGATGCAGAAAATATTGTTGGTTTGTTTAAATTTTTTGGGGGGTGTAGGTATTATTCCTTGTCTTTTCAATCTTTTCTGTTATGTCATTTGGTGATTGCGCCTGTCTGCGACACCAAGAAACTACCAAAAGATTCATTGAAAGACACTGAACAGTAATTACACCACAAAACAACAAGCAACACCTCAAATAAACATCCATTTAAACCAAGAAGAAGTAGCCACCACTTAAGCTTTATTAATAAATGTGACTCAATACAGTCCAACCTCTGTTTGCAGCTTCCTCTTATTAATAGCAACCACTTATCCAATGTATCTAGTCCTGGTAATTATTTTGGATAGTCACCTGCAGGAGTTTTGACTGTATCTGGTTATTGCAACTCTCAATGTCATAGTGTCATAGTGTCCCTAGCCTCTTGTTCATGAAGTAAGTTGACTGTTACTTGCAATGTTTGTTTGTCGCAGGGATGATGGATTCGGCCAAAGTAATGACCCAGGTGTTGCAGTGCCTGACGTCAATGATTATGGTGTAGCTGAGAATGGTGATGCAGATGATGAAGCAAATGTGAATGAAAAATTACAGGATAATAATGAACAAGCTGACAAAGATGGTATCAAGAATGTCAAAGACAGTACCAAGAAAGATAGCAGAAGGGGAAATACCAATGTTAATGCTTCTAAAGGAAAGAAAGTGGCAAAAAAGCCCGCAAAGAAGCCTACAGAGATCTTGGAAGACAAATATAAAATACCTCAGATACCCAAGGTACCGACTCCACCTCCCATGACGTATCTAAAGAAAGGAGATAAAGAGATGGAGAAGGACACAGCATCAGCTAAGGACAGAAAACGTCATGAGATTGAAGAGTTGAAGGCAGAGCTGAGGAAAGCAAAGAATGCCAGGGTGGATATGGAGAAAGAGAGAGAGTCGAAAGTCCGACGGGCAAAGATGTTACAGAATCAGATGTTGCAAAAGAGAAACCAGTGTATGTTTGCATTAATTTGTTAAGATTGATGTCTTTGAGATTTGGTTTTGTTAGCATCCCCAAACTTGCCATGGATGCCAAACCAGCTTGTTGTAATTACTGTAGGCCTGCGTTATTCCCTTTACCCACTCAACCCATGAGAGTTGCACGGTACTAATGCAGGCATCAGGCTGCTTTACATAAGTTATATGTCCTCTGTTCATGATCTTTTGAAACAACATTTTGTATGGTTGGGTCTAGCTTTTACATGTACATTCCCTTTGAGTTGCCAAGGATGGAAATAGGGAGACAAATTGGACTGCTGCTTTAACTTCCTGTAAGCTCATAAGGTTTAATTGCATGAAGACAACATTTTCAAGTGCTAGCTCTTTGTTTAAGTGAAACTTGGATACAGGGCTAACGGTTGTCAATTATCAGCATTTCAGTGACTTTTTTTCAGTCAGTTTTTTTAGTTGGTAGCACTAAATGTTTACATTAGAATTCCCAGTGCATTCTGTTGATAAATTGTTATTTGAATAACGCCTTATTCTCTTTATAGCCAAGAACATCTGGAAAAAGAAGTTTTTTGAAGAGAAAAGGAAGACCGGAAGTTTAGATGACCAAGTGAACCGACTAAGACACGAAGTTGATGTGCAGCACAAAGTTCTCATGTCGTACTTAGAGAGCAAAGGTATGGCTTGATCAAGACGTTTTTCAATATAAAAATATATGAAAGGGTTTCTTTACTTTATTTTACATATGTAAATCCTCAATAAGGGCGCATTTATCTACTTTTCAAAGTAAACTGGAAGAATGAGATGGCTATACAAATTGAGAGCAATGGAATGGGCCGAGTCTTCACCACAGTTCTAGCGTTTTTGGAATAAAACTACGAGAAAATAGGTTAACAATCTAGGGCAAATCATTAATCACTTCTTGTTTTATATATAATTTCATTGTGGATCTTTTTTTATAGAGCGCGAGGGTAACAAAGTAGGAGGAGGAGGCGATTACAAGTCACCATCAGAAAAGGTAACCATGATCTGTACATTTTGTTGCTTTTGTTTTTGTAATCTTATTCAAGTCTCTAGTTTGGGCCAGTGAATTTCGCCTTACCTTTTAGCGATATTGCAGCTTCTGAGTAGCTCCTAAAGAAATTACCTGCTAGCAAATATCTGCAATATGCTGATTGTCGCTTTATACATGAATGACCTACCAGTTCCTTCTGCTCAGGTTTAAGTACCCAATGCCAAATGGATGTTTCTCCTGGCATGGAAACCTGATTACCGTGCCATCACTCATCACACAGTGCATTCACAATCCATCTCCATGCGGCCTCATTTGGGCTTCCCTCACCACCTCGTCAAAGGAAATATCTACGTACGGCAGTTTCTTCGAGTCTCTGAAGTCTCAAGTTTCTGTCGCATCCCTCCTAATCCTCCTTTCCCGCCACTTCGCTCCCAGTCTTCTGTCCCCTGGGAACGAGGTTGTGGCATCAGTGGCTCTCCTGACATCGGGGACCTGGGCAAAAAAGGTCGCACATGCCGCTGAACCCTTCCCCCAGGGTGTGCCCAGCAAATTAGTCTCGTTGGAGTCTACGAACCACCTTGTCCAATGTTATTATTTAACATGATATCTGCATTTATTTTTAGACAAACCAGCGCATGTCCCTTGCTCGCTTACAACACGAAGTTGAAGAGCTTAGACGAAGAATAGAAGAATTGAAAATGAAACTGACAGTTGAAATGAAGGTAAACGAAACTGATGTATTTTTGTTCTGTTTTGGGAGTTTTACTCGCTCTGATAAAGTAGCGCCCAGAGGGTAGCTTATGAATCTTTTACGGGTGATTAGATTTAGTTGATAAAGCCAAATTTTTGTGTTTCAGCGCATCCTTATCCCCAACCCCCCCCTTAACCGAGTCAGTTGATCAGTTTCGTTTGGATTTGGCCCATCATTCATTTGTTGTCTTTTCTTTCTTAGAATCGTGACGCAGCGCAGAAGGAGTTGAAGCAAATACGACAGGATTTGATGGAAAAGAAGATTAATTTGACGCTTACTAAATCGCAGAAGAGCTTAGCAACTCTTGGAAATCCAGAAAATATTGCAGTGTAATCTTAGTGTATTTTATTATGACCGTGCGTGGAATTTAGTAATTCTGAAAGACAAGTTATATTTAAGGCATGCAACTAACCGAGACCGAGTTATTCAAACTCTAGTTTCTGTTGTGAAAGTAGAATTAATCTTTAAAAGACTAGTATCTTATTATATTCATAAGTTTATTTAACCAAATTAAAAGGTACAAGAAACAACAACAATAACAACATATCAGCAAAATGAAAATTTAGCGATGGTTTAGAAATCCGTTGCGGCTGTAAAATATGTCAAAATATGAAATATTCTTTTTGTAATAAATTATTCTATAAAATAAAACTGTTGTTTGGATTTGACTTGATTTGTACAACCTTGATTAAACTGTGACCGAAGAAGGGAGAAGTGCTGAAGAATAAAATCATTTCTTTTTTTAAAGAAAATGGCCACTTCCGAGTTCTGATCCCATAACTCTCGTACTTACCCTCGCTTTGAGAGTCCTTTGAAACATAGGCTTAAAGTAACTCGGAAATGGCCTCTTACTGTAATCTCTGTTATAAATCTTAGTTAATCTTCGTCAACCTTGTTGATAGTGTATTGTAGGCACTGACCTACTAAGTGGACTAATTACTCTAGTTTGTGAATATATCCTAGGTCCCAAATCATGCACAGCTTTTTGTCTATTTTGCCATGCATTATAATACCGTACCTTGCTCTTATCTCAGGTCAATAAGAGCAAATCGTACGCTTTCTGAGAATCAGATCTTGATCGAGATTGGAGGATATTACGTAAATGGCGGATTTGTATAAACGGAAGTTGCGTAGTTCGCGCTTGTAGGTGTTCTAAATTCAGTAAACTTGGCAGGCGCCCAAACCCACTGAGTGTTTAGATAATATGTGGAGTTGATTTGTCGCGTAATAGTTGAGAGTTGAAACTTGCTGGGAACACATTTGTTCTCAAATGAATCAGGAGGGGATCAATGCAGTCGATGAGCCTTTGAAGCCACCAAAAGATGGAGATATTCAGTTTATAGGGGGAGAAAAAGAAAAAGTCCAAAATGGTGCTATGAATGCTGGAGAGAATAGCAAGTCTTTTGGTGAGCAAGTCAAACATTACGAACGAAAAATCCGAGCATATAACAAGGCCAAAGACAAAGCAAACGAGGGAGAAGCATTGAGCAGCTTAGGAATAGTGTATTACAAAGCGTCAAAGTTCTTCGAAGCAAGAAGCTGTCATGAAAAACACCTTAATATTGCAAAGTCACTGCAAAACAAACGCGCGGAAAAGAGAGCGTATTGTAATCTAGGTTGTACCTACCGACGCATAGGCGACTTAGACCGCGCTGTCGAATGTTACGAAGAAGGGCTTCGACTTGTGAAGGAGCTTAACGATAAACTAGGAGAAGCGAAACTTTTAAATAATCTGGGAAACATTTTTGAGCAGAGAAATGACTTTGATCAAGCTGTGTATTATCACCAGAGGAGACTACATGTTGCGAAAGAACTGAAAGATTTGGATGGAGAAAGCAAAGCTTGCGCTAGCTTGGGGAACATTTATCATCTTCTTGGAAACCTCAGAGAGAGCATAAACTATTATGAAAAGTTAGTTGCATGCCTTAAATATAAACTAGGTAAGTGAAGAAGGGAAAGTAATAGAATATCTCAACCATTTTTTGACTGTATTTAATATGCAAATTCTACCTTTGTCGAATTCTGCTTTGTCGACAGGTAAGTAGCCGGAGGTCATTAATTTTTCATATCATTTATAAAGCAGAGGTATTTAGAGCATATCAAACCCTCATAAAAATAACCTGTCTTTAGTTAGTACCAATGCACGAAAGGCCACAACTGAATGCAACATAATGTTCCGTGTTAAAGAAAAAGCCTTTGAAACACGGAATAACAGCAACGTGAAGGGCTGACTGATAGAGTAATACTTTAAGGACGTCACTCATTTACATTCAGACATATTTTGACAGTTTTTTCAAATTACCCGGCTTTCTGAAGTTTGTACTTTAATTTTTGGGGTTTTCATATGTGATAAGTTTCGGCAAACGTACAGTAGAGTTAATTTTAAGCAATGAAAAAGGATGGAAATTAACTTGTTCATGTTTAATTGCAACAACAGCAGTACAGGAGCGAAAAGCCAAGAGCGAGGGCGGCGCAGAGACTGGTTCTTCCCCAGGAAGCTCATCAAGCATTAGTCAAGAAAAATCCAACAAATCGCCAGCGAAATGCGGGGACGATCGCGACGAACGACTGAGTAACAGCAGTAGGGGAAGTGAAAAAAGCGTAAAAAGCAACGGGAGCAGCGGCCGTAAGGCATCGTCAGTTCACTGGAAAGGAGATAGTTCAGTTGAATAAGATAAGAGATCAAATAGGGGAAATGCAGCCTTTGACAAAATGTCGGTGTTAAAACACCAGACTAAAGAACTATTGCAGGAAACGGCAGGTCAATCCAAAGCGTCCATTTGAATAGTTACACTACAGGCACTGTAAGTTGTAAGGTGGGAGGTAATTCTGGAAAGCCTTGGATTCCGCTTGCTCGATCCCATGCTGTGGATTCGGGATGGCTTGTTAGTGGACTTTGGATTCTGGATTCAAATCGTTAGTAGGATCCTGGATTCCTAGCGCTGAATCACGAATCAAAAAATATTCTTAAAAGAGGAAGGGGGAGACGGCTAGAGTTAGACTAGAAATAAAATAGTTACTAATAACTTCTCTTAGTTGTCTTCTTAGCCCGCGTAGAAGGTGCCGGTTTTCGGAGCTTCACTTAACAAGCGAGCGGTTTACGTAATGATCATCATGATGATCATCGAACGAAGAATGATCAAAAACAAAAGGAAAATTGCGAGCTTGTTAAATTTTATTCAGATAACCTTAAGGTCATTATCAGAATTTTAATATATTTATTTACCATTTTATATCTACTGTGGTACTAAATTTGGTTTCACCCACAAACCTTGCCACTTTAAAACAGGAAACTGGGGCCGGTCTCTTGAAAGTCCCGGTAGCTTTTCGGGCCGGAAATCAAATATTAAAATCGAAATATCAAGAATAAAAGCGCGGGTCCTGGCTAGCAAACTACTGCATTTTGTTTCATTAACTGATAGTTTTATCATGTTAGATGCCAAGCTATTGAAACCTCTATCTTGCATGTAAACAACAACAGCTTTGCGGGCCTGTTAATTATCGGGACTTTCGAGAAAAGGGCCCCTAGGGCCGAGATAGTTTTCGCAAAGACTTCTGGGTCGTTACCGGGGACGCGCCAATTTTGCGCGCCATTCAGTCAGCTATTGGCCCAAAGTCTTTGCGAATGTACAGGTACAGTTTCTTTCTCGTTTCTAAAGTGGCGAATATAGCGATTACAGATGCTGTTATGGGCACTGAAATACTTCATTATCTTTCTGTCCTGTCTTTTTACGTTGCATATGCAATACAAAGTGTAAAAATGCTTAATTTTAGTTTTAAGAACAACAAATTTACACCTTTTTATTGCTTCTTAAGTCTTTTTTTTATCCACCTGTAATTTTGCATCCGAGACTCCCGTATAGACCTTTGTCACGCGGCGGCCATTTTGTCTCAGGAGATTTTAAAAGCTTTGTTTATGCACGGCTAGCCTCGTTCTCTCTGCGAGGCTATCCGTGCATAAACAAAGCTTTTTAAATTTCCTGAGACAAAATGGCCGCCGCGTGACAAAGGTCTATCGGTAAGTTTTGTTGTTCCTTTGCCAGGGAAATATGAAAATCGAAAAAATTTCTATCACGTGTTATTCAAGTGCTGAACAATCCCACGTGCCCTTTGTTTCGATTGGCTTAGAATTTTTTAAGATCAAGTGTCAATCACGGGTCCACTTTAAAGTGAACCTTTTTTAATCTAAAAATATTCAGTAAAAGAAAGTTATGAAATACTTACAAATTTATGTACAAAGTTCTAATTAATAAACTTTATTCTAAGTCTAACTGTTGTTGGGGGTAACCAGTAACCACCTAACGAGAAAACTACTATTGCTATGTCTATCATTACATTGTACTTTTTAAAATTTTAACTCGATTAGCGTAGGTTATCCTGAGAAATTATATCTTAAATCTAAAATGGAATTTAGAGTTTTCCTCTAGAAACGAAAGAGCTTTTTCTGAAGGGGGTGGGTGGGGGGGGGGGGGGGGTTTGAATGATTACTCAAAGGTAAAAAAATTGTCGTTTCTACGGAATTTGTATTTCAAACTCTAGCCTTCACACAGGCATTTCAAAAACTATGCCCTCACAAAGACTGGTTTTAGAAAGTAATCAAAGGCTATTGCTTGGTAAGAAAGTAAGTAAGTAAGTAAGTAAGTCAACAGCTATTAGACTGCTTAAATAACAATATCACTGCTCATAATACACACGGGGAAATTCGGGTAAAAGTAAACACGTATTTATATCTATTACGACCGATACGATACTCGACTGGCCGGAATTACAACGTCGTTCCCAGGCCTTCTCTGGGTTAAAAATGGAGGAGAAACTCCTGGAAATGAGCTTCCGTCCGCCATTTTGAACGCCAATAAACGGTTACCAAAGTTGAGAGCGGACGTTGTACACTAGCACTGGAAGGGTAGGGAATATTCTTTTACATTGAAGTTGGGTACGTTTGAACAGAGCGCTTTCACTAAAGATGTTCATCCCTATGCCCATTGTTATTTTTCAACTCCATCAGAACGTCTGCAAGTTCCTGAGCCAGAAATCTAAAAGTCGGCCTGTCCTCTTCACTGCGGACAAAAAAAAAATCTGGTTGGTGTTTTGGCCAGTTATTTGAGAGAGAATTTCTCGAAATATGAATTGAAATTTTGTACATTGAGTAGAATTACTTTATTTGTCTTGCGTTAACTTCGAACAGTCGCCTTTCTCTCGAAGCGCTGAGCGATAACACGCGTATAGTTTACCCATTCGACGTTGTCTCTGAGGACTTAACTATCCTTAATTTCATGGGTGGTTATATTTTGCATTGCTATGCTTTGTGATTGGTTGAAAAATTTTGCGCCTTCTTCTTAACCAATAAGAAATAAATAAAAAACCAATCCTTACTTGCACACACGCGTTTTCCCGCACAAAAGGCCGCGCCATATATGGGCTTCCCGCGCTTGCCGCGGCTACCTGCACTTGCTTTGAGATGTGATTGGTTTATTCGATTTTAAGCTCGTGCTGTGAGTGATGAAAATCCTTCAATAACAATGACCGAGATCAGGTTTTATGAGCCCGCGAGACTGTGCACCCTACGCAAACCCTTGTTTTCACTAAAACCGCTGGACGGCTGGACGCAAACCTGGTTGTGGTCATTGTTATCTGAGGTCTTCCGGCTGTGAGAGGCCGAATAACTTTGGAACGCTGGTGTATTGTACTTACTGATACTGCCAGCAGCTTCTCATTATACTGTACACATTCTGCGGGACGCCTTCAGGGCATTCCAGTCTGTATTCGCTCTCTATCCGTTCTAGGATGAGTTGTCCATTGAGACCCTGAAAAAGATCAGTTCATAGAAGTTAACCCTTTAAGCCCCAATATCCACATACAAATTCTCCAAACTGATCTCCATACATTTCCTTCATGAATGAGTTGAGAGAATTTGATAAAAGATCAAGGCATTTTCCCTTAGGTGATCATTTTATTAATTCTCATAACCTAATCTCTTGACATTGTATGGATATCGTTACAGGGTTCGTACCCTTTTTTGGACTAAAAATTCAAGGACTTTTCAAGGACTTTTCAAGGACATATTTTTCATTTTTCAAGGACTCCACCAACTGCAAAATAAAAGGATGTTCACCTTATAGTAGCAATTGTGCCGAGCTTAAGTCGAGCTTAAAGTCTATGCCTTTTTTAGTTCATCCACAACATTCGCAATTTTGCACTCAAGGTCTTTGCGAGCCATCTCCTTTTCTTTTGCTGTTCTCCTCAAACTATTTGACTTTGTAATCCACACAAGTTTCCCAGTGTGTTGTGTTGCTATGTGTTGCTACGTTTGTGCCAGTGGCATATATTTTCAAATAAGGCACTCTAGAATCTAAGTTGGATTAAATTAGCTACAAATTTCAAGGACTTTCCAGCACTGACTACAATTTTCAAGGACTTTCAAGGCCTTGAATTTTTATTTTGAGATTCAAGGACTTTCAAGGACTTTCAAGGCGCGTGCGAACCCTGTCGTTAGGAGAAAATTGACGTTAGTCACTATTGGGACTTAAAGGGTTAAAGAACTATCGAGTGCCCGAGTGCAGTACTACGATAACGTTTAAGTCTGTACAATAAATTAGAAGTTTGTTTAAAAGCAAGAAAGATGATATAGACTGACAATACGAAAGTGGTAATCTGATAATGTGAATAAGCCTTTGCTAAGGACTTACAGGTGTACAACCCTGTTTACCTGGGTTCGTGATGGACAGGCTACAACTTTGTTAGTCTGAGAATTCCTTGTTTGCGTGACTGTCAGTATGTGTAGGATTCCGTGACAACCAAATGTAAATAATGGTTCATACATAAGGAATCATTTTTTTGTGTGACAAACTAGTCAAATCATCATACTAAAACACGTTTAACGAGAATAGGGTCTATTTATGTACAAGGAATTGTTGAGCCATACATCATAAGGTTTCCTGCCATATGAAGTTGCCTCCCACAGTGTCACGCCATAACTCCACACATCACTCTTGCTGCTAAACTTCCGGTAGTAAATACATTCAGGGGCATACCATTTCAGAGGCCATTTTCCAGCCTTCCCTGCCTACAAAAAAAATATGCTCATAAAGTCTTTGGAGAAGAAGAAGGCTTATACCAAAACGAATACATAGTACGGTCAACTCTCTTTATAGCGGACACTGTAGGGACCTTAAGTTAGTGTCCTCTGTAGCGAGAGTCCGTAATAGCGGGAGTTTATTTCAGTGAAATGTCTGCAATTTATTTTTGCCCGCAATTTATCTGCTGTCCGTATTATCGGGGTGTCCGTTATAGCGGGGTGTCCGCAAGGCGAGAGTTGACTGTACACAGCAAACAAACATAGGCTTTTGTCCACACGACTTGAAAGTTGGCATTACATATCGATATATTTTCATAACAGATTCTTACAGTCAGAAAGGGTACAAGACATACTTGTCATAGTGTGCTCAATAACTTGATAATTTTTCTGGACTTCCAACTTCTGAATCCATGAAATTCAAGCATGGATTGCGTGTTACAGACAACATTTTCTTTTACATTTTTAGGTCCTTGGCTTTCTAACAAGGGCACAAAATACAGTAGGTAGATACCCTATAGTAGTCAGTACCAGCTCCCATTGCCCGAGACATTCCAAAGTCACTGATTTTCACAAAATCCTCATTGACTACCAACACATTTCTGGCAGCAAGGTCCCTGTGCACAAACTGCATGTTTTCAAGATATTGCATTCCCTGTGCAAAGAAAAGATTATGATTACATTTTCTTATTTTATTTTTCATCTAATCAACTCCACTCCATGGATGAAACATTTGAAACTCTACTTACGCACAGTCCTACCATGTTTTAAATTTGATGAATAAATCTCCAAGGGTGGGTGCATAAGCTACTGAGCAGTACTTTCCTTTGGTAATGACTTCATTATGCTGTACAAGATGATTCTTACTTTTGAGTCTGTGGATGTATTCTTAAAATGTGACCATCTCAATGAAAGCTACTGAGAAGTACTGTGTTACATTTTGTTATGCTATACAAAGGTATTGTAATTTTTGTGCCTGTGACACAAAATCCTGAAGTTTGAATATTAATTTATTATAATGCACAATAATTTCAATGTTCAATTTATGTGACATTTCTTTACCTCTGCAACTTGTAACATGATGACAAAGATTTTGAACATTGGTAGACTTCTGCAATAAATTAAAAAGCCACAGTTGAAAATAAAATAAATAGCACAAAAACTTTCTGTTGAGCTGCATAAATGGCTTCTAAAGGGTTAACCAATTTTTTCCTTACTTGTGTTTCTTGAGGTATTTGTGGAGAGGTCCTTCTGGAGCTAATTCCATGACAAGCATCACTGTTGTATCTTGACAAATACCTGCCATACCCCACAGGTGAAGAAACAAAGATGACACATTACTATAAACACCTATATTTCTTAAGCAAAACCAAAGAACAAAATAATATTATCCATTGCTCTAGAACCCTTACTCTACAAATTAGAAAGCAGCATTCACCATCATAAGAAATCTTGACATTTATGTTCTAAAGACTGTGTATTTAAAAAATCTTACTAAATTCCTAGACACATCAGCATGCAAGGTCATGAGGAGTCACTTGAACTTTACGTTATTATTATTTTATTATATAGACACAAGGGTTTTACTGGAAAATATACCACCCGTAAAATTCATAAAAACTACATCCGGGACCCGAGTGGTTTATTCTCCATAATCTCACACGTGAGTTTATCGATGATGTAATTTCGGTCTTTTCCCTCCATTATTTTATTGATGTCTTTTTGTCTGTATAATAAAAAGAACATTACACAGCGGCTTGAAGATATGAATTTTATTTTCTCGTGGCAAAACAATATTTTACTCACTCGCTGCACTCGTTCGTAAAATATTGTTTTGCCACTTGAAAAAAAAATTCATATCTTTGCGCCACTCGTGTAATATCCTCTATTTATACTCTAATTGGATTGGTCAACAACAAAACAAATGTTTTACATCACAGGGCTGCTGACAATACTTTTCAGGTGGATAGAAGTAATGACCAGAAATATGTCTGCATTCACACGGGCTAATGGTATCAAAGACAACATCATTAATGTACTGTCACAAACACTGTACACTCTACTCTTTCATATAACAACCTTTCTGTATCAGTTTAACTATACAATGCAGACCTGCAAAGAAGCCAAAAGCTACAAAATCAATTTATCAGTCATTAAAATGCTAACATCACACAGTACCTATTATTCTAACAATATTTGGGTGATCCAGTTTCATCATAACTTCAGCTTCATGCATAATTTCAGCCTTAAAAGAAAATGAGAAAAAAACTTTAATTGTTTTGGTATAACATTTACTACAATGATTTGGAAAGTAGTTACAGATGCCTGTACATGTATAAGTTAAATTACGTCTGAGAATGTAAAATGCATGTTTAAATAATATATTTGTACCTTAGGATTATTCATTTCCTCAGATTTAAGCTTCTTAACAGCCACCGGAATCACCTCTCCATTTAACTTAGTGTACTCGCCTTTGAGAACAGAGCCAAAATTACCATGACCTGATTAAAAACACAAACAACAAAATCATAAGAACAATGTCAGCATTTAAACAGAGAGAAATAAGTAAGATACCAAGGCAATAATACAGTAACTATTCACTCCCTTTCAGCCTGGTTAGTAATGCAATCCTGTACGTTTTGCTTCACTACAAATATTAACTTATGAACATGCTGAGTGAGAGCAATGGACATAGCTGGGAAGGATAAAAACCTTTCCTACTTCAACCTATAATCCCAACATCAAAGAACAAATTCTACTTTCCTGCAAAATACACTCACCCAACTCTTTTTCTAGTTTTAAATTTTCACTCCTCAGCTTCCGAGTTTGAACATCTTTAAACTGATTGAAGTAAAAAGAGCTTTTCTTCATCTTAATGCTGTCATAAATGGCCTCAAACTGAGCACCTCCAGATGCACCTGAACCGAAAAAGAACAACGAAAAGACTGTGTCAAAACTACTAAACAGCACGTGCGCAATCTAAAGACATACATTTCCATTTCCATCAAAGAATCCAAAAGAAAAATGGTTCATAGAGAGGTTAGCCATCATGTTTACCTGAAACGGCAAACGTGAATTTGTACCCACGTGACCAAGTTTCCCCTTTACTTGTTGCCTACTGTTTATTATTTCTATGTACATAAATTAGTAGTCTCACACAATTTTCTATCCATAAGGAGAATTTTCTGACATGTTTTTATCTGCTCATTTTCGATTTTGAGAATTCTCAACTTGAATCTGATGTTTGCCGTATACGTGAAGCTTAAACTACCTTAACCACAGCAGTTAATACCTTTACCCACAGTAGGATGACCTTAGTCTGCAAATTGCTTGACTGCAGAGAGGGAGGTCATCATTTTAATTCCTGGGGCTGGACTAATACTCAGCGCCTTAAAAAAACTGAGAAATGAAGGTAGTCTGCCTTTGCCCTGCTAACGGCTGGACCTTCAAGAGGCCCAGATGACCCCATAAGATGGTGGTCCCATCTCCAGTAGGGGACGTGAAAGTAGTGCTCTCAATCAGTACTTAAGTGCTAAATACATTGACACTCAAATAAAGTACATGTTTAATTTTAGTCTACCTGGCATCCTTCTTCCATCTGTGGCACCTGTAGGGCCAGGACTAACTGGTGGCGGAATTGGACCTCTTGGACTGACAGGAACTGGTCTGGGTGGTAGTCGAGGGGGTCCAATTGAATTCCTACTGCCTGGTGGAAGGGAAGTAGGTAATGGTGGAGGAGCATTCCTTGGTGAAGAAGGTCCTGGAAAGGCTAAAAAGGCAAAAAATAATAGTCTTAGTTTAACAAATTCTCAATATCATTACCATGGGATGTTTGGACAACAGTTTGATGTGAAATTACAGCTTACAAGGCGAAACACATTTTCTTGTGCATGTAACATTAATGGTTTTCCCTATTTCCTATTGTAGAGACCATGAACAATAAAAAACAATGAATCATTCTGTGTTAAAATTTAATAGGGAAACTGATTGCGGCACTGGATAGAAGCCCAGTGTAATGCAAACATCAGTCCCTGTTTATTTATGCAAATACAACCACTTAGATTCTCCAAAGGTAGCTAAGCAGGAAAAATGTAACAAGGTCTAAAGTAAAGTTCTTTGATCGATAATGGAATAAAGATGAAATCGTGTCTGCTGCCCGTCAGGAAAAACCCCCTTATCTAAGAAGGAAACCTGAACCCTCCTGAAAGCATGGCCAGACACTCGAGGGAGAGAGGTTGAACTAGAATACAAAATTATGAATATATCAATGAGCATTGACAAATGAAATCAACCAAACAGCGATGTCAGCTTAGAATGATCACCTTGAGCAGTAAAATCCCGCCCTTTTATACTTGAGTCTTCATGACAGCTGTCAATAAGTTGAAGTTGTGAAAACAATAATTTGCTGCTATTCTTAGAACCGCAGCAAATAACAATTATTTTTATTTTCCCATATGTATATTATTGTATTTGGAGTAAAACACAAAGACGGTTTAACAGATGATTAAATGAAGCTCTGTAAGTAATAATTTCACGTACAGCATACATGTACACCTACACAGAAACACATTCAAAATATCTGTACCTTCACGTATTATATCAGGCACCATAGCGCCAGTCCCTGACCCAGCACGCAGAAAAGGGTTTGAAGCAAAAGGCGAGTTCTCATTAAGCGAGCTGCTGGGTGATCTTCTTTGTTCAAATAGGCCAGGAGGACGAGTTCCTGTTGAAGGGGTTCTCCGCCGACCATCAAACAGCTCAGCGTTACAAGGTTCACGCAATTTACACAGCAAACCATCCTCTCGTTGTGTGTAATGGTCGACCGCTAGCATCAGGTTATCAAACTTTGGGCCAGATTTGATTGACAGTTTTCCCACTGCATCAACATCAAACAAGTAATGCACAACAGCGCTTTCATGAGCAAGGCAAAGAACAAACCCTGGGTCTTTTTCACGGATAAGAAACATTCCATCTTGCAATCCCATCACCTGTAGACGCCTTTCCGCTTCATCGCGTGAAATGTCATTGTGAAACCACGGCTGACTTTTGTGCATGACAGAGCCAATAGCACTTTCTAATTTAGCTCTCATAAGGGTAGCGGTGCTTTCATCACCATCCTAGATGGATAGAATTTGCAATTTAGAAGCCGATAACATAAGCATGACAAATACATAAAAATTAATCAACTTTGCAATTTCACTATAAATGACAATTAAACCAGTCCAGATACATGAATTGGTTTCACGATGCAGGGAACCAACTAGCTGGGTGGAAAATATCCCAATACAGAAATCACAGAATTCAAAAGGGGGCCTCCAACAGAAAATAAAACAGCATAAAGTTGTTGATTTTGAGCAAAAAGAGCAAGCTTATAAACTCTTTAAGTCCCAATAGTGACCAACATCAATTTTCTCCTAACAATATCCATACAATGTCAAGACGTTAGGTCATGAGAATTAATAAATTGATCACCTAAGAGAAAATTCTTTGATCTTTTATCAAATTCTCTCAACTCATTCTTTAAGAAAATGTATAGAGATCAGTTTGGAGAATTTGTACATGTATATTGGGGCTTAAAGGGTTAATAACACTTTATCAACTAGTGCATAGAACAAACCTCTAATCCCATTGAAGCCATAGCAGCAATAGCTGCACCCTTGATGTGTTCCTGATTGGCCCCAGAGAAAGTTTTAGGGGGTACCCCAGGGAGGCGATTGCACGGCTCTGTAAGTCTGGTCAATAGTCCATCCAAAGTACGTTGGTGATGATGCACCAGCTCAACTGGTCCAGGAAATCTCCTGCCATCTTCAATAGCCACCATTCCGTCTGTATGGCGTTGGATGTGATAATGGATTATCTTATTATTATGGCACATTGACAGAGCATAGCTTCCTGCTGAAGCAGTACTTTCACGCAGCAAGTACAATCCATCACGCTTGCCAGCACGGACGAGAAGCTCTTCGGCATCTTGTCGGCTTATGCGACCATGAAACCAATGCTGAAAAAGGGGATCTGCCATTTGGTGTTCTCATTTACTCACTTAATGACAAGAACCTATGAACAAGAAAGTCACAGAAAAGAGCATCAGTGTAACATTTTAATAAAATAATTTATTAATCTGCAAGTTAAACTAGCACTGTTCAACAAAGTGCCTAGAAATAAGAGAAGATGATCTAAACAATATGGCTGATGAGTAACAACAAGAACATCCCCAGAGCAAAGAAGTCTTTGTAAAGACAGAGTCCACCTGTCTAAGTGCGTGTGGCTCACTAGTTGATTCAACAAGCAGACACAACAAACAGGTTTCCCATTAAGTCTTAAAGTAGACAGCTAGGATGTAAAAGTGGGAGGTTTGGCAATCAAGTGCTGTAGGCAGTTTGAGGCTTTCACTTCATTTTACCCTTTTCCCCCAAAAGTAGACGGCTCAGACCTTAAAGAATCTGGTTTTTCAGTCAGTTGCCGGTACTTAATGAGAACCCTGAATATATAATGCCCAATGGTGGAACTGTCTCTTTTATAATACTAAATAATATCCTCCTTTTTGCCCACTCTCATGGTGTTTTTTTTTTTTGCAAATTCTATCAAGGGAAAAAGCGAGGGGAATGGGGGGAGTTTAAAGCTAAATAGCTTGCCTCATTTAGCCGAAGAGAGATGCCTGTTAGTCTCAGAATCTGCCAGCTAATCATAAGATCTAGATATGACATGGGGCGAGTCAGGGGTGAGCTTAAACTTGCACTTTGTTTAGGAGAAATCAAGGCCAAAATAACGAGTAACAGTCATATTGGGAATTACAAGAGTCACGTTGAGACACAGATTTTGTTCTCTTATTTAAAGCGTAACATACTTGAATAATAAGCTTGAGCAGTCGCCCTTAATTGCCTGCGTTGCGTTTGCTTTTTGTTTCGAAACGGTGCAAATGATATGAACGCGTATGTGTCAAATTATTCTGATATAAGGATATGACTTTCGGCCCTGAACAGAGAAAAACTGGAAATCAGCACAAAGCCTTTTACGCTTAACTAAAGAGACTATGGTATAATGTCAAGGCTAATTTGTTCTACCGTAAATCCGCGCACTTCCTGGTAGAAAAAAAACATAGTTCTCTGTACGAGATAGATGGTCAAAAGAAAAGACATCAGACATTTTTCCGGGCATTCATAAAAACATGCATGGGGACATATAGGCTGTTTATGAATACGTGACCAAATCTATACAAGCGTTATATTGAACACACACGGACAGCCGACTACATGCTATAGTACACCGAAAGAAAAAACAATATACAAACTTACAATTTACCTTGATTACATCCAATACTTGAAATAAATTACATGTTTATATGAAACGTGACTACATCAGCATCCTTTCCCGTAGCTAGAGAAGTGAGAAAAACACTTTTTAGGCATCTAAACCACAAGATGAAGCCAACCTTTTTTACGGAAATAGCACTAAATTTTACTTCATGAAAGAAGCTTCCTTTCCAGGCCCGGTTGCTAAGCGTAGCAAGAAGTAATATAAGAAGTCCTTTCATTGGTCAATCTTTTTAATTGCAATATCTTAACCAATCAAAAGTGTTGTATTAAAACAGGTGAAGGGGATACGAAAATAGAAAAAATGTCTGAAGAGGTGAGTGTGTTTGAGAGATTCGCTGTTAATTATCTTGTCTAAAACCCTTTAGAATTCATTTAGTTATTAGACTGTTTTTTCTCACTCATAGTACTAAATTCATCCAGTTAAGAAAATGAATTGAAATGAGCCCGGAAAAATTTTCCGGATCATTTCAGCATTTCAGTTCTGGAACGTTTCCGGTTTGCTTGGAAGTTGAAGCTAATTCAACTATCTTAATTTTATGTTGCACCTTTCAGTAACATGCAAAATAAAAACATTCAAAACCTTACTGAAGATAGCGTTTTTGGCTACCATATGTTTACAGTAAGACGACAACCAGCAAACCTTGTAAAATCAAAAAGGAACATGATATACCAAGCACAAATCACTGACGTGACCTTTTGAACCTGTTACAAAAAAACCTTTTTTTTTTTTCCTGAGGGGTTCGTTAAGTGTATTGATGGCAGCATAAAGCTGTTGATTAATCAAAGGTCACATATCACTGAATGGAGCAGGTAACGCTACGCGGCTGCTAGGAGTCCATCATGCAGAGTGAACAACTCCAATTCTTAGCCATGTCACAGTGCATTCATTGTCCATTTTATTTTAAGACACAATTTAAAGTGTATTCCCATTTGAAAATCCATTCCATCTGTGTGCATGTAAGCATCCAAACTATATAAAAGCAAGAAGAAAACTATCAAAAATGCCAGGAATACCATTTTTCAGTCTGTGAGCTTCACCAGCTGCTTTGTGGAACTTATGCAATAGGCTAAATTAATTTGCACCGGAATCATTCTAAAAAAAACTGGTCTGTGAAAACAGTGTGACACCAATATATGGCAGATACTTGCTGCAGGTTATGGGTTCTGAAACTGCAAATTGTAGGGGAGCCAACCAAGGCTTTGAACCTTTGAAATCCAGGGTACCCAGCATTCATGTGTAGTAGAAACAAAAAAGAAGGCCACAAAAGCACACAAATGTGTGCAATACACCTCTGAAGGGGGCAGGGGGTGGTTGTACTTGAATTGAGAGCTTTGGCTAGTTCCAGGGTAATGAGTAAGTGCAATAATATAGCTGTTATCTTAACCATTGGTGAAAGTTTTCGATTGATCAAATTTCCGAGGCTTTACAATTTGCAGACTTCCCATTTCAGAATCATCTAGAGCTCTTGTTCCAGTGTGTTGGCCAAAAGGGTCAGAGTGAGAGATGTAGGGAGGAGAATGATACATGTAGCTTTATATCATATGCTTTTCTCAGGTCATAGATCCTGGACAGGAAACTGAATATGAATCTGTGGAAGAGATTTGCTATTGTAGTGGGACAAAGGACAGGTAAGTCTGCAATACTGCATCCTTTAAAGCCCTAATTATCTATACTGTTCTTTTGTGTGTGTTTTTTATGGTCTTAAAAAGAAGAATGGTGATTACAAAATTAATGTACCCCCTGGTAAAGACCTGTTGCCTTCGGTAATAATTTCCTTTCCTTGGCCTTAGGTTTGTAGTAAGCATATCGCAAGGATCAAGAGATCGAAATGAGAAAAGATCTAGTAGCTTCCATAGGAAAATCTTAATATGTGTTTTAATACACTTATAATACTTTGTTTGTTATTTACAGTCCTTCTTTTGTCTCCTGTCCACAGCAATATGCTGCAGTGTATTTTATGCAGACGATTGTTTCATGTTGGTAAGTTTCCTCTCTCGTGTTCAGTGAGGCTAACTAAAGGACTTATATCTTTTTTGTAGGTGTGTCGATCTGTCTGTTTTGTGCTTTGTGCTGATTGTTAGCTATAGGGATCAAAAACGTTTCTTTTTGGGCAAATCCTTGGTGTAAAAGGCTGAGCATTTACAATTTTATACTATATATGTTCAGCCTTAAAAAGATAGAAAGAAAAGGGAAGGAATAAAAAGTTTCTTTTTTTTTTTTCAGGATGTCTTAAGAGTGGCAAACCCAGTGCACTTGTGGGAGATTTGTTCTTTGATTTAACATGTGCAACTTGTTCTGTGGAAGGCTCAGAATCTTGTACAAGACAAAACTTGAGCTGGTTGGTGTTTTTAAGTAATCCATTATCTGCTACTGTTGTTTTTGATTTCGAATAAAATGAGTGGGATGAAAGGGGTAAAGGATGAATGGAGGGAAAACGGTTAGGAAATGAGGGAGAGGGAGAGGTGAAGGAAGGGAGGGAGGTATGAAAAGCAGGAGGGAGGGAAGAAATGAGAGAGAGAGAGAATGGAGGAATACGTGTACCAGTAAAGGAGAAAATGAAGGATTGAAGGAGGGAGGGGGTGGTACGTGTATCATGGATGGAGGGATGGAGAGAGATAGCAAATGGTGAAAGGAAGGGAAAAATGAGGGAAGGATGGAAAGAAGAAGGGAAGAAATGATTGAGGGATGGAAGGGTCAAGGATGGGAGAGATGGAGTGAATAAGGGTGAGGTGCAAAGGAAGGTGAAAAAATTTGGGAGGGATATGTTAGGATGAAGGTGTGAAATATGGAGAAAGGGATGGAAAGAGGATTAAAGAGATGAAGAGAATCAATGAGGGAGGGAAGGAGGAGGAGGGAATGAGGGAGGGGTGGAAGAGTGATGGAGGCATAGACCTGGTCTGATTGAACTGTCTTTCTCTAGGATCCAGGCTGTTTACCTGTCATTGTACAATCTGTACTCCACCAGCAGGGGACGGAAAGGCTATTTTAGATGGAGGGAAGACATATGTCATTTCATTGACAAGAACTGGATGGTTTTATTTCCTAAGAAGTAAGCATACTCCTGCAGTTATCTAAATCTTGCTTAGTCATCCTTAGCGTTCTAGGAAGGACTCATAATTCTTCAAGGTAGTGTATAAAATATTATTAATGAGCAATATAAGGATTTTTTTGGTGTATATACTTAAAGTCTGGGTAGTGACAATCAACTCTTTCCTAGTCAGCCCTTCTTCCTCATAGTAACTTCATTCTACTTATCCAAACAGTGTTTGGCTCCAGCTGGGTGTCCTGTGACTCATGTATCTCTTAGGAAATTCCTTTTACAGAAAATGTATCAAGCTTAATGTATTGGGTATCCTGTGGCACATATTTTCACACCATACCAGACAGTTTTTTGTGCCCACACAAAAAGCTCTCCAGTTTAGTATGAACACCTATTTGATATTTGACTCTCCACTTTTAATAGAGATCAGTGCTGCACATGCTTTGCACCATTACAGAAATAATTGTACTTATGTGTGAACAGAAGCCCTATACAGTATGGTTGTTTTGCTATCCAGTATAGAGTGAACACAGCCTTTATCTTTCAGGAAAAAGACAAACAATTGGGCGAGTACAGTGGCTGGTGTATTGTCATCAGGGTGTCCTCAGTTTTTCAAGTCAGGACAAAAGGAATTTAACAAAGAGACAGGATGGTGGGCCTTACAGGAAAATGTTGCACCAGCAGTAAAATTTAGTGAACAAGGTTTGTTTCTTCTTTACTTATTTATTGAAATTTTTCTTAATGAAAATAATAAAAAAATATTGATTTTATTTCTTGAATAGGAGTAGAGCAAATGGCTCCAGGTACTCCTCAAAAGGTCCTTAAATACAGCGAGCAAAAAGAGGTTGAATCCTTTGGACTATCACCTCTCATGCACATTTTGCTTGTCCATAGCCATTGCTTGCTTGCCTAAGGTAATGATTTTGTTGCCAGGTGACTTAATTCCCTGGAGCCTTGCCCATTTGGACAAGTGCGATTAAAAAGTTACTTACCCCAAAAGAAAATCAGCCTGTCCTGGATAACCAGACGATGTTTTTTGAGCCCTAAAATACTGGTTGGGCACCTTTTATGTAACCTCTGATAATGGGAAAGTGACCCATAGTGAGGGATTGTGTTGCTAGGTCATGTCATAGCTATATGCAGTCAACAAAATTACATGCAGTGCACACACAGCAACATGATATGGGATGGACAAAATCACAAATATGTCACACGCAAGGAAATGCTTTTCCTCAGCACTCTTTCACTGACTCAAAGAATTAACCACTGATTCTCAATGGCTGAACTATTGATTCATTTGCAAGGTAATGTTGCCCAAACATACACGCTTATACTCATTCACCACTTTTTATCACTGGAGACATGCCACTCAGCAGCCTGAGAAAACAGCCGACATTTGGCGATGCTACCACTGGTTTCCCCACCAAATGACGTCTGAGAAACGAGCACAGAAATTCCATACTGATGATGCATCACTACCCAGATCTGAGTAGTGAGGCGTCATCAGTATGGGATTTCTGTGCCTGTTTGTCAGACATCATTTCACAGGAAAACCAGTGATGGGGTCGCAAAATGTTGGCTATTTTCTCAGGCTAGCCAATCAGCCACTGGCCAATTTTTTTCTCTGTCCCTATAGTCACCCAGCCCAGTTTACTTCTTGTTTCTAAAGTGGCAAATGGCACCTGCAACATTTTGCTCTTGTGTGTTCAGTAAACTTCATGCCACATGTCAGAGGGCAGGAACAAATTTATTACCAAATGTGTGTCTGCAACATGATTTTTGTTTAACCACAGGAAGTATGGTTAATAAACGTAAAAGAAAAGGAGGAAACCAGGCCTCAGAAAACAGGTCAAAGATCTCTCAAAACATAGACAAAGGACTGCCTTTAATGGAACTCACACAACCTACACTGGATGATGAACACAAAGCACAGGTATGAGATCTTTTCCAGTGTCTTGCACCTCATGTAATGATATCACCCGATGTAAGGAAATCCAAGACAGTCTTGGATTCTGGATCCCACTCCATGGATTCAGGATTCTTTGTCAGTGGAACTTGGATCCAGATTCCAAACATTAGTGGGATTCTCGATTCCTTGAGCTGTAATCTGGACTCCAGAGCCCAGGATTCCGCATGTCAAAACTCACATTTCCCAGATTCCGCAATTCGGATTCCCTTACATCAAGGTTAAAATGATAGGAATCTTGCAATCACCCTGACTATACGCAGCCATCTTGCTTTCTTGTTCAAGTCCATCAAGCAAATGTGTGACAGCTGAAATGGCCATGCTTGCAACTGAAGGCCTGAAAAAAAGCCTGACATTTCACATCTCCCGAACTCTCTGCTTTGCCACTAGCCGCTCACATGTTTCTCATGCCACTCCTCAAATTTACAAATCTTCTAGTGAAAATGTAACTTGTTATGGAGTGAAATCGTGTCCTTTTAAACTCCTTTTCAATTATTCCAACTGGTATAATTTGACAACTGCACGCGAATGTAAATGCAGCAAGGTTAAGTTCTCAGTTAAAAGGCATCCAAGTTTAAGTGAGAAGGAAACGATGGCATGTGCTCACTTCCCCCATGAAACGTCACCTTAAAACCTTTTTACACAAACAATTTTAACTTCGAATTTTGATTCAGTTTTAGGGGTTATTTCAAATCGAAAGGCAGTGTAAACAAACTACTGACACTGACAGAGAAGACAATTTCCAAATAATCTCAGAAAAGAAATATGAAAGAGGCCTGTATTTTTTCCTCTATACAGTAACCAACTAATGATATTTTCTCGTGAATTTCTTCTAGTCATTAGCTGTAACAGACAGTAGTAAATCTGACGACTTAATACCACAGTTACTTACCGACGAAGATATGCGTGAGCTAGACTCACTGAACTCTGAATCAGGTATGTATTCGCCATCTGGCGCCCGTTTCTCGAAAGTCCTGATAGTTTTTCGGGCCCGAAAAGCACTTTTATGTTTACCGTCAGGCGTCTTTGCAGTCAAGATCAAAGTTTCAATAATTTTGAAAATGACACGATGAAAGTATTAGTTAACGAAGCATGATTGACCGGTTTTTGAGCTAGGAACCGCGCTACCATTCAAGAGGCGTTGATTTCAAAATTTGCCTTCGGACCCGAAAAGTTACCGGTCTTTTCGAGAAACAGTTAACTTTCGTAAAGACCTCAGGGACTGTTACTAGGAACTTTGATACGATCACCAATTTTGAAGATCCCGTTGGTAAGATCATGAACTTTCAACACCTTGCCGACAAAATGTACCTTTTGATGAAGTGACAAGTAGAGGAAAACCAAACTCAGAGTTTACAGACTTATAAACCCTTAAACCCACTTTTTCTGTTTGTTTTTAAAATACAATCACTCGCTATAGTTTCTTACTTTTTATTGCAATTTCCAGGATTTGATTCTTTCTCCAACCTATTATCGACGAGTTTTGAGGATGTAGAAAGCACTTCTTTCTTTTTTGCTGGCGAAGAGGAGCAGGCAGGTTTGTGAGTTTTGTCCTAGATGTAAACCAGTTTGTTCGGTATCTAGGGTCATCTGCTCAGTTTCTGGCAGCGCGTGGTCTTCAAAAGAAGAGTGAAAGCTGAAGTTTAGGCTTCATATACATGTTTGAAGCCGGAGAGTAGAGTATTTTACATACCAGTTCCTCGGAGATTCCCTACCCTAACTTTTGAAAACTAATCGTGTGTCTGTTTGGTACATACTTGTGGAAACCGTGTGAACGTAGCATTAGTTGTTGAATATGTTTTTGAAGCAACTTTTTTACCCTTAGATTTAGAAACCAAACAAGAGGATACTGAATCCGTAGCTTCGACTGTTACATCAGATATTTCAAGTAAAAACCAACAGTCTGACTCACTCCAGACCAAGGTCAAGAGTAAGCCCATTAAAACAACCGCGAGCACCTCGCAATCAAGGTTAGTATACATGCGTCTTCAGACTGAATGCTACACACTTAGTGTGAGCGTTCAAATGAAACCTGTCCAGCAATACTTTCGCATGGTACTATTTGTGGTGTGTGCTATTCTAACATTGGAGTCTGTGGACGAAATCCTATGGTGTTACCATTCAAATGTGATCTCTTAAACAGTATATTCACGTGTTACTATTTGTTTTGTACGTTGTACTAACTTTTGAAGCGGGTGCTTGACATTCTGTGGTGTGACCATTCAACTGAAACCTTAGTAGGGTGAATTTCAGCCGTCCCGTCGAGTCGCATACTCGAGGGGACGGCTGAAATTCATTCTATTCTTTCACATGGTATAATTTGTTTTCATTATTTTTTTAGCAACAACAAAAACAAAAATAAATTTCTTATTTTTCATGAATTTTTATGTTAGACACTCCTTAAAGAGAAAAGGTTAACCGCACCCGATGTCCGTTAACACTTTCTTGTTGCTTGCAGCTTATTTTTGGTGTCGGATGAAAAGGAAAAGGATCTATTGCTGAGATTAAATTCCTGTCCCAAAGCAGTGCACCATGACCCAGTGGCGAGGAGATTTAGAAGGAAGCTTATGCTACGCCAGGTATCATTAGAGACCTTCAGATTCTACGACGAGTACGACTACGAGTACGAGATTTAACACAAAGTTTTTTTTTCTCGTATTCTCAAATAATAGACACCTTAGATAGCTTCACTGTACATCTTTTTCACCAAAAAAATAAACACTGTTATCTTGCTTGAACGGGAGGTTAAGCTATCTCCCAGCCGCAAAATGACTTTTGTCCGCTAACACGACATTCCCGCTAAAACTTGTAGCAGAATGACGATGACTATCACGTTTTCCCGCCAAAATTACCCTGGTTTACGCGCGCTTACAGTACTAGAGAAAATCTCGTACTCGTTTTAGAATCTAAAGCTCTCTATTACAAGCGGACGACAATTTGGGTTATGTTCACACTCTACCAGACAGTTTTTCGTCCCGACCCGAATAGCTATCCTGTATAGCAGCACGCCTATTCGATATGTGACTCTCCACTCTAGAGATCGGCGCAGCGCAGCTTCGTTAGAGAAATCACCGTTTTTATGTCTGAACAGAAACCCTTTCCGGTATGGTTTACGTGCCCGCGCAAGAAAACACAGCCTTCATTAGCAAAACAACACATTTGCACGTGCTACGAGAAGTTCTAGCAAGTGCTATGATAAGTTTAATCACCAAAACAACACACTGCATGGAGGTTTAATTATCAAATTAATTAGCAAAACAAAACATTTGCACGTGCCACGAGAAATTCCAGCATGTACCATGATACGTTTAATCACCAAAACAACACACTGCACGTGAGGTTTAATTATCAAAACAATAAATTTCCAAGAAAGCTTTTGAGGCCCTGTCCACAGCAATCCGCCGGATATTCGTGTCGTCGAGATAGCTCTGAGAAAGGCTGCATGTGGCATTGATAGTTTGAATAATGTAATTCTCTTTTGTTCTATTCAGCTAAAAAGGTCTAAAGGATTGAAATTATTTGACCTGGACGAGTCTGTCTCCGAGGCTATTAGTTCAACTGTGAGATACAAGCTAACCCCAGTTGGCGCGGTACCTATTGAGGTAAGCAAACGTGAGGAATAGTGCTAAACGTTGCCTTTCGTTTCTCGGTATTTGGGAAGGCGGGGGTGCATAAGCGTGGTTTTTTGTTCGTCTCGAGTGTTTCCCGAGTGCTCCTGTTTCTTTTTCTCCAGGTTCTCTCTCGTTATGTGTCGTTAGAAGCCTAGACCGCAGCCAGTTTAGTAGGAGAAAATAATTATTGGAAAGGCCTCGGAAATCAGGAAGGAACAAAGGAAAATACTAACAGGATTTCCCGTCTCGTATTCTCATTCACCTCCTTTCTCTCGTTAATCTTATTCTGTGTCTTATGTAGTACGTATTTCGTTTTGAGGAGGAAACTCGGAGTCCTTCGAATTTGGAACTTCTTCAGAGCTCTTCAGAGCTTTTTCAGAGCGCGTAACAGCCTTCCCAGCTTTGAATCCTGGACTGGGCTTCCTGGTTATAGTAAGTTTGTTCCTCTTTTGATAGAATCGCAGCACATCTTCAGATGTCGTTGAAGAAACTCGCGTCAAGCCCCTCAAACTTGAGGCTTCCACAGCATTTACTTCTACAGAGAATATCCTGGATAGATTTCAGGTGAGACACGAAGAGGACTTCACAAAACCATATTTGCTGTTCTAAAATTATTACCCGCCTTCTTCCCCCACGGAGGGCTTATATATTTAAAGCCCATTTGAATTTCCAGTTGGTAAATAAACCATCCCGAATCAGTCCACACGAAGTTTCACAGTCGTGATTGATTAATACAGTCTATCATTTATTAGTGAAGAATAATTAGGGGAGGGGAGGGGAGGGAAGGGGGGACTTATTAACTTTCTTCCCCTGAAGAGGGTGGGTGCGTATTAGAGGGAGGGGGCCTACTTGAGAGGGGGGCTTAATAGAGGATTTACGGTATTCATCTTTAATTTCCAGGCATCTCCTCGAATGCTTCCGAGTTCTCGCCCCAGGACTTGCTCGTTTTTAACAAGGCTCATTGGTGGCGATAATCAGACGTTGTACAGACCTATTACCAGTCCCTACACGTCCAGGATACTGAAGCCATTTATCCGACGAGATTATGAGAGTAGACCATTGAAGCTGAAGCTGTTGCAAGATATTGTCTCTCACTATCACAGGTATTCATTACCGTAAATCTTCTATTAACCCTCTTCCCGGGGGGACTTATTGATTTCAAGCGCTTTTGAGGGGGAAGGGCTTATTGAGTGCGGTGACTCCTTGAATTTACCCATACGGGGGCTCTACTGTATCGATTCACCATAAAGAACTAGAACGCAAAGTGGAAAAGCTCAAGCAAAAGACGTTGGAGGTCTTGCAGCGGAAGATGAAAACGAATATGACCTTTTAATAAGCACATGAATAAATCATACCAGATCAATCCATCTTTTATTAATTTGGTTGTGAAAAATAAAGAGGGAGGAGAGGGCGGCTAAAAGAAAGGTGGGGGCTTTAATAACTTTCTTCCCCTGAAAAAGAGGCAGAGCGGGGCGGGGGGGGGGGGAGCTCTATGAAGATTTGCTGTACTTTCATATGCAGTATAAGTTTTGTATTCTCTGAGCGAGGTACACATCCCTCTTGATGGACGGCGGGGTGTACTTTCACACATTAGCTATATACAGTATGCAACAGGTATACGTTATTGACCAAGATGGGTGGATATTTTCCAAGTTTCTTTTTGTGTTTTGATGGGACCGAGGCCAATATCCAGGCATCTTGACCAGTTTTTTGTTACGGGACCCACGCGGGAAATCCCGAGCGGGCAAAATGGACCCATACGCCCATTTAGTCCGAGTAGCCAATCAGAACACGGCAGGATTGACTTCATCTTGGCCGCTCACGGATTCAGCCATATAATAAATGTGTGTTTTTCAAGCAGTTATGTTTAGGTTATGGTACAGAAATCAAAGTGTATTAGTCTAGAGCAAGTGAGTGAATGCCACTGAAAATGAGTATAACAAATGTTCCTTTTTTAGGAATGATCCAGGTTGGAAACCACCACCTGTTGCTCCAATTGATTACTGCTACGTGCAACCGCATCATATTCCATCTGTAAACGCCATGTGTAGACAGTTCTTCTGGCCAGGAATCGATCGTAAGTTTTCTCAGTTTTACTTTTCTTCTCCCCCCTTCCTTCTCCCCTCCTCTTCCTCCTCCTCCTTCTCCTCCTCCTCCTCCTCCTCCTTCTCCTCCCCCTCCTCCTACCCCTGCCCCTCCTCCTCCTCCTCCTCCTCCTCCTCCACCTCCTCATTCTCCTGCTCCTCCTCCTCCTCCCCTCCTCCCCCTCTACCACCTCCCCCTCCTCCTCCCCCTCCACCTCCCCATCCTCCTGCCCCTCCTCCTCCTCCTTCTCCTCCCCCCTCCTCCTGCCCCTGCCCCTCCTCCTTCTCCTCCACCTCCCCCTCCTCCTCCTGCTTCTCCTCCTCCTCCTCCTTCTCCTCTTCCTTCTCCTCCTCCTCCTCCCCTTCCTCCTCCTCCCCTCCTTCTCCTCCTGCTTATCCTGCGCCTCCTTCTCCTCATTCTCCTCCTGCCCCTCCTCCTCCTCCTCCTCCTCCTCCTCCTCCTCCTGCTCCTTCTCCCCCTCCTCCTCCTCATCACCCTCTATCCTCGTTATCATCATCATCGCCATTGTCGTCATCGTCAGCGTCGTCATGATCATCGTTGCCATCACTCCTCATCTCCGTTATCATCTTCATCATTACCATCATCACTCCGTTTTTTTTTTTTCGCTGCATACTAAATCTTTCTTTTTTTATTGTTTCTGTTTATAGTGTCTGAATGTCTTCAATATCCTGACTTCAGCTGTGTTGTACTTTACAAGTAAGCGACATAGATTAAAACGCGTTTTTTTTTTGGCGAACTGCGGAGCTACTAGCAGTCTAGAACGCAACTCTCTGCAGTATCCATGATGCTTATTTAAAATATTATCGCAGGTCGTGTCAAGGATAACCACATTTCACTTCTCTGCGATATGTTAAGAGCCGTTCGATCTTTTCTTGCAGAAAATTTGTCATCGGTTTTGGCTTTATGGTCCCGGATGTGAAATACAACGAGGCTTACATCTCATTCGTTTTAGTCCATCCCGAGTGGCGCCGAGGGGGGATTGGAACCTACATGATTTATCACTTAATTCAAACTTGCTTGGGTAAAGACGTGACACTCCATGTATCAGTCACGAATCCAGCCATGCTAATGTATCAGAAATTCGGTTTCAAACCCGAGGAGTTCATACGTGACTTTTATAACCGATATTTACCCAACGATAGTCCGCAGTGTAGACATGCGTTTTTTCTTCGACTTAGAAGATAAGGAAGAAGTTTTAAAAAGCTACAACCAGTAAACAAAGTAACGAAACGATATCACCTTTATAAAATGAACGACGCGGCGTTAATTTGGGGCGGAGCTGAGTAAAAGCCGTTCAAACGGCATGTTTCAGGGGCACCCAACGAGGATATAGTTCAAAACCACTTAACATAGCATTGTTGAACGTATTTGAGTATTCAAACGGTAGATATAGGCATATTTTTATCCCCTAAAAACTTTTCATCTGTTCGGATTTCCTAGCTGAAAGTCTAGTGATCCGAAAATTGTAGGGATAAAAACTTACCTTCTCGAAAACTTCAGCCAGGAAAAGGCTCCCGAAAATTCTAGGTGGCCTTTTTTAGGGTCAAAATCCGTTAAAAATGGGTAATTATACCATTTTGTATATGTTCGAAAATCCTAGGAGAGGCAGGCAAGCAAGAAATTTTATAACAAACGCTCCGAAAATTCTAGATCTTAAATCGTCTTCCGAACAGATATTTTCCCGAAAATTGCCGTTGGGTGCCCCTGATGTTTCAGCCAAAGGAAACTTGTTTTCATAGGGAAAGACTAAAAGCACCATAATGTATATTTAATATTTAAGCATTGACACTTAAGAGTGAAGGTTGACGAATTTTATTTTACTGTTTTGATACTCTCAGTACTTCCTTTCCTCGACCACTTCTTACAGTCGTCACAGTCGGGGTCGATCGCTAAGTCCGAAAGTTAATTACGTCTTCTTAGAATGGCATCATGCTGGACGATTTCGCTACAAGAACTAACTATACAGCCGAAACAAGCCAGCGTGGCAGGGACTTGCGTCGACCATAATTTATTTTATATGGATTCTCTTTGCCTTAAACTTAGTGATAACAGAAAGGAAGACGCAATGAACAAAAACAATGACGAAAAACTGATTACACGACACAGGGTGCGGTCGTAGGGTGACAGCAACGTCAGTGTCCATTACTGTGGACACACATTTTTCCAGAGAATTGTCTTCAACCTGTCACTCAGTTGGTTCATGTCATAGGGATGTTACCAGTGCTGATTGCCACCTCGTTGTCTTGTCGTTCACTCTGTTGCGGGCTCATAGGATGAACCCTTGTTCCAAAACAACGCGAACATACCATTTCCTTCACTTTCGTCCTGAATCTTTGGTTCAGCAAAGCGTAAGCAAAGGGATTGACGACAGAGTTAAATATCATTATCGTGTGCGCGATAGGAGTTGCTAAAGGACTCAGTTTCACGGAGCCAGCATATTCTTGTATCAGGTGCAATATTCCGTCTGCTCCCCAAGAGATTACAAGAATGGCAGTGATGGTAACAGCAGTTAAAGTGACCCGCTTCCTTAACCTCAACACACCCTGTATTCAAAACAAATCCATACACCACAGGTTACCCAAGTGTACAATATAAGTGACCTATAAAACCGACTGTTTCATCTTGTCTACCTTTGTTATGACCGTGAAACCTTAAATTTTGGGTCCAACTTAAGATAGCCGGAATTGAAACCTAATAAGTTGTTTTGTATGATGAAAAAATTTAAACCTTAGAGTCCAAACTGTAAGATCAGGAAGCAGGAAACTTGACACTATTTGAAACCCAAAACACCATAATGGTCAAAATAACATAACCGTTTGTTGCCATACACACCTTTATAACTTTAATACGTAAGGGAGGGAGTAAACCCCGTTAAAGGCCAGCTAAATCCCCAAGGGGTACTTCCCGTAATTGCCTATACTGGGAGGCTCCGCCCGAAAAGGGTATCTCTTCTGTCAAAAATGGTATATAAAAGGATAAGGGGTCGGACATCAAGGGGGAGCCTCCCCGTATAATGCATTGTTGAGTATCCCACTTTCCGGGGCTAAACCTAGTTGTGTCCTACCGCATACCTGTTGATGAGGTGTAGGTACATTATCACTGTGCTTGAACCACAAAGTGTACACGATCTTAGAGTGTAACAAGACCAGCAAAATCAACAAAGCAGAATCAATTGAAGAGTAAACAGCAGAAAGGGCCTTTTCACTTTCCTCAGCTAATAAGGAAATGCAGTAGTTAGAACTATTTTCCTCCGCAAAACGGCTCCGTTTTATGAATCGTGGGATTTTGCTTATTGCTGCGAGGATCCAAATTCCAGGAATAATCACCTAAAATAAAGAGACAAAAGAATATTTAAAAAGTTGAATCACACATCTAAAAATTAGTAATTTTTTTCGAGACGAAAAAATGTCGTAGCTAAAAAATTCGTCTCTGAGATAAGGAAAGCGCATTCGGGAGTAAGAATGGAGAGGCGAGACCAGGACACCATCTGCAACCCTCCCCGCTTCCCCCTCTCCCCCTTACCAGATCCACCCACGATTTGTTTACCTTTTTCTTAATCAGTTTGTCTCAACACGTGCCAGCATATAGAAGAGCGAGGAAGAACGCCTGTTTACAGCAGGCGTCGAAAGTGGTAGAGGATGGAGACGAAGTGAAAAGGGAGGGGAGGGTTGGGGAGAGAGGGTAAACGATCCCTTCCCTTTTTCCTATCGCGCTTTTCTCCCTCATCTCCTCCCCCTCCCCTTTTTGCGCAAACCACGAAGGCTAACCCGTTTACTGGGCTGTTTTTTAAAAGATAGCGTTACGCATAGTAACTTATATCCATCGGATGCCACAAAAAGGCAAGGCTACTTTTTGTGTTGACAAATTTGTACCTGCATAACATCTTATTTTAAAGAAACACACCTTTACTTTGCGAAAGGTTAGTATTCCCCGGTTTCCATTGGGATGTACAACGGCAAAGTATCTTTCAAAGGCAAAGGCAAGCAGTGTAAGTATTGAAGCGTCCGCTCCAGTCCATGCTAATCCTCCCCCTGTTACAAACGCGCATAGAATTGTCCCAGGGATCCCCTTTGGATGGTCGACATCGTGGCTTAAAATAATTGTTGGTGTAACAAATGTTACGTAACAGATGTCCGCTGCTGCCAGGTTGACGAGGAGATAGTTGATGGGTGTCCTGTGGAATAATATGGTCAGCTATTACTGGTAATATCTCGTTTCAGCCAAGGCCAAAAGCGAAGCTCCAGTCTTTCTCAATTAATTCAACTGGTTTTGGTTGATCGCAAAAATAAACCTTGTTGAAGTCAAACCGTGTATAAAATCAACGATCCCTGGAGATATTCTTAAACTCACTTTTAGCCTGCGAGCAAGCTCTCCATTTGGGAGATATCATGAAAAGTAAACGCGCGAGAGGAGACGCAAAAGCGCGGGTTGGTTGAGAAAAAGGAGAGCTCTCTCCTTTCCTTGGCCCCTCACGACTTCGCCGCTCGCTCGCGCGTTCCCGCGCGGCTTACTTCACTCGCCCAAATAACTCACTTTCTGCGTTGTCTGCGTTTTACTGATCCATCATGCACCTATGCCAAAAATACGATCAGGTATTTAGGTTAACAACTACTACTTTAAATTTACCTCATTTGTCGATTTTTCATCACTACAGCACAGACGAAAAAGTTTCCCACGATGCAGGTGATAATTAATATGGAAGTTACTGTTATTAATGCGACATCAGCCGACTCCGTCATGGCTAAAGGCTGTAAGTCGTGTTACACCCAAGTAATCTGTTTGAAAACAATTTTGATTAGCGCTTTGTTAGCTATTGGGTATTGCATCAGGGGCACCCAACGAGAATATAGTTCAAAACCACATAAACATAGCATTGTTGAACGTACTTTAGTATTTTAACGGTAGATAAAGGCTTATTTTTATCCCCTAAAAATTTTTCATCTGTTCGGATTTCCTAGCTGAAAGTACAGTGATCCGAAAATTATAGGGATCAAAATTAACCTTTTCGAAAATTTCAGCCAGAAAAAAGGCTTCCGAAAATTCTAGGTGACCTTTTTAGGGTAAAAATCCGTTAAAAATGGGCAATTATACCACTTCTTTGATGTTCGAAAATCCTAGGAGAGGCAGGCAAGCAAGAAATTTTACAGGAAATGATCCGAAAATTCTAGATCTCAAATCGTCTTCCGAACAGATAGTTTTCCGAAAATTGTCGTTGGGTGCCCCTGTTGCATTAGCCGTTAATTTCACAAATCACGCACAAGAAATCTATACCGGGGTGTCTCTTCAGCTCAAACAGGGTTTTTCCTCCGTTTACAATTACCAAACGTACAGCGAACAGGGGGTAACATTGCGAAATAATTGTAGGCGATCCAAAAGCTTATCTTTCGCCCATTTCTAAATATTGTAACACAGCATGTCGGTAACCAAAACCTAAAGGAAAACAGACTGGCGTCTATAGTCAGATGGTCCATAATTTTGTTTCCTGTGTTTTCCGATTGTTTGATTTGTTAATTCACAGTTTGGTACAGCGACGGAAATGAATTACGGTTTACTAGTGTTAATCTTTTAAAGAGCCCTTTTCCTCCAAAAAGTACGTTTACCTGAATTTGAAGAAGAATTTTTTCCCCAGCATTGACATCTAATTCAAATAATTCGTTTCGGTGTATAGGGGTAGAAGATCATAGTATTTAGCAGCCCCTTTGCGCTTACGGCTTTTCAAGGAAGATCCCCCTTTCATTGATTAATAGCAGCGATGAACAGCTACTTCAATTAATTAATCTCGTCGGATTTTAAGGCTATGTGTACACTAAATATACCGGATAGATTTTCATGTCGGTGCAGTATAAACACCTGTTTACAGTTTGCAAAAGAGTGGCACCAAAATCTATCCAATATGTGACGATCCACTTTCAGGGGAAAAGAATGGTAAATTCGAGACTGCGAGGTTTCAAAATTTTAAACCGAGACTTTACTTCTAAAAATTCCGAGCCCCAGGACTCTAAGCGCCCAAAATTTACAATGGTGCAAATCAGTAAAGCTAACTAAAATAACCAAAAACGTCAATGAAAGCTAGCGGAAGCCCACCAATATACTGCTTTCCTTTGCTTTACTGTCTTAATTTTATAGCTCAGTTTGATAAGCTGTCACCACGAATTCTGAAAAATTCGACTTCTCAAGACCAAACGGAAAGAAAAAACGACAGATTCGAGACTCCGAGACTGCGAGACCCATCCAAAACGCTTCCGCGATTTTGAGATCGGTCCAAACTTTTCTAAGACCTACGTTTGTCCAAGTACCATTCTATACCCTTATACTTTCAGCACTATCTGAGGATGCTATGGTCGTAAAACCGGCAAATTTGGCCTAGGACCCTCTAGGAGAGTTCACAAAGATCCTCGATTGACGGATCATCCGTCTAGACAAAGAAGAAACAACAGGAACAACAACAAAAATCTTTATTTTCCTTGATTCTCCTTTTTCACTGAAATACACGGACCCGCAGGTAGCTAGTTCTATTCTTGACTGGTCATCTGTCGAGTATTCTGTTATGTACAAGAACAAGGAGCAGTGGTAAACTTAGACTCCCGTCTATAAAGTTAGAATGTACGGAAAAAGCCTTTTTTATCATGGTTGTGTAATTTTTAATCAGATTTAGATTTTTAGATTTTTATGATTAAGTCTTTTATATAACATTTTATAGCTATTTTTATTTGTAGTTAATTATCACTATTATTTCGATTCAATTCAGTTTATCATATAGGGCCTCTATAGATAGCAGTTTTTATCTTGTCTTGGCTTTATGGTCCCAGATGTGAAATACAACGAGGCTTACATCTCATTCGTTTTAGTCCATCCCGAGTGGCGCCGAGGGGGGATTGGAACCTACATGATTTATCACTTAATTCAAACTTGCTTGGGTAAAGACGTGACACTCCATGTATCAGTCACGAATCCAGCCATACTAATGTATCAGAAATTTGGATTTAAACCCGAGGAGTTCATACGTGACTTTTATAACCGATATTTACCCAACGATAGTCCGCAGTGTAGGCATGCGTTTTTCCTTCGACTTAGGAGATAAGGAAGAAGTTTTAAAAAGCTAGAACCATCAAACAAAGTAAAGAAACGATAACACCTTTATAAAATGAACAATGCAGCGTTAATTTGGGGCGGAGCTTAATAAAAGCTGTTCAAACGGCATGTTTCAACCAAAGGAAACTTGTTTTCATAGGGGAAGACTAAAAGCACCAAATTGTTTATTTAATATTTATAAGCATTGACACTTAAGAGTGAAAGTTGACGGATTTTATTTCACTGTTTTGATACTCTCGGTCACAGTCGGGGTCGATCGCTAAGTCCGAAAGTTAATTACCTCTTCTTAGTATGGCATCATGCTAGACGATTTCGCTACGAGAACTATATATCTTTACAGTCGAAACAACCCAGAGTGGCATGGATTCTCTTTGCCTGCTTAGTGAAAACTAAAAGGAAGATGCAATGAACAAAACAAAAAAAAAAGACGAAAACCTGATTACACGACACATTTTTTCCGGAGAATTGTCTTCAACCTGTCACTCAGTTGGGTTTCTGTGTCATAGGGATGTCACCGGTGCTGATCGCCACCTCGTTGTCTTGTCGTTCACGCTGTCGCGCGCACACAGAATAAACCCTTGTTCTAAAAGAACGCGGACATACCATTTGCTTCATTTTCTTCCTGAATCTTTGGTTCAACAAAGCGTAAGCAAAGGGATTGACGGCAGAGTTAAATATCATTATCATGTGCGCGATAGAAGTTGTTAAAGGACTCAATTTCATGGTGCCAGCATATTCGTGTATCAGGTGCAATATTCCTTCTGCTCCCCAAGAGATTACAAGAACAGCACTGATGGTAACAGCCGTTAAGGTGGCCCGCTTCCTTAACCTCAACACACCCTGTATACAAAACAAATGCGTAAACCACAGGTTACCCAAGTGTACAATATAAGTCACCTATAAAACCGATTGCTTCGTCTTGTCTACCTTTGCTACGACCCATCCTTGGAGACCCAGTGGCAGTCAGTCGGGTCGGGAGAAAAGACGCGACGAAAGTTTTCAAGTACGTTGAAAACTTTCGTCCCGCTTTCCTTCCGACCCGACTGACTGCCCCTGGCTCTCCAAGGATGGTTATGACCGTGAAACCTTAAATTTTGGGTCCAACTTAAGATAGCCGGAATTGAAGCCTAATAAGATGTTCAGTACGATGAAAAAATTTGAACCTAAAGAGTCCAAACTGTAAGATCAGGAAGCAGGAAACTTGACACTATTTGAAACCCAAAACACCATAATGGTCGAAATACCATAACCCTTTGTTGCCATACACACCTTTATAACTTTAATATGTAAGGGAGGGAGTAAACCCCTGTTAAAGACCAGCTAAATCCCCGGGGGGTACTTCCCGTAATTGCCTATACTGGGAGGCTCCGCCCAAAAAGGGAAGCTCTTCTGTCAAAAATAGTATATAAAACGATAAGGGGTCGGACATCAAGGGGGAGCCTCCCGCATTGTTAAGTATCCCACTTTCCAGGGCTAAACCTAGTTATGTCCTACCACATACCTGTTGATAATGTGTAAGTACATCATCACAGTGCTTGAACCATAAGGTGTACACCACCTTGGAGTATAACAAGACCAGAAAAATAAGCAAAACAGAATTAATTGAAGTGTAAACAGTAGAGAGGGCCTTTGCGCCTTCCTCAGTTAATAAAGAAATGCAGTAGTTAGACTTATTTTCCTTCGCAAAACGGCTCCGTTTTATGAATCGTGGGATTTTGCTTATTGCTGCGAGGATCCAAATTCCAGGAATAATCACCTAAAATAAAGAGACAAAAGAATATTTAAAAAGTTGAATCACACATCTAAAAATTAGTTATTTTTTTCGAGACGAAAAAATGTCTTAGATACAAAGTCCGTCTCTGAGATAAGGAAAGCGCATTTGGGAGTAAGAATAGAGAGGCGAGACCAGGACACCATCCGCAACCCTCTCCATCAGATCCGCCCACGATATGTCTACCTGTTTCTTAATCAGTTTGCGTCAACACCTGCCAGCATACGGACGAGACAAATTCCTACCTGCATAACATTTCATTTCAAAGAAACACACCTTTACTTTGTGAAACGTTAGCTTTCCCCTGTTTCCATAGGGATGTACAACGGCGAAGTATCTTTCAAAGGCAACGGCAAGCACTGTAAATAATGAGGCCTCCGCTCCAATATGCGCTAAACCTCCCCCTGTTACAACTGCGCACAAAACTGTCCCAGCGATCCCCTTTGGATGGTCGACATCGTGGCTTAAAAAAATTGTTGGTGTAACAAATGTTACGTAACACATATCCGCTGCGGCCAGGTTGACGAGGAGATAGTTGATGGGTGTCCTGTGGAATAATATGGTCAGCTATTCTATTGAGTAGTGTAGGAGCTGCTCGTAAGGTCTCTCCTAATTGGTCGTAGGAAACAATGACATATCATTCTTTCTATTGTTTTAGTATTGTTTGGGGTCAGAGAAACGCAACATTGGTGACTTCTCTTCCGAGCAGCTGCTACATGACCCCAGCCATTACTTTTTTTGTTTTATTTTGTTTTTGTTTTTTTTAATTTTTTATTTCAATCTGTATCAACACTTACACAAACAAACAAAAATAATAATAATAATAATAACAATAACAATAATAAAATAAAATTAATAATAATAATAATAATAATAATCTTTATTGAGGATATCAATTTCACTGATAAGTGATTTACAAAAGAGTCCTCAAAAATTAAAAAAGAACAAGAAGGAAAAATAAAGACTAATATATGAATATATAAAAATTAAACTAAAAACTATTTACATTTCTTAACACTCTTTTAAAACTGGCTAATGATGGGCTTTGTCTGATTGAAAGGTCTAATTTATTCCAATCGTTTTACAATACTTTACAATAAATTGCAGTATATTTTATTACAGTCTTGCTACAAAATTACAATAAAATGCGAGTCTAATTTTTAGTATAACCTTACTAGTTGAATTTAGATATAGCTAGCGAACAAACTTCTCCTCAATTAAAGGTTTCCATTTATTATTATAATAATATTGAGGTGAATTAACGCTTACTGTAATTAGTTTTTCTATCCCAGCTTTGTTTACCACTATAGTGAGATAAACACTTAATAATAAAGGCTCTTCTGTAATACTGCAACAGTAGATATAATATTTCGCAAGTAGTAACTGAAAAGATGATTAGTTAACTTATTGAGGTGGTTGTTACCAATAATACCATACAAGATATTGATGGTTGATAGTTCTAGCCCCCGGTGGGGGAGGGGATACTTTAGGAATTCCTGGCTGGGGATGTGCCGCTGGGACCCTGGAACCCTTAACCTATACCAGAGGTAGTTCAGCTAAATTTTGCTACCCTATACTAGAGTAAACTCCCCAGATCCCCCCTATCCTAGAGTAGCTGTTTCCCTAGTCTAGATAAAATCTTCAACAAACAAATCAGTTTCTTGAAAAATGATACCCTATTCTAGACCCAAATGCTCTGATTTATTTACCCTATCCTAGAGTTAACTGCTTGGAAAACCATACCCTTCACAGCGGCACATACCTATATAGCCCATATATGGCAGTACCCCCCCCCCCCACTCCCGGTTCTAGCCCTATTGAACCAGTGCAGGAAAGCTTCCCAGAACTCCGAGAGGAATTGACACGTGACTAGCATGTGTTTCAGATCTTGTTTTGTTTCCAAGCAAAGATAACAGAGATCGCTATTGGCGATATTAGCTCTGAACAATTTTTCCTTAGTGAAAACTATGTCGTGTAAAATCTTGTATTGGAACATAATTAGCTTTGTTTCTTTCGTGCTAGAAAAAGCTAAGTTAAAGTAATCGTTTATGTGGTCCGGTGGTAACTCATTGTCAATAAGACGTTGTGTGTGGCTGTAGGTACCTCAAATATGTGATTAACAAAACTCTTACGTATAGCCTTGGCTGTTAGTGCTTTCAAGCCCTGACTTTGCTGTGTAGGTTGTTCTTGTTGTGCGTTCGTTTGTTTGATAGATTTTTTATATTCATTTGGAATGGCGTTTATTACTCCGTAATAAGTCAAAAAATTTATTTTTATTTGGTGGCGGGTTTTAAGTTCTTCGTCAGTAATGAAATCAAGATTATGATCAAGAAAGTTTTCTCTAGTGGAAACTCCTCTACTAAACCAAGTTCGAAAGAAGATTGTATTATTATCAGTTTTCATATCTTTGTTGTTCCATATGATCGTGTTTTTTATACCTGGCTTGGTATTATCTTGCATATCCTTACACTCAAACCAGTGTTGCAGTGTTCTTATGTAAAAGAGTGGTAACTCCTTAATGCTGATATCTTTGCTGCTGCAGTAGCACTTAAAGAGGAAGGAAAAACCTCCCAAGTATGAAATGGCTTTATTAGGAATAACCGTCCATGCTGAATATTTCATTCAGTCTAAAGCGCTTTATCCAAATGCATTTTAAGGCTTTGTTCATTAAGGAAAAATCAATCATGTTCAGTCCCCCATTCTCGCGTTCGCCAATAATTGACATGTGTTCCTCTTTATTTTGGCTATTTTGTTGTCCCAGATAAAGGTAAAGGTGATCTTGTTTACCTGATCACAGAATTTTTCAGGGACTGGAAAAACAGATGCAATGAAAATAAGTTTTGAGAGGCCTAGAGATTTTACAATACTTATTTTTCCTAGTAGAGTCAATTTTCGTCTCTTCCAGTTATTCAGTGTGTTTTCCAAAGCATCTAATTTATCATAAAAATTTAATTTATCACATGTTCTTTTGCAGTTCGAAAAGTGTACCCCTAATACAAAGACAGATCCCTTTGGCCACTTAAAGTTGAAAAGGGTATCTTCTCTATTTTTCCATTTTCCGAGCCATATAGCTTCTGACTTCCTGGGGTTGATTTTAAGCCCTGAACACCTTTCAAACTTTTCCAGAAGCTCCAACAATACGTTCATCGATTCTTGGTTCCTCAGAAAAACCGTTGTGTCATCCAGCCATTCCTGGTAATATATCGTTTCAGCCAAGGCCAAAAGCGAAGCTCCAGTCTTTCTCAAGTAATTCAGCTGGTTTTGGTTGATCGCAAAAATAAACCTTGTTGAAGTCAAACCGTGTATAAAATCAACAACCCCTGGAGATATTCTTAAACTCACTTTTAGCCTGCGAGCAATCTCTCCCTTTGGAAGATATCGTGGAAAGTAGACGCGCGAGAGGCACACGAGAGGAGACGCAAAAGCGCGGGTCGGTTGAGAGAAAAGAGAGCTCTCTCCTTTCTCGGCCCCTCGCGGCTTCGCCGCTCGCTCGCGCGTTCTCGCGCAGGTTGCTTTGCTCGCCCAAATAACTCACTTTCTGCGTTGCCCCCGTTTTACTGATCCACCAAGCACCTATGCCATAAATACGATCAGGTATTTAAGTTAACGACTACTACTTTAAATTTACCTCATTTGTCGATTTTTCATCACTACAGCACAGACGAAAAAGTTTCCCACGATGCAGGTGATAATTAATATGGAAGTTACTGTTGTAAATGCGACAGCAGCCGACTCCTCAGACATGGCCATGGCTGAAGGCTGTAAGTCGTGTTACACCCAAGTAATCTGTGTGAAAACAATTTTAATCAGCGCTTTGTTTGCCATTTATTTCACAAATCACCACGCAAGAAATCTATATATACCGGGGCTTCTTTTCAGCTCAAACAGGGTTTTTCCTCTGTATACAATTCAGTGACAATTACCAAACGTAAAGCGAACGGGAGGTAACAATGAGCAGTAATTGTACGGGACCAAATGCTTATCTTTCGCCCATTTCTATATATTGTAACACATCATGTCGGTAACCAAAACCTAAAGGAATACAGACATGCTTATGAAGTCAGATGGTCCATAATTTGTATCCTCTGTTTTCCGATTGTTTGATTTGTTAATTCACAGTTTTGTACAGCGACGGAAATGAATTACGGTTTACTAGTGTAAATCTTTAAATGTCCCCTTTTCCTCCAAAAAGTACGTTTACCTGAATTTGAAGATGAATTTTTCCCCCAGCATTGGCATCTAATTCAAATAATTCCTTTCGGATCATGGTATTTAGCAGGCCCTTTACGCTTTCGGCTTTTCAAGGAAGATCCTCTTTTTACTGATTAACAGTAGCGATATTTAAACAGCTACTTCAATTAATTAATGTTGTCGGATTTTCAGTCTATGCAATGTGTACACTACATGAACCGGATAGACATTCATGTCGACATGAAAAAGCTAACGTTGCAGTATAAACACCTTTCCAATATGTGACAATCTACTTTCAGGGGAAAAGAATGGTAAATTCGAGACTGCGAGACCCTGGTTTCAAAATTCGACACTGAGACTTGAGCGTTTTTATCAATTCCGAGCCCGAGACTTTACTTCTAAAAAATTCCGAGCCCCGAGACTCTAAGCGCCAAAAATTTAGAATGGTGCAAATCAGTAAAGCTAACTAAAATAACCAAAAACGTTAATGGAAGTTAGCGAAAGCCCACCAATATACTGGTTTCTCTTGCTTTACTGTCTTAATTTTATTCAGTTCGATAAGCTGTTGCCACGAACTTTGAAAAATTCGACTCCTGAAGACCAAACGGAAAGAAAAAACGACAGATTCGAGACTCCGAGACTTCGAGACTCATCCAAAACGCTTCTGAGATTTCGAGATCGGGCCAAAATTTTCTGAGACCCTCGTCAGTTTTTCGAGGTACCATTCTATACCCCTACTTTCAAGATCGGCGCGGCGTAGCTTCGCTTTGATTTGTTACAGAGGTCGCGTTCTACCAAAATCACCGTTCTTTTAAGTGAACAAGCCGCTATCCGAAATGATTTTCGTGCTGGCGTTTTAAAGAGCTATACGGTAAACATACGGTATACATACGTGTATAAGTGTAGAGATACGGCTACAAGGCAAGAGCAGATAGCGATGGTTATATGGCCGGTCAGGCCGAGGTAGCTGTAAATCTTTTGTAATTCACCTTAATCGTTCAAAGTTGTTACGTTGTCAGTGCCACTTAATTTTATAAACCCTCACAAACCTTTGCCTCAGTTGTGATTTTACGAGATAGTAGTTTCTTCATGGCTTAGTTTGGTAAATTTTTATGAAGTTACCCGGCGGTGCGATCTTACTGTGGAAGCTTTCCGTCACAATTATTTGGAAATGGAAAAATATATTAACGACAATGGGTGGTCAAAAAAAGGAAGTTAAAAGCTTAGAAGCAGGTGATGTTCCATATGGTGAAGTAACGAAAATAAGGCTTAAAGTATACTCGCTTGCATCTAAATCTACGCTACGACACTGTAACAATGAAGGACAAAAGAGGAACTCACGAGATTAACGTTTTCTTTTTTTTCCCAAAATTATCTCAGAGATACGGGAATAGATTTTGAGTTCGTTTGTTCATCCCCACATACTCAAAAACAGGGAGAAATGACTTCATGCCGATTAGAAGACGGCGCGGGTATTTCTTTATCTTTGGGCAATTTTCGTAATCCAGGGTGCGCAATAAGATCCAGGGAATGTAGGAACGTCTCGCGTTCAACTGGTTGTTCGCAAATTTCACGCTGTTCAAACTTTTGTGGACGAAACACAGATGGTGCAAATCTCTAAGAATGAAGCGTTCGTTGTTTTGACTTCAAGTCCTCAAATTAAATTAAAGAAGCAGTTTTGTAATTTATAGCATCTTGCAGAAAATGATTTCTAATCATATCGTGTTGTCCAAGGTGAACTTGAAAAGGCTCTTGAAGTTGAAAAAAAGTGGCTGCCGTAATAATCTAAGTTTAATTGGCCGAATTTATCCTAGAGACGAATTATCCGTCTGAGACGGATAATTCGTCCCAAGTATAAATTCGGTGCTTAGACGAATCATGGAGCAAAATTCGTCTGAGGCTGATTCATCTGTTTGCACGTCTTGAAGACGTGCTAACAGACGGAAAATTCGTCTTAGACGGATGATCCGTCTCTAAATTTATATCTAGACGGAACGTAGACGGTTTTTTCGACGAAGTTTCTTCATTAGAGGGACTGTTTTCTATATTTTCGCAACGCGCGTAAAATATCTAGACAAATTTTCCGTCTAGATAAATAGTTCGTGCGTAGTATAAATTCAGCCAATCTCGTACGCAACACAGGGATAAAACCTGAGAAGAAAAAAAAAATTACCTTAGACAAGACGGTGTTCTGTCGCACTTTGTAATACCTATCGCACTTGTAATAACACTAGTCGTACTTTGTAATAAAAAAGCTGTCGCACTTTGTAATAAAATAAGCTGTCACACTTTGTAATAACAGTTGTCGCACTTTGTAATAAACTTGAAATTTATGGTTGGAGGACATGTAAACCCAATAATAAGTATCATCACCGACAACAGCAACAACAGTAATTATAATCATATAATATATAAGTAATTACACTGAACGGTTTTAAAATGAACAACGCGGCGTTAATTTGGGGGGAATCTTAGTAAAAGACGTTCAAACGGCATGTTTTACCAAAGGAAACTTGTTTCATAGGGGAAGACTAAAAGCACGATAATATTTATTTAATATTTAAGCATTGACAGTTAGGAGTGAAGGTTGTCGGATTTATTTCACTGTTTTGATACATGTACTTTCGGTACTTCCTTTGCTCGACCACTTCTAACAGTCGTCACAGTCGGGGTCGATCGCTGAGTCCGAAAGTTAATTACCTCTTCTTAGTATGACATCATGCTGGACGATTTCGCTACGAAAACTAACTATCCAGCCGAAACAAGCAAGAGTGGCAGGGACTTGCGCCGACCATAACTTTTTTATATGGGTTCTCTTTGCCTACTTAGCGATAACAGAAAAGAAGATGCAATGAACCAAAAAAAAAGACGAAAACCTTATTACACGACACAGGGTTAGGTCGCAGGGTGACATTACTATAGACACACGTTTTTCCGGGGAATTGTCTTCAACCTGTCACTCAGTTGGTTTTCTGTGTCATAGGGATGTCACCAGTGCTGTTTGCCAGCTCGTTGTCTTGTTGTTCACGCTGTCGCGCGCACACAGAATGAACCCTTGTTGCAAAAGAACGCGGGCATACCATTTGCTTCATCTTCTTCCTGAATCTTTGGTTCAGCAAAGCGTAAGCAAAGGGATTGACGGCAGAGTTAAATATTTTTATCGTGTGCGCGATGGGAAATGTAAAAGGACTCAGTTTCACTGAGCCAGCATATTCGTGTATCAGGTGCAATATTCCGTCTGCTCCCCAAGAGATTACAAGAATGGTACTGACAGTGACAACCATCAAGGTGACCCGCTTCCTTAACCTCAACACACCCTGTGTACAAAACAAATCCATAAACCACAGGTTACCCAAGTGTACAATATGAGTGATCTATAATACCCAGTGTTTCGTCTTGTCTCCGATGACCTTGGAACCTTAAATTTTGGGTCCAATTTGAGGTAGCCGCGATTGAAGCCTAATAATTTGTTTTGTACGATGAAAAAAATTTAAACCTTAGAGTCCAAACTGTAAGATCAGGAACGGGAAACCTGACACTATTTGAAACCCAAAACACCATAATGGTCAAAATACCATAATCCTTTGTTGTCTTACACACTTTTTCAACTTTCTTATGTAAGGGAGGAAGTAAACCCGGGTTAAAGGAATTGCGTATATGGGAGGCTCTGCCCGAAAAGGGTAACTCTCCTGTCAAAAATGGTATATAAAAGGATAACGGGGGAGGGGGGACATTCAGGCGGAACCTTCCCGTGTAATACTTTGTTGAGTATCTCACTTTCCGGGGCTAAACCAAGTTATGGCCTACCTGTTGTTGATGTGTAGGTACATTATCAGTGTGCTTGAACCATAAGGTGTACACCACCTTGGAGTATAACAAGACCAGCAAAATCAACACAGCAGAATCAATTGAAGTGTAAACAGTAAAGAGGGTCTTTACGCCTTCCTCAGTTAATATGGAAATGCAGTAGTTAGAACTATTTTCCTTCCCAAAACGGCTCCGTTCCATGAATTCTGGGATTTTGTTTATTGCTGCGATGATCCAAATTCCCGGAATAATCACCTAAAATATAGAGACAAAATGTTATTCAAAAAGGGGAATCATACAGCTAAAAGTTAGTTATTTTGTCGAGACGAAAAAATGTCTCAGATACAAAGTTCGTCTCTGAGATAGGCAAAGCGCATTTGAAGGTAAGAATGGAGAGGCGAGACCACGACACGATCCGCAACCCTCCCCATCAGATCCGCCCGCGATGTGTCTACCTGTTTCTTAATCAGTTGGCCTCAACACGTGCCAGCATATGGACGAGCGAGGAGGAAGGCCTGTTTATAGCCTGCGTAGCAGGCGTCGAAAGTGGTAGAGGATTGGGAGGAAGGCAGAAGGGAGAGAAGGGTTGGGGAGAGACAGTAAGAGATCCCTTCCCTTTTTCCTGTCGCCCTTATCTCCAAACCCTCCCCTTTTTGCGCAAACCACGAAGGCTAGCCTATTTACTGGGCTGGCTGTTAAAAGACAGCGTTACGCATAGTAACTTATGTCCATCGAATAGAACAAAAGAAACAAGGCTACTTTGTGTTGACAAATTTCTACCTGCATAACATCTTATTTCAAAGAAACACACCTTTACTTTGCGAAACGTTAGCTTTCCGCGGTTTCCATAGGGATGTACCACGGCAAAGTATCGTTCAAAGGCAACAACAAGCAGTGTAAATATTGAGGCCTCCCCTCCAGTCCACGCTAATCCTCCCCCTGTTACAACTGCGCATAAAACTGTCCCAGTGATCCCCTTTGGATGGTGGACATTGTAGCTTAAAATAATCCTTGGTGTAATAAATGTTACGTAACAAATGTCCGCTGCTGCCAGGTTGACAAGGAGATAGTTGATGGGTGTCCTGTGGAATAATATGGTCAGCTATGACTGGTAATATATCGTTTTAGCCAAGGCTGAAAGCGACGCTCCAGTGGGATTTTAAGAAAAACTCGTTCTCAAGTAATTCAATTGGTTTTGGTTGATCTCAAAAATAAACCTTGTTGAAGTCAAACTGTGTATAAAATCAACAACCCGTGGAGATATTCGTAAAATCACTTTCTGCGTTTTACTAATCCATCATGCACCTTTGCTATAAATACGATCAGGTATTTAGGTTAGCAACTGCTACTTTAAGTTTACCTCATTTGTCGATTTTTCATCACTACAGCACAGACGAAAAAGTTTCCCACGATGCAGGTGATAATTAACATGGAATTTATTGTTGTTAATGCGACATCGGCCGACTCCTCAGACATGGCTCAAGGCTGTAAGTCGTGTTTACACCCAAGTAATCTGTGTGAAGCCAATATTAATTAGCGCTTTGTTAGCTATTGGGTATTACGTTAGCCATTTACTTCACATATCACCACACAAGGAATCTATTCCGGGGTTTCTTTTCAGCTCAAACAGGGTTTTTCCTCTGTATACAATTACCAAACGTAAAGCAAACGGGAGGTAAAAATGTGCAATAATTGTACGCGACCAACTGCTTATCTTTCGCCCATTTCTATATATTGTAACACATCATGTCGGTAACCAAAACCTAAAGGAATACAGACATGCTTATGAAGTCAGATGGTCCATAATTTGTTTCCTGTGTTTTCCGATTGTTTGATTTGTTAATTCACAGTTTTGTACAGCGACGGAAATGAATTACGGTTTACCATAGTGTTAAACTTTTAACACTTTAACTTTTAACTTTTAACTTTGAAGATGAATTTTTCCCCCAGCATTGGCATCTAATTCAAATAATTCCTTCTGGATCATGGTATTTAGCAGCCCCTTTACGCTTTCAGCTTTTCAAGGAAGATCCCCTTTTTACTGATTAATAGCAGCGATAAACAGCTACTTCAATTAATTAATGTTGTCGGATTTTAAGGCTATGCAATGTGTACACTACATGAACCGGATAGACATTCATGTCGACATGAAAAAGCTAACGTTGCAGTATAAACACCTATTCAATATGTGACAATCTACTTTCAAGGTAAAAGAATGGTAAATTCGAGACTGCGAGACCCTGGTGTCAAAATGCGAGACCGAGACTTCAGCGTTTTTATCAATTCCGAGCCCGAGACTTTACTTCTGAAAAATTCCGAGCCCCGAGACTCTAAGCGCCAAAAATTAACAATGGTGCAAATCAGTAAAGCTAACTAAAATGACCGAAAACTTCAATGAAAGCTAGCGGAAGCCCACCAATTTACTGCTTTCTCTTGCTTAACTATCTTAATCTAATAGCTCAGTTCGATAAGCTGTTGCCACGAACTCTAAAAAATTCCGGTCGACTCCTGAAGACCAAACGGAAAGAAAAAACGACAGATTCGAGACTCCGAGACTTCGAGACCCATCCAAAACGCTTCTTAGATTTCGAGATCGGGCGAAAATGTTCTGAGACCCACGTCAGTTTTTCGAGGTACCAGTCTATACCCCTACTTTTAAGATCGGCGCGGCGTATCTTCGCTTTAATTTGTTACAGAAGTCGCGTTGTACCAAAATTTCCGTTCTTTTAAGTGAGCAAGCCGCTATCCGAAATGATTTTCGTCCCGGCGTATTAAAGAGCTATACGGTAAAGTGTATAGACATACGCCTACAAGGCAAGAGCAGATAGCGAAGCCATGGCCGGTCAGGCCGGCGTGGCTGTGAATCTTTTGTAATTCACCTTAATCGTTCAAAGTTACGTTGTCAGTGCCACTTAATTTTATAAACCCTCACAAACCTTTGCCTCAGTTGTGATTTTACGACAGAGTAGTTTCTTCATGGCTAAGTTTGGTAAATTTTTATTTTATATTATTATTTTATTTATTATTTGGAAATGGAAAAATATATTAACGACAATGGGTGGTCAAAAATAGGAAGTTGAAAGCTTAGAGGCAGGTGCTGTTCCATATGTTGAAGTAACGAAAAAAAGACCTAAAGTATACTCGCTCAGCATCTAACTAGAAACTACGACACAACAGACACTGTAAAAACGAAGGACAAAAGAGGAACTCACGACTGGTGTACTTTTTCTTTTTCTTTTTTTTTTTTTCAACATTATCTCAGAGATACGGGAATAGATTTTGAGTTCCTTTGTTCACTAGCTCATACACAAACCTTCAAGAAATAAAAATAGGGCCATATGACTTCATGCTGATCAGAAGACAGCTAGGGTATTTCTTTATCTGTAGGCAATATTCGTAATCAAGGGTGCGCAATAAGATCCAAGGAATGTAAGAACGTCTCCCGTTGAACTGGTTGTTCGCAAATTTCACGCTGTTCAAACTTTTGTGGAGGAAACACAGATGGTGCAAATCTCTAAGAATGATGCACCTATCAATGTAATGCCGGCGGGGGGAGGGGGGGGGGCAGGGCATAGGGTGGGGATTTGACTTTTTTCAAAAATTTTCAATCAAATTCCCTGCCCACGGGAAAATCATTCCAGTCAAATGCAACCAAATTTCCCCACCCCGGGCTGCACATTACTGTCAATCCAAAGGCAGAACCTAAGAAAGGCACAATAACAATATCTCTAAATAAAACTCTGCAATCTTTTATAAACGTTGCTGCATCACCAAAGATACATGTTCCTGTTACAGCTGCAATTATACGTTTTAACCATAATCCGTGTTACACTGCGTAGAATACATAAACCTTTAGGAGAAAGTCCACATTTTGTAAGTTTAAATATACCGCTCTTAGTAAAGGGTACAAAGAAAGTCAGTTTTATCAGTTTACACTGATTGTAGCGAATGAGCCATACACTAATCAATTGTACTTGGAAAAATCGACTTGGTGTCTCTTTACTTCCGTTTACTTTGATACCACAGTATTTTAAGAGGTTCAATTGATCACTAACACGCTAAAACAAACGAAATTTGAAGACAAAACAGTGAAATCGACTCAGCCTTCGCTTGTTCTCATTGGCCTCCATGATTTCCTGATCTTTTCTAACCGTACGGCGCATGCGTGAAGCGTGAAAGCGGGAAACATATGTTCGGTCTCAGTCTTTTTTGTCCGAGTCGGCGGTCAAATATCTCGACGTCGGGCGAAGAAAGATTCAAATATCCCCTCCCCTGGGAGAACAGGATCAGTCAAATGCCCTACCCCAGGGCCAACAAAGACAATCAAATCCCCACCCCATGCCCTGCCCCCCCCGCCGGCTTTACATTGATAGGTGCATGAAACGTTCGTTGTTTTGACTTCAAGTCCGCAAATTAAATTAAAGAAGCAGTTTTGTAATTTATAGTATCTTGTAGAAACTGATGATTTCTAATCATATCGTGTTGTCCAAGGTGAAAAAGGCTCCTGAAGTGGAAAAAACGTGGCTGCAGTAATAATCTACTAAGCTTAATTGGCCGAATTTATCCTAGAGACGAATTATCCGTCATCGACGAATTATCCGTCTGAGACGGATAATTCGTCCAAGTACAGACGGAAAATTCGTCTTAGGCGGATGATCCGTCTCTAAATTTATATCTAGACGGAACGTAGACGGTTTTTTTGACGAAGTTTCTACATGAGAGGGAGTGGTTTCTATATTTTCGCAACCCGCGTAAAATATCTAGACAAATTATCTTCAAAATTCGTCTTGAGATTTATACTTAGACGAATTATCCGTCCGACGGATAATCCGTCTAGACAAATAGTTCGTCTCTAGTATAAATTGGGTCAGTCTCGTACGCAACACAAGGATAAAACCGAAAAACAAAATTACCTTAGACAAGAAGGTGTTCTGTCGCACTTTGTAGTACCTATCGCGCTTTGTAATAACAGTTGTCGCACTTTGTAATAAAAAAGCTGTCGCATTTTGTAATAAAATAAGCTGTCGCACTTTGTAATAAACTTGACATGTATGGTTGGAAGACATGTAAACCCAACAATAAGTATCAAAAGGCGAAAAAGTGCCTTGTTACAACTTACATAGGAGTGGAACTTGAGAATAAACGTTCGAGACTGAGATCTTTTGTTAGTATCATTGTACTTAGATTTGCTTTTCGTGTTTGCATTTTTTTGCGTTTTGTTATCTTATCTTAGCTGGGCCACATGATGATGATTGTCTGATTATGATAATGATTGTGGCACCGTGTTGTGCTCGATATTTGTGTCTTTTGGTTCTATTAGTATAGCGCTTATTCATGACATTAAACACTAAAATCTCGTTATATCACAGATCATATCCTCGCGAGCAATGAAACCGGATTTCTTTGTTGCGCGTGCTACCAGTAAAACTTTCAAAATATTTTGCTTATACAGTCAAGAACACATTACTTTTATGGAAAACCCGATAATACAGATAGCAGCTAAATTCCATTACAAAATCCCTTCACTACGGACTCTTGCTGTTATGGACTCTATCTTATGGTCTCGAGGTTTTCCGCAAAGAAAGAGATTTACTTTCCTACAAAGATCTTGAAGCCGGAAGGCCGCAGTTGATGCAAACACTTTTCTCCGCCCTCACTTCAGAAATCGGTACTGAAAACCGTTCAGTGGAATGTTATTATTATAATTATTTATATATTATATGATTATTATCACTGTTGTTGCTGTTGTCGATGATGATATTTATTATCGGGTTTACATGTCCTCCGAACATACATTTCAAGTTTATCACAAAGTGCGACTGCTTATTTTATTATAAAGTGCGACAGCCTTTTTATAACAAAGTTCGACAAGTGTTATTACAAAGTGCGACATGTAAAACAAATTGCGACAATTGTATTTCAAAGTGCGACCTGTGAGCTCGCTTTTTGCTGAGTAGCCTCCCTCTTGCCCGTCCCTTAACAGTTTAGATTATTCTTATGGCATAGACGGCAAAAATTTATAATTATTGGCTCGAAACGACAACGTTATAATGAACAGGAACAACAACAAAAATCTTTATTTTTCCTTGATTCTCCTTTTTCACTGAAATACACCGACTCGCAGGTAGCTTGTTCTATTCTTGACTGGTTATCTGTCGAGTATTCTGTTATGTACAAGAACAAGGAGCAGTGGTAAACTTAGACTCCCGTCTATAAAGTTAGAATTACGAAAAAGCCTTTTTTCATAATGGTTGTGTAATGTTTAATCAGATTCAGATTTTTAGATTTTTATGATTAAGTCTTTTATATAACATTTTATAGCTATTTTTATTTGTAGTTAATTATCACTATTATTTCTATTCAATTTAGTTTATCATATAGAGCCTCTATGGATAGCAGTTTTTATCTTGTCTTGGCTTTATGGTCCCAGATGTGAAATACAACGAGGCTTACATCTCATTCGTTTTAGTCCATCCAGAGTGGCGCCGAGCGGGGATTGGAAACTACATGATTTATCACTTAATTCAAACTTGCTTGGGTAAAGACGTGACCCTCCATGTATCAGTCACGAATCCAGCCATGCTAATGTATCAGAAATTTGGTTTCAAACCCGAGGAGTTCATACGTGACTTTTATAACCGATTTTTATCCAACGATAGTCCACAGTGTAGGCATGCGTTTTTTCTTCGACTTAGGAGATAAGGAAGAAGTTTTAAAAAGCTACAACCAGTAAACAAAGTAAGGAAACGATAACACCTTTATAAAATGAACAATACAGCGTTAATTTGGGGCGGAGCTTAGTAAAAGCCGTTCAAACGGCATGTTTCAACCAAAGGAAACTTGTTTTCATAGTGGAAGACTAAAAGCACCATAATGTTTATTTACTATCTAAGCATCGACACTTAAGAGTGAAGGTTGACGGATTTTATTTCACCGTTTTCATACTTGTCATAGGGATGTCACCAGTGCTGATTGCCACCTCGTTGTCTTGTCGTTCACGCTGTCGCGCGCTCACAGAATAAACCCTTGTTCGAAAAGAACGCGGACATACCATTTGTTTCATCTCCTTCCTGAATCTTTGGTTCACCAAAGCGTAAGCAAAGGGATTGACGGCAGAGTTAAATATCATTATCGTGTGCGCGATAGGAGTTGTTAAAGGACTCAGTTTTACGGAGTCAGCATATTCGTGTATCAGGTGCAATATTCCGTCTGCTCCCCAAGAGATTACAAGAATGGCACTGATGGAAACAACCATCAAGGTGACCCGCTTCCTTAACCTCAACACACCCTGTGTACAAAACAAATCCATAAACCACAGGTTACCCAAGTGTACAATATAAGTGACCTATAATACCGAGTGATTCATCTTGTCTACCTTTGTTATGACCGTGAAACCTTAAATTTTGGGTCCAACTTAAGGTAGCCGGAATTGAAGCCTAATAATTTGTTCTGTATGATGAAAACATTTAAACCTTAGAGTCCAAAATGTAAGATCATGAAGCAGGAAACTTGACACTATTTGAAACTCTGAACACCATAATGGTCAAAATACCATAACCCTTTGTTGCCATACACACCATTATAACTTTAATACGTAGGGGAGGGAGTAAACCCGGGTTAAAGGCCAGCTAAATCCGCAGGGGGTACTTCCTGTAATAGACCTTTTTACCGATACGGCGGCAATATTGAATTTATTAGGTTTAAGGAGTATTATGGGATGCCCAGGGGCACTCGCTCAGTATTTACGCGCGCTTTTCGGGCAAAAAGAGAACTTCACCGTATATTTCTCGAGAAAAAGGTTATCACAAGAATATCACTATTACATCCAAACACGGCACAACGATCTTTTTTTTCCCCCAACAATCTTTCTCTAGGAAAACTTAAAAAGAAAAATCGGCCCGAAAAGCCCGCGTACATACTGATGCGAGTATATCAGATCGTTCTGATGCCCCCTGGGGATCCCATAGTACTTCTTAAATCCAATTAATTCATTATGGCCGCCGTATCGGTTAAAAGGTCTATTGCCTATACTGGCTCCGCCCGAAAAGGGTACCTCTGCTGTCAAAAATAGTATATAAAAGGATAAGGAGTCGGATATCGAGGGGGAGCCTCCCCGTATAATGCATTGTTGAGTATTCCACTTTCGGGGGCTAAACCTAGCTAAGTCCTACCACATACCTGTTGATGAGGTGTAAGTACATTATCACTGTGCTTGAACCATAAGGTGTACACCACCTTGGAGTATAACAAGACCAGCAAAATCAACACAGCAGAATCAATTGAAGTGTAAACAATAAAACGGGCCTTTACGTCTTCCTCAGTTAATAAGGAAATGCAGTAGTTAGAACTATTTTCTTTCGCAGAACGGCTCCGTTTCATGAATCCTAGGATTTTGATTATTGCTGCGAGGATCCAAATTCCAGGAATAATCACCTAAAATAAAGAGTTAGAATAATATTTAAAAACGTGAATCGCGCATCTAAAAGTCAGTTATTTTTGTCGAGACGAAAAAATGTCTCAGATACAAAGTTCGTCTGAGAATGGAGAGGCGAGACCAGGACACCATCCGCAACCCTCCCCTCAGATCCGCCCACGCGATGTGTCGACCTGTTTCTCAATCAGTTTGCCTCAACACGTGCCAGCCACGTGCCAGCATATATAGACGAGCGAGGACGGAAGGACTGTTTATAGCCTGCGTAGCAGGGGTCGAAAGTGGTAGAGATGGGAGGAAGGGAAAAGGGGTACGGGGGTTGGGGAGATGGGGAGAGAGTGTAAGGGTTCCCTTTCCTTTTCCCTATCACGCTTTTCTCGCTCATCTCCTACCCCTCCTCTTTTTGTGCATACCACGAAGGCAAGCCTGTTTATTTAGCCGTCTTTCAAAAGACAGCGTTACGCTTAGTACGTTATGTCCATCGGATACAACAAAAAAGCAAGGCTACTTTGTGTTGACAAATTTCTACCTGCATAACATCTTATTTCAAAGAAACACACCTTTACTTTGCGAAATGTTAGCTTTCCGCGGTTTCCATAGGGATGTACAACGGCAAAGTATCGTTCAAACGCAACAACAAGCAGTGTAAATAATGAGGCCTCCGCTCCAGTCCACCTGAATCCTCCCCCTGTTACAACTGCGCACAAAATTGTGCCAGGGATCCCCTTTGGATGGTCGACATTGTAGCTTAAAATAATTGTTGGTGTAGTAAATGTGACGTAACAGATGTCTGCTGCTGCCAGGTTCACAAGTAGATAGTTGATGGGTGTCCTGTGGAATAATATGGTCAGCTATTGTTGGTAATATATCGTTTTAGCCAAGGCTAAAAGCGAAGCTTCAGTGGGATTTTAAGAAAAACTCGTTCTCAAGTAATTCAATTGGTTTTGATTGATCTCAAAAATAAACCTTGTTGAAGTCAAACCGTGTATAAAATCAACAACCCCTGGAGATATTCTTAAAATCACTTTTTGCGTCAGTTTACTAATCCATCATGCACCTTTGCTATAAATACGATCAGGTATTTAGGTTAACAACTGCTACTTCAAATTTACCTCATTTGTCGATTTTTCATCACTACAGCACAGACGAAACAGTTTCCCACGATGCAGGTGATAATTAATATGGAATTTATTGTTGTTAATGCGACATCAGCCGACTCCTCAGACATGGCTGAGGACTGTAAGTCGTGTTTACACCCAAGTAATCTGTGTGAAAATAATTTCAATTAGCGCTTTGTTAGCTTTTGGGTATTGCATTGGCCATTTATTTCCCAAATCACCACACAAGAAATTCTATACCGGGGTTTCTTTTCAGAATAAAGCGAACGGGAGGTAAAAGTGAGCAATAATTGTACGCGACAAATGCTTATCTTTCGCCCATTTCTATATAATTGTAACACACCATGTCGGTAACCAAAACCTAAAGGAATACAGACATGCTTATAAAGTCAGATGGTCCATAATTTGTATCCTCTGTTTTCCGATTGTTTGGTTTGTTAATTCACAGTTTTGTACAGCGACGGAAATGAATTACGGTTTACCATAGTGTTAAACTTTTAACACTTTAACTTTTAACTTTTAACTTTGAAGATGAATTTTTCCCCCAGCATTGGTATCTAATTCAAATAATTCCTTCTGGATCATGGTACTTAGCAGCCTCTTTACGCTTTCAGCTTTTCAAGGAAGATCCCCTTTTTACTGATTAATAGCAGCGATAAACAGCTACTTCAATTAATTAATGTTGTCGGATTTTAAGGCTATGCAATGTGTACACTACATGAACCGGATAGACATTCATGTCGACATGAAAAAGCTAACGTTGCAGTATAAACACCTATTCAATATGTGACAATCTACTTTCAAGGGAAAAGAATGGTAAATTCGAGACTGCGAGACCCTGGTGTCAAAATGCGAGACCGAGACTTGAGCGTTTTTATCAATTCCGAGCTCGAGACTTTACTTCTGAAAAATTCCGAGCCCCGAGACTCTAAGCGCCAAAAATTGACAATGGTGCAAATCAGTAAAGCTAACTAAAATGACCGAAAACGTCAATGAAAGTTAGCGGAAGCCCACCAATTTACTGCTTTCTCTTGCTTAACTATCTTAATCTAATAGCTCAGTTCGATAAGCTGTTGCCACGAAACTCTGAAAATTCCGGTCGACTCCTGAAGACCAAACGGAAAGAAAAAACGACAGATTCGAGACTCCGAGACTTCGAGATCCATCCAAAACGCTTTTGAGATTTCGAGATCGGGCCAAAATTTTCTGAGACCAGTTTTTCGAGGTACCATTCCATACCCCTACTTTCAAGATCGGCGCGGCGTAGCTTCGCTTTGATTTGTTACAGAGGTCGCGTTGTACCAAAATCACCGTTCTTTTAAGTGAACAAGCCGCTATCCGAAATGATTTTCGTGCCGGCGTTTTAAAGAGCTATACGGTAAACATACGGTTATACATACGTGTATAAGTGTAGAGATACGGCTACAAGGCAAGAGCAGATGGCGATGGTTATGTGGCCGGTCAGGCCGAGGTAGCTGTAAATCTTTTGTAATTCACCTTAACCGTTCAAAGTTGTTACGTTGTCAGTGCCACTTAATTGTATAAACCCTCACAAATCTTTGCCTCAGTTGTGATTTTACGAGATAGTAGTTTCTTCATGGCTTAGTTTGGTAAATTTTTATGAAGTTACCCGGCGGTGCGATCTTACCGTGGAAGCTTTCCGTCAAAATTATTTGGAAATGGAAAAATATATTAACGACAATGGGTGGTCAAAAATAGGAAGTTAAAAGCTTAGAAACAGGTGATATTCCATATGTTGAAGTAACGAAAAAAAGACCTAAAGTATACTCGCTTGCATCTAACTAGAATCTACGACGCAACGGACACTGTAAAAATGAAGGACAAAAGGGGAACTCGCGACTGGTGTACTTTTTCTTTTTCTTTTTTTTTTTCAAAATTATCTCAGAGATACGGGAATAGATTTTGAGTTCCTTTGTTCACCGGCACATACACAAACCGGCTTCAAGAAAAAAAAAACAGGGCCAAATGACTTCATGCTGATCAGAAGACAGCGAGGGAATTTCTTTATCTGTCAGGGCAATTTTCGTAATCAAGGGTGCGCAATAAGATCCAGGGAATGTAAGAACGTCTCGCGTTGAACTGGTTGTTCGCAAATTTCACGCTGTTCAAACTTTTGTGGAGGAAACACAGATGGTGCAAACCTCTAAGAATGAAGCGTTCGTTGTTTTGACTTCAAGTCCTCAAATTAAATTAAAGAAGCAGTTTTGTAGTTTATAGTATCTTGTAGAATATAATTTCTAATCATATCGTGTTGTCCAAGGTGAAAAAGGCTCCTGAAGTGGAAAAAACGTGGCTGCCGTGATAATCTAAGCTTAATTGGCCGAATTTATCCTAGAGACGAATTATCCGTCTGAGACGGATAATTCGTCCAAGTATAGAGCAAAATTCGTCTGAGGCTGATTCGTCTGTTAGCACGTCTTCAAGACGTGCTAACAGACGGAAAATTCGTCTTAGACGGATGATCCGTCTCTAAATTTATATCTAGACGGAACGTAGACGGTTTTTTTTGACGACGTTTCTACATGAGAGGGAGTGGTTTCTATATTTTCGCAACCCGCGTAAAATATCTAAACAAATTTTCGTCAAAATCCGTCTTCAGATTTATACTTAGACGACTTATCCGTCCGACGGATAATCCGTCTAGACAAATAGTTCGTCTCTGGTATAAATTCGGCCAATCTCGTACCCAACACAAGGATAAAACCGAAAACCTGAGAAGAAAAAAAAATTACCTTAGACAAGACAGAGTTCTGTCGCACTTTGTAATACCTATCGCGCTTTGTAATAACAGTTGCCGCACTTTGTAATAAAACAGCTGTCGCACTTTGTAATAAAATAAGCTGTCGCACTTTGTAATAAACTTGATATGTATGGTTGGAAGACATGTAAACCCAACAATAAGTATCAAAAGGCGAAAAAGTGCCTTGTTACAACTTACATGGGAGTGGAACTTGAGAATAAACGTTCGAGACTGAGATCTTTTGTTAGTAGAGCGGTTTTCACTTGACTGTCGAAAGGGATTGGTTTTGGTTTTGGTTTTACCACGCCCTTTGGTTGGCTAGTGTATTTACTTTGGTTTTGGTTTTACGACAGTCAAGTGAAAACCGCTCTATCATTGTACTTAGATTTGCTTTTCGTGTTTGCATTTTTTTGCGTTTTGTTATCTTATCTTAGCTGGGCCACACTTAGTCGCACTTTCTGATTTTTATAAATCTGTTTTGTTTCATGTCGGTTCTAGCGCGTTCGAAATTTCCACAAAATTAGCAATCATTGTAGCACAATGACGTGCGCAATTGATATGCAATAGTGCGATTTATGATAATGATGATGATGATGATGATGATGATGATGATGATGATTGTCTGATTATGATAATGATTGTGGCGCCGTGTTGTGCTCGATATTTCCGCAAAGAAAGAGATTTACTTTCCTACAAAGATCTTGAAGCCGGAAGGCCGCAGTTGATGCGAACACTTTCCTCCGCCCTCACTTCAGAAATCGGTTCTGAAAACCGTTTAGTGGAATGTTATTATTATAATTATTTATATATTATATGATTATTATCACTGTTGTTGCTGTTGTCGAGGATTAAACTTATTATCGGGTTTACATGTCCTGCGACCATACATTTCAAGTTTATTACAAAGGGCGACAGCTTATTTTATTACAAAGTGCGACAGCCTTTTTATAACAAAGTTCGACAAGTGTTATTACAAGGTGCGACATGTATAACAAAGTGCGACAATTTTATTACAAAGTGCGACAGAACAGACGGTCCTCTAGCCCTGTTAGCTCGCTTTTTGCTGAGTAACCTCCCTCTTGCCGTCCCTTAACAGTTTAGATTATTCTTATGGCATAGACGGCAAAAATTTATAATTATTGGCTCGAAACGACAACGTTATAATGAACAGGAACAACAACAAAAAACTTTATTTTTCCTTGATTCTCCCTTTTCACTGAAATACACGGACCCACAGGTAGCTTGTTCTATTCTTGACTGGTCCTCTGTCGAGAATTCTGTTATGTACAAGAACAAGGAGCAGTGGTAAACTTAGACTCCCGTCTATAAAGTTAGAACGTACGAAAAAGCCTTTTTTTATAATGGTTGGGTAATTTTTAATCAGATTTAGATTATTAGATTTTTATGATTAAGTCTTTTATATAACATTTTATAGCTATTTTTATTTGTAGTTAATTATCACTATTATTTCTATTCAATTTAGTTTATCATATAGAGCCTCTATGGATAGCAGTTTTGATCTTGTCTTGGCTTTATGGTCCCAGATGTGAAATACAACGAGGCTTACATCTCATTCGTTTTAGTCCATCCAGAGTGGCGCCGAGCGGGGATTGGAAACTACATGATTTATCACTTAATTCAAACTTGCTTGGGTAAAGACGTGACACTCCATGTATCAGTCACTAATCCAGCCATGCTAATGTATCAGAAATTCGGTTTCAAACCCGAGGAGTTCATACGTGACTTTTATAACAGATATTTACCCGATGATAGTCAGCAGTGTAGACACGCGTTTTTCCTTCGACTTAGAAGATAACGAAGAAGTTTTAAAAAGCTATAACCAGTAAACAAAGTAAGGAAACGATAACACCTTTATTAAATGAATGACGCAGCGTTAATTTGGGTCGGAGCTTAGTAAAAGCCGTTCAAACGGCATGTTTCAACCAAAGGAAACTTGTTTTCATAGTGGAAGACTAAAAGCACCATAATGTTTATTTACTATTTAAGCATCGACACTTAAGAGTGAAGGTTGACGGATTTTATTTCACCGTTTTCATACTTGTCATAGGGATGTCACCAGTGCTGATTGCCACCTCGTTGTCTTGTCGTTCACGCTGTCGCGCGCACACAGAATAAACCCTTGTTCTAAAAGAACGCGGACATACCATTTGCTTTATCTTCGCCCTGAATCTTTGGTTCAGCAAAGCGTAAGCAAAGGGATTGACGGCAGAGTTAAATATCATTATCGTGTGCGCGATAGGAGTTGTTAAAGGACTCAGTTTTACGGAGTCAGCATATTCGTGTATCAGGTGCAATATTCCGTCTGCTCCCCAAGAGATTACAAGAATGGCACTGATGGTAACAACCATCAAGGTGACCCGCTTCCTTAACCTCAACACACCCTGTGTACAAAGCAAATCCATAAACCACAGGTTACCCAAGTGTACAATATAAGTGACCTATAATACCTAGTGTTTCATCTTATCTACCTTTGTTATGACCGTGAAACCTTAAATTTTGGGTCCAACTTAAGGTAGCCGGAATTGAAGCCTAATAATTTGTTCTGTATGATGAAAACATTTAAACCTTAGAGTCCAAAATGTAAGATCATAAAGCAGGAAACTTGACACTATTTGAAACTCGGAACACCATAATGGTCAAAATACCATAACCCTTTGTTGCCATACACACCATTATAACTTTAATACGTAGGGGAGGGAGTAAACCCGGGTTAAAGGCCAACTAAATCCCCAGGGGGTACTTCCTGTAATAGACCTTTTTACCGATACGGCGGCAATATTGAATTTATTAGGTTTAAGGAGTATTATGGGATGCCCAGGGGCACTCGCTCAGTATTTACGCGCGCTTTTCGGGCAAAAAGAGAACTTCACCGTATATTTCTCGAGAAAAAGGTTATCACAAGAATATCACTATTACATCCAAACACGGCACAACGATCTTTTTTTTCCCCTAACAATCTTTCTCTAGGAAAACTTAAAAAGAAAAATCGGCCCGAAAAGCCCGCGTACATACTGATGCGAGTATATCAGATCGTTCTGATGCCCCCTGGGGATCCCATAGTACTTCTTAAATCCAATTAATTCATTATGGCCGCCGCATCGGTTAAAAGGTCTATTGCCTATACTGGCTCCGCCCGAAAAGGGTACCTCTGCTGTCAAAAATAGTATATAAAAGGATAAGGAGTCGGATATCGAGGGGGAGCCTCCCCGTATAATGCATTGTTGAGTATTCCACTTTCGGGGGCTAAACCTAGTTATGTCCTACCACATACCTGTTGATGAGGTGTAAGTACATTATCACTGTGCTTGAACCATAAGGTGTACACCACCTTGGAGTATAACAAGACCAGCAAAAGCAACACAGCAGAATCAATTGAAGTGTAAACAGTAAAACGGGCCTTTACGTCTTCCTCAGTTAATAAGGAAATGCAGTAGTTAGAACTATTTTCCTTCGCAGAACGGCTCCGTTTCATGAATCCTGGGATTTTGATTATTGCTGCGAGGATCCAAATTCCAGGAATAATCACCTAAAATAAAGAGTTAGAATAATATTTAAAAACGTGAATCGCGCATCTAAAAGTCAGTTATTTTTGTCGAGACGAAAAAATGTCTCAGATACAAAGTTCGTCTGAGAATGGAGAGGCGAGACCAGGACACCATCCGCAACCCTCCCCATCAGATCCGCCCACGCGATGTGTTAACCTGTTTCTCAATCAGTTTGCCTCAAGACGTGCCAACCACGTGCCAGCATATATAGACGAGCGAGGAAGAAGGGCTGTTTATAGCCTGCGTAGCAGGGGTCGAAAGTGGTAGGGATTGGAAGGAAGGGAAAAGGGGGCGGGGGTTGGGGAGATGGGGAGAGAGTGTAAGGGTTCCCTTCCCTTTTCCCTGTCGCGCTTTTCTCCCTCATCTCCTACCCCTCCTCTTTTTGTGCATACCACGAAGGCAAGCCTGTTTATTTAGCCGTCTTTCAAAAGACAGCGTTGCGCTTAGTAAGTTATGTCCATCGGATACAACAAAAAAGAAAGGCTACTTTGTGTTGACAAATTTCTACCTGCATAACATCTTATTTCAAAGAAACACACCTTTACTTTGCGAAACGTTAGCTTTCCGCGGTTTCTATAGGGATGTACAACGGCAAAGTATCGTTCAAAGGCAACAACAAGCAGTGTAAATATTGAGGCCTCCGCTCCAGTCCATGCTAATCCTCCCCCTGTTACAACTGCGCATAAAACTGTCCCAGCTATCCCCTTTGGATGATCGACATCGTGGCTTAAAATAATTGTTGGTGTAGTAAATGTGACGTAACAGATGTCTGCTGCTGCCAGGTTGACAAGTAGATAGTTGATGGGTGTCCTGTGGAATAATATGGTCAGCTATTACTGGTAATATATCGTTTCAGCCAACGCTAAAAGCGAAGCTCCAGTGGGATTTTTGAGAAAAAGTCGTTCTCAAGTAATTCAACTGCTGCAACTGGTTTTGGTTGATCTCAAAGATCTTTGACCTTTGAAGTCAAACCGTGTATAAAGTCAACAACCCCTGGAGATATTCGTAAAATCACTTTCTGCGTTTTACTAATCCATCATGCATCTTTGCTATAAATACGATCAGGTATTTAGGTTAGCAACTGCTACTTTAAGTTTACCTCATTTGTCGATTTTTCATCACTACAGCACAGACGAAACAGTTTCCCACGATGCAGGTGATAATTAATATGGAATTTATTGTTGTTAATGCGACATCAGCCGACTCCTCAGACATGGCTGAAGGCTGTAAGTCGTGTTTACACCCAAGTAATCTGTGTGAAAATAATTTCAGTTAGCGCTTTGTTAGCCTTTGGGTATTGCATTGGCCATTTATTTCCCAAATCACCACACAAGAAATCTATACCAGGGTTTCTTTTCAGAATAAAGCGAACGGGAGGTAAAAATGAGCAATAATTGTACGGGACCAAATGCTTATCTTTCGCCCGTTTCTATATAATTGTAACACATCATGTCGGTAACCAAAACCTAAAGGAATACAGACATGCTTATGAAGTCAGATGGTCCATGATTTGTATCCTCTGTTTTCCGATTGTTTGATTTGTTAATTCACAGTTTTGTACAGCGACGGAAGTGAATTACGGTTTACTAGTGTTAATCTTTTAATTTCCCTTCTCCTTCAAAAAGTACGTTTACCTGAGTTTGAAGAAGAATTTTTCCCCCAGCATTGGTATCTAATTCAAATAATTCCTTTCGGATCATGGTATTTAGCAGCCCCTTTACGCTTTCGGCTTTTCAAGGAAGATCCTCTTTTTACTGATTAATAGCAGCGATAAAGAGCTACTTCAATTAATTAATGTTGTCGGATTTTAAGGCTATGCAATGTGTACACTACATGAACCGGATAGACATTCATGTCGACATGAAAAAGCAAACGTTGCAGTGTAAACACCTATCCAATATGTGACAATCCACTTTCAGGGGAAAAGAATGGTAATCCGAGACTGCGAGACCCTAGTTTCAAAATTCGAGACCGAGACTTACGCGTTTTTATCAATTCCGAGCCCGAGACTTTGCTTCTAAAAAATTCCGAGCCCCGAGACTCTAAGCGCCAAAAATTTACAACGGTGCAAATCAGTAAAGCTAACTAAAATGACCGAAAACTTCAATGAAAGTTAGCGGAAGCCCACCAATTTACTGCTTTCTCTGGCTTAACTATCTTAATCTAATAGCTCAGTTCCATAAGCTGTTGCCACGAAACTCTGAAAATTCCGATCGACTCCTGAAGACCAAACGGAAAGAAAAAACGACAGATTCGAGACTCCGAGACTTCGAGATCCATCCAAAACGCTTCTGAGATTTCGAGATCGGGCCAAAATTTTCTGAGACCCTCGTCAGTTTTTCGAGGTACCATTCTATACCCCTACTTTCAAGATCGGCGCGGCGTAGCTTCGCTTTGATTTGTTACAGAGATCGCGTTGTACCAAAATCACCGTTCTTTTAAGTGAACAAGCCGCTATCCGAAATGATTTTCGTGCCGGCGTTTTAAAGAGCTATACGGTAAACATACGGTATACATACGTGTATAAGTGTAGAGATACGGCTACAAGGCAAGAGCAGATGGCGATGGTTATATATGGCCGGTCAGGCCGAGGTAGCTGTAAATCTTTTGTAATTCACCTTAACCGTTCAAAGTTGTTACGTTGTCTGTGCCGCTTAATTGCATAAACCCTCACAAACCTTTGCCTCAGTTGTGATTTTACGAGATAGTAGATTCTTCATGACTTAGTTTGGTAAATTTTTATGAAGTTACCCGGCGGTGCGATCTTACCGTGGAAGCTTTCCGACAAAATTATATGGAAATGGAAAAATATATTAATGACAATGGGTGGTCAAATATAGGAAGTTAAAAGCTTAGAAGCAGGTGATATTCCATATGTTGAAGTAACGAAAAAAAGACCGAAAGTATACTCGCTTGCATCTAACTAGAATCTACGACGCAACGGACACTGTGAAAATGAAGGACAAAAGGGGAACTCACGACTGGTGTACTTTTTCGTTTTTTTTTTTCAAAATTATCTCAGAGGTACTGGGATAGATTTTGAGTTCCTTTGTTCACCGGCACATACACAAACCTTCAAGAAAAAAAACAGGGCCAAATGACTTCATGCTGATCAGGAGACAGCGAGGGAATTTCTTTATCTGTGGACAATTTTCGTAATCAAAGGTGCGCAGTAAGATCCAAGGAATGTAAGAACGTCTCGCGTTGAACTGGTTGTTCGCAAATTTCACGCTGTTTAAACTTTTGTGGAGGAAACACAGATGGTGCAAATCTCTAAGAATGAAGCGTTAGTTGTTTTGGCTTCAAGCAATCAACCTAAATTAAAGGAGCAGTTTAGTAATTAGCATCGTGCAGAAAACAATTTCTAATCATATCATGTTGTCCAAGGTGAAAAAGACTCTTGCAGTGGAAAAAGTGGCTGCCGTGAAAATCCGGCTAAGCTTAATCTCGTACGCAACACAACGATAAAACCAAAACCTGAGGAGAAAAAGTATTCGAGTACTGTCGAGTATTCTGTTATGTTCAACAACAAGGAGCAGTGATAAACTTAGACTCCCGTCTTTAAAGTTAGAATGTACGAAAAAAGCCTTTTTTTATCATGGTTGTCTAACTTTTAATCAGATTCAGATTTTTAGATTTTTATGTTTTTTTCTAGTATTTTAATTTTTAAGTCTTTTTATAATAATAACATTTTATAGCTATTTTTATTTGTAGTTAATTATCACTATTATTTCTATTCAATTTAGTTTATCATAGAGAGCCTCTATGGATAGCAGTTTTTATCTTGTACAAAACCTGAAGGAGTTACCCTATTGAAATAAAGGTTTCTACCTAAATACATAGGTCTACATAGACATGAACTGCAAAGGACTGCAAACGAATATGCCGTAGGACGTAGGATCTAAGGAGACCTGATCAGCAAAAGTACCGTAAAATTCCGAAAATAAGCCCTGAGGCTAATATTTTTTAAAAGCCCTTTTTGAGGGGCTTATTTTTGGAGGGGCTTATATTCGGAAAGACTTATCTGTGGAGAGAAATTTGCGCTTCAAAGTTGATTGGGCTAGCCTTATAGTTGGAAGTAAATTTATCGTTTTTGCTTTGTTTTACTTTGTATTTGAAGTATTCCAAGTACAAGCCCCATGGGGGGCTTATATTTGGAGGGGCGATTCAACGGAGGGTTTTTTTGCGTTACTAGTTTAGGGGGCTTGTGTTTAAAGGGGCTTATACATGGAGGGGTTTATTTTCGGAATTTTACGGTATAGCTGTCTACAGCTACGACCCTGCTCTGTTTTGGGTTCTTTCGGTGTCGTACTGATGTCTTGAAGGGGTTATTTTCACGTAGGACAATGAGCTTTGCAGATCTCAATTGTCTACTATGTACAAATACGTATGATATATAAACATATATACCTATATTATTTGAAAGAGTATACAAAAGAGAAAACGAATTTACACTGTAATACAATCCCATCTTGCAGGTGACAGTTTCTAAAAGCTTTTTTTTGTTTTTGTTTTTGTTTTCATTTCACATTAGTTGATGTTATTCAATGAAGACGATCGTTTGTTTGTTTGTTTGTTTGGTTTGTTGTTTGTTTTTTAATACCTAATTCTCGTGTACTGTAATGCATAATTATAAAAGACAAGAAAAAGTTACCCTGTGGTCCTTAGATGGGGCTACTTACAAACACGCAAGGGCTGACGCTCTAATCTTATTAAGGTCGTAAGGCAATTGATAAAAAGTTATAAAACAGTTCCTTGTGGTTTGCTTCCCCACCCCTCCCCCCTCCTTACCTATGTAGCATCACAGTTTCTTTAGAAGTTTATACGGTTTTCATACAGAGCGCTTACCGGCGTGACGTCATGTCGGCCACGAAGGCAGCGTTTTATCAACTTTTTCGCATTTATGACAGCGTACTGGAAATTAAATCTCAGATCTAGGTGAATTCTCTGGGACGGCACCCAAGTATAAAATCAGGAGAAAAAGAAAATTCGTCGTCGCGTGTTTACGTCCTCCATGAAACGTCGTATAGGGGTATTTTACGTCGTAGTTGTGCATTGACGGCAAAGATATGTACCGTTTTGCTTTCCAAAGCCATTGCTTTTTTGACGCTCCACTTAACATCGCTCCCTTCGTTGCTATAAGCTATCTAGTATTATGTTGGTGTTTCAAGGCAATCCTACGGGAGTTGAATGTTCTCGTAAGAAGACAATTTCTTTTTACATTTATAAGGGCAGGATGACCACAACAGAGGTGTCAAAAATCCATTTTCGAATTGCCCTTAGCCTTTTTATCAAAGCGGGCACAAACCTTTCACATGGAAATGAGTTTAATTTGTGACTGAATAAAACTTCTTTTCCGTATGAAATGATAGCACCCGAACTCGCTTTGAAAACGAGGCCAAAGGTAATGCAGAAATGGCCTGTTACTGTCGATACACATTTTCCTGGGAAATTGTCCCCGCCCTTTCACTCAGTTGGTCTTGCTGTGTCATCGGAATGCTGCCAGTGGTGTGACCAGTGTCGTTGTCCTGTGGTTCACCCCGTCGCACGGACATAGCACCAACCCTTGTTGCAAAAGAACGTGATCGTATTATCTGCCTCATCTTTTTCCTGAATCTTTGGTTCAGCAGAGCGTATGCAAAGGGATTTATAGCAGAGTTGAACATCAGCATCGTGTGCGCGATAGGAATAGCCAAAGGACTCAGTTTCACGGAGCCAGCAGCATGTTCTTCTAACATATGGAGTATCACATCTGCTCCCCAAGAGATTACAAGAATGGCGCTTACGGTTACAACCATCAAGGTCACTCTCTTCCTCAACCTCAATACACCCTGTGTACAAAACGATTGATAAGCTACAGGTCGCTCAAGCTTAAAATATAGCTGTGCGACCTTACAGCTCTCAGAAGACCTCACGAGTTTTTGACAATGAAAACAATGAATAAACAAAGTTAGCAATGGAAACTGTTCCGTAAACAAGAGACGAGAGCTGCGACCCATAGGGGTTAAATCAGACGTTCTGAAAGACTGGAGCTTTTTCAGGCTACTGACATAGCTGATCTTTGATATAAGCATGCAGTGAAGTGGACAAAATTTTTGTGCAATTTCACTGCTTGAGTTTGTATCGAAACGACCGGCTTCCCCATTTCCCTTACTAGGCCTATTTACCCAACCCAAACACCAACACAATAACGTGGGCTATTAATAACTTAGGGATGGGTAGAAACCGATATCCGTCAATTTTCCCAAAATCGAGCTAATAACTGGGGGCGCTTAGTTGCATAAATCGTAACGTCGAACATAACGGCTTGACGTCCGACCTTCAGTCAACTTAAACTCTTTATTTTAACACCAGGCGTCAACAGGCGCGTCTGACTTTACATTTTATTTGCTGGTCCCAGAACTATCTAGTCAAAACCGCCATCGAATGAAATAGGCCAGTGTTAGTAATTTGTCCTTACTCAGTAAGAATTTTAGAGGGGTTATATTTTTCAATGGAGGAAATGCGAAATGGGTACCTCTCTGTCAAAGGGTAAAGGGTTGAACCTTTACGGAGCCTCCCCATATGAAACTATGTTGAGTAGCCTTCAAACGAATAATTTGTCGTGATAAGGGTTTTGGCCCTATGTAAAGGAATCCAGATCTAAAATCCAGCAAATTTTTGCTTCTGGAATTTGGTTACCTGGGCTTTGGAGTCATTACAGCTCAAGTAATCCGGAATTCAGTACCTGGAATCCAGAATCCAAGACTGTATTAGATTCTCTTACATCAAGCGAAGGGTCTTACCTGTTGCTGATTTGTGAGTACGGCATTATCGCTTTGCTTGAACCACAATGTGTACACAATTCTGGAGTAAATCAAGACCAGCAGGATCATGACAAGACAATCGATTGAGAGATAAACCGTGCGGTATTTTCTTATGCTTTCTCTGGACAACAAGAAAATGCAAGGGATGGAGCTATCCTCCTCAACAAAACGGCTCCGCTTCATGAATAATGGAATTTTATCCATTATTGCAAGGATCCAGATTCCAGGAATAATCACCTAAAGAGACATCAAAGAATTAAGAAAGAAATGAATCACAGATCAACCGAGAAGCTGGTTTTGTCGTTGCTTTTTCCTCCTCCTCTTTTTGTCATAGGAAGGCTGGGGTGAGGGCAAATGAAAGCGCGCGGCGGAGGATGGGAAGGGAAAGAGGAGAAGCGAGGCTTTCCTCCTGTTCTGTCTTCCCATCGTTCGTTCATTGCTCTTTTTCGATTATTGCTATTTTTATTGGGAAAAGAGAGCTGTCGCCATGGAAACTCATCTAAGTTTGTGCCGGAGGAGAATTTGCGAATACCGTATTTATTCGACTAAACGCCGCGGCGTTTAGTAAATTTTTAGCGTTTCCGATGCCGCGTTTATTCGAGGGCCGTGTTTATTTCAAAATCACTTTTTTAAAATCAATGAAAGCAGTTATTGTAAATCGTTTGTAAATATACTGTTTAATTGAAAGGTTTCAATGTCTCTCTTATTTTGCTGAGATAGAATCGTAAATGTGTGGATGGTGTAAATTGCCAAGTTGTACCGACTTTTCTCTTCCTCGAGTAAACGCCGCATTCTTCTGACGAGGTGCGGCGTTTATTCGTGTGCGCCGTTTATTGGTAGTTTTGCTTCCATCTGCGGCGTTTAATTGAGGGCGGTGTTACGCATAAAATAGTATTTCAAAGTATCAAACCTTCAATTCCTGAAAAGTTAGCTTTCCTCTGTTTCCATAGGGATGTATTACGGCAAAGTATCGTTCAAACGCAATAACAAGCAGTGTAAACATTGAGGCAAGTCCTCCAATCCAGGCGAAACTTCCCCCAGTAATACTTGCACACAGAAATGTTCCAACAATCCCCGTTGGATGGGTGACATTGTGGCTCAAGATTATCGTCGGCATTATGAATGTGGCGTAGCAGATGTCTGCTGCTGCCAGGTTTACCAGTAGGTAGTTGATGGGAATCCTGTGGGATAATGTGTTCAGTCAGTTAGCGATATCCTCAAAGGGATCTTTGGGCCAACTCGCAGATAACCGTTCTCAAATTAGAGACGGCTGACTACTACAGGAAGCTGACTACTGTATAAGTCGAAATTACTACTTCACTCAAAGATTGTCGATGTCTTTAATTTTAGAAATGGCAAAAGATTCGCAAAACAAGGCTTGATGTTCAACCCATAGCTAAATATAATATTTGTTGAAGTTTGAACTGTAATATTTTTCTCTTTCATAATAAGGCCACTGAACACGCTTCCCTTTTGGACCTCAAACCCTATGGAAACTCAATGGCGGATTTTGAGGTGGGGCTGCCCATCCCCCACTATTCTTAGACCAAACTGAGGCCGTAAGGACAGGAAAAAGCATTTTCGAGCCCCCACCCCAAACTTTTGGGGGTGCTCAGGCCAGTTTTTGATTCGTATCCCGACACAGATAAAATGAAAGGAAAAGGGACTGCTATGCCTAGCGCCTAGCAGTGAAATCATCAATTCGAAGACGTATTTAGATTAACAAGCGCTTTACCTCATTTCGCGATTTTTCATCACTACAACACAAACGAAAAAGTTTCCCACGATACAGATGATAATTAATATGACATTTGCTGTTGTTATGGCAATATCAGCTGTATCAGACATGACTGAAGGGTGTGGCTGCTATTCACGTGATCTGGATGAAAACAAAATAATTTCAAAGTTATTAATCCATGTATGGCATCAAGGCAGACCTAGCCTTGTAATTGGTTTGTAAGGCCGATGAACGCTAATCTAGGAATAAAATTTTGTTCTGTTGTTGTACTTTACCTTCCTATGTATTGCTTACAGTAACATTTATCATTACCGTCTCTCGAAGTAAAGGCTCAACTGTATTTTGTAAGCTCAAGTTATATGTTGTTAGACAAGAAAACCTTGTTGAATATTTTGCTTAATCCTGGGTTAAACATAACCATCTTTCGAGGAACCGCGCCGAGATCTCAAAGCAAGAAAAATATACCTCATTTTATTCTCTATAAGCTGTGACGTGAGCTAATCCGAAAATTGCACTTTCTATCAAACCTGACACATGAACATATATATAGTTTTTCGTTTTTTCCACAAAATGCCTAAACTGATAGTACTGCCTGATAGCCGATTGATTTAAATTCATTAACCGTAATGGAAATATGACAGATGCATTAGATGTAATGTTAAAATGCTGTGGCGGTTTTTAATTTCTTTTTGTTTCAAACTCATTATCATATACTACTATTAATTACTAGAGACAGAGGAAAGTAATATAAATGAAAGATTAGGATGAATCACCGTGTATCTTTGCTGATGGTTAAAAGACTATACGATTTTTTTATCGTCTAGGGCTTTAGGTAAATTATTAAATTAGAAACAGTCATCTAAAATTATTTTTTCTGAAAGCCAAATGAGCAAAGTCGCCCCGCTTCAATAAAAACAGTAACAAGAATGCAGAGCGCGGACTGGTTGACTGGGGGCATTAAATAATTGTTGTCAATTATTTTCTCTCTTCCATACTTTCTGAGATTACAAGTTCAATCATTCGTTTCTCTAGCCTAAAAGAAAAACATGAAACGAAACCGTGAATAAATGAAACGGAAAAAAGATACCTAGGAGCAAGAGGTCTTTTTTTCTTTTTTTGTTACGGTGCCAAAAAAAGCCTAAAACATGACTATACTTGATTGAAACAAATTTTACAGCGCAGCACTTTAACATTATAGAAATACTGTAAAAAGAAATTATGATATACAATTTTCACAGTTACCTGAGAGATCTGAGAGGTTTGTTTTTCCTCTAGTTCGTCTGCCCGCACCAGTACAATTATTGTTATAACAAACAAACCAAAATTACACTATGTTGATTCGGGGACGAAGAGTGTATATGTGTTTAAATATCATAAGATTTTGGGAATCAAGAGGATGGAACAACTAACAATGATAGGAAAGCGTGGAAACTTCTTGCCTTTTGATTGGTTGCTCGCTTCATTCACGCTGTTAAACGTTTAATTTGTGGATGAAACAGAGGTGAATTTATCATTTGTGTTGGCGTCAAGCAAGCAGCCTCCAAGTAAACAAGGCTGCCCTGAATTTTTTTATCTCGCAGATGATAATTTTAATTTAATCAGGTGAACCAATATAGGTTTTGCAAGGTGAAAGATGACGCTGCTTGTATTTTCTCCTTTTTTCTTTGGATGCTGTCATAATAATCCCGGACTTACTGTACTAAGCTCCGGTTTTGGACAAGCACTACCCGTCACGGTTAAGAAACTCAGCTATGTTGAATCACTAATAAGGTTTGCAGAATGCGTATGGACAGTCATATAACTGATGGGTCATATGTATTTCGATGACACACTGGGTCACGTTTTACTACAGATATTCCCTAACCAGGCTATTTCAAGCACAAGCTAGGCACTACGCGTTTTAAATGATCGTCGCAAGTATTCTTGGTTTGCAACCACGTAACAAGGCAGCAATATTGGGGGTAGTAACAAGAGAATTTTTTCGCAAAGAATTTACATGAAAATAGAGTTCAGTTCCCAGAGGGGAGAAATGCTTCTGTTCTTGACGATCAATAAGGCTGTTGTGACGTCACGTACTGGTTGTCTTGCAGTATTGTTTTGGTCCGGTAGGGTGAGGATGTCCGAAGTGCCCCCCCCACCCTTTCAGAAGAAACACCAAATCCAAATCCAACGGATATCCAGTGACGAAATTCATTTTGGGATTTTGCGTTCGACTTGGAAATTCAAATAGTCAAACGGATTTCTCCAACAACTTCCACTTTGTGTACAGACCTTACTTTTTCGTCTTTTTCGATGTACAACATAGAGGAGAGGTCGTTACGTCACGTTGCCATGGTAGCAAAATTTGTGGATGACAACAAGCCGAAAATTCACTTAAATGTTTAAAACTTCATTAATTTTATTCAATCTCACTTAATTTGTCAAATGTTCGCGAAATATCTGGGTTGAATCCCAAAGGACGGTGCCTAAGTTTACAAAAAGACAAGAACATTTTTTGTGTTGTGTTCACCTACTCCATAAATCGGGCGCATGAATTTAGAAGGTTTCAGGTCGCAGTCGTGCAACGAAAGGCAAAGAAGTGTACAAAAAGTGCAAAGTTGTTGTTTTGCTAATCTAAACCTTTTGCTTTTTTGCCACTTTTCGTTGGCGTCGCCATCGTCGTTGCTTAAAAGTGCTGTGTCACGAAATTCAGCCAAATTAGGAAATTACCAAATGCCCGTTAAATTAAGAGAAACATAAAAATAACCGCTTCAAACTTTAAAGGAAGGTTAAAATAACATAACAGAAACAACAGATGCCACGGATGGGCAAAACTGAAGAAAATTGAAACGGATTGAAATGATGGTTTTTGAAAACTGTTCAGCCTAACAGTTTTTCAAAAGTTGATCCCTGCTGTTGGCAACTTCAAAAATAATGTTCAGGAGACATATGTGTTTGTCTCGGATCTCTGATTTTGTCATTTACCTGTAATTTCTTTGCTTACTTTAAGTTCCATAGCGATTGAGGGCGAGTAATTGGCAAAATTAAACAAAATGAACTGGACTGCCGTGACACAGCCCCTTTAAGCTCCCTTTTGTTGTCATCCAAAAATTTTGATACCATAATAATGTTACGTCACACTTTTCCTCTTTATTACTATGGAACTTGCTGTTGTTATAGCAACGTCAGCTAACTCAAGATTGGTTAACGTAATCTGAATGCTGAGCAAGACATTCTGGAAAAAAAAAACAATTGATCTACCAAAAACGAGGATAAATTTCAAACGGCAATGACAGGAACATTCCTTTATATTCGATGACAGTGTCTTTCTTGAACTTAGTTTCTTCATGAAGAAATTTACTGTCACTAGCGGTCCGGCCTCCTCCCTGATAATCGTACATAAGAAGCTCTCAATAGTCACATTGAGCGGAGGTTTATTTTTTGTCTTTGCTTCTGTTCTTGAAGAAAAAAGTTTACTAAGGGAGTGAAAGCTCTGTGTGTCATAATGCAGTCATTGTCAGCTGTGTGAAAATTATTTTTCACAAATTACTTTTCAAGGAATGACACTATATTCATATGTATAACAGCGGGCCTTCAAGACTATTACGCATACAGACAAGGTAAATTTTCAGTTAAGTCGCCGGAGAAGAGCAATTATATCATTGGACAGCTATCAAATAAAAGACGTCAGTTGAAGTATAATTTTAAGAAGCCGGAAACTTAAGCGATTTTTTTAACAAGAGTGATGAGTCGGAGAAAAAATTTGAACAAAAGAAAATTATGTTTACCCACAAGTATCATTTGACAAATATCGCTTAGCTTTAATGAAATTTAGTCACCAAGATTGACATAATCGTTATAATGGTCTTATAACGTTTTGTGGTAATATAAGGGAATTCTCCTAAGACCCACGCTCTATAGCGCACAGAGATGTCCCTGTTCCTTCTTTGCGATAACTTTTGTTTTTTATGTGATGCAGGAAGAATTGAGTACCAAAATTAAAAAGTTGAATCTGAAAGATCGTTGTAATAACTGTCATGGTGGAAGTCGTGGACTAACGAACTGAATCAAGAAATTCTGCACGCACACAAGAACCCACATGCTCAGCAGAGCACACAATATTAAGCTGCAACTTTTTTATTTTCGGTTCCCTGCATCTGGCCGATCGTAACCTAGGGCTGCCTGTGTGCCAGTAAACCAACTTTTACCGTTTTGATTAAACACAGCTGGTGGTTATATTTACATAGTACATTTATTGCGAAGTCGCCTCTCGAAGCTTGTTATTTAGTACCGCAACATGTGGCTCATATTTTTCACAAGCTCTACAGCACAGAAGCAGTGCAGAAGTTTTACTTGTCTGCTTAAACTTTCTCAAATTTTTAAATGGTTACTGAAAAAGCGAACATTAAAGTGGCAGGACCTTTTTTCTGCCTCTTAACAGTTTCTTGGAGGTTTTTGTCATTGTCTCTTTCATTTAGCATCGAAAATATTGAAGATTTGAGACTGCAAGTTCGATTTGTTGCTCGAAAATTAAAACTATGACATGACCCGCTTTCATTGAAAGTAAATGAAAGGAATGGACTGCTGTTGGAAGCAGGTGGTTTTTCATAACAAGAGTATCTTGTTTTATCGCACTTCAATATGTTCAGTTTTAGTAACTGAAAAACAAAAACCTGCTCAAGAATCTTAATCAACCGACCTGGCAGGCATTGGCACTAGAACAGGCACCAGCGTGAGGAAGGCAAAAACGTGATATTCACATCTAGAAGTCCAGATCTCGAAAACGGAAAAGAGAAATTTGATGTCAAGAGATGTCACTTTTGCCTTCCTATCGCTGCTCAGTGTTAAGCAGGATTTTAGTCATATCACTGTTATACTACATAGCAGACGAACGAACACATTGAATGCGTTAAAAGAAAAGCCTTAGAAGACAACGTTTCACTATTACCTGAGAAAAAGACGATAGTTAATCAACCTCATGTGCTTTGCTTGTTTGCTGATTTACCTCTCTCATGTCCGTGCTTTGAACATTATTAACCTCAAACTATTGAGGGCAGAATTACTAAATGCAGATTAGTAAATTAAGAATACATTCAGTTCTTTAATAACGAAGGCATTTTTGGTACAAGAGTATAATTATCAATTGACAATGATTGGCCAAGCGTTACAAATGTAACAATTCTCGGTTATGATTGGCGGTTTGCTTCATTTAGGCTGCTTGAAAGATGGCTTGAAAAAAGTGGCAAAAAAGTGCCTTAGTGATCCTGCAACAAGTTTTTCTTTACAGAAAAGATGAAAAGCAAACGATACAAAAGTAGGTGTGAGAAGTGGCAAATTCAAGAAAATCCTGTAGCGGGAGATGTCAAAGAACTTCAAGAGCGTAGTAGATGCAATCCAATCTTGCGCTCAATGATCTTAACGGGCCATATTAGCTCGTTTTTTGGCATTTCATACCACTTGATGTGACTATTGTAACGACTATTGTTTTTTTCAAATTTTACCCTGTTTAGGTGTGTTTGAATGTATAATATATGAAAAGACAGAGGAAAAAGTTTCCTTGAGAGAGTCACATGACCCCAAGTAAGGCCGACTACAAACATATCCAAGTCATCAAGTGCACGCTAAATTGAACTGATTTTAATGACGGTTGTGTACTGAGTATTCTGGCCTTGAGTAAAAGCGAGGCTGTCGATGACCCAACTCCGATATTTCTGAGATGTTTCAGCAAGACAAGATTCCAACCAGCCTCGATTTTACTCTAAGGCCGGGTTGCTCAGCAAACAACTATAAATTGGCCAATTGAGCAAAACATAATTTTTGTGAGAGGTAAAATAACAGACAGCAGTGAGCAATGATAGCTGACAAATTTCAAATGTCCTAACGAGTAATTCTACGTCACCTTTACTTAAGAGTTATTTCTCTGGTTCAAGACTCAGTAAACGAGTAATGCTATAGTATCTCGAATTTATAATTATTTTTATAACTCAAGTCTCAGTAAAACGTGGGGCCACCAAGAGAAAGTTGTTAATATTAAGTCCATTACAAAATATCTATTGTCTACAGCCTGTGTGAAACTATATTTCATATTATAGACCTTACTCGCTTGTCAAGTGCCCTGGACGAGCATTGAAGCGTAACAGGGAATAGCATGTTTTGCATCACCTACACAGGCAACAAAACATTCAAACAAAAAGAACCTGACGGTCTACAGTCCTGTCACTGCACTTGCTCCGTTTGGCTCCGTCCCAGTGTTGATCCCAGTGTTCATGTTCTCCAGCTGTACCTCCTCTGTCGTGCTAGGTCCCCTTACTTCATAGGAACGTGAAAAGCAGCATAACATTTCCTTCATCTTTCTCCTGAATCTTTCGTTTATTAAAGCGTACACAAAAGGATTGACGGCAGAGTTGAAAGTAACTGTTAAATGCACAATAGGAATTGTTAAAGGGTTCAGCTTCAAAGAGCCGGCATCGTCTACGCTGTGTACTATTCCGTCTGCTCCCCAAGAAGCTGCAAACATGGCGCTGACTGTAACAACCATCAAGGACACACGCCTTCTCACCTTCAATACACCCTGTGTACAAAATGATTCATTAGACCGCAGGTAGCACAAGCTTACAATCTTTGAGATTTGAGAAATACTTTAAAACGTTTTTCGTATTGTAATCCTTGTCTTTGCTAAGGTATGTGAAAGGGGTACCATTTGTCAATAGAAGGTATACGAAAGGGGTATACGGGATCGGACCTCGGGGCGGAGCCTTACCGTATAAACATTTGTTGAGGACCCCCCGGGGGGGGTCCCACTATGTACTTGTCTAATAAGGATTGTAGTCGTACCTGCTGATGACGTGTGAATTCACCGTCACTGCTCTTGAACCACAAGGCGTACACTATTCTGGAGTAGAGTAACACCAGAACCACAATGGCTAAAAATTTCAAAGCACGCCACGTCATACCAGTTATCATTTTGCTTTCTTTGGACAAAACGGAAACGCAGGAGATGGAACTAACTTCCTTATCAAAACTTCGCGGCAGGGAAGGGCCTCTGTATATAACTGCGAGGATCCAAATACCAGGAATAATCACCTGAAAATACCGATTAAGCACGTTATCGTCTAAGAGCACAAGTGCTCGTTCAAAATACGAACGTGCATTAAATCTACGCAATTATAATAATAATATCTAGTATTAAAAAAAAATTAAATATATAATCTATAATCTAGGAAAACTGTGTTTCAATTTTTCTGTAGTAGAGTGCTCGATACGTTAAAGTAGAGCCTGATATAAAATTACGGCTGAATTGATCTTAACTTAGACTTAAAATAATTAGAATATAATGATTAGCTCGACAGTATTGCACAGTTATCTATTTGAACGGTTTATACGCTATCGTAAAACATTTGTCACTGGGAAGTTGTGTACGACTTTGCCACTGCTTGCTGCCAGTCTTCATCAGGCCAAGGAAACAATTATTGGAATAGACAAGTGGGAACGTTATGCGGCACTATACAGAACAGCTCTTGAGTTAATAAAAAGCGCAATACCGTGATCTCAAAGATACGACGAAACCGGGCATGAAACTATTGTTTTTATATCAAAGAAAATTTAAACGGAATGCAAGGCTAACCGGATGACAAAAATGGATAATTTTGTTGCCCAAAATTTCTTTTAGACAAAACTAACCTTCATCAAAGTACGTAATAAGCTTGTAACCTTTTATTTTATCGTCAGTTTAAGACTTGTTGAAGCTCGTGAAGAAGGTTAACCGAAATATTGGGCGATAAAATTGCCCAGTTCCGAGCTGTCCCTTGAACTGCCTTACATTTCGTGTAAGGCATTTTCAATATTGCTGATCCTATCCAGCTAAACGGTGGCCCCAACGACTTTTTTCTGTAAGATAACTGTTCGAAGCAAATATTGCCTAGAAATTTCTAAATTTTGAGAGAGGCCAAAAATTTCTGGATAACCGCTTTCTTCGTCTAAGATCACAATACAGAGTTTTTCTACTAGGTTACCTACTTTTCGCAGGATGTGTTTATCACATTTTATTAGCAAGATATTGCGATCTTTGTTTAAAAAAAGTCTCCAGAAAATTTTGATGTAAAGACAAAACGTCCCCTAGATTTTTCTAGGGAAAGATCGGCTATTCCATGTCCTCGTACTTTCGACAGGACCTGTCAGGGTAACTAACAGTGACGCAGTGACGGACGAAACGAAAAAGCCCGCACTAATAAAGCTTTCGAGACGACAAAGGCATCCTATGGCTCTGTTTATATGAAGTGAGCCAGCTCGGCAATAACCGGGCTGGTCTGCTTTACTGTGCTGGCTCGGCTCATGCCTTGTTTTCTTCTCTTAAAATTGTCGTTGTTAAATATGAGAGGGCGGGCTTGGCGAGTCGCCGAGATCTCGGCTCAAGCAATCGGGATCTCAGCAAGCCGGTCCAGCCCGCCTTCTTGTTTTCATCCACCAATTGACGTGAAACACTTCCCCTAACACGAATCCACATAATTAAATGTGAACTTTCAGTTTGCCTACTTGCTCGGCAGCTGCTAAGAGCAGTGTATCGATATGGGGTGGTAGCTTTGAAGGTTGACGGTTATTCAACAGATTTTTAGTCAAAGAGTTAAAGAAATGTTAACTTCCGTTTCAATAAATATTAACTGTTATGTTTTGGAGGTTGCCTTGGCCTTTCACACATAAAATTTTGAAATATTTTCAGATTTAAGCAAGTTGTAAGGTCTTGTAATTAATGTCTAGACAAAGTGTTTTGGAGAACATGCAGCCTAGCTGGTTTTTCCAGTTAAGAGATTCTTAGAGAGAGCCAGAAGTCTGTGAAGATCAGCTGAAATAGTGAGATTTGAAATACCTTGAAGCGTTTCGACGGTTAATAAGGCTATGAATTTTTGTCGGTTGAGGGTAAAAATAAACTTTTTTTTGACAGTTGACGGTTAACCCCATTGAGCCCTTTATTTAAACTTTAACTGCGATGGCGTTACTAATGTTAAATTAGATACATGTACTTGTCTCATTGTAAATTAACAAACCTTCAATCTGCTAAACGTTAGTTTTCCTCTGTTTCCATAGGGATGTATCACAGCCAAATATCGTTCAACGGCAATAACAAGCAGAGTAATCATTGAGGCATGTCCGCCAATCCACGCTAAGTTCCCTCCGGTAATAATTAGACACAAAACTGTCCCAGTAATTCCTTCTGGATGGCCAACATTATGGCTTAAGATAATCGTCGGTATAATGAATGTGGCGTAACAAATATCAGCTGCTGCCAGGTTCACAAGTAGATAGTTTATGGGTGTCCTGTGGGAAACGGTGTTCAGTATACAATTTTATATTTATAAAATAACTAAGATAGTACGCGCGCTCTGATTGGCCGAAAGGAGTGTTTGTATGAGGGTATGTAAACATGGTTGTGACGTCAAGATGTTCTTTTCGTCCGCTAATCACGCAAGCACGAATTTGAAAAGTTTTTGAGTTCAAAACTTTGACAAGTTTACTTTATTTACCCATTCCTTCGTCCGCTGAGACTTGGAAAGTTCTGACAAACAAGCTTGGTAAATTTTTTTTTTCGCTTAAGCTGACATTTTAAGCGAGAAAAATCCGTATTTTGGAAAGCATCTGTTTGCAAAACAAGAACTGATTACGCGTGCAAGACTTCGTGTACAAGACTTTGCGACTGGTAAGAATTTCTCTTTTAATCAGTGCCATAACAAAGAGTTTTGCGTTTTTTCTCGGGAAAGTTATTTTATAAAAGCAAAAGAAAACTTTTTTCCTGTGTTTGAATAACCTGATATAAACACTCGAGGGGAAGGAGAATTCTCGACAGTTATGTTTGCATAACTGTCCTCGATTTCTTCCAACCCCTCGAGTCTTTATATCAGGCTATGCAAACACGGAAAACGTTTTCTATTGTTTAATAAAGCAATAGACCACACTTTCTATGGGTTTACCGGCGTGATAATTCACTTGGGATGCTGGAAGAACACTTTCCCCGTGGGATATCACGCCGTTAAACCCATAGGAAGTGTGGTCTATTGCTTTTAAAAAATTGTAATTTATTTATATTTGTTTATTGTTATTTATGGTATATATAGATTAGATTCAGTAGCACTACTCTAAGTACCTCATTTCTTGATTCCTCATCAGCACAGCACAAACAAAACAGTTTCCAACAAGGCAGGTGATAATAAATATAAAATTGACGGTGGTTATAATAACTTCAGATGAATCAGGCATGCCGGACTGAGAAGTATTACAGGTTATTCTTGTAATCTGAAAAAAAAAAATAACAACCCGGAAGCACTACCCAGATCTAGGTAGTGACGCTTGATCAGTATGGAATTTCTACGCTCGTTTCTCAGACGTCATTTGGCGGGAAAACCAGTGGTGACGACGCGAAATGTAGACCGCTTGCAAAAAGAGCCGGTGTTTTTGTATTCCGCCCACCATTTTCTCAACTAATCTAATAACGTCAACTGTCAAAACGTGACCAATCACAAGAAGGGGGGCATCTCAGCATGGTCCGAACTTAATTACTTTGTTTACAGGAAATTGTCTAGTCGTGACGCTTTTTTCAAATGATAACATAATCGAGCGAAATAAAACATCTTTACTGTTCTTGCTCCGCAGGAAACACGGCAAACATTAACATAGACTACGAGCGGTCTCTCTTTTCTTACTGCTCGCAGTCTACGGCAAACAGTGATCAGTTTCGTGTGAATACACAAAATCTTTGTTCTTACCTCATCAAACACAATGATCACAAAGAACAGACCAGTCGCCAGCCTGAGACCCGAATAATGAAAGGAGAATTATAAACAATTGTCAAAAAGTTCAACGAATAGTTTTTACCAAAGCTTTAGCTCCCTGTTTATAATATAAGCCATTAATACAAGCCCATAAGCAACTTCTTACGGCTCAGCCAATCAGGAATTTGCGGACGCCAGAGTCCGCAGAAATGAACAAAAGTGGGTTCTTATAGCAGGCGTCTCCTACCCTCTCTCTCCAATCCCTCTCCCTTTTTCCCTTCCTCCCTATCCCCTCTCAACGCCTGCTATGTAGGCCAGCTGGCTAGTTTCAAGGCGTCATCATAGGCGGCCCGACTAATTAAGAGGATTAATTTTTGCTGTTTAAAATGTTATAAACTTGTTATACCACGTACACCGTTTCGGTAGCGATAGCAATATGTTAAAACGTTGCAATTGACCTTTTTGGGGGGAGTATTAAAAAGGAACTTTTAAGTGGGGAAACAAATTAAAAGCATAATGTACAAAGGCCTACTGTAGCAGCTGCTCAGTGTTAAAAGTGTCTCCTCATTGTTGGTCGCAGAAAACAATATACACAACATTGTTTATCATTATTTCCAATGTATTAAGGTTAGGGTAGCAAACTAAGTAAAAATAATTTGCTTTTAGGGCTAGGAAAGGTGCTACGGCTAAATGTTTGACACTCAGAGTTAATGAATTATTGAAAAAATATAATCCAAGTTCCATCAACTTGAATATCTTTATTCAGGCAGTTCAAGTCAAACATGAAGAAAGTTTATGAAGTTAACTTCTCGTCTGTTTTCATGCAATGAATATTTCTGTCTAGTCTAGGTTTTAATGTCAGCCCCGAGTGACGTCGCCTTTCGGCGAGTGTAGTTCATCTTAAATTCAAACAAAGTGCTCTTTAATAGTACATCAACAATAAGCATAAACACCAGCAAAAATGAATGAAAAAAGGCTGTTTTGAATAACTTGAGTTTTTCTTTACCTTTGAATTTAAAGGTCAGGATTCTCTTGTATTTCCAGATCCTATACGGACTAGCCCGAATAAAGAATCGATACAAATGCACTATCAATAAGTTCGCTCGGCTAGGGAGTGGGTATTTTTTGTTAGCCCGAGCTAGAAAGCGAGTCAATCAGATTGCAAGTTCGTAGAGTGTGTACTAATATTTTTCGTTGTACTCCTAGCATAATTTTTTGCGAATCCGTACATTTTCGTAGGAATGTCGTTTGTAAACTGATTGATTTGTCCCAAAAAAACTCGTTTCAGTGTACTGTTTTATAAATCAAATAGGCTGTTGCAACCCCCGCTCTCGCAAGAAGACCGAAACCTTTACAGATCAATTTTAATTAAGTACGCGCGAGAGAGTTTTCCAGTGCTTACCGATTACAATTTCTACCACTTTTGTGAATTTGAAGACTGTGTTTAACATCATTTTCAACTTTTTGGAGTTTACAGATCTTGCCGACTTCATGAAAACCACACCAGCTGGCAAGTCTAGGCCAGCCAGCTTAACTTGACTTAAATAAAGGGATTATGGCCAGAATTGTAAAGAAATTCAGCTCTTACCCTCTCTTCTACTCTTTGTGACTCCTAATTAGTGAAGAAATATTCAAGTCTATCAAAACAGCACTCTTAACTTGGTCATCTCTGGCTGTTTTAAGGTCCTATATGACCGAGGTAGCTTGCGACTTAGCCCTAAGCAGAGACCTCAGAGCCACATCCCCCCTGACCTGACACAGACTCGCAGCCGAGCACATCCTCTTTGGCATTAACCAATCAGTTTGAAACAGGTAAAGAATTTGGCGTGACTAACTTAACATAACATAACATAATTTATATAGCGCTAACTCCACTAATTGACCAAAGCGCTTTACAATTCATAATATTAAAATAATTAAAAAGATCCCACTGGTAATAAAATATGAATAAATTAAAAACCTATTAGCAGTCTTATTTATAAAAATATCACAATAAATCCTATTCTAAATTATCAAAAAGTTAAACATTATATGCTTTTTTAAAAAGATCGGTCTTTAAGTGTTTCTTGAATAAATTAATTGTAACTAAACTTCTAAGATCTAATGGCAGCTCATTCCAGAGTTTAGGTGCAGCAACGGAAAAGGCCCTGTCTCCGTATGTTAAACCAGACACATGGTAACTGAATATTCTCCAAAGAAACTCACTGAGAATAAAACACTTTTGAAGTACCCTCCCCCCCCCCCCACCTCCTCGCTAGGGATTGGCTAGCTCAGGGCCTGGGCTTGATTATGAGATCAGCCAAGACAACAAGCTCCCTGTGAAAATTCTCACCGCAGTCACCAGAAACCAAGTTTCGAATTCTGTGCGAATAGAAGGCAAAGCGCGGATGGAAGGAGGGGGACATGATAAGGAAGTAGCTTCTTCTCAAAAAGTGCATTCAAGACTACAGTGCAAAAATCGTTACCCTATTTATGACCAAAATGGCGGCAAAATAGCCAAAATCGATACCCAATTTATGACCAAAACGGCTGAAAAACCCTACCCTTTGGGGCCGCACATACCTATATAGCCCATATTAGGGAGTACCCCCGGGATTCATTTCAAGTATCAGAAGGTATGTTTATGCGCACGTATGCTAGTTCTCGAGTGAAAAGAAAGAGCTTTTATAGAAAAAGTGATCTCCAGATGTTTTGTTGATTTCCGGCTTCCATATTGGTGCACCAAAACGGTACGCCAGCATATGCATGGCGTCTCGATACTAAGCTCTACAAAGGTGCGTGAAATGTTTCGGCAAATAACTCAGAAACTGTGGGCCACAAAGATCTGAGACTTGGACAATTTGTTTATATATTAGTCTTTATAACATTACATTTTCTTGTCTTCTTCCACGGGACGGTTTCCAATTTATTTTTTTGTTGCGTGATAGTGAAAACGATCTATTTTCCGGAGCTTTTAGAAATCTTAATTAGAGCATGTTTTCAAAAATTCGGAGACATATGAGCTTATCCGAATACACCTGCGTAGTTGCTGTGAAATAAACGGCGAGACTATAATTACCTTCGCCACGGGGACAACACAGGAGCAATATACCGTAAAATTCCGAAAATAAGCCCCGGGGCTAATATTTTTCAAAGGCCCTTTTTGAGGGGCTTATCTACGGAGGGAAATTTGCGTTTCAAAATCGATTGGGCTGGCCTTATATTTGGAAGTAAATTGACCGTTTTTGCTCCCGGTTTTACGTTGTATTTGAGGGCAATTTTTCAAGTACAAGCCCCGGGGGGCCTATATTTGGAGGGGCGATTTAACGGAGGGTTTCTTGCATTACCGGTTTGGGGGGCTTATATTTGGAGGGGCTTAGACATGGAGGGGCTTATTTTCGAAATTTTACGGTAGTTCAAAACCACTTAAACCACAGGGCCCCACACAACGTGTGTGTGTAACCGATTGTTATTTTATAGTTTACTGTTCCTAATAATAGAAGGAGAAGTTGTCCTTCTATTGTTAAGAATAGTAAACGGTGAACTCAAAATCCTTCAAAATCGCTCAAAAAACCGCTTTTGAGGCAAAAGGACGACGATATACCACAGGTAAGGTAATTCAACGTTTATTTAACATTGATTTATATACATACTTGACGATATATCGTTATAGGTGAAGCAAACGGTTAATCCAGTACATTTACTATAAAATAACAATCGGTTACACACACACATTGTGTGGGCTCCCTGTGCTTAAACATAGCATAGTTAAACGTAGTATTTAAAAGGTAGATATAGGTATATTTTTATCCCCTAAAAATTTTTCATCTCTTCGGATTTCGTGGCTGAAAGCCTAGCCATCCGAAAATTTCAGCCAGAAAAAAGGCTCCCAACAATTCTAGGTGACCTTTTTAGGGTAAAAATCCGTTAAAAATGGGCAATTATACCATTTTTTATTATGTTCGACAATCCTAGGAGAGGCAGGCAAGCAAGAAATTTTACAACAAATGTTCCGGAAATTCTAGATCTCAAATCGTCTTCCGAACAGATGCTTTCCGAGAATTGACGTTGTGTGCCCCTAACAACGTCAATCCAAAACAGTGAAAAAGTATGTGGACTAAGAGAGGAGCTTCTTCGACATCACTGCTAAAAACCTCCTCGAGACTACGGCATATGAAATTCGTGAATGGCCTCGAGAATTTGAGCCACGTTAGTCTAACCAAAGTCTAAACAAAGTCTACATTGCAAAAGGCTTTACGCAAGGAATTTGGTGAGCACTGAGAAACGTATCACAGTGGCGCCTTATTCTCGGCTATATTATCTAGTCTTGTTTTAATTAAATTTCGCGGGGACTGCGGAACATAAGAGCACAGGGACTTATTCTTCTTTGTAAAATGACGTCATCAATGAAATCATAAATGTGTGCCAGAAGTACTCATTGCATATACTCTTTCGTACTAGTTAATTTCGTGTTTGTTGCCACTTTTGTCATCAAAATATAAAAAGAATCGTAAAAGTCAGACAAACTTTTCAAATCAGTCACACTGACGTCAATTGTGCGCTGTACTATTTATCAGTATGTTGGTTGGTTGACTGTTTCGAATAAGTTCACCAGGTGATCGGTCAGATGATTAAGTCGTTGCCATAGTCTTGGCTAAATAATGGCTGAAATGTTTTTGATTGACAAGAAAATTACAGTAGAATAAGCCCTTAACAGGAATTATTTCAAAATTTGATAAAGCGTTATTACAACAGTTCACGACAGCTAGCCTTATTACAAATTACAACAATTTGTTATTACACGTAACGACAGCTTGGTTATTACAATTCTCGACAACTGTTATTACAGTTAACGACGGGTATTACAATTTACGACGACTGTTATTACAATTTACGACATGCATTACAACTCACGACATTATTACAATTCACGACAGATACCCTCCTATGATCTGTTCATGCAACTCTGCTCGCAAAGCCGTATTTCCCGCGCCAACGGCGACCGGTCAGCGTTCACAGATTGAGAACCACGTGGTCGTCTCTGTGAGAAGTAATTTGCAACAAAAAAGTTCAACAGTCCTTTCTGAACCAAAGTTTGGACCCCCCTAATCAAAAATTCCTGAATCCGCCTCTGGTTTTTCTTTCTTTTGACGTCATTACACATATTCTCCCTTTTCTTTTCTCTTTCCTTTTTACATATTATTATCTTCTATTGAATTAATTTGGCGCCCCACGACTAGCGTTTTAGAAGCTAACTGCATGCAAGAGAGAATAATCTGTGAAAGGTTTGAGCCCAGGAGTCATTTCGTAAGTAGCTTGAGTCAGATTCTCTCTTGCTGCATGCCAAGAGATTGTAAGTAATTTCAAGGTAATAAATGTTTTGTCTTGTCTTGACAGCTGCTTGCTGAGGACTTCAATTTTTTTCTTTTATGAATTATGTGGGAATTACAGAGCATATTGAAGCTCATTTGCATATCCTCATTGTAAGAAAGTTAAATCTGATTAAATCTTTTGAACAAAGATAGCTTGAGAAGTAAAATTTGTTCACAAATTTAGGTTTAATACATTACTTAATTATCAACATATTCGCACTGACAACTGAGTACAAAACATGACAAAAACATGAACATTTCACTCGACGGAAAGGTGAACTCAGACTTTTGTTTGGCCATTTCGGAGTTGCGTAGGGAACGGGGGCGAGTTTCAATTTTAAACTGATCGATAAACTGACTCCACCATATAAAAGGTCATGCTGAGATTGGTTATTTGACCGAGCTTGGTGTTCTAAAGTTGAATGGGGATCAAGTTATGACTCTTGAAACATTGTTAAAGATCCATACAAACGTCTGTAATTTTTGTGACAGTGCTCCCCCCCTCCCCGGGGTGTTTTTTAGGTCATTTAAGGTACCGTTTTCCAGTTTACTTCTCGCTTCTTCTTTTGGCTTCGTGACTTTTTAAATTTCACTGTTAGTACAACCAGCTCTTGCCACAGTCTTGTTGTTTGAAACAGATATTCATTAGCTCACCAGTAAGGTTTGAGGTTTCAAATCTTACTTACAGCTTTTTTCTGATTTTTATCGTTTTGCATCGAATCAGCCGCAATTTACTGATGTTTGTTTGTGTTTTCGCTAAGAAATCCTCCAAATTAGCCTTCAAGCTGCCAAAAATCCCTCGTCCCAGGGCTGTCGGGGAATACGAAACTTGTCTATTTGATTAACGCCTTGGTAAATTGCAAATCACCAAAAATCAAAATATACACAACGCAGAGGGGGGGAAATGAAGTAATGTAGACTACTAAGAGAATTCCCAATTTATTTTCCTTAATACTTAAGTGACACAAGTAATGAATAGGAAAAGACAATGGTTTCCACCACATGGAAAGCAAAATGGCAGAAAGCAGTGACCAATCAATAACATAAAGTTTAGTTTATCTTAATGTCCTAAAAACTAATGCTATAGCGACTCGAATTAAGACCTATCTTTCGATAGTTCAAGTCTCTTTAAACGTAGGCATTTAGGGTGGAGGCTCCGAGAGAGAACTTGTAGTAACTTAATTACAAATATGTGTTGTTCCCCAGCCTAGGGCAAAATAGGAATTCATAACATGGACCTTACTCGCTTATTTTAGTGCCTCAATGTAGGATGGGATTCTCTGGAGATTTGTTCCTTTTACCTGCTAGAAATAGAGTTCATTCGAGCATTATCCAGCGAAAATAGTTGGTCTACAGATGTGTCACTACCCTTGCGGCTCTGTTTGGCTCCGTCCCAGTGTTGTTCCCAATCCCATGTCCTCCAGCGGTACCTCCTCCGTCGTGCGAGGTACTCTTGCTGTATAGGAACGTGAAACGCAGCATATCATTTCCTTCATCTTTCTCCTGAATCTTTGGTTTATTAAAGCGTACACAAAAGGATTGACGGCAGAGTTGAAAGTAACGGTTAAATGCACAATAGGAATTGTTAAAGGGTTCAGCTTCAAAGAGCCGGCATCGTCTACGCTGTGTACTATTCCGTCTGCTCCCCAAGAAGCTGCAAACATGGCGCTGACTGTAACAACCATCAAGGACACACGCCTTCTCACCTTCAATACACCCTGTGTACAAAATGATTCATTAGACCGCAGGTAGCACAAGCTTACAATCTTTGAGATTTGAGAAATACTTTAAAACTTTTTTCGTATTGTAATCCTTGTCTTTGCTAAGGTATGTGAAAGGGGTACCATTTGTCAATAGAAGGTATACGAAAGGGGTATACGGGATCGGACCTCGAGGCGGAGCCTTACCGTATAAACATTTGTTGAGGACCCCCCGGGGGGGTCCCACTATGTACTTGTCTAATAAGGATTGTAGTCGTACCTGCTGATGACGTGTGAATTCACCGTCACTGCTCTTGAACCACAAGGCGTACACTATTCTGGAGTAGAGTAACACCAGAACCACAATGGCTAAAAATTTCAAAGCACGCCACGTCATACCAGTTATCATTTTGCTTTCTTTGGACAAAACGGAAACGCAGGAGATGGAACTAACTTCCTTATCAAAACTTCGCGGCAGGGAAGGGCCTCTGTATATAACTGCGAGGATCCAAATACCAGGAATAATCACCTGAAAATACCGATTAAGCACGTTATCGTCTAAGAGCACAAGTGCTCGTTCAAAATACGAACGTGCATTAAATCTACGCAATTATAATAATAATATCTAGTATTAAAAAAAAATTAAATATATAATCTATAATCTAGGAAAACTGTGTTTCGATTTTTCTGTAGTAGAGCTCGAGTGCTCGATACGTTAAAGTAGAGCGTGATATAAAATTACGGCTGAATTGATCTTAACTTAGACTTAAAATAATTAGAATATAATGATTAGCTCGACAGTATTGCACAGTTATCTATTTGAACGGTTTATACGCTATCGTAAAACATTTGTCACTGGGAAGTTGTGTACGACTTTGCCACTGCTTGCTGCCAGTCTTCATCAGGCCAAGGAAACAATTACTGGAATAGACAAGTGGGAACGTTATGCGGCACTATGCAGAACAGCTCTTGAGTTAATAAAAAGCGCAATACCGTGATCTCAAAGATACGACGAAACCGGGCATGAAACTATTGTTTTTATATCAAAGAAAATTTAAACGGAATGCAAGGCTAACCGGATGACAAAAATGGATAATTTTGTTGCCCAAAATTTCTTTTAGACAAAACTAACCTTCATCAAAGTACGTAATAAGCTTGTAACCTTTTATTTTATCGTCAGTTTAAGACTTGTTGAAGCTCGTGAAGAAGGTTAACCGAAATATTGGGCGATAAAATTGCCCAGTTCCGAGCTGTCCCTTGAACTGCCTTACATTTCGTGTAAGGCATTTTCAATATTGCTGATCCTATCCAGCTAAACGGTGGCCCCAACGACTTTTTTCTGTAAGATAACTGTTCGAAGCAAATATTGCCTAGAAATTTCTAAATTTTGAGAGAGGCCAAAAATTTCTGGATAACCGCTTTCTTCGTCTAAGATCACAATACAGAGTTTTTCTACTAGGTTACCTACTTTTCGCAGGATGTGTTTATCACATTTTATTAGCAAGATATTGCGATCTTTGTTTAAAAAAAGTCTCCAGAAAATTTTGATGTAAAGACAAAACGTTCCCTAGATTTTTCTCGGGAAAGATCGGCTATTCCATGTCCTCGTACTTTCGACGGGACCTGTCAGGGTAACTAACAGTGACGCAGTGACGGACGAAACGAAAAAGCCCGCACTAATAAAGCTTTCGAGACGACCAAAGTCATCCTATGGCTCTGTTTATATGAAGTGAGCCAGCTCGGCAGTAACCGGGCTGGTCTGCTTTACTGTGCTGGCTCGGCTCATGCCTTGTTTTCTTCTCTTAAAATTGTCGTTGTTTTATATGAGAGGGCGGGCTTGGCGAGTCGCCGAGATCTCGGCTCAAGCAATCGGGATCTCAGCAAGCCGGTCCAGCCCGCCTTCTTGTTTTCATCCACCAATTGACGTGAAACACTTCCCCTAACACGAATCCACATAATTAAATGTGAACTTTCAGTTTGCCTACTTGCTCGGCAGCTGCTAAGAGCAGTGTATCGATATGGGGTGGTAGCTTTGAAGGTTGACGGTTATTCAACAGATTTTTAGTCAAAGAGTTAAAGAAATGTTAACTTCCGTTTCAATAAATATTAACTGTTATGTTTTGGAGGTTGCCTTGGCCTTTCACACATAAAATTTTGAAATATTTTCAGATTTAAGCAAGTTGTAAGGTCTTGTAATTAATGTCTAGACAAAGTGTTTTGGAGAACATGCAGCCTAGCTGGTTTTTCCAGTTAAGAGATTCTTAGAGAGAGCCAGAAGTCTGTGAAGATCAGCTGAAATAGTGAGATTTGAAATACCTTGAAGCGTTTCGACGGTTAATAAGGCTATGAATTTTTGTCGGTTGAGGGTAAAAATAAACTTTTTTTTGACGGTTGACGGTTAACCCCATTGAGCCCTTTATTTAAACTTTAACTGCGATGGCGTTACTAATGTTAAATTAGATACATGTACTTGTCTCATTGTAAATTAACAAACCTTCAATCTGCTAAACGTTAGTTTTCCTCTGTTTCCATAGGGATGTATCACAGCCAAATATCGTTCAACGGCAATAACAAGCAGAGTAATCATTGAGGCATGTCCGCCAATCCACGCTAAGGTCCCTCCGGTAATAATTATACACAAAACTGTCCCAGTAATTCCTTCTGGATGGCCAACATTATGGCTTAAGATAATCGTCGGTATAATGAATGTGGCGTAACAAATATCAGCTGCTGCCAGGTTCACAAGTAGATAGTTGATGGGTGTCCTGTGGGAAACTGTGTTCAGTATACAATTTTATATTTATAAAATAACTAAGATAGTACGCGCGCTCTGATTGGCCGAAAGGAGTGTTTGTATGAGGGTATGTAAACATGGTTGTGACGTCAAGATGTTCTTTTCGTGCGCTAATCACGCAAGCACGAATTTGAAAAGTTTTTGAGTTCAAAACTCTGACAAGTTTACTTTATTTACCCATTCCTTCGTCCGCTGAGACTTGGAAAGTTCTGACAAACAAGCTTGGTAAATTCTTTTTTTCGCTTAAGCTGACATTTTAAGCGAGAAAAATCCGTATTTTGGAAAGCATCTGTTTGCAAAACAAGAACTGATTACGCGTGCAAGACTTCGTGTACAAGACTTTGCTACTGGTAAGAATTTCTCTTTTAATCAGTGCCATAACAAAGAGTTTTGCGTTTTTTCTCGGGAAAGTTATTTTATAAAAGCCAAAGAAAACTTTTTTCCTGTGTTTGAATAACCTGATATAAACACTCGAGGGGAAGGGAGAATTCTCGACAGTTATGTTTGCATAACTGTCCCGATTTCTTCCAACCCCTCGAGTCTTTATATCAGGCTATGCAAACACGGAAAACGTTTTCTATTGTTTAATTAAGCAATAGACCACACTTTCTATGGGTTTACCGGCGTGATAATTCACTTGGGATGTTGGAAGAACACATTCCCCGTGGGATATCACGCCGTTAAACCCATAGGAAGTGTGGTCTATTGCTTTTAAAAAATTGTTATTTATTTATATTTGTTTATTGTTATTTATGGTATATATAGATTAGACTCAGTAGCACTACTCTAAGTACCTCATTTCTTGATTCCTCATCAGCACAGCACAAACAAAACAGTTTCCAACAAGGCAGGTGATAATAAATATAAAATTGACGGTGGTTATAATAACTTCAGATGAATCAGGCATGCCGGACTGAGAAGTATTAGAGGTTATTCTTGTAATCTGAAAAAAAAATAACAACCCGGAAGCACTACCCAGATCTAGGTAGTGACGTTTGATCAGTATGGAATTTCTCCGCTCGTTTCTCAGACGTTATTTCGCGGGAAAACTAGTGGTGACGTCGCGAAATGTAGACCGCTTGCAAAAAGAGCCGGTGTTTTTGTATTCCGCCCACCATTTTCTCAACTAATCTAATAACGTCAACTGTCAAAACGTGACCAATCACAAGAAGGGGGGCATCTCAGCATGGCCGAACTTAATTACTTTGTTTACAGGAAATTGTCTAGTCGTGACGCTTTTTTCAAATGATAACATAATCGAGCGAAATGAAACATCTTTACTGTTCTTGCTCCGCAGGAAACACGGCAAACATTAACATAGACTACGAGCGGTCTCTCTTTCCGTACTGCTCGCAGTCTACGGCAAACAGTGATCAGTTTCGTGTGAATACACAAAATCTTAGCCTGCGTAGCAGGCGCTTGGAAGTAGCGGGCGAAAGAGAGAACGGGCGCACGCGAGGGAGACACGCAAGGGTTTTTTCTTGTCCCCACTACTTCCAAGCGCCTGCTACGAAGGCTAACAAAATCTTTGTTCTTACCTCATCAAACACAATGATCACAAAGAACAGACCAGTCGCCAGCCTGAGACCCGAATAATGAAAGGAGAATTATAAACAATTGTCAAAAAGTTCAACGAATAGTTTTTACCAAAGCTTTAGCTCCCTGTTTATAATATAAGCCATTAATACAAGCCCATAAGCAACTTCTTACGGCTCAGCCAATCAGGAATTTGCGGACGCCAGAGTCCGCAGAAATGAACAAAAGGGGGTTCTTATAGCAGGCGTCCCCTACCCTCTCTCCCCAATCCCTCTCCCTTTTTCCCTTCCTCCCTATCCCCTCTCAACGCCTGCTATGTAGGCCAGCTGGCTAGTTTCAAGGCGTCATCATAGGCGGCCAGACGAATTAAGAGGATTAATTTTTGCTGTTTAAAATGTTATAAACTTGTTATACCACGTACACCGTTTCGGTAGCGATAGCAATATGTTAAAACGTTGCAATTGACCTTTTTGGGGGGAGTATTAAAAAGGAACTTTTAAGTGGGGAAACAAATTAAAAGCATAATGTACAAAGGCCTACTGTAGCAGCTGCTCAGTGTTAAAAGTGTCTCCTCATTGTTGGTCGCAGAAAACAATATACACAACATTGTTTATCATTATTTCCAATGTATTAAGGTTAGGGTAGCAAACTAAGTAAAAATAATTTGCTTTTAGGGCTAGGAAAGGTGCTACGGCTAAATGTTTGACACTCAGAGTTAATGAATTATTGAAAAAATATAATCCAAGTTCCATCAACTTGAATATCTTTATTCAGGCAGTTCAAGTCAAACATGAAGAAAGTTTATGAAGTTAACTTCTCGTCTGTTTTCATGCAATGAATATTTCTGTCTAGTCTAGGTTTTAATGTCAGCCCCGAGTGACGTCGCCTTTCGGCGAGTGTAGTTCATCTTAAATTCAAACAAAGTGCTCTTTAATAGTACATCAACAATAAGCATAAACACCAGCAAAAATGAATGAAAAAAGGCTGTTTTGAATAACTTGAGTTTTTCTTTACCTTTGAATTTAAAGGTCAAGATTCTCTTGTATTTCCAGATCCTATACGGACTAGCCCGAATAAAGAATCGATACAAATCACGGGCACCCAACGACAATTTTCGGAAAAATATCTGTTCGGAAGACGATTTGAGATCTAGAATTTTCGAAACATTTCTTGTCAAACTTCTTGCTTGCCTGCCTCTCCTAGGATTTTCGAACATCTAAAAAATGGTATAATTGCCTATTTTTAACGGATTTTTACTCTAAAAAGGTCACCTAGAATTTTCGGGAGCCTTTTTTCTGGCTGAAATTTTCGAAAAGGTAAGTTTTGATCCCTATAATTTTCGGATCACTAGACTTTCAGCTAGGAAATCCGAACAGATGAAAATTTTTTAGGGGATAAAAATATGCCTTTATCTACCGTTTAAATACTAAAATACGTTTAAAAATGATATGTTTAAGTGGTTTTGAACTATATTCTCGTTGGGTGCCCCTGACAAATGCACTATCAATAAGCTCGCTCGGCTAGGGAGTGGGTATTTTTTGTTAGCCCGAGCTAGAAAGCGAGTCAATCAGATTGCAAGTTCGTAGAGTGTGTACTAATATTTTTCGTTGTACTCCTAGCATAATTTTTTGCGAATCCGTACATTTTCGTAGGAATGTCGTTTGTAAATATTGATTTGTCCCAAAAAAACTCGTTTCAGTGTACTGTTTTATAAATCAAATAGGCTGTTGCAACCCCCGCTCTCGCAAGAAGACCGAAACCTTTACAGATCAATTTTAATTACGTACGCGCGAGAGAGTTTTCCAGTGCTTACCGATTACAATTTCTACCACTTTTGTGAATTTGAAGACTGTGTTTAACATCATTTTCAACTTTTTGGAGTTTACAGATCTTGCCGACTTCATGAAAACCACACCAGCTGGCAAGTCTAGGCCAGCCAGCTTAACTTGACTTAAATAAAGGGGATTATGGCCAGAATTGTAAAGAAATTCAGCTCTTACCCTCTCTTCTACTCTTTGTGACTCCTAATTAGTGAAGAAATATTCAAGTCTATCAAAACAGCACTCTTAACTTGGTCATCTCTGGCTGTTTTAAGGTCCTATATGACCGAGGTAGCTTGCGACTTAGCCCTAAGCAGAGACCTCAGAGCCACATCCCCCCTGACCTGACACAGACTCGCAGCCGAGCACATCCTCTTTGGCATTAACCAATCAGTTTGAAACAGGTAAAGAATTTGGCGTGACTAACTTAACATAACATAACATAATTTATATAGCGCTAACTCCACTAATTGACCAAAGCGCTTTACAATTCATAATATTAAAATAATTAAAAAGATCCCACTGGTAATAAAATATGAATAAATTAAAAACCTATTAGCAGTCTTATTTATAAAAATATCACAATAAATCCTATTCTAAATTATCAAAAAGTTAAACATTATATGCTTTTTTAAAAAGATCGGTCTTTAAGTGTTTCTTGAATAAATTAATTGTAGCTAAACTTCTAAGATCTAATGGCAGCTCATTCCAGAGTTTAGGTGCAGCAACGGAAAAGGCCCTGTCTCCGTATGTTAAACCAGACACATGGTAACTGAATATTCTCCAAAGAAACTCACTGAGAATAAAACACTTTTGAAGTACCCTCCCCCCGCCCCCATCTCCTCGCTAGGGATTGGCTAGCTCAGGGCCTGGGCTTGATTATGAGATCAGCCAAGACAACAAGCTCCCTGTGAAAATTCTCACCGCAGTCACCAGAAACCAAGTTTCGAATTCTGTGCGAATAGATGGTTTTCACAGTGACGTCATCAATTTGTAAAGTCAAAATAGCGAGGTTTTACGAATTCTTATTTACACTAGGTTGGAGATAAACAAAAAATAAATGTTTCATTTCGAAAATACAGCAATTTGAACTTCCGAGTTTTCACAGTGCGTGACACCAAAATAGGAATTCTGTCTCGTTGAAAAAAAGTCTCGCCTCTTGATTCATTTCAAGTATCAGAAGGTATGTTTATGCGCACGTATGCTAGTTCTCGAGTGAAAAGAAAGAGCTTTTATAGAAAAAGTGATCTCCAGATGTTTTGTTGATTTCCGGCTTCCATATTGGTGCACCAAAACGGTACGCCAGCATATGCATGGCGTCTCGATACTAAGCTCTACAAAGGTGCGTGAAATGTTTCGGCAAATAACTCAGAAACTGTGGGCCACAAAGACCTGAGACTTGGACAATTTGTTTATATTTTAGTCTTTATAACATTTCATTTTCCTGTCTTCTTCCACGGGACGGTTTCCAATTTATTTTTTTGTTGCGTGATAGTGAAAACGATCTATTTTCCGGAGCTTTTAGAAATTTTAATTCGAGCATGTTTTCAAAAATTCGGAGACATATGAGCTTATCTGAATACACCTGCGTAGTTGCTGTGAAATAAACGGCGAGACTATAATTACCTTCGCCACGGGGACAACACAGGAGCAATATACCGTAAAATTCGGAAAATAAGCCCCGGGGCTAATATTTTTCAAAGGCCCTTTTTGAGGGGCTTATCTACGGAGGGAAATTTGCGTTTCAAAATCGATTGGGCTGGCCTTATATTTGGAAGTAAATTGACCGTTTTTGCTCCCGGTTTTACGTTGTATTTGAGGGCAATTTTTCAAGTACAAGCCCCGGGGGGCCTATATTTGGAGGGGCGATTTAACGGAGGGTTTCTTGCATTACCGGTTTGGGGGGCTTATATTTGGAGGAGCTTATACGGAGAGGCTTATTTTCGGAATTTTACGGTAGTTCAAAACCACTTAAACCACAGGGCCCCACACAATGTGTGTGTGTAACCGATTGTTATTTTATAGTTTACTCTTCCTAATAATAGAAGGAGAAGTTGTCCTTCTATTGTTACGAACAGTAAACGGTGAACTCAAAATCCTTCAAAATCGCTCAAAAAACCGCTTTTGAGGCAAAAGGACGACGATATACCACAGGTAAGATAATTCAACGTTTATTTAACATTGATTTATATACATACTTGACGATATATCGTTATAGGTGAAGCAAACGGTTAATCCAGTACATTTGCTATAAAATAACAATCGGTTACACACACACATTGTGTGGGCTCCCTGTGCTTAAACATAGCATAGTTAAACGTAGTATTTAAACGGTAGATATAGGTATATTTTTATCCCCTAAAAATTTTTCATCTCTTCGGATTTCGTGGCTGAAAGTCTAGCCATCCGAAAATTTCAGCCAGAAAAAAGGCTCCCAACAATTCTAGGTGACCTTTTTAGGGTAAAAATCCGTTAAAAATGGGCAATTATACCATTTTTTATTATGTTCGAAAATCCTAGGAGAGGCAGGCAAGCAAGAAATTTTACAACA